TTTGTGCTCTGACCCATTGCGGTGAGGACGTGGCTTTCTAGGATTTCACCAGCCTCTTCGACGAGAAGGACATCGGGATTCACCGCACGAATGTCCTGTGCAAACATAGCTGCTCCAGTCGTTGTGCATCCAATGATTCTCTTCCCCATGAGAGTTGCCACCCTAGCTTCCCCGAACTTGCGTGTCAGTTGATCTTGGCATTCGTTGTAGTTTGTACCAAGTGTGTGAATCTCCTCGAGGATTAACTTGCGTATCTCCAACTTCCATCTCTCTATCACGTCCCGGCGAGCGTCCTTAGGCATTTTCCAGATATCTTGTGCCTCACGTACATTGGGCTCGGATTTGAACTGCCCGGCATCAAATCCTCTGTCCCATCGAACGATGAGTTCCTCAGCATCGACAGGTTTGCCGTCCTTGCCAACACGGGTCATTCCCGAAGCGTCGTATTCAGGTACGTGGAATGCGTCGAAGTAGGTCGGTTCTTCAAATTCTATGTACATGAGGATGTCCCTGAAACCGATTTTCGAAGCTACGAATTTGTCCATGGCAGGTCTCTAGAGCTTTGCAGTGAAACGTCGACGACTTCTTCAAGTCGTCGATTATAGTCCAATCAGCTTTGGATCGTATGAAACGTTCTTTCTTCTGGCCCGCAATACCAAGATGGGCGACCTGCGCATTTGGTCTGCCGCCAAGGCGGACCATGTTAATGTCCGGAATCCCAATCTTCATGAGATCTTCCAGGAATTGATCTAAGGCATGGTTCGTATAACAGACTACAAGGATTTTCTGCTCGGTGTGATCGTGGATGGCCTTCGCAAGCAGCGCGCCAATGAATGATTTTCCGGTACCTTTAGGATGTCAACAAGATAGGTACGAATGAGTGGTTGATGAACACTACCTGGAGGGCCTTGGATGATGGAAAGCCTCTGCGTAAGTCCTGCCAATAGCGATGCTGCCTGCGACTTGTCAAGGACAATGCTAGATGAAAGCCCTAGGAGTGGCTTCAAATCCACGGACGGATTCATAGCAAGTGGACGCGTGACATGAGCTGCGGTCACTGCAGCGCTACCAATAGTGTTCCCATCCTTCCAGAACAGGAGCTCCTCTGACAGCGGAATGACTTGCGTCTTCTGTAGGGCCTTCAAGACCGGCTCGAACGAAAAGAGGGCGGTGTCAATCTGAATGAGTCGAATGGCATTGGATGATTGCAACTGAAGGAGAGTCTTCCTGATGCTAGCTTCCCCTTCCAGCTGAAGCACGATAACAGGTGGTTTCTGCGCAAGAAGTGCCTCGACACGATGGACGCTTGCGAGACTGATGATTTTATTTCCCGAAAGTATGCATACAAGAGACTGATTTTTGAGAATTCTGACGCCCGCGGGATCTTTTTCAAGATGAGTCTTGCGCTGCTTGTCGGGGACATTCTTCATCGACTTGAAATCGTCTTTGCATTTGAGTTTGATGCCCCACCGAGTCTTTTTATCATCTGTACCACTGTAAACGCCATCGAGTGTGACACCGTCGATGGTGAGCCCACGGTGACGCCCTTTCTTCTGCCCTGTAGCAGTCTGGAGCTCTTCTTTTATCTCATACAACATGTCTTCGCGCAGCAAGCGGAAGGTATTATCCAAGTAGTCAGCTGTACGAGTTGCCTCGCCATCAGGATCCTCCAATACGCTGCTCGGGCGAATGAAAGGAAGCTGCTGGCAGAGAATCTCGTCTGCAGTTGGAAGAATGGAGATCTCCCTGAAATCGTTGAAATCATTATCATGGCGACCACCAGGTCCACCGACTGCAGCGACAGGTGTACCGGACGTGAATGTGGAAAGGATGTGTTGGATACGGTAGCCAATGTCTTTGACAGTCCATTGCGGTGAATCGAGAAGCCTCGTAAGGATACTAGACTTCTTTGCGAGGTCACGATAAGACGATGTATTCCCCGTAGTAAGGTTCATGAGTCGAAGAAGGAGTACCGCGAATGCTTCCTGGGCTGGCTCATTGAGATTACCTTGATCAAATGCCTGGGTAAAGGCAGTCCAAAAAATGGGAGGATTAACTATGGCGGTGAGTAAATGATCCAACACGTCGCCGAGGTCTGTTGCTCGGAAGAGATATAACAGAAGCGTAGTTGCAGAACCATTGAGAAACTGAGAAGTAGTATTGTGACGCATGGCAGCTTGAACTGCACTTGAGCCGTGGGGGCTCTCAACAATTTTGTTGATGCAGGTCGCAGGGTCTTGCTGTGCACAAATCGCTTCTAAAAAGTGAGCGTAACTCCGTGCATCCGCAGTGACTCTGCCTTGAAGGATGTCGTTAAAACGTTTCTCAAGCTGAGCTTGTCGATTCATGAGAGGTAAGCTGGTAGTGATTATGCCTCGTAGGTTGTGGGTAGTTGAACGTTGAGTGTTGAGCGCAAAACTGCGGGCGCTCGTACGTGGGTACTGGGCCTATCTTCGGCCACGTTGTTGCAACATTGAATTAGCAGCGCCACAAACTTAATGATACTGATAGGACACTGATAGTAAGTCTTTTGTACGCGAGTCAACTACTAGTAACACACGAGATAATCCAGGGATCCACGTACCATTCGCAAATGATTCATGTAGAAACGCAAATCCGAGTACTAAAACAGAAAATGCAATCAATTACCGCGGTAGAGCTCAGCCGGGTTGGTGATACAGTACAAACGATCTGAGTTAGCCCTGGACTATGACGGCATCTGAACAAAAACTTAGCCCACAGATGAAAATGTTAACATCATCCTACCATCATGGAGAAGAGCAGTGGGCGACAATCCTGCAGAAGTCGCACTTGCAGAGGAGCCAGTGTCAGTGACAGTTGATAACAAACGATTCCATGCAGAAAGGTGAATAATAATTAATCTAATTCCTCGGTCTTGGCACTGATATGTGCTGCTTTCGTATGTTTGTCCGTTCAAGTTCATATCGACATACCCCATCGTACCGTGACCGTATCTCGGGCCTTTACTGCCGAGTACTATTTTTGACGTATTTGAGGCTCAACCTCAAGACCCATGACCTGATGGACGCTCGGTCTTACAGTTATAAGCTCAGCTCGTAGACATGATTCCCAGCAACTTACATCACTGGTTATCATGTCTAAAGGAGTTGCTCTAATCACTGGTGCTGGTCAAGGCATTGGTCGTTCCATTTCTCTTAGGCTGGCCGCTGACGGCTTCGACATCGGACTCAGTGATATTCCTACCAATAAGTCGAACCTCGAGGAAGTCGCACGGGAGATAATGGGGAGTTGTGCAGGACGAAGGGTCTGCGTACTTCTTGCAGATGTTACAGTTGAGGACGACGTTCGCAAGATGGTGGACAGCGTCGTGACTGAGCTTGGTGGTCTGGATGTTGTGAGTACGGATGCTACTGGCAGAGCTTCAAATCATTCTCATAATTGATGTCACTTCGAGATGGTCGCAAATGCCGGTATCATCGCAGTCGCACCATTGGTAGAAAGTAAGATATATGGTTCTACAAATCATATCTGCAACGTTGTACTACTAACTTCGCTCGACTAGCTACGTTGGCAGACTGGGAGAAGATCTTTGCCGTCAATGTCACAGGCGTATTTCTAAGCTACAAATATGCCGCTCGAAAGATGATCTCTTTAAATGAGAATCACAAACGAGGTCGGCGCATCATCGGCGCCAGCTCCCTACTAGGGAAAAGAGGTGCGTACATCCATCCGTAGGTTCTAACGCTCAATACATTCTTTCGCACAGGTGAAGAATACCTTGGCGCATATTCTGCTTCCAAGTTTGCAGTCCGAGGGATTACACAGTCCGCTGGTACAGTGTCTATCTACATTGCATTCTGATGATTCTGACAAGTGATTATATATCAGCTATTGAACTTGGACGCCACGGTATCACCGTGAATGCCTACGCCCCAGGACCAATTATGACGGCTATGGGTGAGTAAAGCCATAAACATGATATCTCGTGATGAAAGCTGAATGCTGAGCTTCAAAGTCGATGGACTAAATGAGGCAAGCATGAAGCTGACAGGATCATCTGACCCTAGTTGCTATAATGAAAAGGTAAGACTATTTAATAGGGCTGTCCTCACGACTTGCCTCAAGCTTTCCTCTTTAGTCTAAGAAGAATACATGTGTGGGGTATTTGGGGGTTCCAGACGACATTGCAGGACTGGTCTCTTACATTGCTTCTGCGGAATCTCATTTTATCACAGGTAAACATCATAGAACCCTTTTGCAACCTGTCTTGATCTGAAATAACCAACAGGACAAAGTGTAAGTATTCCTTTGAGAGCCTGTGCACGAAGGCTAACAACTGTGCAGTTCACGATCGACGGTGGGATGCGCTTTGATTAAATCTTGTTAGTTCAATGGTGGGGTCGGAAACTCACATACGCTAAAGCCTGCAGTTTTATCAACTCTTGTACAATATAGCATACTATATGCATGCTATCGATCAACATTCATGAACATCCCAATGATATCCTTTGCCGTGCAGGCTTCAAATGCGTTGAGACTACCTTGGATGTCGGTGTATCGCTTCAGATCTGCATTAGGATCCTCCTTTAAGCTTCAAGTTTTGTGCAGTGTATGCATCCTTTAAGGGTGGGGCTTCGCAAAATGCTGTCTGGAATATGCTATGATGTCTACAGTTGGTCTGTAACACTGTCAAGTCCGTGACACTATGTAAACTATCCATGGACGATCTGACTCATCCAGGTATGTACAAGGTCGATAAGTCCAAATAACCGTAGCCTACATATAGAAGTCATTTCACGAAGAAATAATCCATCGTCCGTTTATTCGACTAATTTTAACATGCGATTCATGTCCATCGAAACCGTAAGTCCCAAGTCACAACATTATAGTCTGTCTGGCACTCAGAATCTAGATGCAAAGGGAACTTCCTGAAGGGTTCAACGTTCAACTTGAATGGAGACATGACAGACTTGCAATGGCATACATACCGTAGTAACGTACACACCGATACAATGCAACTACAAGCCACATACGGACGTATCCACTTGGGCTGCCGTAACATCCACTCTTCCCAGCTCAGTGGCCAGGTTACCAGTCAAGGTGTTCATGGCCGCCTCTGAAACGGTGAAGCCAGCTTTGGATACGTCGACCACGAGGACAGCGACGGATTTATCTCCGTATGTGACGTTATAGCAGGTCCCGCACGCAGCGGAATTCCAGCCCGTCACGGTGTAAGCACCGCCAACGTTAGGGAATGTGGGAAGTGATCCAAGGGTCGTGTATCCCTTTGATTCAAGCCCGTTAGCGCCGTCTGAACAAGCGACGCTGGAAAGGGAGAGGGTGGCGTTGTCGTACGTGCTGTCATATGATAGGGTTTCTGTCGTTTGTGTTGAAGCGGCAAGGACAAAGACGGAGATGGAGAAGAGGACGGATGTGAATTTCATGACGGAAAGCACTTTGCTTGTGAGGTGTATGAGGTATGATAGTATAACTGAGGAACGAATGAACTCAAAGTTGGGGCCTAAGGTGCGGATTGCTTTTGAAAAGTCGCCTCCCTTTATACGTTTATGTTTCGACTTCTCAATTTGATACCTAGAAACTTTATGTGATCGTGTGGCGTGTCGAGAGAATCGTCGCACTCGGAAAATCATGACCGCATCATGTCCAGGTCATTAATTCGCGTTGGAAGAGCCATCATGGTCAATGCGGGAATCAAATATACGTGAGTGTAACAGTGGGATTAAAGAAGACCGAGCTTCAGGATTGATGATAATCTTCTGATTGGCATGGAAACTGTAAACTGTGGCCTGTCGGTCCTAGAACGTGTCTTATTGTTTAGCGGAAATGATCGAATATGTATTGCCAAGCTCACTGGCTGGAGGAACACGATGCAGAAAAAACACAGCTTGACCGGCAACGTGGAGTGGCTAAAACTATGCAACTAGTAGCGATGAGACAGTTGTCAGGTAAAGCAGACCCAGCGAGTGGCGGGAGACAATCGGAGATCTGGCAAGGTCTGGTAGCCAGATACATACAAGCATATGAAACAACCTAATCGTACCCAGTAGCTGGCCTTGTACACATTGGGAACAGCCCTCCGGGCACTTAGACCCGACAAAGTATGTACGCCACGAGGCCCACGAAGGAATTCGCACACGTAAGAGACTAACCCACTATATGTATATATTTTGCGGGTGAATCAGCAGCACTACATCCACGCGGAGGACGGCGAGTTCGAGAAGACGGCACTACGCGCACTTGTCATGAGCTGGCGCTTTTCATCATGATTCTTGTTGATAGGCGGTCTGTCAACCAGTAACAATTTCCGGGTGCTCCTTTTTATCCGAGATTGAGCCTGATGGTTGGCTGTGTCGGTAGAGTCGCATGTACAAATGGTGACCTGGGTGATGGATTCGGAAGCAATGGAGTAAGGCGTAGGCTGGACGTTGTCGACGGTCGTACCGATGGTAGCCCCCCTAGACAGAGCTGATGACGGACGTTTAAGGGGATGGGGTAGGGATGACGCATACGAAAATGAAGGTACTTACAGCACATCATTTATAGAATAACCTCTGTGACCTGGGCTCATCGGCCGACAAAGTGACGAGTATCCCAACTAAATCCCGAGAATTTGCCACTAATAGCAGCCTGAGGTAGTCAGCGCCCGTTTCGAATATTACCAGAGAGAATGCTGCTGCCTGCAGTGTGCTTGACTTCTTGAAGTAAAAGGTAGTAGCCAGTGCAAACCGAGAAATAGCAAAAGTAAACACGTTCAAGTGCTGTTAGAAGTGACTCAAGGATGAGAAGGTACGAGAAAGAATGATAACGAAGGACTGACGATGGTATAACAGATACTTGAGACACATGATTCCCTACAATTCGTCCAGGCGTCGATGATCGTTGTAGGTCCATACGGTGCGTGTTTCGTTGTTGTTGTTCAATACATCCGAAGTCTCCAATGGGGTAAAATTATTATTTCCCACCAAGTTCTAGTTAGCGCCTAGAGGCTGTATATTTCATGACCATGCTGTATCGCAGAGATCGTTTAACAGCAACAACATGAATGACACAATTACACCCAGCTTTATTGTCCCAATAACCCGGTCGGATTTCAATCTCAATACATCTAACGTTGCTGGATTCTTCGGTGGCGATGAAGCGATCGCTGCGATGTCTACTGTCCATCTCTATCGTGGACGGCGCTGGCTGGGCTGGTATAACTTGCCAGGAAGCTATGCAGTCGCCAAAAAGTTCGGGCAGCTTTCAAAATCAAGATTCTGGGATGGTCTTTTCCCTGGTCCAAATCTCACACCCGCTGAGGTATTTGGGCTAGATGGAAAACCTGGCCCTCGTTATTGGGGTGTTTTCTCGGGCACAGAGATGGCCACAGGTCACCTGGCGTACCTTATGGTACAGAAGACGAAAGACATTGATCCAGAGGCGGAAGTGGAAGGGAGGGAGACTACACCTTTGTCCGTCACCATCGTCGATGTCAGAGACGGTGTGGTGAAACACTTGGACCGGGCGCCTATGATGAGCATCCATCATGCTCTCTTGGCCGCTGTTCCCATTACTGTCAGTCTCGCAACATGCGTAATTTCTGCTCTTTCAGGAGATGGGCTAGCATTCGCCCTCATCATGTTAGGAATCATTTCAAACGGCATATCTTGCCTCGTGATGGGCACCGCCCGACTCGAATTTGCTTCCGTTAAGGAAGCCGCTCCGGGCGTACCGCCTGCAGACGGGATACTCCTCATGCGAACCGATGTAGTCATCCTCAGAGGTGCAGAGAAAGACATCGATCCGATAACCAAAGGGAATTTTGATCTGAAAATCACCGGCGGCCCAGAGTTTAGACGAATTGGACTCTGCTCGCTTCTCCTCCTCTTTCAATTCCTTCTCCAGCTCCTTCTTATTCCCCAAGCAACGACGTTCGGGCAGATCATGTTCATCACATCGCTTGCAGCTTCATGGGCATACAACTCGTTTCTAGCGTCGCTGGAGCAGGAGAAGATACAAACCGATATCCTGTTGAAAGCGCTTCATCATCCGCCCATGTTGAAAATTGCGTTGAAAAACAGAGCTGCTCAGGCAGTTTTTGCATGTTTGGTTCTTAGCGATGAGACCCGGAGGCCTCCTAATTCTGATTTCAAGCCAAAAGAGGTGTTGCAGTGTTTCATCCCGAACGAAACAAGAGTATGGAATGCATGGAGAAACAAGGTAGTGGAGGTACTGGAAAAACACGGGGAAGAAAAGTCGTTCGACCTTAACTCTAGCGATCTGTCTGGGTTTAGAGATGGCGAGAAGAAACTCCTGACGTCATTGCTTCATGACGCCCACAATGCGTATAGAGGCTATCAAAATCACATACACAAGATTCGATCTATTTCTTCGTCAAACGAGAAGCAATTATCTTAACCCGACAATTATGTTCAAACGTTCCGTGTTGTATTAAATACTTGTTGTAACATAGAGGCCATAAGTGCTAGTATAAATGAATATGTGAAGATGGAATTGAAATGACTCGAAGCCCCTCAACTTCCGCTGGATGTTCCAACTCATACCGCCATCTCCCCCATCGCTTCGACGACTCCTGACCCGATTTCACTCTTCTCCTGTGAGACCGTGGTCGACGCGCTCACACTACGGGCCCTAGGAGTGAGAAAATCGACAGCAAGCCTAGACCCTGTAGGAATCATCGGTAGCACCTGCATCGTCTTCTCTACATCCGGCCCAAATTCGGCAGGATCGACGACTTTGGGCATAGCGCGCCCGCGTCGGAAATGGTACTTGGGGCGTGTAAGAGTGACATTGGCATCGGATTGAGCACGCTTGAGGTTAGAGACCTGCGCAGACGTCGTGATACTCGTCTTTTGGGAGTGCGAGCGGAGCATGCGCGTAGGTTGTGCAGTGGGCGAAGATGCAAAAGGGAGGCGAATTACAACTTCGCGTGGGTGGGAGTTGTTTCTGGACAGACGGGCACTGCGTCGACGCTGTACATTCCCTTGGGTGCTGGTCAGGAAGTTAGCAATCTCGCTGCTGTCTGATGCAAGCAGAGGAGAGGCTGAAACGTCAAGACTCTCGAGGAGGCGTGAGCCCGACGTAGTAGTCACACGACTAGGTGGGGGTGGTGGCATTCTTTGGTGAAGCACGCCTCCTCTTTCTCAAAGGCTCCTCTTGTTCTTGCTCCTCCTTGAGAATTTCCAAGCGCGGGCGGCGCATGGCAAGTGGGCTAGAAGGAATACCGGTAGTTCGCTCGTCCGTTACACTCGAGTCGATATCCATATCCCAGGGTGCTTCATCTACTGCCGCACCCATGCTCTTTATCCGTACCGCCCTAGGTGCGGCTGGAACGGGTGGGACCGACTCTCGCGCGTGGATCCCAGTTAGGACCTCTATCGCTCCCCGGATATCTGCATCTTCCACATCATCGCCGCATACAATTTGCAGTGCCTTTGGCAGACGTTCATTGATGTTCTGAGCGACACGTACAAGTTCAGGGCGAGGCATGGTAACAAGGTCCTCATGGCAGCAGAACGGTGCACGTTGGAAGGATGTGATGATGATACTGTCGGTGGACAGAGACGCGGTCTGGAGGGCGACCGCAGGGGGAGGAGTGTATTGAAGGGGGCGACTAATTGACGGCCTTATAGTATCCGTGGAGTGCGAACGTGGACGGGAATTCATGCCGATTTGGAGCGGAGAACGCAAGAGAGAAGTTACACGCCGAATGGGAGTCTGGGATTTGGCGAGAGGGATAGAAGAGACAGGCATCGACGAGGATCTGTTGGTGAGACGCATGGTGATCACAGAGAAGAGGAAGTTGGTGGGACGCTATGAAAGCAGCCATGAAATATGACAACCGATTCGAATGGAGGCTGACTGCGAAGCATTGCATCAGACGTCGGGAGTGGTCAGCCACCAGTACTCGCAGTTCATGATGTCCTCTAAACCATCGGGATATTGGTATGTTCTGAGCCTCAGATTACGCGCATTGCTGTTGGGAATCTAGAAAGATCAAAATGATCAATGTAGGGGGCCTTCGATATCGAGAAATGGCTCAGTGCGTACCCTCGATTGGAGCGGTTGGACAGTTAGTGGGCTACTAGTGCTTATCAACTTACCCGCCGAGTACCAGCTGCTAATAGTGTTGTTCATTCTACAGATACCATTCTGGCGCGTAATGAAAGCACCTGCTTGAAAACGCTGTGCCTTCGGATGAAAATCACGTGACCACGTGGTGTATTTGATAAACTCATAAGAACGTTCGCTGTTTAGCACTAAACTCTAACTCCAGTTCGATGATAGCCAAGCTAGAAGTTGGGGATTCAATCAAAATCCGCACAAAGATACGTCGAGGTACCAGTACGCGATAAGCACACGTTCAACAACGCACGTTTTCTCCTGCCGTCACGTATGTCGAGCAAAGAGTTCATGTTCGCGGTCTGTCGATAGCTTCTTGAAAAAAAAAATCTCGCATGTTTTATTTGGCTGAGTGTATGTGTGAATAGCAAACGGCAAACAGGATGATTGATTACGATAGATGGTCTGACGTTCGGAAGGATAAATACAGTGGGGACCGCTTGCCCTCAGTTGCATTGCCATTATTACCTCACGTGATGACGTATGGTACGAGAGCGGTCACAGGGCGCCTGGGATTTAGAGGACATGGAGATACGACTCCAACTCTAAGTGTAGTCAACAAATGACTGTAGCTTCCGTGCTGTCCGAGGAGGAAACTTGAAAGCAACTAGCTTATCACCGAACGTCCGCGAAATGTTTGCTACCCCAGTTTTTAGTGCTGTAAAAATTGAACTGTTAACCAATTTCTGGGCGAGGCATAAAGTCACAAACCATCTGAAACAACAACCAGTACGTCAGAGGCCCTGGCAACTTCTAAACGCATCATCTCTTTTTCCTCCAATATTTTAGTGTCGCCTTGAGAGAGTTCATCAGGCGTCGGTGGTGTGTACTTCGCGTTCACCTCGATCTGATACTGTTCGATTGCAGATAAAAACGAGAGGAAAGCTTCGATGATGCGTGGTATGTCCCTTTGAACCACACCATACCGATCTTCGCTCAGGGAAGCACAGACGAAGTGCGATAGCGCTGTTGCTGAGTTCAATATTGCACATCAAGTATGAAAATTGGCCGCACCTTCAATAATGAGTGCATCAAGCTCCCTATTTGGCAAGCAAACTTCAACGACCTTATTCAAGCGCTCTCGATAAAACCATTTATTCCATCTGATCGCCGACTCCTTCAACCAAATTGGACAATAGCCCACAACGAGATCCCCACTACGCAATTTTACCTGTGCAATAAAGCTGGACATGACATTCGATGCAGGTTTAGCCGGGACGGCATCGGTGGAAGGGGCAGCCGCAGATGACGGCGCCACAGACCGAAAGAGCTCTGGAATGTGCATTTGGCTAGCACGTTCCTCCATTTCACCTGCCACAGCCTCAGCAGCTTTCGAGAGCTCTGAATCCGACGAAACCGAATCCAGCATACTGCTAAGAGGAGATTGTCGCGGAGCCTTGAAAATGGCCTTTCGAATCAGAGGGGTCGATGGTGGATCCTTGGGTTTGGGGATTGTTGGTGCTACAACGACAGGAGGGGTGATCGGTGCGCCGCGTCGCAGGAATGTTTGATAATCCTGTCCAAGACGGAGGAGAGATTGACGGGCTAGGACGCTCCACAAGCTCGGGCTATATTTTTGGTCACCAAATAGGGCTATTCTACGGGCGCTCCCTGCCGAGGATTCGTCCGAAGCGAGGTCTGCTAATTCAGAGTATGCAAAGTGTGCGAACACCGTGTCTTGAGTCGTAATCCCCGATACAACTGTCACATTGGGATCTGCAGTAAGGGCTCCAACTTTGATCGGCTGAAAGAGGCCTTAGAATGTAGATTTTTCGTTGCAAAAGATAATTACCTGGGGAACATACGCATCAAATAGCGACTCCGCGAACTCCCAACTCATCAGAGTCACAAAGCCCATCATAAACGATCGAACCAAAAGCGACCAGTGTAATATAGGTAGAGTTAGAGTCCATGTACCCTTTGCAAAATGTGCAACAAACGGCCGGATGATACTGCTCACCACCGGAAGCTTTAAGAGTAGTGGAAGGATAAGCATCCGCGATAAACCAAAAGCGACGCCATATAGCATCAATGAAAATGAGGTGAAGAGAGCCATTGTTAAAATCTGCTTCAGAACATTGCTCGTGGCATATGGCTACGGGTGGATCGTCAAACATGGTCCAAAAGAAAGGAAAACACTCACAAGTTCCGAGGAATTTACATTTTTCGTCCACCTGAACACGAAACGGTCCAACATGATGTTTCGAAGCAAGAAACTAGTAGCTAGCCACAACTGGGCCAGGATGAGGAAGAGCAGTCGGCCATTGAGGTAATAAGGATGTTTCCTGGTAGCCATCTCAGCATAACAATACTCGGGATATGCAACTCTCTTCCGGGCATATACAGTAAGATCACATACCTCGACTTTACGAAGACATTCAAACGAAGATTTTCACGTTCTTCCGATGTAAACGAGCTCATGTAGAGCGTGATCAGCATCAATGTACATGACATGTACACCGCCCAGCAGCGTCGCGTGCTTGGTTTTGAAATAGCATTCGTGAGTATTTTGGCTGGTGAAGTTGCCGGTGTGGCGGCAGCTATGCAATAGATATAAGACAAAAGCATCCACATAAGTTAAATTAACTCACAGGTAAGATAAACCTTCCTCATGGCAATCACGGGCAACACACCAACGAACCACTTGAGGCACGCCATCATCCAAGTTCCGGGCGAAAGCAACCTGGCGAAAGCGCTCGTCTCATCCTCTCCACCCAGAAGAATGCTGACGACTAGGGTAAATGCGGCGGAGAACACGAATATGTTGTGAGTGAGTCGTTGTCGAAGGGCGGATCTGACAAGGAGTTCATAAGTTTGAGAAGCAGATGGGACGGTCGGGGACAAGCGCGCAGTCAGTGTGGATGTTATTGCTCGTGTTCGTATAGATTCTCCCATTCCGGCAGACATCGTACGCTTGAACTATTCCAGCTCTGAGTACCTGTCGCCACAGTATAACAGTAAAAGTTGTTGGTGAAACTTTGAAAGAGACGATGGCCCGCGTTGTTGACGTTTGAAATGCACCCCCAAAAACGGCGAAGGTAATAGGGTTAGGGTCTTCAAGTTGATCCTAGCAATTCAAACACAAGTTTACTGGTATCTTCTGTACTTGAATAGACTATGATATATCCTCTTTCATTATTTTTGACATACACGCATGACTAGCTAGAAGCTTGTGTATAAGTGTATACAGGAAGTGTTGGTCAGCAGACAGCGGTTTATCCACGAGATTGCTACCCTGTTGCGGACTTGCGGTATTACCGGTCCGGGCTACTCGACTTCAATGACCTAGGAACATACTGCAAGAATAAATATGAAGCGCTAAGCAATTTTAAAGCAATCGATTCAGAGCGCTACAGACGGATTGAGCGTAAGCGATAGTGTATATATAGCGATTTGTTGGTCAATCGCTTCTTTTTGTACATGTCCAAATTCTCTCACACAAGTAGGACGTGCACACGTTCGTTTGACACGAACAACGTGCTCAGCCAAAAGTCAGTAGTAGACGCTCTTGAGCCTTATTACTAGTAGTGCTGTAGCTGTCAGAAAGCTGTTCATGGCACTGCAGGTCTCTTCACATAATAGCGTGACAGAGTCTAGGGTGATGAACCCACCGAGTCACTGAGTGGCCAAGTCCGAGTTCGTATGACTGTGTACTTTTCTCTTGACAAAAATGGGCCGGTGCATATTCGCTGATTGCCAAGGTTCGGAACCATTGACATATCGGTAAACGTGCCATAAACTGCCATTATTGGGTTCTTTAAATTTACAGCTCAATGAGCGGGAGATAAGTTGGTTCCTTCTCTCGCCCCTTCACGTCCGTGCCATGTTCGACGTGTCCATCGAGGATGCGATACCCCCTGCGTTTTTGTATTCATTTCTGGCCCTCATAACCGCTTATCACGTTTTTGCGCCTCTGTGTTCTACAGTCAAACAACGGTCATGGATATTGACCACCATCAGTAGTGCCGCGATGTCTCTAACGAGTCTACCTCTTTTCGTTCACTATCTCAGTTCGGGTGGAGATTTGACAGGGATAAGGTCGACGCCATGGACGGAGAGCACCGGCCGATTCTTCCAAGCATATCTTGTCACGTATGTCCGAGTTCTTCCTTTCCGAAGCCTGCGCTGATACGATGTCTCTATAGAGACCTATTGATGGGCGTGACTTACTATCGTAGCAAAGTTAACTTGCTAACAGGCTGGATTCACCACTCGCTATACATTGCCATCGTCGAATATACCTGCCGTATGGGCTGGAGTCATCTGTTTGCACTGTGTGCCGTGATGGAGGTGAAATTCCAATTCTCATAGCTTATCTCTCTACATATCGAGCGCGCTGAATTGATACAGGTACCTACCTTCGTTCTGGCCATGGGAAGTCTCAACTCCCGCTTCCGCTCAGACGTGGTCTTCGCATTATCATTTCTTGCGACTCGGATCGTTCTTCATGTATTTTTATGCGCATCCATGGTGGCCAGCCGGCACCACGTCACGAATGATTCATATGGCCCAGGCCTTCTCATGATCTGCATCTTCCCTCTTCACGCATTCTGGTTTTACGGGTGCCTGAAGGGATTCGTCAAGCGTGCCAAGTCCCCAAAGCCTCAGCCCGTCAGTCAAGGCACTGTTACGACATCAGGTCAGTGGCGCTACTTGTACTTTAGATGCCGTCACTTAGCCCCAGTGCCGCGCTTGTTCAGGGTTTATTTCCTTGCGTGCAAGGCCTTGGACGCTGCCACGCCGCCGTGGCACGCTCAGGCAGGCTGTCCGTGCTTGGGATAGACTCGAGATCAGAAAGGCAGCTGGACGTTTTGGAGATGTCCAGCGCCGTCTGAGAGCTTCATTACCTGCAGCGCGCGAGCATGTGTATGCTTATGTTGGATTAGAGAGGCCCCCCAGCGGAGGGCCGCAACAGACTGGTGCTGAGACGGAAACCTCTTTTTGATATAGAGAGATATTACAAGGTGTAGTGTCTTTCCTTCCTGTATACCTCGATGGTCCATGTGAGATAACTTTATACTAGACGATTTATACCCATACCCTGTAGTAATAGTATATCAGGACAGTGACGACCTTTACGACCTCTGCCTTTTATCTACCATGTTTTAGATGCCATGTACCTCTGCTTTATGTACTCATGTACTTATGCGTTTCATTGGTCATCTTCCTGAAATGCCTATACGTCTCTACAGTCATACATGGCCGCCTGGCGAAATGGCATCGCGTCTGACTACGATAGTACGGCGATCAGGAGATTGCAGGTTCGACCCCTGCGGTGGTCATTTTTGGCGCTTGTTTGTTTTGGACCAGTTAAACGCCAAACACAGAAATACAACGCGACTTAAATTGCTGGATAACTTCCGAGGCACCTACTATTCGAAGAAGATGCTTTTACGGTGCCTGTGGTGTGCGACATACCATGGGAATCTTTGACCTGCCAGGCTTGGGGCCGTCAATGGTCTTTCTTTTGGAAGGCTTACTTGCTAGTAAGAGACTAGTATCTACCCATGTCAACTTTATATTCCAGGGTTATCCGGCAACTTGATATGTTTTACTGTAAGCTGGTTTCTGAGATAAGGATCAGGAGAAGACCCTGTTGCTGGGAGCGTCGTCGTTGGTTGGGTGTATCAGGGGTTGTCAGGGTCTGTTCGAGCGTATACTATGATGTTTTTCTCTTGGTTCCTCAGGGATGTCTAGATCAATATTGATCCCCAATCTCATTCGTACCTCAAGGTTCTGGCAAAGGACAGCTCGCCGATATCTTAGAAAGCCACATTTGATCGGCGATGTTCGATATGGGCCCTGTTCGACGCACTCAGTGGGGTTACTTAGTTTATCGGAGACGCTGTTCGGCGTTGGAATAATGAATCGCACCGATAATCCCGATCCCGAAATTTCGCTTCACACTTGATCGGACGATCCTGTCCTTGTTGATCCGCAAAATATGACAAGATAGCGGAAGCGGGGCTCGCAGCGAATGCAATTTCACGACCGACGGGCATGTCGGCTTAAACGTGCAGGGACCCCTAGTAGTCGAGCTAGTACGTTCCGGGATAACTTTAGGTTTCTGTAAGCATCGTAGATGAATGAGGCCCATGCATCAATTAATCAAGGCTAGCTGACTGATTAGCGCTGATGAGATTTGGACTTGACATAACATTTAGAGGCCGTTTTGCATTAAATGACGGGGATGAATCAATTAATCAAGGCTGGTTGACTGATTTCGATTAGCGCTGATAAGATTTTGACTTGACAGCACCCTGGCGTAACATTCAGAGACCGTTTTGAGTTGACTGACGAAAGGGTCACTTGATGCAGGACCCCGGCTGCTCCCTATACTGTATGTCCACCGGTAGCGCCTCGCAAGTCCTCAAAATCACCCATCCTATGGTCCAAAACGTTGCGCCTCGGACGCCTGTAGCACATACCTCATGTCCGTCGGTAGCGCCCCGAGAGGTCGTGGATCTCGGATCGGGGTCATGCCAATTCTACACTGACCGGCGACAAAGCCCAAACAGATGTCCGGTTTCCCAAAACAGGCACTGGTTGACTACGAATTGATAAAGGGATTCACCCAGATTCACCATGTAGCTATGTTTACTGACATATGGTACATTTCTTCATGCCCCCGTTCATGCCATCTTCGGTTGGGGACAACTTGAAGGAGGAGGTCTACTATCTTCGAAATCGAGTCAGGCAGACTTTCTCCTCATACACGACTTGGTAAGTTTAGAGTCTATGAAGCACCGTAAAACTCACTGTTTACAGGTGGGAAGCAGCTAGAATGGTAGCAGTGTGCGAGATTCTTGCGTCGCAGTTCGCAGTTTGGTCTCGCAAGAAGCAGAACCGCGGGTTTGCCTAGGTACTTCAGTAGCACGGTAATATGTTTCGGAATTTTTTTCCTTTTTTGGTATGTTTTGGCCACTATGAATGTCCGAAGTGCGCCCCGCAAGCCTCAAAAGTGTTGCGCCCCGCAAGGAAAATATTGAAAATTTGCGGACATGCGGTATAGGGAGCAGCCGGGGTCCTCTTGATGCACGAATTGTGATGAGCCACATGTCTGCGCTGTACCAACCATTCTGTGTATTACAATTACTAGGAGCAGCTGTGTGTCCAGCGCGGGCTATGTGTTGTTTATAGATCGGCGTTGATGCATATGACAGCACCTGAAAATGACAATTCAGTAATGATTCTGAGAGAAACGAACGTACGTGTCAATCGGACCATAGTCCGGATTACGGAGAATTCTTGACTTGGTTTGGATAGACCAATGCAGCAACAATTGACACACTGTTATGCCCATTTTCCCTGTTGTTCAGAATAGACTGCGAAATGAACCATCGTTAGTTACACTGGATGCTCGAAGATGAAGATGTCCATCATGCCCAACGCATGGTCAATATATTGTGTGCATGGACGATATCTGTTATTATGGAGTGGACACGTATCAGTGTGAGATATTTGTGCTCTTCCAAAGCGAGAACGACTATGTAGTGCCGGTAGTCCCGAAAGTGCCCGAGTCGACCTTATTATGGTAGTTATGATGGGGAGCTTGCTGTCGGCTGTCATGCGTGTTATCAGATAAGACGACTGTCAAGCTCGGACAGGGGTGACTGTTTCGCGTCCGACTTGATCTATTGTAAGGGTCCTTGGTGAGGCACTGGTATGGCATGCGACTCGCCCAGAGATCTGGCACAGGGGGAGGGGGGATAAGCCGCCCAACTTGAAGGTGATATCGATCGCTTGTTCATTTACTCCAAAAGATGCGCAAAGGTCAGAGAACCGCGGCGCTAAGCCATGAGCATGTGGATGTGATTCTTCCATCCAGTACTCTTTCCACGCCTTTAATGCACTAGTGGTTCCATAAATTTTACGGTGACGGATATCAGTCTTCTGCAAAGGACGGATTACTGAACTCTGTGGCTTGGTAACTATGCAGAACAACGAGCAGAACGCCGTCTATGAGTGTCAATGGATCGAGGTCGGAGGTCGTCGCCAAGATGCAGTCGTGTACTTTAAAAGTGTCGCGGAGTGCCAATTATGTAGAGAACTTCCATCTCAGTTGTTATCTGATAATACTCGTATTTTTTCCAGGCACTTCGGTATACATATCTGACTTATTCATTTCATGTGGAGGTCGACTATAAAGGGGGACATGCTTCCAGGGTGGTCTGACAACTCGGTGCGAGTTTACTTGGGCCCTCTTCTTCCTTCATGGCTATCACCGACAAGTCCCTGCGAGCCGCCCGCAACGATCTCTACCCGAAGCAAGCGTGGTATTGCATCGCACTCTTCATTTTCATCATTGCAGTTTTCCAGTGGTTCTCTTTCCTTCACTCCAAGTTCGCCTCCAGTCGTCAAACCTCCAACGCCTCCGACACAGAACATGCCTCTGTCAACCGTCGTCACGCTTTTTCTTGGCGTCGCATTCCGTTAGGACTCGTCAATGCATATCGCGTCATTTCTTTCCGCTGGACATTCCAATTTGGGAAGTCGTACACCCTCAACATGGCTGAAGTCTTTGTGACAATTGCATACATTGTTTTTCTTTTTGTATGGACATTTGTCGACAGTAAGTTCCCCCGCGATGACACTTGCATATTCTGAGAAACTTTCTAGCAACCGACCTTGAAGGACGCGCATTGGACATTTCATACTGGTGCAACCGCTCGGGCTTGCTGGCGTCGAGCCAGTTTCCACTAATCACTGCACTTGGAACTAAAAACAACATAGTATCATGTACGACTTATGAACTCATATCTTAACTTGCTGTGCTGACTGCCTGCAGTCATCACCGGTATCAGCTATGACAAGGTAAATTTGTTCACTATATGCGTCGTTGCTTTAAATGTTCTAACGTGATTTTTCTTCAAGCTCAACTACGTCCATCGTATGATGTCTAGGGTCGCTTTCGTCTTACTCTGGGTCCATGTAGGCGGTGAATTTGTTCGACATGCACCGTACGTGCGACGTGCATAAATAATGCAATACACTAACACGACGCAGATTGCAACCATATCTCTCGCAGCCGTGGCTCCTATGGGGCTTGATTGCCATGGTCGCATCTGCAGTTCTATGCGTCGTCTCCTTGCGCCCCATACGAGCGCAATCATACGAGCTTTTCTTCTACGTTCATTTTTCTATGGTTGCGTGAGCTCATTCCAGTTTCATCGCTTTTGTAAAACTCACAATGTTTTTCAGAATCTTTCTCGTCGGTGCTTACATCCACACACAAGATTCCGAGTGAGTCTTATCAGATAAAAAACCCAAGTATTCCACACTAATGATCACCAGTGTCGCCTTCTGGATTTATCCTTGTTTCATAATCTGGGGATTGGACCGCCTCATTCGCTCTGTTCGTCTAGTGGTTTTTAACCACTCATACTTCGGGTTCAAGTCGGGGTCTACGATGGATGCGACCGCTGAACTCCTATCAGATGATTTTGTTCGACTGCGTTTCCATCGCCCGTCTCATTTCCACTGGACGCCTGGGCAAACTGCCTATCTTATCATGCCGTCCGTTTCATGCTTGCCATTCGAGGCCCACCCTTTCACCATTGCAAGCCTGAATTCGACCCTTTTCGATGTGCCCAACGAACGGAAACCAACAAGCGAAAAACGTGCTGCGATTAGCTTCGCGGAAGGGACTCTTGGTCGTAGTGCTCCGTTCTGGAAAGAACTCGTGTTTTTCATAAACGTGAGGGAGGGATTCACTGCACGCTTGAAAGATGCTGCCTTGAAAGGCGATAAAGTAAAAGTCTTCGTCGATGGGCCATATGGGCCTTCTCCTAACCTGGGTTCATATGACACATCTGTGCTCGTTGCTGGTCAGTTGCCGGACTCTTCACAATGTCAGACATTGCTCATGCCTGTCTCACTTTTAGGTGGATCCGGAGTCTCGTATACGCTGCCGGTATTGTTGGATATAATAGAGTATGTCGACTGGATTACCGATTCTGCATATTTAACGTGGTTTTTTGTTCAGGCGCGTCCGCATCGGTGAAAGCAGATGCCGTCGTGTTGTTTTCATCTGGTCGATTCGGAATATCGGTAAGAACCGTCAATCCGAGGCTTGTGGCAAGGCTAATTCAACTATTCTCACCAGATCATATTCACTGGATCGACGATGTTCTTATCCGGGCACTCCGGCTGGCACCTCCTTCTTTATCCATCTCAATCCGCATTCACGTCACTGGCGCACCAGTAACTATGGAGACCTTGCCAGCATCGTATGGTCGAAATGATGACGTCGAGCCTGCGCGCGACGATTCCCGCTCTGAGGTGGTGGAGTTGCAAGATGGAAAAGCCACAGAAATCAGAAATGACTCTCTTTTCGCCATAGATTTCGTCAAGCTTGCTCATAAAAGGGCCGACCTCCGAGCTATCCTCAGAGATGAAGTGGAAGCGGCGACGGGTAGAATGTCCGTCAGCGGTCAGTCCTTGCCTCCATACGCTGCAGATTATGGTGACGCTTACTCCGTTTTTCAGTGTGTGGCTCACAGAGCATAACTCGATCTGTTCGTGGTGCTCTTCGGTTCCCTGTTTCTAGCCCTCTCAGTGTAGCCAACGGTGGGCCGAGCGTGACTCTACATATTGAGTCGTTTGGTTATGCTTGAAACAGGGGTCTACCTTGAAACAGGAGATATGTTGTATGCCCATACGTTTCAAGCGATTCTGACTGATCCCGGAAAAGACGAATTCGCTACTGACTGCAGTCGATGCATTTCTGTATTGGAATTATATCCTCATAGATTGTTTTTTTGTGCCCAATTCTGCGATGTAGTCGACTTGTGCTCGGAAAGGTGCCCCTGCTCGAGCTTTAGTGTAACATTACCGAAGGAAAGAAACAGTGGTTGTTGCATGCTTCACATGCAAAATAATGCTAGCTCAGCTTATCAACTGGACCAAGGGGAATATCTCGTACGACATCACAGATGTTAGCACAATCCCTGAAGGTAGGAGCCCGGTAAACCGATATCGCTACGCGCGTGCAACTATCATCAGCACGCTCGTATGGCTATTGCTGTGATTGGTAATGACCACAAATCCACCCGGCGATGCAGACATAGATGATACAGGCATTTGTTAGGGATGACCTACTTGCATAGTTTCGTTCTGATGGATACCAGGTAGTGAGGGGAAGCATGTATTCGTATCGGTTGTCTTAGCTGCAGTGGGTTATTATAAAGTTTTAAGGCTGCTACTCACAGATACTTTCATTTCACGAGTCCTGTGCATGCGACTCTGGCATGACGAGAATCCCATGTCGCTCGCTCGAGCCTCGAAGTTACAGTAGGTTTTTTTGCTTGACGGGTGTCCTCAACGATATAGCGGACTGCTGGCCAAGAATATGTTAAGGACAGGGCAAGTCTAGAGTCAGAATCAGAATCACCTGAAGATGTTTTTAGTTTCATAGCTAGGCAGTCCGTCGACTTTTACATGCGCTCGCTGCTTGTAATATTAATGTGTCGGGTTGGTACTTGGAGACTACATAGTAGATCATCGCGTCATTCCGGATCATGCACCAATCGGACTTCTAAATAACTCACGGCAAATCGGCACCGTAACCCGTGACTTGTGTTGAGCCGTTGACAGATTGATCCTTGCCAAGTACTACTGGTACTGTTTGCCGCACTCTTTGTATCGGAACAAATTCAATGTGCACAGTTATAAACTCATGCAATGCGGTGTCATCGTCTGACAGCAGCTGTAGGTAACGTCCTTGTCAAACTTTCTAAGGGCGGTGACATTCAGACAGTGCTTCGCAATAGGCTGCACGAATTCCTGTGAAAGTCTGGCTCATGTGGAATGCCCTGCGCTCAGTCCTAAGCGCTCAGCCTCGCAGCATTATTCATTGTGTTGGCTAGTTTCAATCTAGAATGCGCGTCTACAAATTTCACGCACACTGACAACGAGGCTCACTGACAACGAGGAGGCCGGGTGGCTCGGTATTTTGCGAGTCGCTTCTGTCCTGTGAACTCATTGTGGGTGCTGTGTGCGTCCTGTACTGAGGCTGGCTCCCTTCTCTATAATCCTTCAGGAAGTCAGGTACTGCAGTGTTTCGTGCCCCCCAGCAAACGTCTTATTCTCAAGTATTAGTTTAGATCTATCCCTCAGCCATCGTTATGGCCCGTCGTCGACGTGTCACCGTCGAGTCTTCAAGCTCGTCAGAATCAGACTCTGATTCTGACTTTTCTTCAGCCTCATCGTGCAAACCGTCTCCTACTCCTTCAGGAGAGAAATCTGCTCCTAGTACCGAGCCTTTGGAAGGGAAAAAGCGTAAGCGTAAGTCGTCAAACAACAAGACGAAGAGTTCAAAGCGTCCTCGGTCGTAAGTCGTTGTGTTTTACAGCACATGTATGGAGTTAATCTCGCATTTTCAGGCAAAAAAGAGGCGAGTAAGCATATGAAGCACTGATCATATGAATACATAACAATATGCGTTCTTCGATGTTCACTGTGACACGACTAACAGATAAATTTTGTATTACTAGAATACTGGGGGGGGGGAATGGAATGTGTTTGGATAGGTTCTGATGTGGAGATAGCTTTTGGGCGAGGGCGCGCAGCGCTTTCCGGCCCCGAGGAGTGCACCTAAGAGAAAAGGGAGGTGAGCTGCGATTCCCAGATGTTTAGGAATTCGTCGACGCATCCAGCGAAACTCGTGGTTGTCTCGGATACCCCGTTTTAGGAGACGGACGTGGAACACTCACAATGGTTTGCCTTTCGATCATTGCCAATGCTTAGCCCCCGCGAACTGGGGGTAAGGTGTAGCGGAGAAACTGGTCCTGTAAGGATGGGACAGCTTGCATGTAGGGCGCTAGGATTTGAGCGTGACGGCGAAGGTACTTGAGAAAAGCGTCGCTTGCCCAACGACCTTTGACTTTAACGACGTCGAAAGGAATATTTCGAAGGAGGTATTCGAGGGTGGAACCTATGCGGATTCCATGTCCTTGTAATGGTTCCCGCCCTGCTGCTCTGGTTGCTGACGCTAATCTTTGCGTGAGTTTTGTTTTCGTTAGTGGTCTGTATGAGTCCTTGTGGCGATATGAAAACAGTGCGCTGTCGACGGGAAAGTCGTTAATGGCCATGTGGTTCAGAAAAGCTGCCTCTGGGTCTGAATGTCCTGATTGCTTGGCCCAGTGCACATCCTCTCCTTCTAACGAAGTTTTCGTGCGGGGCAAATGGAAATTCTTGGTAAGGAGGTTTTGTCGATCGCGGACGTCTGTCACGTTGGCAGGAGTTATGTGCAGGGTGGGGTTGAAAGCGTCTAGGCGTGGGACTGTGAATTCTCCCGCCCTCGCTGTAGCATAAAATGCGGTGGTGAGGCACGCGAAGACGGCGGCGTCCACGAGGTTTGATAGATTGAGTTGCTCTCGAATGGCTATGATGAGTTCTATTGTGTACGGTTCACGTTTGCTGCGTCTGGCTGTCGCGGGGGTCATGGATAAGCTCGCTTTGAGGAGGGTGTCGATTTCCATGTCGTTTAGTTTCCTACGCCATGCAAGACATGCCACGCGCGGACGCCGTAGACATAGTTCGATATAGTCTTGCCGGAATAATGACCTGCCATGCAGGATATGAATGAGGAAATCAGGATGTGACTTGCGGGGGCTCTCTGATCCTCTGGGATGCTTTTGCTGTTGCAGAAAACATGGAAGATGAGCAGCCCCGATCCATACAATTTGTGCGTTCCCTCCGCGTATCTGTGGATCATAACTTCTCGAATGCGCTTGATGTCAGAGGGGGTTAGAGGTAAGACCTGTCCCTGCGCGTCTCTTATTGAGCGCGGGGATGTGGGCTGCCACAGGTATAGCCTGTCCTTAGCTGGGCAATGCGGACGTAGCGGTGATGGCATTGGGCTTATGTCGCTGTTATAGGAAGGTTTGCGACGCTTGGAGGAGTTCCTCCCCTCTTCGTTCGAGTTCGCGATTGACAAGTGCACGGCGTTTGTACTCGTCGTCTCCAAGTTTTTCGACCATTGTCGGAAACGGTTGGTACGTGCTGGGTGCGCTAGCCCCGTGGAAGGTGCGGTGATTGAGTTCGTTGGTGGGTATGTCGGAAATGAATGCTTGCAATTCCCTTGGGATTGGGATTTGGGGGAGCATGTCAGATGCGGGGGGATATATTCCCCGTGACGGGCCGTCAGCGGGGTTATCTTTACTTGGGACGTATCGAGTAAGGATTGTACACTTGGCATTGGCAGCGAGCGTGTGGATCCGCTTGAAGACTTCATTACAAGCTCGACTTCTACTGCACCCCTTCCACCATCCTTCAACGACGCCTCTGTTGTCGCCATAGACTTTGAAATGAGTTCTGGGGGGAGCAACCGCGATGGTGGTCCGAACGAGGAGCTCGAACCCAATGCTCTCTGCCCAGCCGATGTCGCGCCCATCCCTTTTCCAACCAGGTACGAGTTTCCACGCTCGCCATCTCCCACTGATGACGATTCCGATTCCGTGACCAGAGCTAGCGTCCGAATAGGCAAGGGGGTCATGGAGGATGCAGGGTCCTGGTATTGGGCGGGCGATAAGGCTGGGACTGAGGGTTGTTTTCCACCACTCAATGTCTTCTGGGGTGCTACGAGGGGGGGTTCGTGGTGTGTGCGGGCGGTCTTCAAATATGCCCAGCATGCTTTCCAAGCTGGTGAGGTAAGCTCGTCCCATTGGGACCACGAGGCAGGCGTGCAACAACTTGCCGTGCAGTTTTTGTACCTCATGGAGGGTGTGAGTCCGCTTGGATTGCCACACGGCGATAGCCTTGAGGTATTTCGTCTGCTTGTGGCTTGATAATGCCATGGTACATTTGGTAAGGTCCCAAACGAGTCCGGTGAAAAGTGGCTCGCTGCTGAAAGGGTGGTCTTTCGATATTTTCCATATGATCCCCAGTAGATAAGAATAAAAATCAATGTCGTCGAAGCAGTATGAGAACTGAGCGTCCTCGAATGACCGTGGGGATCGTGAGGATAAATCTTGAAGGGGGAACAGCATGTCTTCGTCGAATTCTTCGACACTGCCGTCCGGTCTGGTGGCCCCCTTATACCATATGCGGCCTCCATCAGTGATGGGCCCTCCGTTCTTCTTGATTTCATTTGCGGCAAGTACACGATGTCTATTGTATTCTTCCAGGTACTCTTTCCTAATACGTAAAAACAGGTGGTCATCGACCCATTTTGAAATGGGTCCGATGCCCTTGCTTCGTAGGATGTCAGATCCTGCGTCGGCCACATTTCCGTAAATTCCTGTGGAGGGGCCGAATCCAAAGCACAGGGCTGTATCGATTGCAAATGCGTCATCCCCCGGTAAGCGTATGGCCAGGCCAGGCCACTGCGAGTGGTGGAGAGGAATTGTTCTGTATGCCTCTGCCACGTCTCGCACGGCTCCTTGCGAGCCGGGAGGTAGGCTCCAGATTGCTTGGCAAATGGTGGGAAAAGTTCCGTATGTACATGGAAATAAGTCGGAGTCGACTCTGGAATTAATTGATCTAATGGAAGGTAATGGGCGAATCAGGAAAGAGAGGTTTTGAACCAGGCGGAATTCGCCTGGTTTGCCTGGTTTGGGAACCAGGGACAAGGGGGCTGTCTGGAATTCGCCGACAACGGACTTAAGTTCTTCAGCGCTAAAAGGGCCGATGAAACGACCTTTGGAAAATTCACATTCCACAATGTTCCAGAACGCAGCCACATTCTCGTTAATGGTGGGGCTATTGGCGGGGGCATATGTACATGTAATTGGAGGGATTCCTCCGGAAAAACCGCTGACCATGCATCTAGGTATAGATGGGTATCTACTAAGGAGGTTTGTCTCTTCGAGGAGACATTGCCACTCGCTGGCCTTGTACGGGGTGCACACCTCATGCTTTCTTGACTCGAGAACATTTCTGCGCGCCATGGTCTTTGCCTCCACAACCTGAGCATTCGTGGGATGATTCGTGGTTTGGGGCTGCGCAGCTCTCAGGGCACTGCCATTTGTAGCAGAGTGGGAGACCTTGAGGGTTGACAATTCGACCGTCTTGCGTTCGACGGCAATGGGCGTTGGATCCGTCCCAGAGGTTGCTGGCGTTGCAGTGACGAATGTCGTGTGCAAAGCAGCCCAAACAGATGGCGCAGGCTGAACGGCCATGTGAGCCTGCGCTGTGAGAAAAACCCTCTCGACGGTTCTTGTCGTGGGTGTTGTCTGGTGAGGATGATCTGCCCTTCTGGGCTTCTCCCCTGCGGACGGGCGAACGTGAATGTGAGTTATGGTTCCGTTGGTTGTTGCCTCGCGTGTCGCGATAGCTCGACTTCCGGAAGCTGCTCTGGTAGGCGGGTGCATCTTTGTTTGAAGGCTGTGTGATGGACAGGTGCGTCGTCCGCGTGAACATGTGTGCAGGTGTCCGCAGGATTGATGTCGCAGGCATCCGCGTGAGCATGTGTGCGGGCATCCGCAGGATTAACGTCGCAGGCATCCGCGGGAGTGACATCGCGGGCATCCACGTACGTGGGTTGTAGGTGAGTACGAGAACATTGTATGGGTAAAGAGGGTTATATGGTTAGTTGATGCTTTGGATGAGGGGGGTGCGAAACGCACCATGGCCAGGGTTCGGGATCGTACTTTATCCCATAATTCTTCGCTAATTGTGCATAGAAGGGTCTCATTCAGGTTTCCGATGTTGAAGCCTTCGTCTCGCTTTAAACAGTTATGCCAGTCGTGACGTACCCTTGAGGCGTAGTTGAGGATCACCATGTCTCCGATGTCGCTGTGGTTGCGAACCGCGTGGTTTTCGAGGTGCCAGTAGAAAAGCGAGAGAGCGTCGATGTGGGTTTGGGGCCACTTGGCCTGGCTGATTTGCACGAGGAACATGTTCTTCGCTCGTAGGAAAACCGAGAACGGCAGGTCGTGATCTGCTAGTGCTGCCTTCAAGGCTTTGAAGGCTGACGCTGGACAAATGGTGAGCTGGTCGTCCACCTTGGTTAGACCGTAGTCGTCCGCGACGGATCTCGAAGTCTTGAGGGCTTCCTTGCATCTGTCGGGGGAGAAGTACCACAACTCTACGTATTCAAAGTTAGTGAGCTTTTGAACTGCGTATTGGGAGGGACGGGGAGCCAGGAAGTCTCCTACTGTTGAGGCTTCCTTGAATCCATTCATTTTCGGTTTCTTCTTCTCTGCCTCTGCGCGCTCCCTCTGCGCTTCCGCCTCCTGTAGGGCGTGCTCTGCTTCTTCTTGCGCTACGCGAGCTCTCTCAGCGTTGGCGACTGCAAGTGCCTCGTTCTCTTGCTGTTGTTCCCATGCAAGTACTCTCTCTTCGTGTCCTGCGTTCCAGGTGTCTACTAAACGGTCTATGACTTCTTGCTCTGTTTGACCTGTGGCTGCTATTAAGTCGGTGCGTATGCCGGCGTAAAGTGCGCCTGCGAATTCTGGGCATGTTTCGGTTGTTGGGTCAACCATGATAGATAATGTGTGGGTATGGGGTGAATTGGTTTTGTTTAAAGGTTCTTAGGTGTGGTTTTTGTTCTTAGAAAAAAGAAATACGAGGAGGAGAGTGAACTACGCAGCGACGAACGATGGTCGCGGCACGGGAACAAGAAGCGGTGCCGCGCCTTCCGTTCGATCGAAGACCTTACTCTATTCTTTCTCTCGTGCCTCGTTACATAATAGAGTCCCAAATTGTTTAGTTAGGAGCCAAGCCTACCCAGGACACGCCCAGGACCTGGGAGAGATACCCTTGAGCGAAATGCAACAAGTCTTCATTACTAGTATGCGATATCAATCTATGTTTAGCATATATTGACGATTTCCAAGCCATTCGCGCGACTGATCTTACCCTTGGTCTCCAACGGATCCCCGCTGGGTTCCATGCGGTGGTCAAGGCTGACGGTGCTGAATAGCAGACAAGCAATAAGTTTGTACACGTAGATCAACCTTTGGTCGAATGGCACGAGCACATTCTTCTGTGAGTGATCCTTAACCCCGTCTGTCCTGCATGTATTGAGAAAGACTCGAGGCCATGCGAGCCATCTTCTAAAGTCCAGGTCAGCGTGTATGCCTCATTTGAAATGGGTCCCATGGTCTGTCATGGAGAACACCTGCGCACGTTCGAGATCTCTGTCAGAGAACTACTGGATTGCAGCGAAAAATCGGATCGTCAGTATTGTCTATTACAAGTAACGCCTAAAAAATGCTAACGAGTATCACAGCCATAATGTTGGCTCCAAAGGAGGAGGAAGTCGTATCCGCTTGTACTTCACTGACCATGACAGTGGAGCAACGACTGCCTGATCAGAATGATACCGCAGGTCTCTGCCCCCTTACTACCGTGAGCGATTGATCCGGTCGGGGACTCCGATGCTGAGACGTGTAACATGTAGTTTACATCCCGCGATATGGATTCGCTAGCACTAGAGACTGATGCCGGTCATAGTCTTCTCGCACGATACCGCAGGACGCAGAACAGTGGGGATCTCGACCAATCCATAAACCACTTTGAACGCGCGTTGGATCTATGTCCCGTGGACCATCCCTACCGCCCTGCAGCACTCTTCAATCTAGCCACCGCAAAGTTCCTTAGCTGCCAAGCTAATGGAATTTACCTCGACGTCGACATTCCTATCTCTCTTTTTCAAGGTGCCCTTGATTCGCGTCCCATGGGTCATCCAGACAGACCTACCACTCAACTCCATCTTGCCATTTCTCTGCTCTCTCGCTTCGCGAAACACGGCTTTCAAACAGATGCTGACACAGCTGAAGAGTTACTGAGCGAAGTCCTCGATGTCTGCCACTTCAACAGCCACATCTATAGAGCAGCTTTAATTACAATTGAAACATCTGCTCTGCGTTCTGCCGAAAACATTGAAGCAAATGATTTTGAGCAAGAGCGGCGGGCAGCATCTGTGCTTCCTTCATCGCTGGATCAACTTACTGATCGAGCAGAGCAGTGTTTGCAGAGAGATGAACCCCATGAATTAGATGAAGTGATATCCCTTTATTTTGACGCACTGGGGTACTACCATGGCGGACATTGTCGTCGAGCGCAGCTGCTAGGTAATTTGGCGCTCATGCTGGAAACTCGCTTCCAGCACGGAGGCACAAGCAAAGATTTGGATGAGGCTATCGTACTTGACAGGGAAATGTTGGCCTTGCACCCCGTCGGTCACCCAGATCGGTTCATGCCATTAAATAACCTCGCAGCTCATCTCTCCTCCCGCTTCAAGCACCGAGGCAACGAAGAAGACTTGGATGAGGCTATCGTACTTCATACGGAAGCGCTGGCTTTGTGCCCCGTCGGTCATACAGGTCGGTCCATATCATTAAATAACCTCGCGAGGCAACTCTCCTCCCGCTTCAAGCACCGAGGCAACGAAGAAGACTTGGATCAGGCTATCGCACTTCATACGGAAGCGCTGGCTTTGCGCCCCATCGGTCACGTAGATCGGTCCATGTCATTAAATAACCTCGCGTTTCTTCTTTCTTCCCGCTTTGAGCACCGAGACAACGAAGAAGACTTAGATGAGGCTATCGCACTTCATACGGAAGCGCTGGATTTGCACCCCGTCGGTCACACAGATCGGTTCATGCCATTAAATAACTTCGCGGTTGATCTCTGCTCCCGCTTCAAGCACCGAGGCAACGAAGAAGACTTGGATCAGGCTATTGCACTTCATACGGAAGTGCTGGCTTTGTGCCCCGTCGGTCACACAGATCGGTCCACATCATTAAATAACCTCGCGCTTGATCTCTCCTCCCGCTTTGAGCACCGAGGCAACGAAGAAGACTTGGATGAGGCTATCGCACTTCATAAAGAAGCGCTGGCTTTGCGCCCCTTCGGTCACGCAGATCGGTCCATGTCATTAAGCAACCTTGCGATTGATCTCTCCTCCCGCTTTGAGCACCGAGGCAACGAAGAAGACCTCGACGAGGCACGAGAGAATCTCCGTTGTGCATTGAATCTGCTGAGCCAACATGATCCTCATCGACTATCAATCCATGAATCGCTAGCCAGTGTCTATCTATCATACCATCGTTCAGGGCTTGACGACATTGGTGCGGGCGAAGGTACGGACAGCCTCGATGTTGCTATGCATCACTTCAAGACAGCAGCAAATATTGTCTCTGGAGGCCCGCTATCCCGCCTACAAACAAGCTTCCGCTGGGTTCGCTATGCTGAACAACACAGACATGATACTCAATTGGAGGCTTATGAGACTTCAGTATCCTCTCGTCATAGGGCCATGAAGGACTTCCCACTGGCACTTGCCGTGGATGCTGCATCGTATGCTCTTCGTAGCGGTGACGTGCGTCGCGCCGTTGAGTTGTTGGAACAAGGCAGAACTATCATCTGGACCCAGATGACACGACTCCGCATGCCTGTTGACGGTCTCCAGACACGCAGTGATCATGCAGCGGCCCTCTTGAAGAGGTTCAGATACCTTAGCTCCCTCCTCGATAAACCTCTCACGAGCCTTCCAGAAGGAACCCTAAAAATCGACGTAGAAGCAGAAGAAACCCGGTACAGACGTCTAGTGAAGGAGTGGAACAGCGCTGTAGAAGAGATCCGGAACATCGAGGGCTTGTCTCGCTTCCTCCTCCCCCCCTTATTCTCCGATCTTCAAGATGCAGCTCGTGATGGGCCTATCATCGTGCTCATTGGAAGCAAGTCGTCTTTCTATGCCATTGTCATCCCACACAAGCAAACTCCGATCAGCATCCAACTCTCTATCAGCGTTGAGAAGCTCCAAATATTGGTGGACAAACTCCACCGCACAGATAGTCCAGCACTTAAAAAAGCCTTGACCGAGTTGTGGGATGACGTCGTCTGCCCGGTGGTCGAGAATCTGGACGGAATTGCACCACGAGGATCTCGAATATGGTGGTGCCCGACATCTGTCTTCAATTTCTTGCCGTTGCATGCTGCTGGCGAGTACAGGAAACAAGGGCGGTTCCTTTCACATCTCTACATATCTTCATACACGCCATCGCTCACCGCGCTGATCAAGGCTCGCAGAAGTCATGAAAGGTCCCCATCGGTGCCCTTCGTTGCGATTGGTCAGAATCGCCCAGCCGGTGCCACATTCACTTTGGATGCTGTGGAGCCTGAACTGGAATTGGTGCGGAGCCTTCTGCCCCCTCCCCCAACTATTTCGTTTTCCAAGATCACCAGTGTTGATGCCACAAAATCGAGAGCACTGTGCGCATTGCGAGACAATACTTGGCTCCATCTTGCGTGTCACGGGACACAGAACATTGCCGAACCCTTCAAATCGGCGTTTCTTATGCGCGATGAGCCGCTTTCGCTCCTAGACATCACACAAACAGATCTGTCTCGGCATCAATTTGCATTTCTTTCTGCCTGCGAGACCGCAGTGGGTGACCGTAATACTCTTGATGAAGTGATACACCTAGCGGCTGGCCTGCAGTTCGCCGGGGTCAAGAGCGTCATTGGAACATTATGGAAGGTCAACGATAGTACGGTGGAGCGCTTAGTCAAGGCATTCTATAAACACTTTTGCGGGGATGGCACGGTGAACTCAAAACGAGCTGCCCGGGCGCTGCACCGAGCGGTGTATTCGCTAGGTTCTGACCAAGACATACCTTTGAACCAGCGCATATTGTTCGTGCATATTGGCATATGATCGATACCGTAGGTCTTCGCATCTTGTTGATCAAAGTACTGTTGGATTTAGATTATTTAGATTTCCTTATCGAGTTTCGACTCGGAACGAGCCGATTGTGGCTTAAACTTTATTTCGCCGTGATTACATACAGTAGCGATATTTTTGTATACCTTACGCGTTTTCAACAAATTCACCGTGCTACCTGCTGCCGAAAATTCTATAAGTACTCTTGACGACTTTGCGTGTAGCATCCAGTCATGGCCACGCAAAACTTGTTGCCAAGGACTTTGATATTTAAGACTTTGAGACTGTATACCTACACGATATGCACATCCAATTACGATTTGAATTTAAATTTTGTAGTTTATCACCTCGGAGCCAGATGTGGTTGTGCACTCAGGCTGATGATTTGTGGGTAAGATTGAAGTCGCACAACAGTGATCTGGCATAACACCTTCAAGTTGTGCAGCAAGGATGATCTCCTGTTGATGTTGAGCTTGCGTCATTCAATGTACGATCCTGATTCGAGCGTTCGAGATTCTGCTCAGGCTATGCATATTTCATCAACATCGGCCAGGATCACCAGAACAAGTTTGTTAGAGCTACCTGATAATCTATCTTCTATCAAATTCCGGCTCATCTATCTATAAATCTATAAATCTATAAATCTATAAAGTAAGGGAGAACGGTGGCGGGAAGGGACGGACGCTCGCGTGGTTTCCGCTTGCACCGCGTAGATACGCTTAGATTCGCTAAACGCCATGTGGTTTCGCTTACCTCGCTTAAAGCTCGATTTGGAAACTCGCGTGGCATCACGTGCGTCTGCTGCCCGTTAGGGCAGCACTCATTGAAAAACATTTATTATTTACGAAATTCAAATCATAATAAATTTAACTACATTAAGAAAAAAATTTAAGAAGAAAAGACAATTGAGAAATGAGAATGGGGAAAATTGGAGAACAGGAGAATGGAGAACAGGAAAACAGTGAAAAAGGGAAAACAGATGAATGGGAAAAAATAGAAGAATGGGAAAACAGGAGAAGTGGGAGGATGCCAAGAGGATGGGAGGAGGACAACAGGATGGGAGGAGGACAACAGGAAGGGAGGACGACAAGAGGACGGGAGGACGACAAGAGGACGGGAGGACGACAAGAGGACGGGAGGACGACAAGAGGACGGGAGGACGACAAGAGGACGGGAGGACGACAAGAGGACGGGAGGACGACAAGAGGACGGGAGGACGACAAGAGGACGGGAGGACGACAAGAGGACGGAGGGACGACAACAGGACGGGGGGATGACAAGAGGATGGGAGGACGACAGGATGGGAGGACGACAGGATGGGAGGACGACAGGATGGGAGGACGACAGGATGGGAGGACGACAGGATGGGAGGACAACAGGATGGGAGGACAACAGGATGGGAGGACAAGTGAGATGGGATCAACACATTCAATTTTACTTTTACTTTTCTCATCTGCACAGAGAACAGGGAAACAGGAGAATGGGAAAATCAGAGAAATTATGAGGGGAACATAATTTGCTACAAAGTGCTTTGTAGCACTGTAGCGCAGTATGTCCTGCTGAGAACAGGAGGGTTCAATATATCTGAATGTAACATATCATGCTCAACTTGATGAATACAATATAATTTATTTCAAGACCTAAAATAATTATTAAAATACCCAAAGTAGGATGAAGCCGAAGGCCAGGAAGCCAACAAAGAGCGCGAAGCGCTCTTTTTGCTTCCTGTGCCGAAGGCACAACGGGTGTGTGCTAGTCTATAAAGTAAGGGAGAACGGTGGTGGGAAGGGACAGATGCTCGCATGGTTTCCGCTTGCACCGCGTAGATACACTTAGATACGCTTAGATTCGCTAAACACCATGTGGTTTCACTTACCTCGCTTAATCCTTACTTTGGAAATCTCGCGTGGTTTTCTCGCTTGAGTTTGCTAATGGTGACTACGAAAAAATCTTAATTCAGAATTTCGAGAGGTAAATTTCCACGGTGTCCAAAAATGCTGCCAAACACGATATAGTGGACAGTGTTCTGCACGCCTACTGCGCTGCGCCCATAATACGGACAAACAACTCACTTTTCCTACTATAAGGGAGCGAGCATCGAGAATAGCAAAAGCATAACAGATTTGGGTTACACAATTGGTTACATAATTTGGTGACACAAATCATTACACAATTGGCTGCTGCTTTTGTATAGAATTCTCGAATTAAATTGCCCTCCCCCGCAGCCAAGTGTAACAAAGTGTGATACACTTTTTGTGGGTTTTGATTATTATCAACAAAGATATAAATGACTTATTGATGGGCTCAGGCTACTCAAATTTTACACTTGCTAAACAACCATTTAAATATCAAACATGGACGGAAATATGCCCATTCTGTGAGTTGCTGACTATATATTGCTACGTGCAAGGTGCATGATGCTAATGTCTGCACATGCTATTTAGATATCATGAACATATTACCCCGGAGCGCGAGTGTCACTCCCAACGTGAACACGATAGAGTCAATTGCCTCCAGATGACGTCCCCTACCAGGCGCAATCGTCGACATGCTGCTCATGATAGGCCTGCCCCTCATGTACCACAGCCAAATTTTATGCCAGCTAATGAACCTCAAGCAGGGCCTGTTCCACGACCTTTTGCATGACAGCCTCCTCCTCACTTTCCATATGAACCACTACCAGTTGGGCAATATCCTGGCTTGCCACGTAATGCCATTGCGCATGTGCAACGTGCTCATCAGCACCCTCCTGTTGATTATAATGCATGCCTGAATGAGCAGATGAATGCAGCTCATAATGATAGACGCCGCCAGCGCAACCGTCGTAGGCAACAGGACAGAGAGGAGATAAGAGAGCAGGCACAGGCAGAGCTAATGGCAGCTGGGATGCAGCCCATGCAGGTACCTCAGGTCCATAATGAACCTGCTCAACCTGCTCCTGCTCCTCCTGTATATGGTGCTATTCATTATGAGGGCGCAGTTGGTCCTCACAACTTTGACAATCCTCTTCATTACTTTGCGCCTAATCCTGCACTGCCTTTGCATGGACCGCCTGAACCTGATTATCATCAATTTAATATTCAGTTTCAACACCATTTACAGGCAGAGCAAATGGACAATGAGCGCATTAGAAATGACTTGCTTCAAAGGCAAGCACAGGAGGAATTTCGACGACGTCAAATTCAGCTACAATTGCAACAACAAGAAGCTGAGAGGATCAATAGAGAGGCTCAATGGCGGCATGAGGAGGCTCTTTGCCTGCAGCAAGAAGCTGAGAGGATCCAAAGACAGGCTCAATTGCAGTATCAAGAGGCTCTTCACCTGCAGCAGCAAGAAGCCGAAAGGTTTCAAAGACAGGCTCAATTGCAGCAGCAGGAGGATCTTTGTTTGCAGCAAGAAGAAGCTGAGAGGATCCAGAGACAGGCTCATTTGCAGCAGCAGGAAGAGGAGCAGCAGAATAGGCTGGCTCAGGATCGTGTGCAAGCAGGTCGACAGGAAGAGGAGCAGCACAATAGACGAACTCAGGATCGTATGCGAGCAGGTCAAGAGGAAGAGGAGATCCAACACCAGAGGCAACAAAGGATTCGCAAGCAAGCAGAGCATCTAGAAGAGGTGCTGCATGAATATAATGATCCTGCTTCTCAAGAAAATCATGCTGCTGATGAAGAAAGGAGAAGAGCTCAAGAGATTCAGCAGCATGAGGAGCGTGAGGCAGAGGACCAAGTACTTATCAACCACATTGTTCCTATCCCTGATGGAGCTTGACCATACAGGGAGCCTATAAACATTCATAGTCTTGGTCCTCTTAATGTAGAGTGCACCAAGTGCCATGCATTGCACTTTGCATCCGAAAGACTCTTGAAATCCTCCCTACGGAATCCAAAATTCGGTACATGCTGCTTGGAGGGTAAAGTTGTCCTCCTGCCCTTTCCACCATGGCCACCAGAACTGCAGCGCGCTTATACTGACAGGACATTTGTCTCCAAGATTCGGCAGTACAACAGCGCTCTTGCATTCACGTCGGTCGGTGTCGATATCGAGGATAGAGCCCTCCAAGGCTCTGGCCCCAATGCTTTTCATATTCATGGATCTCTGCATCACCTCATGGGTAGTCTCATACCTCCAGAAGGCATTCAGCCTTCATATGTGCAACTTTATATCTACAATCCCGAGGAAGCCACCAACATTTGTGCCACCCGACCTGGAAATGAAGGTCTTGATCGCGGCATTCTCAGGGAGCTCCATGACATGCTGTATTGAATCAATCCCTATGCCACTCTTTACAAGCAGGCCTATCAGGTCATGCGAGAGAAGCCTCCAGAGCAGCACACGGATGTTCGTGCACACATTCACTTCCAGCAAGGCACAGATGGTCGAAGATATAATGTTCCCACTGCCGATGAAATTGCTGTGATCATTCCTGGAGATGGATCTGAGCAGGTATCCGAAAAACGGGACATCGTCTTGCGGCTTCAAGGAGGTCGACTCCAGCGTATAAGTCAGCTCAGCCATGCATACTCCCCTCTTCACTATGTCCTTCTCTTTCCATCTGGAGAGGAGGGCTGGCACCTTGGAATACCTCTGATTCTCCCCCCAAATACCCACACAGTCGCAAAGAATGTCACTCAGCTGTTGTACTATGCCTATCGACTTCATCCACGCCCTGTTTCCATCTATCACAACAACATCTTTTGTGGTGGAAGATTGTTCCAGCAGTATATCGTCGACGCTTGGGCCTCCATCGAACAGAGCAATTTGAACTGGATCAGAAGCAACCAAGAGCAGCTCAGGGCGGACTGCTATCAAGGCTTAGCAGATAATGTTTGCAATGAGGGCATAGATGATCTGGCTCAGACAGGTCGCTCCATTATTCTTCCCTCCTCTCACACAGGGAGCCCTCGATATATGCACCAGCTGCTTCAAGATTCTTTAGCCATTTGCCATGCCTGCAAAAAGCCGGATCTCTTCCTGACGATGACCGCCAATGGAAGTTGGCCTGAAATCACAGAGAATCTCCTTCCTGGTAATGATTCTTATTTGATGCGTTGTGTATGACTTTGTGCTGACAATTTCTTATATAGGTCAGAGCGCTGTGGACCGCCCAGACTTGGTGGCTCGGGTTTTCTACCAGAAGCAGCAAGCGCTGCTGAAGAAGGTTCACAAGGGCTACTATGGGAAGGTTGCTGGATTGGTGTACACCATCGAATATCAAAAGCGGGGCCTGCCTCACATGCACCTTCTCATCTTCCTGGAGCCAGATTATAAGATCCGTACCACTGAGCAAATCAACTCCTTCATCTCCGCTCAGATTCCTGACAGGAACATCCATCCTCAGCTCTATCAGGTTGTGGAAAAATACATGCTGCATGGCCCTTGCAGTCCGCAGCATTGCATAGAGAATTTGCGGTGCAAAAAGCACTTTCCAAAAACATTCTGTCCCCAGACCCTGATGAAGGATGATGGCTATCCCGGGTATGCAAGACCTGACAATGGTCACACCATCCAAAAGAGCGACATAATCTTCACCAACAAGGATGTTGTTCCACATCCCCCCGAACTGCTGGTGGAATTCAACTGCCACATCAATCTCGAGGTCTGCACCTCTATCAAATCTGTCAAATACATCCACAAATACATTTATAAGGGAAACGACCGCGCTACGTTGGAGATGAGAGGAGCAGTGGATGAGGTCAAATCATATCTGGACTCGAGATATATCAGCTCTACCGAGGCTGCATGGCGCATCTTCAAATTTTCTATGCATCTCGAATGGCCCTCTGTCTACCGTTTGCCGGTCCATCTCAAAAATAAACAGATGGTGTTCTATGACCCCGAGGATGATGCTGAGGAAGTCCTTGAGCGCGCAGAAGTGAAAGATACTTGCCTCACTGGATGGTTCAAAGCCAATGCCAATGAGAACTTGGTGGCAGCTGGAGCCCACGACAGCCTCTATCAGGATTTCCCCTCAAAATTCGTTTGGAGCAAAGGTGCATGGAAGATACGGGAGCGAGGAATGGCGATTGGAAGAATGTACACTGCTGCGCCCAGCTCCGGAGAGTGCTTCTATCTGAGATTGCTTTTGACTGTAGTGAAAGGTATGATGTCTAAGACAATTTTTATCAATCAAGCTCACCATAATTTCAAGGGGCTACCTCCTTCGAACACCTTCGGACACATGATGGGACTCTCTATGAGACTTTCAAGGAAGCGTGTCAGCACAGGGGTCTGCTTGATGACGATTACGAATGGATCCAGTGCTTGCGGGATGCCTCTCATATGTACACAGGAAATCGCATGCGCAATCTCTTTGCCATCATCCTGCTGCACTGCAACCCTACCAGCCCTGATGATCTTTGGAACCGCTTCAAGGAAAATCTCTGCGATGATCTGCGTCACCGCCTCACTCACGCACCGTTCAACATGCCTGACCCCACGGAGGAACAGGTACACGACTATGGTCTTCATCTCATTGATGGGGTGCTCCGCAAAAATGGCAAGTCTTTGGAAGCAATTCCTCAAATGCCAGTAGCTCGAATGGCAGAAAGATGGGGGGCTATGGAGGGCAACCAGCTCATCGCTGAGCAGCGTCAGGACCCGCAGGAGCTTTGGCAGATAGTGGATGAAGGAGTCCCTTTGCTTAATGTCGAGCAGAGGGTGGTCTATAATGCTGTGGTCGAGGATGCAATGAATCGTAATCAGCAAAGACCTGGACACGCATACTTTGTCCATAGCGCAGGGGGATGCAGCAAGATGTATCTCTGCAAACTCATCACTTCAAAACTCCGTGCTGAAGGAAAGATTGTCCTCTGTGTGGCCTCCTCTGGAATTGCTTCCCTCCTCCTACCAGGTGGACATATGGCTCATTCGCGATTCAAAATCCCCATTCCCATTAACAAGGACAGCTCATGCAACATTAAAAAAGGAGATGTCGTCCATGAGCTTCTCAAGGAGACCTCCCTTATCATCTGCGATGAAATTCCAATGCTCCATCGTCATATTCTGGAGTGCCTTGACCGCACGTTGCGTGATCTTCTAAACAAAGAGGCTGATTTTGGGGGAATAACCATGCTCTTCAGCGGAGACTTTAGACAGACCCTGCCGGTGGTGACCCATGGATCCAGGGAGCAGATAGTGGGCGCTACCCTTTGCAGATCTCAACTCTGGCGAAAGCTTCGTATCTTCCACCTCGAGAGAAATATGCGGCTTGGTCAAGACCCCGCCTCTGATGAATTTGCAAGGTGGCTCCTTGAGATTGGAGCTGGCGAGGGCACAAATGAAGATGGAACTGTGACCCTCCCTATTCATATGCGCTGCCCCAACAATGATGTCCAGTCTCTCATCAATGCCCTATACTCTCCAGTTCTGCTCCCTGGGCAGCCTGCAGTGGATGATTCCTTCTTCCTGGAATGCACCATCCTCTCCGCAAAGAACACTGATGTGGATGAGATCAACACCACCATTCTTGAATCATTCCCTGGAGATAAAGCGGTCTTCACCAGCGCAGACTCGGTCAGCGAGAGGGAATACGATTACATCCCCACAGAGTTCCTTCATACCCTCACCCCATCAGGCTTCCCTTTGCACAGATTGGAGGTCAAAAAAGGTGTTCCCCTGATGCTGTTGTGCAACTTGAACCCCTCCGAGGGCCTCTATAATGGAACTCGCATGATCCTGCTGTCTTGGACCATTCGCGTCCTCAAGTGTCGCATTTTTAGAGATGGAGTCAATGAAGCTCACCAAGATGATCGGGACACGGTCCTAATCCCTCGCATGACCCTGGATGCCACATCTGAAGATAACCCCATTCCTCTCAAGCGTCGCCAATTCCCTGTTCGTGTCGCATTTGCTATGACCATCAACAAGGCGCAAGGTCAAAGTGTCAAGTGGGTTGGGCTTAATTTGCGGACTCCCGTGTTCAGCCATGGACAGCTTTATGTTGCATTATCTCACTGCACTCACCCAGATAGAGTGTTTGCTATATTTCCTGAGAGTGAAGAGGGCTCAAAGACGACGAATGTAGTGTATACAGAAGTGCTTAGAAGAATTACGATTCCTGTTGGATGATCGATGTACATATGATGTACTTTTATATAGAGAACAGACTCGGATGTGATGTATCATGTAGTTTTAGTTGTGTTGAAATGCTGCTCAAAATGTAATTGTTTTCAAAATGCACTATGATCATTAGTAAGGCAAAGTGCCGCAGGCACCTCGCAAAGGAGCGCGAAGCGCTCCTTTGCCTTGCTGTGCCAAAGGCACAGCAAGTATTCAAGGTCAAGACTTAAGACACCCAAAGTAGGATGAAGCCGAAGGCCAGGAAGCCAAAAAGAGCACGAAGCGCTCTTTTTTTGCTTCCTGTGCCGAAGGCACAACGGGTGTGTGCTAGTCTATAAAGTAAGGGAGAACGGTTGCGGGAAGCACCGAGCGCTCGCATGAAGCTCGCATGGAGGCCACGTTTGCTCGTGTGGGTGCCATGCATGCTCACATGGATGCCATGTGTGCTCACATGGATGCCATGTGTGCTCACATGGATGCCATGTGTGCTCACATGGATGCCATGTGTGCTCACATGGATGCCATGTGTGCTCACATGGCGTCTGCGTTTGCTCGCATGGCGTCCACGTGCGGACGCCATGTGGTTTTTGCTTACCTCGCTTAGTTCTCTTTTTGGCAACTCGCGTGGCTTTTTTGAGTGCCGCCTGCGCTCGACGCCGCAACCCAATGCTGCAAACACCAACCCACCTGCCAGGGTTCTGCAGGGTCTGGACACAAGTTATGCTGCCCAACTGCAGCGACGTGCTCAATGCCATGTAGTTATTCCACCTGTTGCGACACCCACCCTGCCTGTTGCTGCATCCACTGCTCCATCAGTACCCTCAGGTACGACTGACTGGGCAGCTGAACTCCATCTCCACTTTTCAGAGAGTCACTTAAGGTGTCTTGAACGGAGACAGCTCACTGACCCGTACAGCAAGATCTCCACTCGGCGAGAGGGTCTCCATGCAGCACAGCAGCGAGTTCATGACCTTCGATGAGAAAATGCAAAGATGGCCAAGAGAATGATCAGGGCAGATGAGGAATTTGAGCATGTCCGAAAGCGCGATGACATGGACTGGGATGTTAGTTGTGCATGCTTGGATGAGGCAATTGAACATAGAAAGCAGTGCAAGGTTGCAGATGCTTGGCATGAGCACATCTTTGAGGAGAGGAAGGGGAAAACTTGGGAGGAGCGGCATCATTTGGACCAGGTACTCAAGGAGGGTCCTCCCCCTGGCTGGAAGCCTTCTTGACATTCACATTCACATTTGTCTTATAGTTAGTCTTAATTTGTGAAATGCCAAGTGTAATTAAATTTGGACTTAACCTTGACTCAACAAATACAATATATATAATTTATTTCAAAACCTATAATAATTATTGAAACACCCAAAGGTGGGATGGCCAGGAAGCCAAAAAAGAGCGTGAAGTGCTCTTTTTTGCTTCCTGTGCCGAAGGCACAACAGGTGTGTGCTAGTTCATTGACTTAGAGAACCATAGAATTCGAGCTTGATCACTGGCATGTGGATGACAGGTTGCAACAGCTGCACCTGACTGTTTGAAGTAGTGTTGCGGAAGTCCGGTTTGGTCCGGTTCAGCAACAAATTTTGCGAACGCTGAACCAGACCTCACGTCCGGTTCACGTCCAGTTCAGCGTTCGAACATCGAACGCATTGTAAATATACTCGATTGTACTATAGCTAGTAGTAAGGAGTACTGGTACACTACTGTGAAGCAGACTTGGAGGGGGTGATGCCGTCGATATCTGTCTCATGATCCATGTCAGTAGCTGCATCCGTAGTTACCCCGTTATCCTGGTCTCCTTCACAGTCACTTTCCCCCTCAGAGCCCTCACTCGTGACCACTGACCTGCTAGCCTTGCGTTTGCGCAAGACAGCGTTGTTGGGGTCAACAAGCTTGGGTGCAGGGCGTGGGATACGAGTCGAGCGACGTGCCTGAGCGGGAAGCACAGGCAGTGGAGTATCGTCGTCGGGATCGTTGTACCATCGGATTTGACTGGCGTCGAGGAGAGTTCCATCTGCACCCAGACCACACTGGTCAGCCATGTTGTGAGGGGGAAAGCTTGAAGAGAGTTGAGCTTACCTTGAATTTGATCCATTTTAACTTCCATCGAGTTCATGAGTGCCGAACAATTCATGTAGCTACCCTAGAAAAAAAACGACCCATTAACAAATACATTAGCACTAAACCAAATTAACCAAAGTCTCCATACCTTATCAGGTTCTTCCTTTGTAATGTTTGGGTTAGTGGTAGGCAAACAAACCTTCACGGACCTTGCCAGTGTGGCATGGTCCTTGTGAATCGGATTCCAAGCGAAAAAGTCGCGAGTAATCATGTCATGTTCAGTGTATTGCATGTGTGGGTGATGTCATCTCGTATGTGTGAGTAGCCTAAAATGGAAGCAGTTCAAAAAGGTTCGGACGCGTTCGGACGCGTTCAACGCGTTCAAGGAATGCTGAACGCTGGACTGGACCATCGGTCCAGTTCAGCCTATACTCTGAACGTTGAACTGGACCGTGGTCCAGTCCACGAAAGGTCCGGTTCGAACCGCGGTTCAGAACCGAACCTCCGCATCACTAGTTTGAAGGCTGGATGCATAAAAGCTGTAACATGTGTGTAACTCATAATGAATTGAGAATCTGAAATTAGATGCGCATGGTGCAGTCCTTCTGAGTTGGAACCTTCCGTCACCGTTGCTCATGGAATCAGTCAGTCCAGCGCTAGCTGGGCATCTCACCATTGATCACACTGCTTAAACTAGACAAACTGATAAACCTGGGTTCGAACTTTAAAGGAGGGAATATACATTGGGCATATCCTTTGCTAAGTCCGAGCCATTATTCTTGTATACTAGTGTCGCTTGACGTCGACAGTCGAGCAGCGAACTCATTATTGATGCATACAAATGATTGCATGCCGTTTCGTTCTAGTGGTTACCAGGTGGCGAGTGCAAGGACATATTCATATTGGCACCTGCAGTGGATCTAAAGCTTAAGCCCGGCCAATAATTATATCTGTAGAATCTGTTGTGCATTATTGTGCGATGAGTACAAGAGCCATTATCAGCATAAAAGTGACCGAAGAAGCTTGATCACCAGAATAGCAGCACAGTCGCAAAAACGTGATCATAATATGGACGTGATAGTGCTAGCGCTGGTACTCACAAATAATTTCACGAACACTGTGCATGCTGCTCTGGCATGACAAGGATCCCACTGCGTCGCTTGCTCGAGCCTCGAAGCCACAGCAAGTTGTTTTGCTTGTCGTGTGCCCTCACGATATCGTGGACTGCTGGCCAACAATCTGGGGCAAATTGCAACACAAGGTTGACCGTAGATCTAGATATATGAATGCATCAAGGAGAGAATACATGTAGCAATCAGTGAGATGCGACTTATTGCTGGGGCTCACATCAGTACCGCGAGCTCAAGGCATTTTGAGGCGCTCAGAGGGTGATGCACAGCAGTAGCAGGAATTATGTGCTATTTCAGCGACCAGGGCCCGGGAGAGGCAACGGTTTTGATTGTCGAAACCGGGAAAGAGAGATGCTTGCATGGATAGTGTTCAACTGCCACGGCGGGCGAGATATATTGAAGTTTCAATAGAGATACACACTAAATTAGAGAAATGACGTCTCAAGTAAAACTTTTGAAGCCTATTGGTTGTTCAAATCAGAATGTGAGGACGCATGCAGTATGGTGAACGATAGGCGACTTGTCAATTTGCCGTTAATCAAAAGTCAAGTGGACAGTTGCGCATTTTCCCATCGGGGCAGCGGAGTCATTATTATGTAATACCGCAGTACTGCAAGTCATCTACTAGGACGTATGAATCCTTTCTTTGAAAAATATCAGACATATTCTGGGGAGAGCATTTACTATCAGGCCTCCAATATATCGATAGCCCAATTTTTCTTTTAAATCCACGGTTGAGGATATCGCGCATGGTGAGTACTGCTCAGACTAATTTTTTTTTGAACGCTGCAGCTATGCTATTTTTATCACTAAAGTTGTACTTCGATACGACATTCTATTCAGGCCTCAGGTGCGCAGTGCTTCGCATTAGCCTGCTATGCGAATTCTCGCGAAAGTGTAAATTCTGTGGAATGCCCAGTAGCTCTTCTTCGGCCTCCCAACCTTCTCGTTTTGGCTATTTTAATCAGTGATATCACACCATATCTCGTGATGCCCGTTGTAAACGAGGCTATGGGTGGCTCGATATTCTGGGAGTCGCTTCTGTCCTGTTGACTCATTGGCGCCACACCCATGTACATGCTGTGCACGTGGTTCCCTCCTTTTAATCCTTCAAGACTTTACAGGTACTGCGGTGTTTCGTGACCCCCAGCGCTTACCTTGTTCTCAAGTGTTAGTTTGAATCCATCCCTCAGTCATATGTCAACGTTCGTCCCTGGCCATTTCAATGATTACTCTCCACCCTCGGGAGAGGGCCCGAGCTACCCCAAGGACGCAGGACAGAAAACCCCTCATGATCAGTGAAATCCTACCACTTGTCGTCACTAGTATGTGTAACACCTATCTTCATTTAGTACGTACTATAGTACTGATGCATTTTCCAAAGCAATTCTGGCGACACTCTATTTTGTCCTCACTCTCCTGTTATGTTTCGCGACAGACTCAATGCCAGATCCGCTTGATAATACCCTCCAAGCCCTGGATCCGGGAGAGACAAATATCATGATCACCAATAGTATGTGCCATCTACCTTCACTTAGCACGTAATCCTCATCATTCCTCGTGGCAGATTCCGTGTTGAACCTACTCGATGATATTGTCCCAGCATTAGGTGAGGAGTCTAGCCACTCAGAACCTGCCCAGGGCGCGGGAGAGGTACACCTTTCGAACGTGCAACGAGTCGTCATTACTGGTATGTAATATCAATCTCCGTTTAGCACTTATTGATAATCTCCATGTAGCACAAATCAATGATTTTCAAGCCATTCGTGCTACTGATCTCACTCTTGGTCTCCAACGGATCCCCGTTGGCTTTCATGCGGTAGTCAAGGCTGATGGTGTTGAATACCAGACAAGCAACCAACCTGCACATGTAGACAAGGCTATCATTGAATGGCATGAACGCATTCTTCTGTAAGTCGTCCTTGTTTCCATCTGTCCTGCAGGTATTGAGAGAGACTCGAGGCCGAGCGAACCATCTTCTAAAGTTCGAGTCAGCGTGTATGCCTCATTTGAATTAGGCCCCATGGTCTGTCACGGCGAACTCCTGCGCACGTTTGAGACCTCTGTTGGGGGATTACTGGATCGTAGCGAAACACCACATCGTCAGTATTGTCTGTTGCAAATAGCGCCTGCCAGATGCTAACAAGTATCACAGCCACGATCTTTGAGCCAGAAGAAGCCTTATCCACTTGTACTTCACTATTCATGACGGTGGAACAACGACTTTCTGATCAAAATAACGACACCGTTCTTTGCTCCCTTACTACCGTGAGTGATCAATGCAATCAGGTATTCTGATGCTGAGAGTTGTAACATATAGCTTATATCCCATGATATGGATGAGTTAGCACTAATGACGGATGACGGACATCGTCTACTCGCACAGTACCGCAGAACGCAGAACAGCGGGGATCTCGATCAATCTATAAACCATTTTGAACGCGCCTCGAATCTCTGTCCCCTGGACCATCCCTACCACCCTGCAGCGCTATTCAATCTAGCCACCGCAAAATTTATTAGTTGCCAAGCTAATGGAACATACCTTGACCTCGACATCCCCATCGCTCTTTTTCAAGACGCACTTGATTTGCGTCCCACTGGTCATCCAGACCGACCCATCACCCAACTCCATCTTGCCATGACTCTGTTGTCTCGCTTCGCAAAAAGTGGGTTTCAAACAGATGTCGACACAGCTAAAGAGGTGTTAAGCGAAATCCTCGAGGTCTGCCACTCCAACAGCCACATCCACAGAGCAGCTCTGATTGCAATCGAAGTTTCCGCTCTGCATTCCGCTGGAGGCATTGATACACATGATCTTGGGGAGGACCGGCCCACCATATCCACGCTTCCGTTATCACCGGATGAACTTGCCGATCAAGCAGAGCAGTGTTTGCAGAGAGATGAACCCCATGCCTTAGAGGAAGTGATATCCCTTCTTGATGATGCCCTGGGATACTACAACAAGGGGCATGCTTGCCGAGGGCAATTGCAATGTAGTCTGGCTCTGATGCTACATACTCGCTTCGGGCGCCAAGGCAACGACAAAGACTTGGATCGGGCTATCGCACTTCAGGGGGAAGCGCTAGCCTTGTACCCAGTCGGTCACGCAGATCGGTCCATGCCATTAAATAACCTCGCAAATCAACTCTCCACCCGCTTTGATCATCGAGGCGACGACGAAGACTTGAATCAGGCTATCGCACTCCTCAGTGAAGCGCTGGCCTTATGTCCGATCGGTCACGCAAATCGGTCCACGTTATTAAATAACCTTGCAAAACAACTCTCCACCCGCTTTGACCACCGAGGTGACGACGACGACTTGAATTTGGCCATTGCACTTTACAGGGAAGCGCTAGCTTTGCGCCCGATTGGTCACGCAGATCGGTCTACGTCATTAAATAACCTCGCGAATACACTTTCCACCTGCTTTGACTACCGAGGTAACGACGAAGACTTAGATGAGGCTATCGCACTTCAGATGGAAGCGCTGGCCCTGTGCCCGGTCGGCCACGCACAACTGTCTACATTATTCAATAACCTTGCAAAACAACTCTGCGCCCGTTTTGAGTCCCGAGGCAATGACGAAGACTTGGATGAGGCTATCGCACGTCAAAGGGAAGCGCTGGCTTTGTGCCCGGTCGGTCATGAAGATCGGTCCATGTCATTGAATAACCTCGCGGCTCAACTCTCCTTCCGCTTTCGCTACCGAGGCAATGATGAAGACTTGGATCAGGCCATCGCACTTCACAGGGAAGCACTAGCTTTAAGCCCGGTCGGTCACACAGATCGGCCTATGTCATTGAATGACCTCGCGAATCAACTCTCCACCCGATTTGACCACCGCGGTAATGACGAGGACTTGGATGAGGCTATTGCACTTCATACGGAAGCGCTGGCTTTGTACCCAGTTGGTCACTCAGATCGGTCCATGTCATTAAATAACTGTGCGGCTCTACACTCCTCCCTATTTGAGCACCGAGGCGACGATGAAGATTTGGATCAAGCTATTGCACTTTACAGGGAAGCGCTTACCTTGCGCCCGGTCGGTCACGCAGATCGGTCTGCGTCATTAAATAATCTCTCAGCTGAACTCTTCACTCGCTTTCGCCACCGAGGCATCAAGGAAGACTTAGATCAGGCTATCACACTTCAAGGGGAAGCCCTAGCCTTGTACCCAGTCGGTCATGCAGATCGGTCCATGTCATTAAGTAACCTCGCAACTCAGTTGTCCACCCGTTTTGACCTCCGAGGCAACGACGAAGATTTGGATCAGGCTATTGCACTTCACAGGGAAGTGCTGGCCTTGCGCCCGATCGGTCACACACATCGGTCCCTGTCATTAAATAACCTTGCAAATCAACTCTCCACCCGCTTTCGCCACCGAAACGACGACGAAGACTTGGATCAGGCTATTTCACTTTACAGGGAAGCGCTGGCTTTGTGGCCAGTCGGGCACACATATCGGTTCATGTCGTTAAATAACCTTGCAGCTCAACTCTCCACGCGCTTTGAGTGCCAGCACAACAGAGAAGACCTCGACGAGTCACGAGAAAACCTACAATGTGCATTGACTCTGTTGACGCAATATGATCCTCATCAATTAGTGATCCATGAGTCGCTAGCTCATGTGTATGTGTTACTCCATGTTTCAGGGCTCGGTGATACTGGCGCGAGTGAAGACACGGACAGTCTCGATAGTGCTATACATCATCTCAGGGTGGCAGTAAATGTTGTCTCTGGAGGCTTGTTATCCCGCCTGCGAGCAAGTCTCCACTGGGTTAGGGTTGCCCGTCAACATTTACATGTTACTGAACTGGAGGCATATACGACTTCTATGCGACTCCTGGACGCTTACATGTCTGCTACAGCTTCGGTATCGTCGCGTCAGAGCGCCATGCAAGACTTTCCAGGTACACTTGCCATGGATGCCGCATCATGTGCTCTTCGTAGTGGTGACGTGTTTCATGCTGTTGAGTTGTTGGAGCAAGGCAGGACCATCATCTGGACCCAGATGACACGACTTCGTATGCCTCTTGATGACCTCGAGACTTGTGGTGATCATGCAGTAACCCTGATGAAGAGATTCAGAGACCTTAGCTCCCTCCTTGATAAACCTTTTACGAGCCATCCAGAAGAGACTCCAATAACCAATGTGGAAGCAGAAGAAACCCGGTACAGACGTCTAGTGGTGGACTGGAATCAAACTGTAGAAGAGATCCGGAAAATCGAGGGCTTCTCTCGCTTCCTCCTCCCCCCCTTGTTCTCCGATCTTCAAGAAGCAGCTCGTGATGGGCCTATCATCTTGCTCATCGCAACCACGTCGTTATGCCATGCCATTATCATCCCGCACAAGCAACCTCCGACTAGCATTCAACTCCCTACCAATTTTGAGAAACTCGTGCGATTGGTGGTCTCACTCCAACAGGCAGTTCAAAAAGAGGCCGGTCCTAAAGGGAACCAAACAGCGTTGATAAAAGCTTTGAGAAAGTTGTGGGACAACGTCGTCTGCCCAGTGGCCGAGAGTCTGAACGGATTTGCACGACAAGGTTCCCGGATATGGTGGTGTCCAACGTCTTACTTCAATTTCTTGCCATTGCATGCTGCTGGCGAGTACAGGGCAAAGGGAAAGTTCTTCTCGCAGCAGTACACCTCTTCGTACACGCCATCGCTCACCGCGCTGATCAAGGCTCGCAGAAATCATGATAGGTCCCCATCAGTGCCCTTCGTTGCCATTGGTCAGGATTTCCCAGCCGGTGCCTCATTCACTTTGGATGCTGTAGAGCCTGAGCTGGAATTGGTGCGGAGCCTTTTGCCCCCTCCCCCAACTGTTTCCTTCTCCAAGATCACCAGTGTTGATGCCACTAAATCGAAAGCACTGTGCACATTGCGAGACAATACTTGGCTCCATCTCGCGTGTCACGGGACACAGAAATTTGACGAACCCTTCAAATCGGCCTTTCTTATGCGCGACGAGCCGCTTTCGCTCCTCGACATCATACAAATGGACCTGTCTCAGCATGAATCTGCATTTCTTTCTGCCTGTGAAACCGCAGTCGGTGACCCTGATACTCCCGACGAAGTGATACACCTAGCGGCTGGCCTGCAGTTTGCCGGGGTCAAGAGCGTCATTGGGACATTGTGGAAGGTCAACGATAGTACCGTGCAGAGCTTAGTCGAAGCATTCTACAAAAACTTTTGCGGGGATGGCACGATGAATTCCAAACGAGCTGCCCGAGCGCTACACCGAGCGGTGCAGTCGTTGGCTTGTAACACGGATATGCCCTTAGACCAGCGCATAGTGTTCGTGCATATTGGCATATGATCAATTTTGTGCGTCCGATTAAAGCATTCTTGGGATAATCTGACGATTCCGCAGATAGCATCCACTCATGGACCCATGCAACTTGTTGCCAAGGACTTCGATATTCCAGACTTTAAAACCTACACAATATGTACATCCAATTTCGACTTGAATTCGAATTTTCTACTTTGTTGTCCTGAAGCTAAACATGATTGCTTCTAAGGTGCACTGATTTGTGGGTAAGAATGAAATTGTACAACATTGATCTAGCAAAACGCCTCATGTGGCAAGACATAATTTGCAATGAACCTGATAGTCAGCGCGCGAGGGCGTTGAATGCACTCTTACTTACAAACACTGATGTCACGAAAGAGTTGGGATTTTGTAGCGAGGGGACCAAAGTATAATCATTTCCTGCAGTTCTTCGATCTATGGAAATTGCTGAAGTGCTTAGATCTACTGAGGGTGCTCTGGCGGTACTTAGAACAACTTCACTGAATGATTCATGTGATATTGGGATCATCTTCAGAGTCCTCCACCTGAAGCTCTTGCCAAGGTACGTACATCTGACCAGCTGAGCTGAAACATATGCTCAATGATCGTTCGAGTAGAATTCCACCCCCTTCACATTCATGGTTCGAGTTGCGCAACCTAACAGTACTCCCGAATTTGATGAGGGCTTGGAGAGTCATTCGTGGCGATGCTTCTTTCGGTCGAGAGAGAATTCTTTGCCACTAGAACATATGACGAGGATTTCTGAGGGAGAGGTGTCATGGTGAGGAATGTACTGTGAAATCTTGGTATTCTTTATGTTTCTGGGTTTTGAAACAGCCTACATCGCCAGTCACGTGATGTTATGTTACTTTCTTGTCACGGTAATCAAACGGTAAACATAAGTTCATGATCCGGACAATATGCGACAAAATCCTAAGCCCCGACTGCCCGACGAGGTCTTAGCTCCTTGATAGTCGTCCCTTCCAAGTTCTATCTCAAAGTGGTCCCTGTGCATAAGTACTTCCGATAGCACCGACGACCATATTTACCTTGACCATCATCTCAATACCAATTAGACGCTCTTTGGGGTATTTATATTCTCTGTTCCTCAAGAATAGTTATCGTTGACTTGTTACCTCTGCGATGGCAACTTTCGCTAAATCCTCCTTTGACAGTGCCATCTATGCGACTTTCAGACCGACTTACCCTAGGTCCCTGTTTGACTTCATATTCCGGTACCACGAGCTCAATAAGGGTGCAAGATGGGATAGAGCAGTCGACCTCGGTTGTGGGACAGGTCAGTTCCAGCTGTACTCAATTTGGAGGGCTTGAACTCTTAACCTACTGTTGATGATTCTGGATTTCAGGTCAAGCAACAGTCGAGCTTACACCCTTTAAGAGCGTCATTGGTGTCGACCCAAGTTCTAAGATGATCGAAATTGCTCAAAGTACCCTCAAGAACACGCCAACGAATACCGGTCAATATGACTACACACAGGCGAGCGCAGAGAATCTAACATTCTTGGAGGATAGCAGTGTGGATCTAGTCATTTCTGGTGCGTGTGTTAGAACTAGAAATTACCCTTTATTCATGATGCCTGCATGGTTTCAGCCCAGGCGTGCCATTGGTTCGATTGGAATAAAATGTGGCCTGAGCTCGCAAGGGTGCTGAGGAAGAATGGAAGTGTTGTATTCTGGGTATGTGTTCCCATCTCCGAGCCATTACTTGTTCAGTAACTCTTCATATTTGCTTTACTTAGGGTTATTCCCAGCTCCGTTTCGCCCGCTATCCGTCACTCACACCAAGGATCAACGCTTATGTCGAAGGCACGGACCCACTGAACAGCATTGGCCCGTACTGGGAGCAACCTGGCCGTTCAATTTTAGATAGCCACTTGATTGAGGTGCCAGATGGCAATGAAATTGTACCTGGCGCGTTCAGTAATTTCGAGAGAGTCTTCTTCACAGGTCTGTCTTAGGCTTATTGTTACTTGACACTGCACTGATGCATGGCAGGCGACTACTATCCATCTCTCCCTTCCCCACGCTCTATTATCATGCGCAAGAAGATAACATGGGACGACTTACTATCGTATTTTAATACGTGGAGTGCATTGCACACGTTTCGTCAGCACAACCCCACGGATGGGGAGAACCCGCATGGAGATGTTGCAGTGCGGTTCTGGAAAGACCTTAAGGACTGTGTCGAACAGGAGGATGGGAGAGTGGTGGAAGGACATGATGAAGTAGACATTGAATGGCCGTTGGCGGTGGTCGTGGCTAAGAGAGCGTAATAGTGCTGGAGGGCGGTAGGTATCCTTTTCTTGGCGCCTTGCAGATCATCATCAGACTAGAGACTACTCATGTAGCATCACAGGCGACGAACATACTGATATAGACGTGTTAATGACCGTCCTAGATATGAATCGACCGAATACAAACTGCAACGCTTCACTGGAACACACCACTCACATTTGACAGCGAAGAATTGCGGCTGTGCTTGATTTCAACATGAACGATTAAACATGCAGCTTTGCGTTAAGTGTGCCATTGTGAGTCGCAGAGTTGCAAATCACATTTTGTTCAACATCATCTAGAACATTAACTTATTGTGCACATGAACTATCTAGGATGCTCAAGTATGAAAACTATCATTTTGACACTTTCAACATCTCAAAGATCGATTCAACCTGATCGTGCCCTGGTAATGGTGCTCCAACTTATCCATTCTGATGAATCTTCCTTGATTGTAGTTGTCCATTGATAACGACAACTAGTACGATTGTGGTTTATGAAGCTCAACACGGCCGTTGACATTACGTGAGTGCCTTGACAGTTTTAGTCCTTGAGTCGCGCTGATGATTCCCATGCTTCGCTGCTCGCATGTTGACAGGGTGTAAGTGCCTTATGATTTACAGTCTTCGATCCATACTCGCCATCCTCATGCCTTGCTGCTGCTTTCCTGTGGATCAGAATGTGAGTGTTTCGATGGTATTTCGGATCTCATCATATCGCGTTATCTTTGGTACTACGTAGACTTAGACTTGCGATTCGCTGATCATAATCATTTTCAATCATGAGAATTTGACAATTGGCTCGGTATGCTTCGATACTGAAGCGGACGGGCATGGCGACTGATACCATTGTCGATGCTCATGGGGACAGCATGGCGTCTGGGGGAGTAAGTCATATACATGAAAGTCTGGAAGGTAGCGGTAGATCTAGAACAGACAAATCATCCAGGAGGCGAACACAGAGTGGAGCATAACCTAATTATTGTCTCGGCTAAGGGAAAGATATCAGACAGAAAGCCGGGACCGCACCATGAAGTGTACAATGTCTGCACGGTTGTTATCGGGAAGTTCATTCTTTAGGTGACCATCGACCAAATGACGCAGTGAGTATAATGTCAGTGAGCAAACTTTGTGGATCTAGCCCAATCAGCACGCCGCCAATGCGAGAACGGTAGTAATAGCCAACAGTGGACTGACTAGCTGGAATCATTGAACGCTACCATACAGGCATGTCTCAGAGTCACCGGTACTTACCAAGGGGGAAATGAAATGCAGCTAGCAAGCACAAAAATCAAATTTCGAGGGAGGGAATTTCAATTCTACAACTTTAGCCTGCTGCTCCTGATATATGGATCACTTCAGCTATATTAACACAATTGTCCAACTTTCGAAATTTGGTCAGAGACGGAACTCTGTCCACGTAAGAATGTTGATACCTCTCCAGCAATGTGGCTTGTATATGTACAAAGTGGCACGATTCGTCCGTCGGGGTAATGATAACAGCATTCGCGAATGATCAGTAGTCGTCATCATCATAATTACTATGATAAATATTATAAACATGCAAAGTTTGTGCAGGGGTCATGCTTACTCAGGATAGCCATCATTGAAAACGCCGAAGTCACCATGCATCTCCTGAAGAGAAACAGATCAATTAAAGTTCTTCTTTTCTTTTTTAAAAAATGCGAACGTACTGCATCATAAAATGGGTCTTCTTCGCCATCATCGTCGATGAGTTCCCAAGGTGGGTCGACAGCCACCCATCTACAAAAAGGGTTATTAGACAAAGTCACAAGGCGATTTCAACTCACTTCTCGATCGAATCGTCAATTTTCTCATTTCCGCGTTCACTGAGAGGCACCCAGAACTTTGAGCGAGGCTCCTTTAGCTTATAGATGGGCATGTATTTTGCGCCCGATTTGCTTCCCTCACGGTAAACACCATGGTTGGTTCCTGAAGACCAGGTGAAACTCGTTGCTCCTCCAGCATCGACAGCCGGTACGATAGGCCCGTTGACATGAAGTGTCACGGGAAATTTTTCGACTTCTGTGCAAAGTGTAAACAGCGCAGAAGAACTTACACTTGCCGGACTTACCAGTGGTAGACATGTACATCACATATGCTGCGCAACACGTCACTTGGGTGACTACATACTTCTCTTTGAGGACATCAGGTTTGGACTTGATCAGCTTGACGATGCGCTCATCGTTGGGAATGCTGATGTGTTTTGCCTTGTACATGACCATCATAGCTGCTCGCCTCCTACCATCGGACTCAAACTCAACTTTGAGAGCAACATTCCCTGCACCAGGCACAGTGCTGTAACGCAGTCAGATATATACCTAAAAACCGGATATTGTAAGTAGCACCCACGCTTCTTTGGTTGTGTCGACGTTCTCGACGGTGGCACCCCACGATTTAACGATGTATGTGTCGTCCCCTTCCGTTTCTATGGGGCGTAGTGCTGGGTCCGTCATGTCGATATCGACATCGTTCTGCAATGTGTAAAGGTTCCCTTCCCGTTCGAATTCTCCAGTCTCCTTGTTGACCATTCCATAGTCGCCTACCTGTGCCTGTCAGGTCAATAGAAAACAAGTGGAGCCTTTGTGCATACATTGATCGCCGTTAGTGGATCCCAGTTGACGAACTGGTATGTAGGGGTGTAAAGGAGGTCCATAAACTTCCGTGACTCGGACCTCATCGCAACGATGTTGCAGTCAGATGGGCAGGTTCTTGAGACCATGGGCAGTGTAGACCATTATATATCTTTGACCGGCGCTAAGACGTATTAGATAATGAACGATCTTCAAAGAGGTCACAATTACCCATCAGTTGCAGGCTCTACAGGATGATAACTGACGTTACTACGAGACAGAAGTCGCAGAAAGACAATGTGGAAGAAGGGCAGTGCCAATAAGCTGTATCCTCACAGCTTCCAAGTACATCCAGTGTCGAATTTCCGTGGATGTTGCAGGCTTCAAGTTGAGCAAGTTCTTTTTGAAACATCCAGAACCATCAGACACGTACAGCTCTACACCGCTCGCACCGCTCGGACTTATTGACCAGTCTGGCCAATATGCCGCGACATATTTCAAAGTCCGACACATGCTCGATCATGGTCATACCTCTGCTGTACACATTTGCCCCACCCAGCTGTGTAAATGAGCGCTGTCGTTTCCTCGATAATCTTTCAGAATCTTGTCAGCACATTTCGAATCCATCCTTCAGTCTGTCAAGATTCATCCCTGGCCGTTTCAATAACTACCCCCACCCTCAGGAGCGCCCAACCCATCCAGAACGCCTCCAGGACACAGGTCAGAAAAACCTCGCGATCAGTGAAACGCAACAAGTTCAAGTCGTCAATAGTATGCGTCATCTATTTTCATTTAGCACGTACTCATGATTTTTCATTGCATTTCTAGCGACACATTATTTGGTCATCAATCTCCTCTTTTATTTCACGACAGACTCTGTACCAGACCCGCTCGATGATACACTCCCAGGCTTAGGTGAGGAGCTGCACTACCCAGATCAACTCAAGGATCCGGGAGAGACGATCTTTGTGATCAGTAGATTGCCACAAGTCCTCATCAACGGTATGTGCCAGCTACCTTTACTCTGCACGTCGTACCCATGATTTTTCATGACAGGTTCCATGTCGGGCACGCTCGATGATACCCTCCCACACTCGTTTAGCCACGCGGAACACACCCAGGACCCGGTAGAGACGCACGTCGATGGAACGCAGCAAGTCGTCATCACTGGTATGAAATATCGATCTCCGTTTAGCACATATTGATGATTCTCAAGCCATTCACTGATTTCGTTCTTGGTTACTCACGGATCCCCGCTGGCTGTCATGTGGTGATCAAGGCTGGCGGTGCTGAATACCAGACAAGCAAAAAGCCTGTAAACGTAGACATGGCTATCGTAGAATGGCATGAGCGCATTCTTCTGTAAGTGGTCCTTAACCACGTCTGTCCTGCAGGTCCTGATAAAGAATCGAGGCCACGCAAGTTATCCTACAAAGTTCGGGTTAGCGTGTATGCTCCGAGTCCCATGCTCTGTCATGGAGAACTCACATTTGAGATCTTTATCGGAGAATTACTGGATCACAGCGAACAATCTTATCGTCAGTGTTGTCTATCGTAGATAACACCTGAGGAATGCTAACGATTAACAGCCAGTAGTATTTCAGTCGAAGCAGGAGGAAATCGTATCCGCTTGTACTTCACTGTTCGTGACAGTGGAGCAGCGAATTCTGATCAAACCGAAGCCGCACTTTTTTGTTCCTTTACTACTGTGAGTAATCAATGTAGTCTGAAATTCGATGCTGAGAGCTATAACGTGTAGCTTAGATCCCACAACATGGATGCGTTAGCGCTGAAGACGGATGACGGATATGATCTCGCATAATACCGCAGGATGCAGAACAGTAGGGATCCGAACCAATCCATAAAGCACTTTGAACGCGTCTCGGATCTCTGTCTAATGGACCATTCCTACCGCCCTGCATACATTTTGGTGGAAGCATTGATGCACATGATCTTGAGCAGAAGCGGCCCTCTGCATCTATGCTTCCGTTATTGCCGAATGAGTGGTGTTTGCAGAGAGATGAACCGCGTGCATTGCATAAAGTGATATCTCTTCATTATGATTCACTGTGATACTGAAAGACTTGAATCCGGCTATCGCAATTTAGACAGGAGTGCTGGCTTTGCGCCTCGTGGCTCACCCAGATTGGTCCATGACATTCAATAACCTCGCGGCTCAACTTTGCTCTCGCTTTCACCACCAAGGCAACGACGAGGACCTTGGATCAGGCTATCGTACTTCACAAGGAGGTGCTGGCCTTGTGCCCGGTCGGTCACGCCAATCAGTCCATGAGACTAAATGACCTAGCGCATCGACTATCCACCTGCGTTGAGCACCAACATAACAGGAGACCTTGACGAGTCACTGGAGAAGCTACACCGTGCATTGACGCAAAACGATCCCCGTCAATCACTTATACATACGCGGTCAGTTCAGTTCTCTCTTATCTCTGACAGGTCTACATGTAGCATCCGGTCATGGTGACGCGCAAGCTGTTGCCAGCATCTTTGATATTCCAGACTTGGAGACCGTATACCTACATGATATGCACACCCAAATTTGACTTCAATTTTATTTTCAACTTTGTTGCCTCGCCAGAGCCAGAGGAGACCGCTCCTGTGTACTCGAGCTGATGATCTGAGTAAGAGTGGAGTTCAGCAACACTGATCTAGCGTAACATCTCATGTGGCAAGACGCAAAATGCGATGAATGTGATAGTCGAGTGTCTGAAATTGAGTAAGGGCGTTGGATGCACTCCCACTCACCATGACATCCAGTTCTTATGAAGATTTGAGACGGGACCACTGGTCATTAGCCAAATACGAAGCCCCGCGTTATGTGTTAAAACAATACAGTCGAGTGAACATACACGATGATGTCCTGTTGAATTTGAGCTTGCATCGTTTCAATGTTCGAACGTTCGATGCTGACGGGTACACGAGTCAATGCTGTCGGCTGTCATGCGTGTTATAAGATAAAACGTCTATTGCAAAGGTCCTTGGCGAGGTACTGGTATGGCATGCGATTCGCCCAGAGATCTGGCACAGAGGGATAAGCCGCCCTACATGGGTGATCCCGATCGACTTCAAAAGAAGCGCAGGTCAGAGAGCCGCGGCACTTCCATCCAGTATTAGGCAGTACTCTTTCCACGTCTTTAATGCACTAGTGGTTCTATAAATTTTACGGTGATGGATATCAGTCACTTCTGCAAAGAATGGTTTACTGAACTCAGTGGCTTAGTAATCGCCGCAGGATCGCCGTCTAACCGGAGTATGCACCAATCGGACTTCCAAATTAGTCGGTACCGGACGCCAACCGACAGGCTCCAGGCTCCTTATACGCTGGGTCGTCAATTGACATATGTTCGATTGATCCTTGCCAAGCACTGGTACTGGTGCTGATTGCCGTACTCCTTGTAGCGGACAAAGCCCAACATGCACAGTTATAACCTCGCGCAATGCGTCGATGTCATTGTCTGACAGCAACTGTAGGTGATGGCCTGTTAAGGGCGCGATATTTCGCAATAGGCTAAGCAAATTGCCTCGCCGCCTTATCGTTTTGCCTATCATAATTAATATCTCACCCTAGAACGTGCATCTGCTGGAAGTATACAAATCTCACGCCTACTGCTGTGGGTGGCCCGGTATTTTGCAAGTCACTTCCGAGTCTTTCCTGTGGACTCATCGTGGATGCTATGTACATGCTGTGCCACCGGTTCCCTCCTCTATAATACTTGAGGAAGTTTCGTGATTTCCAGTCCACGTCTTACTCTCAAGTATTAGTCCATCCCTCAGCCGTCGTTATGGCCCGTCGACGACGTGTCACCTTCGAATCTTCGAGCTCGTCAGAATCAGACTCAGAATCAAACTTTCATTCAGCGTCATCGCGCAAAACTTCCCCAACTCCAGGAGAGAAATCTACTTCCGGTAGTGAGCCCTTGGAAGGGAGAAAGCATAAGTGTAAGTCGTCAGACAAAGATAACGACAACAAGACGAAGAGTTCAATACACCATCAGTCGTAAGTTGTCATGTTGTTCAGCACATGTATGGAATTAATCTCGCATCTTTAGGCAAAAAAAGGACGAGTGAGCATATGAAGCACTGATCATCTACATACATAACAATGTGCGTATTTTTTAGTCAGGAGCCAAGCCGCCCAGGACACACCCAGGACCCGGGAGAGATACCCTTCAGCGAAGTGCAACAAGCCCTCATTACTAGTATGTGATATCAATCTAGGTTTAGCATATATTGACGATTTTCAAGCCATTCGCGCGACTGATCTCACCCTTGGTCTCCGACGGATTCCCGCTGGGTTTCATGTGGTGGTCAAGGTTGACAGTGCTGAATACCAGACAAGCAGTAAGTCTGTACAGGTGGATCAGGCTTTCATCGAATGGCACGAGCACATTCTTCTGTGAGTGATCCTTAACCCCGTCTGTCCTGCAGGTATTGAGAAAGAATTCGAGGCCATGCGAGCCATCTACTAAAGTTCAGGTCAGCTTGTATGCCTCATATGAAATGGGTCCCATGGTTTGTCACGGGGAACTCCTGCGCACGCTTGAGATCTCTGTCGGAGAACTACTGGATCGCAGCGAAAAATCGCTTTGTCAGTATTGTCTATTGCAAGTAACACCTGATGGATGCTAACGAGTATCGTAGCCATAATCTTTGAGTCAAAGGAGGAGGAAGTCGTATCCGCTTGTACTTCACTGTTCATGTCAGTGGAGCAGCGACTGCCTGATCAAAATGATATCGCAGGTCTCTGCCCCCTTACTACCGTGAGTGATTGATGGAGTTGCGCACTCTGATGCTGAGACGTGTAACATGTAGGTTACATCACGCGATATGGATTCGTTAGCGCTAGAGACTGATGCCGGACATCGTCTTCTCGTACGATACCGCAGGACGCAGAACAGTGGGGATCTCGACCGATCCATAAACCACTTTGAACGCGCGTTGGATCTATGTCCCGTGGACCATCCCTACCGCCCTGCAGCACTCTTCAATCTAGCCACCGCAAAGTTCCTTAGCTGCCAAGCTAATGGGATATACCTCAACATCGACATTCCTATCTCTCTTTTTCAAGATGCCCTTGATTCGCGTCCCATGGGTCATCCAGACCGACCTACCACTCAACTCCATCTCGCCATTTCTCTGCTCTCTCGCTTCGCGAAACACGGCTTTCAAACAGATGCCGACACAGCTAAAGATTTGCTGAGCGAAGTCATCGATGTTTGCCACTTCAACAGCCACATTTACAGAGCAGCTTTGGTTACAATTAAAACATCTGCTCTGCATTTTGTCGGAAACATTGACGTAAATGATTTTGAGCGGGAGCAGCGGGCAGCATCCGTGCATCCTTTATCGCTGGATCAACTTGTTGATCGAGCAGAGCGGTGTTTGCAGAGAGATGAACCCCATGAATTAGATGAAGTGATATTCCTTCATGTTGACGCACTGGTGTACTGCAACACCAGGCATGCTTGTCGAGCGCAGTTGCTAAGTAATTTGGCGCTCATGCTGGAAACTCGCTTCCAGCACCGAGGCAACGAAGAAGACTTGGATGAGGCTATCGCACTTGACAGGGAAGCGCTGACCTTGTGCCCCGCCGGTCACACAGATCGGTCTAATTCATTAAATAACCTCGCGAATGAACTCTTCTCCCGTTTTGAGCACCGAGGCAACGAAGAAGACTTGGATGAGGCTATCGCACTTGACAGGGAAGCGCTGGCCTTGTGCCCCGCCGGTCACACAGATCGGTCCAAGTCATTAAACAACCTCGCGGTTCTTCTCTCCTCCCGCTTTGAGCACCGAGGCAACGAAGAAGACTTGGATGAAGCTATCGCACTTCATACGGAAGCGCTGGCTTTGCGCCCCGTCGGTCACACTGGTCGGTCTATGTCATTGAATAACCTCGCGACTGGACTCTCCTCCCGCTTTGAGCACCGAGGCAACGAAGAAGACTTGGATGAGGCCATCGCACTTCATACGGAAGCGCTGGCCTTGCGCCCCGTCGGTCACACAGATCGGTCCACGTCATTGAATAACCTCGCGGGTGAACTCTTCTCCCGCTTCGAGCACCGAGGCAACGAAGAAGACTTGGATGAGGCCATCGCACTTCATACGGAAGCGCTGGCCTTGCGCCCCGTCGGTCACATAGATCGGTCCATGTCATTAAATAACCTCGCGATTCGTCTCTCCTCCCGCTTTGAGCACCGAGGCAACGAAGAAGACTTGGATCAGGCTATCGCACTTCATACGGAAGCGCTGGCCTTGTGCCCCGCCGGTCACACAGATCGGTCCATGTCATTAAATAACCTCGCGAATGATCTCTCCTCCCGTTTTGAGCACCGAGGGAACGACGAAGACTTGGATGAGTCCATTGCACTTCATAGGGAAGCGCTGGCCTTGTGCCCCGCCGGTCACACAGATCGGTCTAATTCATTAAATAACCTCGCGAATGAACTCTTCTCCCGTTTTGAGCACCGAGGCAACGAAGAAGACTTGGATCAGGCTATCGCACTTCATACGGAAGCGCTGGCTTTGTGCCCCGTCGGTCACACAGATCGGTCCACGTCATTGAATAACCTCGCGGGTGAACTCTTCTCCCGCTTTAAGCACCGAGGCAACGAAGAAGACTTGGATCAGGCTATCGCACTTCATACGGAAGCGCTGGCCTTGTGCCCCGCCGGTCACCCAGATCAGTCCACATCATTAAATAACCTCGCGATTCGTCTCTCCTCCCGCTTTGAGCACCGAGGCAACGAAGAAGACTTGGATCAGGCTATCGCACTTCATACGGAAGCGCTGGCCTTGTGCCTCGCCGGTCACCCAGATCGGTCCATGTTATTAAATAACCTCGCGAATGATCTCTCCTCCCGCTTCAAGCACCGCGGCAACGAAGAAGACTTGGATGAGGCTATCGCACTTCATACGGAAGCGCTGGCTTTGCGCCCCGTCGGTCACACAGATCGGTCCAAGTCATTAAACAACCTCGCGATTCGTCTCTCCTCCCGCTTTGAGCACCGAGGCAACGAAGAAGACTTGGATAAGGCTATTGCACTTCACAGGGAAGCGCTGGCCTTGCGCCCTGTCGGTCACACAGATCGGTCTATGTCATTTATCAACCTCGCGAATCAACTCACCTCCCGCTTTGACCACCAAGGTAACAGAGAAGACCTGAACGAGTCACAAGAAAACCTCCGTTGTGCATTGATTCTCCTGAGGCAACATGATCCTCGTCAAGCATCAGTCCATGTATCGCTTGCTTATGCCTATCTATCGTTCTATCGTTCAGCGCTTGACGACATTGAGGCAGGCGAAGATACGGACGGTCTCAATGTTGCTACAAATCACCTCAAAGCAGCAGCGAATATTGTCTCTGGAGGCTTGCTATTCCGCCTGCGGATTAGTCTAGACTGGGTTCACCATGCTGATGAATACAGACATGCTACTCAACTGGAGGCTTATGCGACTGCCATGCAACTTATGGACACTTACATGTCTACGACGGCTTCAGTTTCATCTCGACACAACGTCATGAAGGACTTCCCAAGTACACTTGCCGTTGATGCTGCATCGTGTGCTCTTCGTAGCGGTGACGTGTGTCGTGCTGTTGAGTTGTTGGAGCAAGGCAGGACTGTCATCTGGACCCAGATGACACGACTACGCATGCCCCTTGACGGTCTCCAGACACGCGGTGATCATGCAGCGACCCTCTTGAAGAGATTCAGAGACCTTAGCTCCCTCCTTGATAAACCTCCTGCGAGTCATCCAGACGCAACGTCAAGAGTCAGCGTAGACGCAGAAGAAACCCGGTACAGACGTCTAGTGAAGGAGTGGAAAAGTGCTGTAGAAGAGATCCGGAACATCGAGGGCTTCTCTCGCTTCCTCCTCCCCCCCTTATTCTCCGATCTTCAAGAAGCAGCTCGTGAAGGGCCCATCATCGTGCTCATTGGAAGCAAGTCATCTTGCTATGTCATCATCATCTCACACAAGCAAACTCCGATCAGCATCCAACTCTCTACCAGCATTGAGAAGCTCCAGATATTGGTGGACAAACTCCATCGCACAGATAGTCCAGCGCTCAAAAAAGCCTTGACGGAGTTGTGGGATGACGTCGTCCGCCCCGGTGGTTGAGAATCTGGACGGAATTGCACCACGAGGATCTTGAATATGGTGGTGCCCGACATCTGTCTTCAATTTCTTGCCGTTGCACGCCACTGGCGAGTACAGGCAACAAGGACGGTTCCTTTCACACCTCTACATCTCTTCATACACGCCATCGCTCACCGCGCTGATCAAGGCTCGCAGAAGTAATGAAAGGTCCCCTTCAGTACCGTTTGTTGCCGTTGGTCAGGATCACCCAGCCGGTGCCTCATTCACTTTGGATTCTGTGGAGCCTGAACTGGAATTGGTGCGAAACCTTTTGCCCCCTCCCCCAACTGTTTCGTTCTCTAAGATCACCAGTGTTGATGCCACGAAATCGAGAGCACTGTGCGCATTGCGAGACAATAGTTGGCTCCATCTTGCGTGTCATGGGACACAGAACATTGCCGAACCCTTCAAGTCGGCCTTTCTTATGCGCGACGAGCCGCTTTCGCTCCTAGACATCACACAAACAGATCTGTCTCGGCATCAATTTGCGTTTCTTTCTGCCTGCGACACCGCAGTGGGTGACCGCAATACTCCTGATGAAGTGATACACCTAGCGGCTGGCCTGCAGTTTGCCGGTGTCAAGAGCGTTATTGGAACATTATGGAAGGTCAATGATAGTACGGTGGAGCGCTTGGTCAAGGCATTCTATGAAAACTTTTGCGGGGATGGCACGATGAACTCCAAACGAGCTGCCCGGGCGTTGCACCGAGCGGTGTATTCGCTAGGTTCTGACCAAGACATACCTTTGGACCAGCGCATATTGTTCGTGCATATTGGCATATGATCGATACTGTGCGTCTTCCCACCTTGCTGATCAATGTATTTTTGACGACTTTGCATGTAACATCCAGTCATGGCCACGCAAAACTTGTTGCCAAGGACTTTGATATTTAAGATTTTGTGACTGTATACCTACACGATATGGACATCCAATTTTGACTTGAATTTAAATTTAAATTTTGTAGTTTATCACCTCGGAGCCAGATGTGGTTGTGCACTCAGGCTGATGATTTGTGGGTAAGATTGAAGTCGCACAACAATGATCTGGCATAACATCTTCACGTTGTGCGACAAGGATGATCTCCTGCTGAAATTGAGCTTGCGTCATTCAATGTATGATCCTGCTTCGAGCGTTCGAGATTCTGCTCAGCCTATGTATGTTTCATCAAGATCGCCAGGACTTTGTTAGAGCTACTGAATAATCCATCTATCAAATTCCGGCTCGTTCATCGACTCGGAGGACCACAAAATTCGTACTTGATCACTGGTATGTGGTTGATGCCAATGACAGGTTGCAACAGCTGTACCTGACTGTTTGAAGGCTGGATGCGAAAAAGCTGTAACATATCATGATGTGTATCTCATCATAATGAATTGAGTATCTGAAATCAGATGCGCATGATGCAGCCCTTCTGAGTTGGAAGCTTCCGCCACCGTTGCTCATGGAATCAGTCAGTCCAGCGCTAGCTAGGCATCTCACCATTGATCTCACTGCTCAAACTAGACGAACTAGCAGACCTGGGTTTGAAGGAGGGAATATACATTGGGCATATCCTTTGCTCTTGTATACTAGTGTCGCAGTAATGTCGACAGTCGAGCAGCGCATTATTGATGTGTACAAATGATTGCCCGTTTCGTTCTAGTGGTTACCAGGAAGCGAGTGCAAGGTCATATTCGTATTGGCTGCCTGCAGTTGATCTAAAACTTGAGTCCCACTGATAATTATATCTGTAGATTCTACTTTGCATTATTGTGCGATGAGTATAAGAGCCATTATCAGCATAGAAGCGACCGAAGAGGAAGCTGATCACCAGAATAGCGGCAGAATCGCGAAAACGTCATCATCATATGGACCTGATAGTGCTAGCGTTGGCACTCACAGATAATTTCATGAACACTACATGCCACTCTGGCACGACAAGGATCCCATGTCACTCATTCGAGCCTCGAAGCTACAGCAAGTTGCTTTGCTTGTCGTGTGCCCTCATGATATCATGGACTCCTGGCCAACAATCTGGACAAAATTGCAACACAAGGTCGACCATAGATCTAGATATATGAACGCATCAAGGAGAGAATACATGTAGCAATCAGTGAGATGCGACTAATTGCTGGGGCTCACATCAGTACCGCGAGCTTAAGGCATTTTGAGGCGCTTGGAGGGTGATGCCACAGCAGTTGCAGGAATCAAGTGCGTGCTATTTCAGCGACCAGGAGAGGTAACGGTTTTGGTTGTCGAAACTGGGAAAGAGATATGCTTGCATGGATAGTGTTCAACTGCCGCGGTGGGCGAGATATATTGTAGGTTCAATAGAGATACACATGAGCACCGAATTAGAGAGACGAGGTCTCAAGTGAAAATTTTGAAGGCATTCGGTTGTTCTATGTAATCAGGGACACATGCATATGTATGGTGAACAATAAGCGATTTGTTAATTCCACCTCAACATCACATAATATGGCCTTAATAAGAATGCCATACTCCCAGGGACTCGCCATTCTAATTAGAATAGATTACGCAAATCCTCTACACTGCCAGTAAATAGTGTAATAATGCTGAATATTTACACTTCGGGAAATCACACCCAGGTCCCACACCGGCAACATCCACCAGCAAATGTTACCGAATGCCAACGAGCGCAAACATACCAAATATGGTAACCATTTGCTGCTCATCGTCGGCAACATCCGAAAACCTTCGTGCTCACTGTTCTCGACAGTGAGCACGAGTACCTCACTCAAATCTCACCAGATTTTCAGGACCTTTTTAATTATTATGTCTTGTATGTTTCTGAATTCATTAGCAGTAGTATTGAGGTGTAGATATATGACAACAGAGCGAAATATAATATATGAAATATATGTACCCAAAGTCTAAGCTCCAGTGTGAAGGTGCTGAACGGCAGAGCTATTCTACAAAGTAATGCACAAGATTTCGCACAAGAGACTACGTAAGGGTGGCAGAAGGATCTGAGGAGGGGATAGATGTGGATGCAGAGTTGCGTTTCCTGGGGCCGCGCTTCTTTCCCTTGTCCGAGCGCTCTTTCCGTGCCCTCTTCTGGACTGGCATTGCTTCTCCTGAGACAGAGAACACACCATTGAGGTCGTCCGCAGGCCACTTTCCACTCTGCATTTCTGAAAGATCCAATGTTGACATAGTAGGTGTCTCTGTCGAAGGGGGGGAAGGCGACTGTGTGGGAGGAGCAGAAGTAACGTTTTCATCATCCCTCAACATCTCAGCCATCCTATCATCAAACCTCCCATTCTCCCAATCCTCGAACTCGCCATCTGAAAGGCGCCTAAAGCAAGTAGTATTAGTATGCCAGGCATGATACAAGACATGAAGTTCATTTCGTGAACTTATGTCACCAGGGCAGCAGAACTTCGACAGCGGCCACTTCTCAAGTACTACGCGGTACTTTGCTGTAATGTTGGTATCAAAGTTAGTATAATACATGCGCTGTGCATGTGCAGGTGCCGCTGCAGCCTCTGCGACAACAAACAAACAAGCCAAACATGAAAATGAGTCGGAGGAGGATAAAGATGGTGCACTCACGAAGCTTTTGTAATATCAATTCACTTAGCTTCTTCTTCAAGTCGAGGACTTCATCCAGGTGAGTCTTTGCAAGGCCTGTTGTAGTTGAAGTCAGAAAGATAGATTAGACATATACCGTATTCATACCTTGTACACCTGCAATACAATAGCCTTCAAAGCGAAATGCGAGTGTGCCGATTGAAGTCTTGAAGCAACAATCGAAGAATTCAGCTGCACGAGCGGTGTGGAAAACATGGGGCTGATTCCAATGTTCTGTATCTCCTCGTACACCAAGCAAGATGAATTCAACACCAGTACAACTATGTAAAGCTGTCAACTAGATATAATCATCAGTAATATAAATCTCGCTATATGAAATAAACCTTACCTCGCGATCTATCTTCTCGAGGGTCCTCTGAGCATCATTGAATGCGTGAACCATGGTGTTGTGAGTGGCTAATTCTTTCATTTCACGACGCTCAGTAAGGATTTCAATGACATCGTGAGTTTCGATGGTGCGTTGATCTTCATCCAACTCCTGCCAATGTGCGCGAATTTCGGACATGAGCTCACATGCCTTGTGACGCTTCTCGCCAGCCGGTAATGCTGTAGTGATACGTTGAGATGGCAGGAAAAAACAGATAAAAGTAGAACATACCTGCATTATGAAGTTCGACTTGTTTTTTAACGAAAGTGTTCCATTTATTGGCAATGTCACGAGTACCTTTAACGAACCATTATTCTTTCCTGAATCTTCCTAAGCGCCAATACACAGCGCCTAAGATTAACCCTAATCCTACCCCGAAAGCATCTACCAGTTCAGAGATTCCATTGGCGCCCACGACACGTGTCTTCGATGTGACTGATGAAGAAGACGAGTTCTTTGACAGTGATTAGATTAGATAAGATACAATAAGATAAGATATGGTCACGTGATACTTCTTTAATATTCTACGATGTTCTATGGTACGATTCCCTTTTCTATTTTATGATTGGCTAGTAGTTAGAACTCAGTTTCAATCTCTGTTTCAATAGTTGTATATAGTTAGCATGTCTTGGTAGATAGTTCCTTAGTTCAAACCTCTTGTATCTACAACTGTAGCAATCCAAGACGTACTTGCTCCTCTCTCTTTGTACGATAACCTTAGATCGAGTCCTAGTCTCTGCCCAAGCATTTATTCGTTATTTGGGTTGTGACATTAGGTTTGAACTATAGGAGACTCCGACTCTTTGCATACCGCTCGCATTCATCACTATATCCTTTGAATACTTGGTAGACCATTAGGTTAACCAACGATTCAAACGATCATCTTTACTCGTCGTTACACGTGTCTTTTAGCTGCATAACTGCGCAAAACATACGTCTAACATCATCACACATTTTACCTTGCCCGGTCTAAACAACCGCGACCCTTTTCTTTGAAACCCTTTCCTTTGCCCACTTGAGCGTTTTCTACCAATAGTCTTTTGTAGTTAGTAGTCCTATACCAGGCCCTGCCTTACATTGCAGCCGCCAGTATACGGAGGTGTTGACGACATTAGGCGTCTCACTGCAACTTGAAGTGCTGGCCCAAAACCCTGCCTGCTTCACGTTACTATAGTTTCCTTTTTACGATTACCTTTTCCTTCGTACGCACGTAGTACCTTTCCGTTAAGTTTAGTAGAACTGTCGCATCTGCGGATAGTCTTACCATCATTACCAAGAGGATTTAGATACGGGATTCTAGTGAGACTCGCACTTGTAAGCTTCGGCTGGAAGAGTGATAACTTGTCCTAGACCTGTACCCTTGTCGGTGATTGAGAAGTAACACACACGAAGCACACCGCGTTTTTCTCACTTAACAAAGGTGTAGTTTACGTACACTTCTTTTAGTTAGTAGATAGGGAAGTGTCAGAAGGGTTGAATAAAGAACCCTTTGACCCTGAAGTACGTGGTAGATCTGATTAGTATCGGGGACCGCTTCAGATTTCCATTTACGTATTCCCTTTTCCCTCTCCCTTTAATCATCATTCCTTTTCGGGTGGACCGTTACGACTCGTCCACCACTTCATTATTCCTTTTCCGGAAGGGCCGTTACGACTCGCCCTTCAAACTTCTTACGTCATTAGTAAAGCGGGTTCCAGAAAACAACTGGTACAATGACTAAAAAAACCTATTCCTTGCATGAGTTTCACGCACTTGATGAGGCTATGAATGGGCCTAAACAGCCGTTCAATTGTTACAAATGTGGAAAGCCAAATCACATTGCACGAAACTGCAGAACTCCGAATTCCCCTCCCTCCTCAGATAGCTCCACACCTCCTAATTGGTTCCAGGATTTCTTAGCTCAGAAAGAAGCAAAGAAGAAAGAATCAGAGATTCCCAAATGGTTCAAGAACTGGACCATATCACCAGAAGGCAAAGAGATGCTGGCTAAGATAAAAGCCAAGGCAGACGCACTTGCTAAAAAGGCATCAGAACCGCCTAAATGGTTTAAAGAATGGGAAGCTTCTAGAAGAAATAGAATCTTGGAGGAACAAGAGACAGACAAATCGGGCAGTAGATACTCGATCCTTGCAAACTTTGCGGATGTAGAAGAAGTAAATCTAAAGACAAAATCAGAACACTTCTATCTCCCCATTACACTGAAAGGAAAGAACAAATCTGCAGATTTGAAAGCTCTTGTAGATTGTGGAGCATCCACGCTCTTTATCAACGAAAAGTTTGTCAAGGAGAACAGAATTCGTTGTAGAAAATTACTGCGTCCGATCCAGGTTAAAAACATTGATGGATCTCTTAACGCCTCGGGATCGATGACCCATTTCGCCGAACTAGGTCTTAAAATCGGCAACCATGAAGAAGAAAAAGTAGCATTCATGGTTACAGATCTAGGAAGTGATGATGTGATCATTGGGATCGATTGGTTGAGATACCATAACCCTGAGATTGATTGGAACGCAGGGAAGTTTTCGCTTTCACGGTGCCCGGTGAAATGTGAAACTAAGAAGGAGAAAAGACTCCGAAACAGGGCTGAGAAAAAGAAAAAGTCGGAAGAAGTCGATGACGTACCCGGCTTGTTGCCTGCTATGGCAGATCAAGATGATGAAGAAAACGTGGCAGAGAAGAGAACGACCATGGAAGAAATAGAAGATGAGGAGAGTCCTGAGAGATTATGGATTCAATACAAAGCCTCGGTCGCCACGGAGCAGAAGGTAGCAGAAGAAGCTACTAAGAAGAAGCAGTCGGTAGAAGAGATGGTACCTGACTGGCTTCATGATTACCTGGGAGTTTTCTCAGAAGAAGAATCTAAGCGCTTCCCTGAAAGAAAGAAGTGGGATCATGGGATAGATCTTAAAGATGAGGGCGATCTTCCGCCAAATGCGAAACCCTATCCGTTGTCACCTAAAGAGATGGATACACTGAAGGAATGGTTGAAAACCGAGACTGCACTGGGACGTATCAGAGATTCACAATCTCCAGTAGCAGCACCTTTCTTCTTTGTGGCCAAAAAAGATGGCAAATTAAGACCGGTGATGGACTATAGAAAGCTCAATGAGAAGACGGTAAAAAATGCATATCCGCTACCGAGATCTCAAGATTTGATTGATGCTTTAACCGGTGCCACGATGTATTCTAAGATGGATGTATGATGGGGGTACAATAACATTCGTATGAAAGAAGGAGATGAGTGGAAGGCGGCCTTCAAAACGCCGTTTGGTCACCACGAACCGACCGTGATGTATTTTGGACTCACGAACTCGCCTGCAACCTTCCAAACGATGATGAATGAAATTCTGAGAGACCTAATAGATGGCAAAACAGTAGTCGTCTACATTGATGATATAATGGTCTTTACGAATGGAAATAGGGAGCAACACCGAAAGGTGGTACGAGAAGTCCTGAAATGGTTAAAGGAGAATGACCTGTTCTTGAAGCCTGAGAAATGTAGCTTTGAACAGTCTAAAGTCGAGTTCCTTGGGTTGATCGTGGAGGAAGGCAATGTGTCGATGGACCCTGTGAAAGTAGAAGGAGTATTGAAATGGCCTGTTCCCAAATGCGTAAAAGATATACAAGCATTCATGGGCTTTGCCAACTTCTATTGAAGATTCATACTTGGGTTCTCAGAGATAGCCAGACCAATGAATGATCTGCTAAGAAAAGATGTCAAATGGGACTGGACGGAAAAACAACAGAAAGCTTTTGATGAACTGAAGAAACATTTCACAGAAGCTCCCGTCCTAGTCATGCCAGATGTTGAGAAGAAAAAGAAAATAGAGACCGATGCTTCCGATTACGCAACAGGAGCAGTTCTCTCTCAACTGATGGAAGATGGATTGTGGCATCCAATAGCATATTATTCCAAATCGATGAATGATGCAGAAAGAAATTATGACATTCACGATAAGGAATTGCTAGCGATCATTAGAGCGTTGGAAGAGTGGAGGCACTATGTGCAGGGAGCACCTCACCCAGTTGGAATATGGACGGATCATAAAAACCTTGAATATTTCATGACGAGTCAAAAATTGACCAGAAGGCAAGCTAGATGGAGTCTTTTCCTAGCGGAGTATGAATTTACACTCCAACACAAGCCTGGCGTGGTTAATGACAAAGCAGACCGTCTTTCTCGGAGATCAGACCATAGAGGGGGGGTAGAAAACGATAACTCAGATCGCATTCTTTTGAAACCGGAATTCTTTACCGTAAAAGCTGCTAAAAGAGGCCAAGTTTTGGCGCATGGAGAAGAAAAGTTACTCCAAAAGATACGAAAATGCACAGAACGAGAGCCTGAAGTCGCTAGAGCGTTAGAAACGTTAAAAGCAGCACCGGTTCAATTGCGTGGAGGAATCGAAGAGTGGAATGTAGAGGATGGATTGGTGTTATTCCGAGGATTAGTTTACGTTCCAAATGACAAAGAGATCCGCCGAGAGATATTGGAGTTGTTTCACGACTCTCCACCGGCTGGACATCCTGGACGAGCTAAGACTTTAGAATTGATTTCCAGAAACTATTGGTGGCCTTCAATGACGAAGTATGTCCACGATTACGTAGATGGTTGCGATAGGTGCAAACAAACGAAAGTGCTCCCGAGTAAACCAACGGGGCCTTTACAGCCAAATGAAGTCCCAGAAGGACCTTGGCAGACAATCACCTGTGACCTGATAGTGGATTTGCCGAAGAGTGAAGGGTGTGACAGCATATTTGTAGTCGTTGATCGATTTTCGAAACAAGCACACTTCATCCCCACCACCAAAGACGTAGACTCGAAGGGTATTTCCGAGCTATTTCTGAAGAATGTATGGAAACATCACGGAACACCGAAGAAAGTGATCTCAGATAGAGGAACTCAGTTCATATCGAAGTTCATGGGACAGATGTCAAAAAGATTAGGAACGAAATGGTCTGCGTCGACCTCCTATCATCCCAGAACCGATGGACAGACTGAACGTGTAAACCAAGAAGTTGAACAATACTTGCGCATGTTCATGTCATACAAACAGAATGATTGGGTATCTTGGCTGCCAATAGCAGAGTTTTCACACAACAATGCAGTCACAGTAACCGGTCATAGTCCGTTTAAAGTTCTTTATGGGTATAACCCAGATTTCACGATTCATTCAAACTCTATGTCCGTAATCCCCGCCGCCGATGAGAGAATTGATCAAATGAAAGAAGCGAGAGATGATGCTGAAAATACTCTTAAAATGGTCAATGAGCGCATGAAACGTTTCTACCATAAAGGAGTAAAAGAAGCACCTCAGTATAAGATAGGAGACAAGGTCTGGCTTGACACAAAGAATCTCAAACAACGTCGTCCAAGTCAAAAACTGTCAGATCATCGTCTAGGTCCCTTCGAAATACTAGAGAAGATCGGTGAAGTGAACTACAAGTTGAAATTGCCGGAAAAATATCAGATCCACCCGGTTTTCCATGTAGAATTGCTTACGCCATATTACGCATCTCGATTGATTCCTCATCCTCCTCCCAACCGACCACCTCCAGAATTGATTGACGATCGGGAAGAATTTGCTGTAGAAGAAGTACTAGATAGCCGATTGTTCCGAGGAAAGCTGCAATACCTAGTGAAATGGGAAGGATACCCGAAGGAAGAGTCATCTTGGGAGCCAGAAGAGAATTTGAAGAACGCTCCAATTCCTTTAGCGGAGTTTCACAAGAAAAATCCCACAGCTGCAGCCGAAAAATACCGAAGAATCAAAGGATCAGTACTATTTACGGAAGATTTCAAAAGATGGAGAGAAAAGAATATTCGACCTTCATTCGTTCGTGATGACACTCACCTTAGAGAGGGGATAATGTCACAAGTACCTTTAACGAACCATTATTCTTTCCTGAATCTTCCTAAGCGCCAATACACAGCGCCTAAGATTAACCCTAATCCTACCCCGAAAGCATCTACCAGTTCAGAGATTCCATTGGCGCCCACGACACGTGTCTTCGATGTGACTGATGAAGAAGACGAGTTCTTTGACAGTGATTAGATTAGATAAGATACAATAAGATAAGATATGGTCACGTGATACTTCTTTAATATTCTACGATGTTCTATGGTACGATTCCCTTTTCTATTTTATGATTGGCTAGTAGTTAGAACTCAGTTTCAATCTCTGTTTCAATAGTTGTATATAGTTAGCATGTCTTGGTAGATAGTTCCTTAGTTCAAACCTCTTGTATCTACAACTGTAGCAATCCAAGACGTACTTGCTCCTCTCTCTTTGTCCGATAACCTTAGATCGAGTCCTAGTCTCTGCCCAAGCATTTATTCGTTATTTGGGTTGTGACAGGCCTTACGTGTGCCCTTGCGTATCCTCGAGCGTTGCATGATTTCCTCGAAGTAGTAGTTGACCGAGTGACGACCAAACTTCTCGTGCAGTAAAGTAGCTTGCTCCATCACAACATTCCAGGCTGCAGCAAGAGCTTCTGTGTATTCCGTACGGTGTTGTTTTCGTTTAGCTTTTAATAAAGCTTTCTCTGTGGGTGTTTTCTTGTAGTGCTGAGCCGCACGGTGTCTCCATGAAGAACGTGTTTTCATAGTGGAAATTTTTCGCATGCACGATGCATAGCGAGAGAGCGCGTTATCAGACTTCACGCCAGCCATGGGTGTTGTATGAGTAAAAACAACAGTGCAACATTGAAACAGTAAGAAGACACGTGACTTTGAGAGCGGAGCATGTAAAGTGATGACGTGACCAGTGAACCAGCGGCAAAGGCAATGACAAGGTTAGACATCAGGGGGACTGTCTTCAGCAGTGATCAGTCCCCAGAGGAAGAATGCTTCAGCCCTAGCCATTCCCTTGTCAGCGAGCTTGTCAACAAAGTCTTGACCCGAAGAACTCATGTCGTGAGCATAAGCGATATGGAGCAAAGCCTTCGCAGTATATCCGTGAGCTTGAAGATACCAGTCAGCCATGGGACCAAATGACGGGAGTGGGGTGTCGTCAAAGTGCGGCTGGAGTACAACACCATTGAGCCCATTGATCTCACGAATGTGCTGATATATTGGTGTGATGTTGGTGTTGGACGTTGCGGGACCAGTGGGCATTCTCCAAGCACGCGCTGAAGGGTTTTGTATAGTGGAAACTTCCGCATAAGAGGTGTGGAGAGCGCTGGCTGATGGTTGGTCTATGTGCACCCAAAGTATTAGTGTTAGATGTATACAACAAAGAGAAACTTACTGATGGCGCCAGACATGGGGCTCTTCATTCGCGATGCTGATCCTAAACACTTGTTTAGCAAGAGAATATAAGGGATGAAGGTAATAGCACATACCATCGGTAAGAGAGAGACCAGCCAAATTCAAGGTAGGAGCACGCGGACTGGTGATATCGGTGGCATCACCAAGACGGTGGGCCTTTGTGATAAGAAACTCTAATGCACTGGGGAGACTCTCCACCTTCTTGAAACAAGGACTAGAAAATCCGTTAACGGCTTCTTGACATTCGTCCCTGCAGACGAAGGTGTCAGATAGGATGATTGATGCACCAGAACTAACACTCACCACCGCAAGTAGATGCCAGACTCGTGGCCTACAACGACGACATAGAACTTAGTGACCGTTCCGTTAAAAAGTGAAGCGGCGCCAGGCGATTTGTAAAAGATGCGGGCAGCATCAGTGGGAGATGTATCTTGCGAGATCTTTTTCATGAGAGGCTGCAAAGTAGAAAGGACGTTCGTGGCCTGGGTGTGATTGTGGCATTTGATGGCTATGGGAAATGGTGCACTTCGGAAACCACCAGTGATAAAAGGTCTTCAAAAAACCCGCTCATTAGTGTCAAGTGGGATCATGTACTTATAGATAGACTCACCACTGTCTAAAAATGCCTGGATCTTTGCCACCAATCACAGCCCAATGAGACCCCATTATTTATATCTGAATTGTTGTGTCGTCGATGTGTTGATGGATAGTTGATGGTAGCGATGCGTTGATTCAGACAGTTGATGGCAGCTGTTGATTGGCAATCGATATGAGTGTTTATCACTGTTATCGATCAAATCACGCGACTGCCACTATTCACAACCTTAGAGTTTTCAACTTTGCACACAGTTCAGATCATCAGGCCTATGCTGCAGGGTACGAGGCCAACAGTAGTTGCAATGTATGAATTACAGAATCAAAAAAATGCTATCAAGGACGCAGCACCATGTCAGAGATAAATTCTACGAGAGTCCCTATGTCCCGCTCCAATTCGTTATCCTCATCTAGTCCTTCGGTCTCGTCATTCTCGAGCAGCTGATCTGTTGTCACAGTGGAGGGAATTTCAACACTGCTAGACCCCTTTCTAACACCAAAAGACTTGTCACCACTAAAACCGTCAAGACGATGAATCTGGGAAATGCGCGACAAGAGTTGTTGGCTGATACAACATCGACGAGTGCAGTGCTCACACACGGCCACAAAGATAGGCGAGTTAGACATCTTGAGTGCATCGAGTATTCGGGCGAATGCTTCGTTCTCAACAACGATTGCAGTGTGTAAGCGATGCACTTCAACATTACAACGAATAACCTCCTCCTTTGCGCGTTGAATGCGCAGATATTGGCGGATAGTCTCTCGAATTGCAGGCTTGGTCCATGGCTTCTCGCGAATGTCTTGTCGGGTTTCGCGAAGTAGATTGAATTCGTCAAGGAAGCTGAAATGTGAAACCTTTGACCACTCAAGTGGGGGACGTGGCGGTTGCAATTCTGATGCTGCCTCATTATATTTCTTGACGGCATTCTGGATAGCTCGACATCGAGTTTGAAGAGATTTCGCAATATGAGTGCACATCTTGTACGCTACAAATCCCTTCAGCAACATTTCAATGGATGAATCATCAACTGACCGGTTTGTGAGACATTAAGCCTTTGCAATTCAAACAAATGTTGCACAACAAGACGTTGCAGATTATCGAGGGCCTTATGATACTTGCGAAGCGTCAAGTATTTTAAAGTGTCTTGATATTCGGGCGATGACATGTTCCAGCGATTCACAATACCAAGCTTGATTTCCATGGAAACGACTTCGTGTTGAATGACAGCAAAGCGTTCAGCTGCATAGCGTCACTGCGTCTCAAGTTTCCGTGTCTGCGATAGATTGGCTGAATAGAAGTTGGACTCTGAGACAGCCGCGAACTGATAGTCATGTGGGACAGCAGAAACAAAGCGATTGAAGCTTGCAGAAGCTTCGCACCTAAAAAAATACATCAGTTACAAGTGCACAAAATAATGAAATACTTACTCGAGCGCTTGCATTTGTTGAAGCAATTCAACATACACAACGGCATGTGCATCCCACTCAGGCTCCTTCCCAAGTGTCTGGAAGTAGTGGATCTCTTCAGCTCGCCAATTCACAAGGTCACTGTCTTGTATACCAAGGGAAGTCTTTGCCTCCTCCAATGCTACAGTCTCTGATGATATGATGTGCAGCGCTTGCCGATAGTTATTGAGTAGCATGGTGCCGAGGTTCGCATACTTGTCTTCATCCCACTGCTTGAAGAACAGGTCCAGGAACACATGACGGCGGTAGGCACTGGCATAACGAATAACAGGTGCTAGCGCATTTGAAGCGCTGAAGATGCGCTCGGCAACACCAAAGTCTTCAAGTCCCGTGCCTTCAATGCCGAGGGGATGATGCTGTGTTTGACACACGTAATTGTGTGCGTAACCATGGAACGAGTCAACGCACAAGCGTGACTGCATTTCCATGAAGGTAGTACCCAACGACGAAGCACGAACTGTAGATGAGAATCCACAACCAATATCATAAGCACCAAGTGTGCGCTCTCCGATGACTTCAAGGACTTTGGCGACGATCGCCAATGGATACTTCGCTCTGCAGTGTGTGAGTCAGTAACATAACAACAATGAAAAAAATGACATACAACTCGCCACTCTTAATCATATCCGCATACCATAAGATGAATCCATGTCTACAGGCTGCGACGAAGATCCCTGTCTCATCAAAGATTGCCCACATCCTTTTCTTATCTTCGTCTGCCGCCGCCTTCCAGTTTTTACTGCAATCTTCAGCAATTATGTGTGTGTGGGGGACGTCTTCTTTGGCATCAGAGACGATATCATCAGGGTGACCATTGTCCCGATGTGCAGAGCGAGATTGCAGCACTTCGTTAGCGAAGCGATCAACAAAGGTGTGTGGAAGCTTGTAGTCACTCTCAGTATACACCCGGGTGTCACCACATTGTCGGTCACCAATGCCCATCATACGCTTGGCAGAATTCCCACCATCCATCACATACATACGTGTAAACTTGAGCGGCGATTCACCATTCAGTTCATAGGAGCATGGGGCACATGCATTGAGTACCCGCCAATTTGGTGTATCATGCCCAAGGGCCGTGTCCACTTGTCTCCCGACTTCGCGAAGAATGGTGAGGTATATATCAAACGAGTCTGCTAAGGCAGTGCGATATGAGCGGCGGTAAGCAATCTAAGGGTTGTAAGCTTGGATCTAACACACACATTGATGAAATACTTACCGAGTAAGAGTCGCATATTACCTTTGCGAAAGCTTCGATGCTGAGAGATGGCTTGCGCAAGCGAAGGAGACGGTAATGTTCGAGAGTTCGCAGGGATATCGCAATTGAGGGGTTGTGGGGCACATTGCCCAGAAATCCAGCAGATACAAGGGACTGAACTGGGGATAGGGAGTCTTCTGACCGGTGAAATGTTGCGTGCGTAGATAGTGTGAATATGTCCACCGTGTTGATGGAGAAGGAGTAGTTGCTGGAGTTTGGCGTTTGAATTATCTGCTGTGGTTCGAGAGAAATGCCGACTTGTGATGATTTCCAGGTAAGGTACGTGCTCACGAGCACAGGAATCAAAGGGCGCCAGTTAGCATGAATGGATTCTACCCGTTGACGCCATGTACGAGCGTCTTTACGTTGACGGTATGCCCATCTGAGAACAATCAGAAAATATCAAGTAGTAGAGAAAAAAATGTACGGGTTATCGATGTAGTCACGGATAGCATATACGATGCTTTCCTCGTTGGTCATATGGTCTGGGAGTGCCAGGAGTGCCTCTACATCCATCCCAATATCATCGCTGTTGACCCACTCGGTGTCTTCACTTTGTGTTCCTGGTTCATCGTGCAAGTCAGCGAGTGCATTGATAGTGTCATCAGCGAGTCCTAGGACCAATGAGATGTATCAAAGTACACAGAATGATAAAGTGCTCACCGGTGATGTCTAGTTGATAGCGTGCTTGTGAAGCAGCCCCTTCCTTGCTGACAAGTGCATGAGAGACAGTGCGGCGTTGAGATACATGGGTCTTATTGCCTGCATTGACAATCCGAACAGTGCGAGAGAGGCCTCAGTGAGACCTTGAGGGTGGCATAAAGGTGAGAGGAGGGAGGGAGAGAGAAGAAAGGAAAGTACTGCGTATTTAAGTATTGAGACACGCATGATAGTCGTGCTTGTTGTTGAAGGCAGTGAGCAGTGAATGGTTACCGTATTTGGTATGTTTGCGCTCGTTGGCATTCGGTAACATTTGCTGGTGGATGTTGCCGGTGTGGGACCTGGGTGTGATTTCCCGAAGTGTAAATATTCAGCATTATTACACTATTTACTGGCAGTGTAGAGGATTTGCGTAATCTATTCTAATTAGAATGGCGAGTCCCTGGGAGTATGGCATTCTTATTAAGGCCATATTATGTGATGTTGAGGTGTGTTAATTGTTAATAGTGGCGCATTCCAGCTCTCGTCCTAGTGATTATGTAATACTGCAGTGCACAATATATGCACTAGTACTAGTCGAACGTATAAAAATCTCACACCTTGTTCTGGGGAGAGCGTTTACCACCTGGCCTCCAAGATATCGATAGCCCAAAATTTTCCAAATTCATGGTCGATGACTTCGAGACTGCTCACACTAATCTTTTTTTGAACGTTGCTGTGCTATTTTTGTCACAAAAGTTGAACTTCGATACGTATACGACATTCAGGCAGTGCTTCCGACAATTCGCGGTAGCCTGCTATACGAATTCTTGTGAAAGTGTAGATTCTGTGGAATGCCCAGTCGCTCTTCTTCGGCCTCCCAACCTTCTCGTTTTGGCTATTTTAATCAATGATATCGCACCATATCTGATGTCCGCTGTAAACGAGGCGATGGGTGGCTCAATATTCTTGCTTCTGTCCTGTTGACTCATCGGCGCTACACCCATGTACATGCTGTGCACGTAGTTTCCTCCTTTTAATCCTTCAGGACTTTACAGGTACTGCAGTGTTTCGTGACCCCCAGCACAAACCTTATTCTCAAGTGATACTTTGATTCCATCTCTTATTCATATATCAACATTCGTCCCTGGCCATTTCAACGACTACTCTTCACCCTCGGTAGAGGGCCCGAACTACCCAGAACGCCCCGAGGACACAGGACAGAAAAACTTCGTAATCAGTGAAATGCTACGACTTGTCGTCAATAGTATGTGTAACACCTATCTTCATTTAGCACGTAGTACTGATGCATTTCCCAAAGCAATTCTGGCGACACTCTATTCTGTCATCACTCTCCTGTTACCGAGCTTCCAGCACGGAGGCACAAGCAAAGACTTGGATGAGGCTATCGTATTTGACAGGGAAGTGTTGGCCTTGCACCCCATCGGTCACCCAGATCGGTCCTCATCATTAAATGATCTCGCGAATGATCTCGCCGCCCGCTTTGAGCACCGAGGCAACGAAGAAGACTTGGATGAGGCTATCGCACTTCATACGGAAGTGCTGGCTTTGCACCCCGTCGGTCACCCAGATCGGTCCATATTATTAAATAACCTCGCGAATGATCTCTCCTCCCGCTTTGAGCACCGAGGCAACGAAGAAGACTTGGATCAGGCTATCGCACTTCATACGGAAGCGCTGGCCTTGTGCCCCGTCGGTCACGCAGGTCGGTCCATGCCATTAAATAACCTCGCGAATGATCTCTCCTTCCGCTTTGGGCACCGAGGCAACGAAGAAGACTTGGATGAGGCCATCGCACTTCATACGGAAGTGCTGGCTTTGTGCCCCGTCGGTCACACAGATCGGTCTAATTCATTAAATAACCTCGCGAATGATCTCTCCTCCCGCTTTGAGCACCGAGGCAACGAAGAAGACTTGGATGAGGCCATCGCACTTCATACGGAAGCGCTGGCTTTGTGCCCCGTCGGTCACATAGATCGGTCCATGTCATTAAATAACCTCGCGAATGAACTCTCCTCCCGCTTTGAGCACCGAGGCAACAAAGAAGACTTGGATCAGGCTATCGCACTTCATACGGAAGCGCTGGCCTTACGCCCCGTCGATCACCCAGATCGGTCCTCATCATTAGATACACTTGCAAATCGTCTCTCCTCCCGCTTTAAGCACCGAGGCAACGAAGAAGACTTGGATGAAGCTATCGCACTTCATACGGAAGCGCTGGCCTTGTGCCCCGCCGGTCACCCAGATCGGTCCATGTCATTAAATAACCTCGCGAATGATCTCTCCTCCCGCTTTGAGCACCGAGGCAACGAAGAAGACTTGGATGAGGCCATCGCACTTCATACGGAAGCGCTGGCTTTGCACCCCGTCGGTCACCCAGATCGGTCCATATCACTAGATAACCTCGCATTTCATCTCTCTTCCCGCTTTAAGCACCGAGGCAAAGAAGAAGACTTGGATCAGGCTATCGCACTCCATACGGAAGCGCTGGCCTTGCGCCCCGTCGGTCACACAGAACGGTACATGTCATTAGTTAACCTCGCGAATTGTCTCTCCTTCCGCTTTAAGCACCGAGGCAAAGAAGAAGACTTGGATGAGGCCATCGCACTTCATACGGAAGCGCTGACTTTGCACCCCGTCGGTCACACAGATCAGTCCTCATCATTAAATGACCTCGCGAATGATCTCTCCTTCCGCTTTAAGCACCGAGGCAACGAAGAAGACTTGGATCAGGCCATCGCACTTCATACGGAAGCGCTGGCTTTGCACCCCGTCGGTCACACAGAACGGTCCATGTCATTAAATAACCTCGCGATTGGTCTCTCTTCCCGCTTTGAGCATCGAGGTAACAGAGAAGACCTCGACGAGGCACGCGGGAAACTCTTTTGTGCATTGAATCTGCTTAGCCAACATGATCCTTTTCGACTATCAGTCCATAATTCGCTAGCCAGTGTCTATCTATCATACCATCGTTCAGGGCTTGACGACATTGGTGCGGGCGAAGATACGGACAGCCTCGATGTTGCTATGTATCACCTCAAGTCAGCAGCAAATGTTGTCTCTGGAGGCCCGCTATCCCGCTTACAAAACAGCTTCCTCTGGGTTCGCTATGCTGAACAACACAGACATGATACTCAATTGGAGGCATATGAGACTTCGATGAAACTCATGGACGCTTACATGTCCATGACAGCTTCAGTATCCTCTCGTCATAGGGCCATGAAGGACTTCCCACTGGCACTTGCCGTGGATGCTGCATCGTGTGCTCTTCGTAGCGGTGACGTGTGTCGTGCTGTTGAGTTGTTGGAGCAAGGCAGGACTGTCATCTGGACTCAGATGACACGACTCCGCATGCCTCTTGACGGTCTCCAGACACGCGGTGATCATGCAGCGGCCCTCTTGAAGAGATTCAGAGAGCTTAGCTCCCTCCTCGATAAACCTCCTGCGAGTCATCCAGACTCAACGTCAAGAGTCAATGTAGACGCAGAAGAAACCCGGTACAGACGTCTAGTGAAGGAGTGGAACAGTGCTGTAGAAGAGATCCGGAACATCGAGGGCTTCTCTCGCTTCCTCCTCCCCCCCTTATTCTCCGATCTTCAAGAAGCAGCTCGTGAAGGGCCCATCATCGTGCTCATTGGAAGCAAATCGTCTTGCTATGCCATTATCATCCCACACAAGCGAACTCCGATCAGCATCCAACTCTCTACCAGCATCGAGAAGCTCCAAATATTTGTGGACAAGCTCCATCGCACAGATAGTCCAGCGCTCAAAAAAGCCTTGACGGAGTTGTGGGATGACGTCGTCTGCCCGGTGGTCGAGAATCTGGACGGAATTGCACCACGAGGATCTCGAATATGGTGGTGCCCGACATCTGTCTTCAATTTCTTGCCGTTGCACGCCGCTGGCGAGTACAGGCAACAAGGACGGTTCCTTTCACACCTCTACATATCTTCATACACGCCATCGCTCACCGCGCTGATCAAGGCTCGCAGAAGTCATGACAGGTCCCCATCGGTACCCTTCGTTGCGATTGGTCAGGATCACCCAGCCGGTGCCTCATCCACCTTGGATGCTGTGGAGCCTGAACTGGAATTTGTGCGAAACCTTTTGCCCCCTCCCCCAACTGTTTCGTTCTCTAAGATCACCAGTGTTGATGCCACGAAATCGAGAGCACTGTGTGCATTGCGAGACAATAGTTGGCTTCATCTTGCGTGTCATGGGACACAGAACATTGCCGAACCCTTCAAATCGGCCTTCCTTATGCGCGACGAGCCGCTTTCGCTCCTAGACATCACACAAACAGATCTGTCTCGGCATCAATTTGCGTTTCTTTCTGCCTGCGACACCGCAGTGGGTGACCGCAATACTCCTGATGAAGTGATACACCTAGCGGCTGGCCTGCAGTTCGCCGGGGTCAAAAGTGTCATTGGAACATTATGGAAGGTCGATGATAGTACGGTGGAGCGCTTAGTCAAGGCATTCTACGAAAACTTTTGCGGGGATGGCACGATGAACTCCAAACGAGCATCCCGGGCGCTGCACCGAGCGGTGTATTCGCTAGGTTCTGACCAAGACATACCTTTGGAGCAGCGCATATTGTTCGTCCATATTGGCATATGATCGATACTGTGCGTCTTCCCACCTTGCTGATCAAAGTACTCCTGACGGCTTTGCATGTAACATCCAGTCATGGCCACGCAAAACCTGCTGCCAAGGACTTCGATATTCCAGACTTTGAAACTATATACCTACAGGATATGTACACTTGATTTTGACCTGAATTTCTATTTTCTAGTTTGTTGCCTCGAAGCTAAAGGTGATCGCTCTTAAGGTGAACTGATGGTTTGTGGGTACTTTTATCATAAGAATGAAGTTGCACAACATTGATCTGGCATAACACCTCATGTTGCAAGACGCAGTTTGGGATGATTAAGGTTTGGAGGCGTGAGGTTGTACTACATTCGGTCAAACGTCGCCAGTCACGTGATGTTACTTTCTTGTCGCGGTAATCAAACATTGCATGATCGGACATGCGACAAATGCCTAAGCCCCGACTGCCCGACGAGGTCTTAGCTCCTTGATAGTCGTCCCTTCCAAGTTCTATCTCAAAGTGGTCCCTGTGCATAAGTACTTCCGATAGCACCGACGACCATATTTACCTTGACCATCATCTCAATACCAATTAGACGCTCTTTGGGGTATTTATGTTCTCTGTTCCTCAAGAATAGTTATCGTTGACTTGTTACCTCTGCGATGGCAACTTTCGCTAAATCCTCCTTTGACAGTGCCATCTATGCGACTTTCAGACCGACTTACCCTAGGTCCCTGTTTGACTTCATATTCCGGTACCACGAGCTCAATAAGGGTGCAAGATGGGATAGAGCAGTCGACCTCGGTTGTGGGACGGGTCAGTTCAAGCTGTGCTCAATTTGGAGGGCTTGGACTCTTGACTTACTGTTGATGATTCTGGATTTCAGGTCAAGCAACAGTCGAGCTTACACCCTTCAAGAGTGTCATTGGCGTCGACCCAAGTTCTAAGATGATCGAAATCGCTCAAAGTACCCTCAAAAACACGCCAGCGAATACTGGTCAATATGAGTACGCACAGGCGAGCGCAGAGAATCTGACATTCTTGGAGGATAGCAGTGTGGATCTAGTCATTTCTGGTGCGTGTGTTAGACGTAGAAACTACCCTTTATTCATGATGCCTGCGTGGTTTCAGCCCAGGCGTGCCATTGGTTCGATTGGAATAAAATGTGGCCTGAGCTCGCAAGGGTGCTGAAGAGGAATGGAAGTGTTGCATTCTGGGTATGTATTCCCATCTCCGAGCCGTTACTTGTTCAGTAACTGTAAACATTTGCTTTACTTAGGGTTACTCCCAGCTCCGTTTTGCCCGCTATCCGTCACTCACGCCAAGGATCAACGCTTACGTCGAAGGCACGGACCCGCTGAACAGCATTGGCCCATACTGGGAGCAACCTGGTCGTTCGATTTTAGATAACCACTTGATTGAGGTGCCAGATGGCAATGAAGTTGTACCTGGCGCGCTCAGTAATTTCGAGAGAGTCTTCTTCACAGGTCTGTCTTAGACTTATTGTTACTCGACACTGCACTGATGCATAGCAGGCGACTACTATCCATCTCTCCCCTCCCCACGCTCTGTGATCATGCGCAAGAAGATGACATGGGACGGCTTGCTATCATATTTTAATACCTGGAGTGCATTGCACACGTTCCATCAGCACAACCCCACGGATGGGGAGAACCCGCATGGAGATGTTGCAGTGCGGTTCTGGAAAGACCTTAAGGATCGTGTCGAACAGGAGGATGGGAGAGTGGTGGAAGGACATGATGAAGTAGACATTGAATGGCCGTTGGCGGTGGTCATGGCCAAGAGAGCGCAATAGTGCTGGAGGGTGGTTAGTATTCTTTTCTTGGTGTCTTGCATATCATCAGACTAGAGACTACTTATGTGGCATCACAGGTAACGAAATTGCAATCAAAAAACTTGAACATGCTGATACAGACATGTTAATGACTGACTTTTAACCGTCCTGGATATGAATTGACCGAATACAAACTTCATTGCTCCACTGGAACACATCACTCACATTTAACGACGAAGAATTGCGGCCGCTGTACATGATTTCAACAACTCACAATCAAACATGGAGCTTTGTGTTAAGTGTGTCATTGCGTGAGTCGCATATTTTGTTCGACGTCATCTAGAATATTAATACTAACTTATTGTGCACATGAACTATCTAGGAAGCTCAATTACGAAAACTATCATTTTGACACTGCTAAGTAGTGTCAACATGTCAGAGATTGATTCGATTTGACAGTGCCCTGGTAATAATGCTCTAACTGTAGGCATTCTGATAAATTTTCCTTGATTGTAGTTGTCCATTGATAACAACTAGTACGATTGTGATTTATGAAGTTCAACCAGCATGGACAACGCTGATGACTTGCCATCACTGTTCGCCTGGTGACAGTACGTGAGTGCCTTGATAGTTTTAGTCCTTGACCCGCGCTCATGATTTCCATGCCTCGCTGCCGCTGCTCGCATGTTGACAGGGTGTAAGTGCCGTATGGTTTATAGTCCTCGATCCATACTCACCATCCTCATGCATTGCTGCTACTTTCCTGTTGATTAGAACGTGAGTGCCTTGATGGTATTTCGGATATCATTATATCGCGTTATCTTTGGTACTACGTAGACTTAGACTTGCGATTCGCTGTTCATCATCGTTTTCAATCATGAGAATTTGGCAATTGGCTCGGTATGCTTCGATGCTGAAGCGGACAGGCACGGCGACTGACACCATTGTCGATGCTCATGGGAGTAAGTCATGTACATGAAAGTCTGGAAGGTAGCGGTAGATCTAGAACAGACAAGTCATCTAGGAGGCGAACACAGCGCTGTATGATCGTCTCGTAGTTGAGCATAACCTAATCATCATCTTGGCTAAGGGAAAGATATCAGACAGAAAGCCGGGACGCACCATGAAGTGTACTATGTCTGCACGGTTGTTATCGGGTTCATTCTTTAGGTGACCATTGATCAAATGCCGCCGTGAGTATGATGTCAGTGAGCAAACTTTGTGGATCTAGCCCAATCAGCACGCCGCCAATGCGAGAACGGTAATAGCCAACAGTGGACTGACTAGCTGGAATCATTGAACGCTACCATACAGGCATGTCTCAGAGTCACCAGTACTTACCAAGGGGAAAATGAAATGCAGCTAGCAAGCACAAAAATCAAATTTCGAGGGAGGGAATTTCAATTCTACAACTTTAGCCTGCTGCTCCTGATATATGGATCACTTCAGCTATATTGACACAATTACCCAACTTTCGAAATTTGGTTAGACGGAACTCTGTCCACGTAAGAATGTTGATACCTTTCCAGCAATGTGGCTTGTATATGTACAAAGTGGCACGATTCGTCCGTCGGGGTAATGATAACAGCATTCGCGAATGATCAGTAGTCGTCATCATCATAATTACTATGATAAATATTATAAACATGCAAAGTTTGTGCAGGGGTCATGCTTACTCAGGATAGCCATCATTGAAAACGCCGAAGTCACCATGCATCTCCTGAAGAGAAACAGATCAATTAAAGTTCTTCTTTTCTTTTTTAAAAAATGCGAACGTACTGCATCATAAAATGGGTCTTCTTCGCCATCATCGTCGATGAGTTCCCAAGGTGGGTCGACAGCCACCCATCTACAAAAAGGGTTATTAGACAAAGTCACAAGGCGATTTCAACTCACTTCTCGATCGAATCGTCAATTTTCTCATTTCCGCGTTCACTGAGAGGCACCCAGAACTTTGAGCGAGGCTCCTTTAGCTTATAGATGGGCATGTATTTTGCGCCCGATTTGCTTCCCTCACGGTAAACACCATGGTTGGTTCCTGAAGACCAGGTGAAACTCGTTGCTCCTCCAGCATCGACAGCCGGTACGATAGGCCCGTTGACATGAAGTGTCACGGGAAATTTTTCGACTTCTGTGCAAAGTGTGAACAGCGCAGAAGGACTTACACCTGCCGGACTTACCAGTGGTAGACATGTACATAACATATGCTGCGCAACACGTCACTTGGGTGACTACATACTTCTCTTTGAGGACATCAGGTTTGGACTTGATCAGCTTGACGATGCGCTCATCGTTGGGAATGCTGATGTGTTTTGCCTTGTACATGACCATCATAGCTGCTCGCCTCCTACCATCGGACTCAAACTCAACTTTGAGAGCAACATTCCCTGCACCAGGCACAGTGCTGTAACGCAGTCAGATATATACCTAAAAACTGGATATTGTAGCACCCACGCTTCTTTGGTTGTGTCGACGTTCTCGACGGTGGCACCCCACGATTTAGCGATGTATGTGTCGTCCCCTTCCGTTTCTATGGGGCGTAGTGCTGGGTCCGTCATGTCGATATCGACATCGTTCTGCAATGTGTAAAGGTTCCCTTCCCGTTCGAATTCTCCAGTCTCCTTGTTGACCATTCCATAGTCGCCTACCTGTGCCTGTCAGGTCAATAGAAAACAAGTGGAGCCTTTGTGCATACATTGATCGCCGTTAGTGGATCCCAGTTGACGAACTGGTATGTAGGGGTGTAAAGGAGGTCCATAAACTTCCGTGACTCGGACCTCATCGCAAGGATGTTGCAGTCAGATGAGCAGGTTCTTGAGACCATGGGCAGTGTAGACTTCATTATATATCTTTGACCGGCGCTAAGACGTATTAGATAATGAACGATCTTCAAAGAGGCATAATTACCCATAAGTGCGGGCTCCACAGGATGATAATTGAGGTTACTACTACGAGAAAGAAGGCACAGAAAGACAATGCGGAAGAAGGGCAGTGCCAGCAGCGCTAAGCTCATGAGCTGTATCCTCACAGCTTCCAAGTACATCCTGTGTTTTCTTTTCGAAATTCTCTGAATGTTGCAGGCTTTAATTTGAGTAAGTTTCCGCACAGCTGGTGGCATCCAGGCTCGGACTTATTTCGATAGGCGACTGGCCAATATGCCGCGACATATTTCAAAGTCCGACACATACTCGATCAGGCAAGTTTACTGCAAAGTCCAAGCAAAGTCTGCAATTACGAGCTTCATCGTACACTAGACATGTGGTCTACCTCTGCTGTACAAATTTGTCACGCCCAGCTGTGTAAATGAGCGCTGTGGTTTCCTCGATAATTCTTCAGGATCTTGTCAGTATAGATTGTGACCTCCAGCACACATTTCATTCTCAAGTGATCCATCCCTCAGTCTATGTCAAGATTCGTCCCTGGCAATTTCAATGACTACCCTCCACCCTCTGGAGAGCCCAACCCATCCAGAACCCATCCAGGACACAGGTCAGAACAACCTCGCGATCAGTGAAACGCAACAAGTTCAAGTCGTCAATGGTATGTCATCTATTTTCATTTCGCACGTAAGCTACACCAACCACACCAACTCAAGTATCCGGGAGAGACAATCTTTATGGTCAGTAGATTGCCACGAGTCGTCATTAACAGTATGTGCTACCTACTTGCTACTACCTTTACTCAGCACGTGGTACCCATGATTTTTCATGACAAGTTCCATGTCGAACCTACTCAACGATACCCTCCCAGCCTCGTTTAGCAACACGGGACACACCCAGGACCCGGTAGAGACGCACGTCGATGGAACGCAGCAAGTCGTCATTACTGGTATGAAATATCGATCTCCATTTAGCACACATTGATGATTTTCAAGTCACTCCCTGATCTTATTCTTGGTTTCCCACGGATCCCCGCTGGATGTCATGCGGTGGTCAAGGCTGACGGTGCTGAATACCAGACAAGCAAAAAACCTGTAAACGTAGACATGGCTATTGTAGAATGGCATGAGCGCATTCTCCTGTAAGTGATCCTTAACCACGTCCGTCCTGCAGGTCCTGAGAAAGAATCCAGACCAAGCAAGTCATCCCACAAAGTTCGGGTTAGTGTGTATGCCTCAATTAAATTGAGTCCCATGCTCTGTCATGGAGAACTCCTCAGCATACTCGAGATCTCCGTCGGAGAATTACTGGATTGCAGCGAAAGATCCTATCGTCAGTATTGTCTATTTTAGATAACACTTGAGGAATGCTAACGATTAACAGCCATAATATTTTAGCCAAAGCAGGAGGAAATTGTATCCGCTTGTACTTTACTGTCCGTGACAGTGGAGCAGCGAATTTCTGGTCAAACCGAAGCCGCAGTTCTTTGTTCCCTTACTACTGTGAGTAATCAATGCAGTCTGAAATTCAATGCTGAGAGCTGTAACGTGTAGCTTAGATCCCGCAATATGGATGCGTTAGCGTTGAAGACGGATGGTGGATATCATCTTCTCGCATAAATACCGCAGGACGCAGAACAGTAGGGATCTGGACCAATCCATAAAGCACTTTGAACGCGTCTCGGATCTCTATCCTATGGACCATTCCTACCGCCCTGCATACATTTTGGTAGAAGCATTGATGCACATAATCTTGAGCAGAAGCGGCCCGCTGCATCCATGCTTCCGTTATTGCCGAATGAGCGGTGTTTGCAGAGAGATGAATCGCGTGCCTTGCATAAAGTGATATCTCTTTATTATGATCTACTGTGATACTCAAAGATTTGAATCCGGCTATCGCAATTTATACAGGAGTGCTGGCTTTGCGCCTCGTGGATCACCCAGATTGGTCATGACATTCAATAACCTCGCGGCTCAACTTTGCTCCCGCTTTCACCACCGAGGCAACGACGAAGACTTTGGATCAGGCTATCGTACTTCACAAGGAGGTGCTGGCCTTGTGCCCAGTCGGTTACGCCAATCAGTCCAGAGACTAAATCACCTAGCGCATCGACTATCCACCTGCGTTGAGCACCAACATAACATGAGACCTTGACGAGTCACTGGAGAAGCTACACCGAGCATTGACGCAACACGATCCCCTTCAATCACTTATCCATATGCGGTCAGTTCAGTTCTATCTCTGACAAGGTCACATGTAGCGTCCAGTCATGGTGACGCGCAAGCTGTTACCAGCGTCTTTGATATTGCAGACTTGGAGACTATATACCTACATGATATGCACACCCAAATCTGACTTCAATTTTCATTTTTAACTTTGTAGCCTCGCCAGTGCCAGAGGAGACTGCTCCTGTGCACTCGAGCTGATGATCTGTGAGTAAGAATGAAGTTCCAACAACACTGATCTGGCGTAACATCTCATGTGGCAAGACGCAAAATGTTTGCGATGAATGTGATAGTCGAGTGTCTGGATTGAGTAAGGGCGTTGGATGCACGCCCACTAACCATGACATCTAGTGCTTATGAAGAGCTTGAGACGGGGAACAAGAGCTTCATGCTGGTTTAACCATGTTCGCAGGATCTTACGGGTCCTGGTCGAGGATTTTGAATGGCTTATGAGGTAGGAACGGGAGATACGTATGAAACCACTGGACCTGGTCATTAGCCAAATACGAAGTATCTCACCTGGTCCCCGCGTTATGTATTAAAACAATACAGTCGAGTGAACATGCACGATGTCCTGCTGAATTTGAGCTTGTATCGTTTCAATGTTCGAACATTCGATCCTGACGGTTATTCGAGAGCATGTCTCATCAAGATCGCCCTGAGGGCTAACTGCGACTTATATTCCGGCTTATCAATATCCCGAAGAATGACAGACCTTCAAGTGAGCTTATGTAATTTCTGGTCGATGGTGAAATATTTGTAATCGATGATGATCCTACTAACTGCCATCGTTGCTCTGCTAGTTGAGCAATCTCGCAGCACCTGCTGGTGCTGCATCGAGGATTTCCTGATCAATCATCAATGGCGTGATGCCTGCGTGTACCCAAACTGATCAACCTATCTATTTCGAACTTGTTCAGCCTGTCGAGGTCAGTAGCTATAAAATGCACGAAATGGATTGTATTGTCGCGTCCAGGTCCTGGGTTAACAGTCAATACTACTCTAAGCGTTTCATACCTATTTTGCCATAGATCACCATGTCGACCTCCACGCTCTTCTCCCCCATCCGTATAGGCAACATTAACTTGCAGCATCGGGTTGTCCTTGCCCCACTTACCCGTTTACGTGCACACGCAGATCATGTCCCGACTCCACAAGCACCGGCGTATTACGCTCAGAGAGGATCTACCCCCGGCACTCTTCTCATTGCAGAGGGTACAATCATATCTCAGGGTGCTAGTGGTTATGATAACGTCCCTGGAATATACACCGATGCCCATGTGGAGGCATGGAAAAAGGTGTGTCGTATTTTGCTTAATAATGGATGGGTCAACTCATGCCCCGGATTTCAGGTGACAGAAGCAGTCCACGAGAACGGCTCTTTCATTTTCCTACAGCTTTGGGCGGCCGGCCGCGCCGCAGACACAGCTGTTCTCGTCAAGGAGAACAACAGTCCCCTTGTCGGTCCCTCACCCATCCCCCTCTCAGGACAAACAGACGTGCCACGTGCACTCACAACGGATGAAATTGAGGAGTACGTTGCCACGTACGCCAATGCCGCAAAAAATGCCATTCGAGCTGGCTTCGATGGGGTTGAAATCCATGGTGCAAATGGGTTCTTGATCGACCAGTTCATACAAGACGTTAGCAACCAACGTACAGATGAATATGGGGGAAGTATCGAGAATCGCGCAAGGTTTGCGCTCGAAGTAACAGATGCGGTTGTGGAGGCCGTTGGTGCTGAGAGGACAGGGTTTCGAATCAGCCCATGGGGCGTATTTAACAGTACGTGCATAATTGGGTGCAACCTATCTTTATTTAGCTGATTTGCGGTTCAGGTATGGGAATGGAAGACCCCAAACCCCAGTTCTCCTACGTGGTCGAGCAACTCCGCAGACACAAACTTGCGTATATCCATGTTGTGGAGCCAATGCCTGCCGAAGTTACCGCTGAAAATAATAGTGATTACCTCCGTGACATCTGGCAAGGGGTTGAAGGCAGCACTTTCATCAGCACAAACGGGTTTACGCGGAATAGCGCAATGGAGACGGTAGACAAGAAAGGCGGCCTGATTGGATTTGGGAGGTTATTTATGCCAAACGTGAGTGATTTGTTTCTCAGATTGTGTAGTGACTAATAACATGTCCCCCTTTACTAGCCCGATCTTCCGTTCCGCCTGCTAAAGAATATCGGACTTGAGCGGGGTGACCAGGCAACATGGTACATGAAAGGTAATCTTACACCGACTGGTTATTCGGATTGGCCCTTTGCGCCGGAGAATGTTCAGCAGCGCAGCAAATTCTGACATGGTCAGCGATATACCTTAGAACAGATATTATCTTGCTGTATACACGTGCCCGATATCATGATCAAGCTTTCATGACTTGATCGGGAATCGTATCTTGTGCCAAGAGGCACCGAGAGGATCATGGGAACAAGTTTGTGAGTGGACTTCCCCGACAGTCGCGCAACTCGAGGCACCTGAAGGCGCCGTACCCGGATCACTGCGATAAGCAATGGAGCGGTGTGGACAGCATTTTTGTTATCGCAGCGGAGAATTCATGATATGATGTTATTAGAGTGTATCATAGGATTTGGAGGGAGTGTTTATTCACCTACCACGATCTGCAATTATTGATATCGAGCATGGTATATCAGACTGAATTTTTTTTATGTAAACGCTGCTGTGCTATCTTTGTCACTGAAATTTATCCGACGCCCGCAATAATATAAATGCAAGGCTATGAATCATGCAATGCATGATGGGCGACTAGATATGTGACTTCTGCGAGTCGCTTCTGACGGTCATGTTGACTCATCAGCGCTACACATTCAAGCTGTGCATGCTATGTGTAGTATGCTGTGGTTCCCTTCTTTATAATCCTTCAGGACTTTGCAGTGTTTCGTGAGTTCCAGCCCACGTCTTACTCTCAAGTATTAGTCCATCCCTCAGCCCTCATTATGGCCCGTCGACGACGTGTCACCTCCGAGTCTTCAAGCTCGTCGGAGTCGGACTCTGATTCAGACTTTTCTTCAGCGTCATCGCGTAAAACTTCCTCGAAACCTCCAGCAGAGAATTCTGCTTCCAGTACCGAGCCCTTCGAAGGGACAAAGCGTAAGCCATCAAACAACGATAATAACAACAAGGCGAACAGTTCAAAGCGTCCTCGGTCGTAAGTTGTTGTGTTGTACAGCACACATATGGTGTTAATCTCGCATTTTTAGGCAAAAAAAGGACGAGTAAGCATATGAGCCATTGATCATCTAAATGCGTAACAATATGCGTATTGTTTAGTCAGGAGACAAGCCACCCAGGACACACCCAGGACCCGGGAGAGGTACACCTCAGTGGAGTGCAACAAGTCCTCATTACTAGTATGTAATATCAGTCTCTGTTTAGCACATATTGACGATTTCCAAGCCATTCGCGCAACTGATCTCGCCCTTGGTCTCCGATGGATTCCTGCTGGGTTCCTTGCAATGGTCAAGGCTGACGGTGCTGAATACCAGACAAGCAGCAAGCCTGTAAACGTAGACCAGGCTGTCGTCGAATGGCACGAGCGCATTCTTCTGTAAGTTGTCCTTAAACCCGTCTGTCCTGCAGGTATTGAGAAAGACTCGAGGCCATGCGAGTCATCCTCTAAAGTTCGGGTCAGCGTGTATGCCTCATTTGAATCGAGTCCCATGCTCTGTCACGGAGAACTCCTCCGCACATTCGAGATCTCTGTCGGAGAATTACTGGATCGCAGCGAAAAATCTCGTTGTCAGTATTGCCCATTGCAAGTTACGCCTGACGGATGCTAACGAGTTTTACAGCCATAATCTTTCAGCCAAAGCAAGGGGAAGTCGTATCCGCTTGCACATCACTGTTCATAACAGTGGAGCAGCGATTTTCTGATGAAAATGATGCCGGAGTTCTTTGCCCCTTTACTACTGTGAGTGATTGATGGAGGCTCGTATTCTGATGCTGAGAGCAGTTACGTGTAGCGTACATCCTGCGATATGGATGCGTTAGCACTAAGGACGGATGCCGGACATGGTCTTCTCGCACGGTACCGCAGGATGCAGAACAGTGGTGATCTCGAACAATCCATAATCCACTTTGAACGCGCATTAGATCTCTGTCCCATGGACCATCCCTACCGCCTCGCAGCACTGTCTAATCTAGCCACCGCAAAGTTTATTAGTTGCCAAGCTAACAAAGGATACCTCGACCTCGGTATCCCCATCTCCCTCTTTCAAGACGCGCTTGATTTGCGTGCTACTGGTCATCCAGACCGACCCATCACCCAACTCCATTTTGCCATTGCTTTGTTGTCTCGTTTTGCACAAGGGGGATTTCAAACAGATGCCGACATGGCTGAAGAGTTACTCAGCGAGGTCCTCAATGTCTGTCACCCAAACAGCCACGCTCACAGAGCAGCTTTGATCGCAATCGAAGCATCTGCTCAGCATTCTCCTCGAAGCATGGATACAAATGATCTTGAGCACGAGCGGTCCGCCGTATCCACGTTTCCGTTATCGCCGAGCCAACTTCTTGATGGAGCAAAGTGGTGTGTGGAGAGAGACGAACCCCGTGCCTTAGATGAAGTGATATCCCTTCATTATGATGCACTGGGATATTACAACGCCGGGCATCCTTACCGAGGGCAATTGCTAGGTAATCTGGCTAAACTACTGCACATCCGCTTCCAGCGTCGAGGCAACGACGAAGACTTGGATCAGGGTATCGCACTTCTGCAGGAAGTGCTGCCCTTGTTCCCGGTCGGTGACGAAGAGCGGTCTGTGGCATTAGGGAACCTTGCGGGTCAACTCTCTACCCGCTTTGACCGCCGAGGCAACGACGAAGACTTAGATCGGGCTATCGGACTTTACAACGAAGCACTGGCCATGCGCCCGGTCGATCCCACAGAGTGGTGTGCGTCATTAAATAACCTTGCGGTTCAACTCTCCACCCGCTTTTACCACCGAGGCAACGATGAAGACTTGGATCAGGCTATCGGACTTTACAAGGAAGCGCTGGCCATGCGCCCGGTCGGTCACACAGATCGGTCTTCGCTATTAAACAACCTTGCCAATCAACTCTCCACCCGCTTTGACCACCGAGGCAACGATGAAGACTTGGATCAGGCTATCGCACTTCACAGTGAAGTGTTGGCCTTGCGCCCGGTCGGTCACACGGATCGGCCCAAGTCATTACAGAACCTTGCCACTCAACTCTCCAAACGCTTTGACCACCGAGGCAACGATGAAGACTTGGATCAGGCTATCAGGCTTCAGAAGGCAGTTCTGACCTTGCACCCGGTCGGTCACACAAATCGGTCCAGATCATTAACTAGCCTCGCGAATCATCTCTCCACCCGCTTTCACCACCGAGGCAACGATAAAGACTTGGATCAGAGTATCATGTTTGACAGTGAGGCGCTGGCCTTGCGCCCTATCGGCCACACAGATCGTTACGTGTCATTACACAACCTCGCGACTCAACTTTCCACCCGCTTCGATCGTCGAGGCAATGACGAAGACTTGGATCAGGCTATCGCACTTCAAAGGGAGGCACTGGCCTTATGCCCGGTCGCTCACACAGATCGGCCTGCGGCATCAAATAGCCTTGCGAATAGACTCTCCACCCGCTTTAACCACCGAGGCAATGACGAAGATTTGGATCAGGCTATTGGACTTCTCAGGGAGGCGCTGTCCTTGCGCCCAGTCGGTCATACAGATCGGCCCAAGTCATTCATTAGCCTTGCGAATACACTTTCCACCCGCTTTCACTACCGAGGCGACGACGAAGATTTGGATCAGGCCATTAGACTTCTCAGGGAAGCGCTAGCCTTGCTCCCAGTCAGTCATACAGATCGGTCTGAGGCATTACATTCCTTTGCGAGTATACTCTCCACCCGCTTTGACCACCGAGGCAACAGTGAAGACTTGGATGAGGCTATCGCACTTCAGACGGAAGCGCTGGCCTTGCACCCAGTCGGTCACGTAGTTCGGTCCAAGTCATTAAATAACCTAGCGGCTCACCTCTCTACCCGCTTTGACCACCGAGGCAACGACGAAGACTTAGACCAGGCTATCTCACTGTATCGGGAAGCGCTGGCCTTGCATCCGGTCGGTCACACAGATCGGTCCGCGTCGTTAAGTAACCTTGCCATTCAACTCTCCATCCGCTTTAAGCACCGAGGCAGTGACGAAGATTTGGAACAGGCTATCGCACTCCACAGGGAGGCGCTGGCCTTGCGCCCGGTCGGTCATACAGATCGGCCCTCGTCGTTGCATAACCTTGCGGCTCACCTCTCCATCCGCTTTGAGCACCAACACAACAGAGAAGACCTCGAGGAGTCACGAGACAGCCTAGTCTGTGCATTGTCTCTGTTGACGCAACATGATCCTCGTCAATTACTAGTCCATAACATGCTAGCTAATGTCTATCTGTTGTTCCATCAATCAGGACTTGATGGCACCAGCGCAGGTGAAGATATGGACAGTCTCGATGCTTCTATGCATCATCGCAAGGCAGCAGCAAATGTTGCCTCTGGACGCTTGCTATCCCGCCTGCAAAAAAGTCTCATCTGGGTTAGGGATGCCCGTCAACATTCACATGACACTGAACTGGAGGCATATGCAACTTCCATGCAACTTCTGGACGCTTACACATCTACAACAGCTTCAGTATCGTCTCGTCACAATATCATGAAGGAATTTCCAAGCACACTTGCAGCTGATGCTGCATCGTGTGCTCTTCTTATCGGTGATGTATGTCGGGCTGTTGAGTTGTTGGAACAAGGCAGGACCATCATCTGGACCCAGACGACACGACTCCGCACCCCACTTGACAGCCTCCAGAACCACAGTGATCATGCAGCGGCCCTCACCAAGAGATTCAGAGACCTTAGCTCTCGCCTCGATAAACCTCCTGCGAACTATCCTGAAGCAACCCCAAAAGTCAATGTAGACGCAGAAGAGACCCGGCACAGACGTCTAGTGGCCGACTGGAATAAAGCTGTAGACGAGATCCGGACGATCGAGGGCTTCTCTCGCTTCCTCCTTCCTCCCCTATTCTCCGATCTTCAAGATGCAGCTCGTGATGGGCCTATCATCGTGCTCATCGCAAGCCAGTCGTCTTGCCATTCCATTATTATTCCACACAAGCAACCTCCGACTAGCATCCAACTCTCTACCAGCGTTGAGAAGCTCCAGATATTGGTGGACAAACTCCATCGCACAGATAGTCCGGCGCTCAAAAAAGCCTTGATGGAGTTGTGGGATGACGTCGTCCACCCAGTGGTCGAGAATTTGGATGGAATTGCACCACGAGGTTCTCGAATATGGTGGTGCCTGACATCTGTCTTCAATTTCTTGCCGTTGCACGCCGCTGGCGAGTACAGGAAAAATGGGCAGTTTCTTTCACAGCTCTACATCTCTTCATACACGCCATCGCTCACCGCGCTGATCAAGGCTCGCAGAAGTCATGAAAGGTCCCCGTCAGCACCCTTCGTTGCCATTGGTCAGAATCGCCCGGCCGGTGCCTCATTCACTTTGGATGCCGTGGAGCCTGAGCTGGAATTGGTGCGGAAACTTTTGCCCCCTTCCCCAACTGTCTCCTTCTCCAAGATCACCAGCGTTGATGCCACGAAATCGAGAGCACTGTGCGCATTGCGAGACAATAGTTGGCTTCATCTTGCGTGTCATGGGACGCAGAACATTGCGGAACCCTTCAAATCGGCCTTTCTTATGCGCGACGAGCCGCTTTCGCTCCTAGACATCACACAAACAGATCTGTCTCAGCATCAATTCGCATTTCTTTCTGCCTGTGAAACCGCAGTGGGCGACCATTATACTCCTGATGAAGTGATACACCTAGCGGCTGGCCTGCAATTTGCCGGGGTTAAGAGCGTCATTGGGACATTGTGGAAGGTCAACGATAGTACTGTGCACCGCTTAGTCGAGGCGTTCTACAAAAACCTTTGTGGGAATGGCACAATGAACTCTAAACGAGCTGCCCGGGCGCTACATTCAGCGGTCCTGTCGTTGGCTCGTGACAAGGATAATCCATTACCCTTGGATCAGCGCATATTGTTCGTGCATATTGGCATATGATCAATTCCGTGCGTCCTCCCACCTTTTCCATCAAAGCATTCTAATCTGACACCTTCTCATGTAGCATCCAGTTATGGTCACACGCGACCTGATGCCAAGGACTTTGATTTTCCAGACTTTGAGATATACCTACGCGATATGTACACCCGATTTCGACTTCAATTTGTATTTTCCAGTTTGTTGCCTCGACATCAGAGGTGATCGTTTCTAAGGTGCGACTGGTGATTGTGGGTAAGATTGAAGTCGCACAACACTGATCTGGCACAACACCTCGTGGGGCATGACACAATTTGCGATGAAGGTGGTAGTTGAATTCTGAGTGTCTGAACTGCGTGAAGGCCTTAAATGCACACTCACTCATTTTGCAGCACCGAAATCCAGTAGTTACGAGGAGTTCGGCCCTGACAAGATAGACAGACCATAGACAAATGAAGATACGTAGTCGTTCGTTCGGAATAGATCACTGCTATGATATACAAGCGCTAAAGTAAGCTGGAGCCAACCATCGTGTACGCACATTTTCTTGTTGATCATACTTGGTTTACCGTACTCCTTTTCTTCTAATTAACGTCGCGCTGTTGTTTTCTCCAAGGTATTGTCTAGTATCAGTTATGTGTTAGTACTCACGAAGGGTCCTTTCTCAGAGCGGCATTCACGGTTGTGTACCTCGATTAGAGAACAGACTGCCTTCATTGATATCAAGTGTCTGATTCTCTTTTGTTTCCTATTCACCTTTAAAAAATGGCGATCGTATCCCCACGTAGGAGACATGACATGATGACATGAAACCAGTGATTAGCCAAATTCAAATTTCGAAGCATCTCACCTGGTCCCCGCATCAGTACGTGTTATAGCAATACAGTCGAGTGAACAACCGCGACCATAATGATGTCCTGCTAAATTTGAGCTTCAACGTTTGAGTGGCAAGAGCGCATTCGAGATCATGAAGCTGTGGCCAAGATCACCAGGGCCCAGGACGTCGTCAGAGCTGCCGAACAATCTGGAACTTCTCTTCTGTCAAATTCCGGCTTATTCATTCATAACTGACTCAGAGAATGACAGACCTTAGCCTTGGGGATGGTGAAATATTTGTAATCGACGATCTGAGTAATAATGTGGTCGGAAGTTTCCGCCGTCGTGTTGCTCACAATCAGCCAGCCGGGTGCATTATTTCCTGACGACAGTATGTCCTGACAAACCTATCTATTTAAAACTTGTTCAGCTGTCCAGGTTGCCTATAAAATACACGACATGGATTGGCGTTACCCAGATCCCCAGTCAACCACACTCCAAGCATTTCATACCTAGTTTGCAATAGTTCACCATGTCCAATTCTTCGACCTCCGCACTCTTCTCCCCCATTAGCGTAGGCAACATCACGTTGCAGCACCGCGTCGTCCTTGCCCCACTTACCCGTGTACGTGCACACGTAGATCATGTCCCAACCCCACAAGCACCAGCGTACTACTCTCAGAGAGGGTCTACTCCCGGCACTCTTCTCATCACAGAGGGTACATTCATATCTCAGGGTGCTGGTGGTTATGATAATGTTCCTGGGATATACACCGATGCCCATGTGGAGGCATGGAAAAAGGTGTGTCGTGTTCTGCTTCATAATGGAAGAGAATCAACTCATGCTTCGGATTGCAGGTGACAGAAGCAGTCCACGAGAATGGCTCTTTCATTTTCCTACAACTCTGGGCGCTCGGCCGCACCGCAGAAACAGCCGTTCTTGCCAAGGAGAACAACAGTCCCCTTGTCAGTGCCTCACCTATCCCCCTCTCAGGACAAACAGATGTGCCACGTGCACTTACAACGGATGAAATTAAAGAGTACATTGCCACGTACGCTACTGCCGCAAAAAATGCCATTCGAGCTGGCTTTGATGGCGTTGAAATTCACGGCGCAAATGGGTACTTGATCGACCAGTTCATGCAAGACGTTAGCAACCAACGTACGGATGAGTATGGCGGAAGTATCGAGAATCGCGCAAGGTTTGCGCTCGAAGTAACAGATGCGGTTGTGAAGGCCGTTGGTGCTGAGAGGACAGGGTTCCGAATCAGTCCATGGAGCGTATTTAACAGTACGTGCATCATTCGATGCTACCTATCTTTACTTAGCTGATTTGCGGTTCAGGTATGGGCATGGCAGATCCCAAACCCCAGTTCTCCTACGTGGTCGAGCAGCTGCGCAAACACAAACTCGCGTACATTCACGTCGTGGAGCCGATGCCTGCCGAAGTCACTGCTGAGAACAATAGTGATTTCCTCCGTGACATCTGGCAAGGGGTTGAAGGCAGCACCTTCATCAGCACAAACGGATATACACGGAATAGTGCGATTGACACGGTAGACAAGAAAGGGGGTCTTATTGGATTCGGGAGGTTGTTTATGCCAAACGTGAGTCGTTTGTTTCCAGACTTGATAGCGACTCACATGCTCCTCTTCACTAGCCCGATCTTCCATTCCGCCTGCTTAAGAACATCGCACTCGAGCGGGGTGACCAAGCAACATGGTACATGAAAGGTAATCATACACCGACAGGTTATTCGGATTGGCCCTTTGCGCAGGAGAACGATCAGCAGAGCAGCAAATTCTGACATGGTCCTGTAACCGATATATATAATACCTTAGAATAAATGTTACCTTACTCAATATTTTAATCTTTCATGACTTGGTCGGGAATCGTATCTTGTGCCAAGAGGTACCATGGGGATCGTGGGAATAAGTATGTGAGTTGGCTTCCCCGACAGTCGCGGGATGCCACCCGAAGTCGCCGTAGGTACCCTGTTTACCAAGCCTCATGGAAGCCAAATCAAGGGGAAGTCGGGGTGATCTGGACAATCCGATAGGCAATTGAGCGGTGTGAAGAGCATTTTTGTTATCGCAGCGGAGAATTCATGATATCATGTTATTAGAGTGTATATCATAGGATTTGTTCGGAGAGAGCATTTATCATCACGCCACCTACAATTATGGTTGATGATATCGAGCGATCAGACTGAATTTTTTTAAAACGCTGCTGTGCTATTTTTGTCACTGAAATTAAACTTCGCCATGGCGATGCAAAATTCTTATGAAAGTGTCATGGATTCTATGGAATGCCCAGCTAAGTTTCAGCCTTCTCGTTTTGGCTATTTCAATCAATATCGCACACTAGAACGTGCACGTGTTCCTGCTGTACGCCCGCAAGGCTATGACGGGCGACTAGGTATGTGCCCTTCTTTATAATCCTTCAGGTACTGCGGAAGTGTTTCGTGACCTCCAGCGCATATCTTGTTCTCAAGCGTTAGTTTAGATCTATCACCCCTCCATCATTATGGCCCCTGGTCGACGGGGCACCTTTGAGTCTTCAAACTCATCGGAGTCGGACTCTGATTCAGACTTTTCTTCAGCGTCATCGCATAAAACTTCCTCGAAACCTCCAGTAGAGAAATCTGCTCCCAGTACCGAGCCCTTGGAAGGGACAAAGCGTAAGCGTAAGTCGTCAAACAACAAGACGAAGAGTTCAAAGCGTCCTCGGTCGTAAGTTGTTGTGCTGTGCAGCGCATGTATGGACTTTAATCTTGCATTTTTAGGCAAAAAAAGGACGAGTAAGTATATGAAACACTGATCATCTAAATGCATAACAATATGTGTATTGTTTAGTCAGGAGACAAGCCACCCAGGACACACCCAGGGCCCGGGAGAGGTACACCTCAGTGGAGTGCAACAAGTCCTCATTACTAGTATGTAATATCAATCTCTCTTTAGCACATATTGATGCTTTCCAAGCCATTCGCGCAACCGATCTCACCCTTGGTCTCCGATGGATTCCTGCTGGGTTCTATGCAGTGGTCAAGGTTGATGGTGCTGAATACCAGACAAGCAACAAGCCTGTAAATGTAGACCAGGCTGTCGTCGAATGGCACGAGCGCATTCTTCTGTAAGTTGTCCTTAAACCAGTCTGTCCTGCAGGTATTGAGAAAGACTCGAGGCCATGCGAGTCATCCTCTAAAGTTCGGGTCAGCGTGTATGCCTCATTTGAATCGAGTCCCATGCTCTGTCACGGAGAACTCCTCCGCACATTCGAGATCTCTGTCGGAGAACTACTGGATCGCAGCGAGAAATCTCATCGTCAGTGTTGTTCATTGCAAGTTACGCCTGACGGATGCTAACGAGTTTGACAGCCATAATCTTTCAGCCAAAGAAAGGGGAAGTCGTATCCGCTTGCACATCACTGTTCATAACAGTGGAGCAGCGATTTTCTGATGAAAATGATGCCGGAGTTCTTTGCCCTTTTACTACTGTGAGTGATTGATGGAGGCTCGTATTCTGATGCTGAGAGATGTTATGTAGCTTACATCTCGCGATATGGATGCGTTAGCACTAAAGACGGATGCCGGACATGGTCTTCTCGCACGGTACCGCAGGACGCAGAACAGTGGCGATCTCGAACAATCCACAAACCACTTTGAACGCGCATTAGATCTCTGTCCCATGGACCACCCTTACCGTCCTGCAGCACTGTTCAATCTAGCCACCGCAAAGTTTATTAGTTGCCAAGCTAACAGGGCATACCTCGACCTTGACATTCCCATCTCTCTTTTTCAAGACGCACTTGATTTGCGTGCCACTGGTCATCCAGACCGACCCGTCACCCAACTCCATCTTGCTATTTCTTTGTTGTCTCGTTTTGCACAAGGGGGACTTCAAACAGATGCGGACATGGCTGAAGAGTTACTCAGCGAGGTTCTCAATGTCTGTCACGCAAATAGCCACGCTCACAGAGCAACTTTGATCGCAATCGAAACATCCGCTCAGCATTCTCCTCGAAACATGGATGCAAATGATCTTGCGCACGAGCGGCCCGCCGCATCCATGTTTCCGTTATCACCGAACCAACTTCTTGATCGAGTAAAGTGGTGTATGGAGAGAGATGAACCCCGTGCCTTAGATGAAGTGATATCCCTTCATTATGATGCACTGGGATATTACAACGCCGGGCATGCTTCCCGAGGGCAATTGCTAGGTAATCTAGCTAGACTACTGCACGCTCGCTTCCAGCGTCGAGGCAACGACAAAGACTTGGATCAGGGTATCGCACTTCTGCAGGAAGTGCTGCCCTTGTTCCCGGTCGGTCACGAAGAACGGTATGTGGCATTAGATAACCTCGCGGGTCAACTCTCTACCCGCTTTGGCAACCGAGGCAACGACGAAGACTTAGATCGGGCTATCGGACTTTACAATGAAGCGCTGGCCTTGTGCCCGATCGGCCAGACAGATCGGTCCATGTTATTAAGTAACCTCGCGACTGAACTCACCACCCTCTTTTGCTACCGAGGCAACGACGAGGACTTAGATCAGGCTATCGCACTTGAAAGTGAAGTGTTGGCCTCGCGCCCGGTCGGTCACCCAGATCGGCCGTTGTCATTACACAACCTTGCCATTAGTCTCTCCACCCGCTTTGACCACCGAGGCAACAATGAAGACTTGGATCAGGCTATCGCGCTGGAGAAGGCAGCGCTGACCTTACACCCGGTCGGTCACAAAAATCGATCCTATGTATTAAATGGCCTCGCGGGTCATCTCTCCACCCGCTTTAAGCACCGAGGCAATGACGAAGATTTGAATCAGGCTATTGCACTTCAGAGGGAAGCGCTGGATTTGCGCCCGGTAGGTCACACAGATCGGTATATATCATTAAGTGACCTCGCGACTCGACTCTTCACCCGCTTTCGCCACCGAGGCGACCACGAAGACTTGGATCAGGGTATCACATTTGATACTGAGGCACTGGCCTTGTGCCCGGTCGGCCACCCATCTCGGTCCGCGTCATTACACAACCTCGCGACCCAATTTTCCACCCGCTTCGAACGTCGAGGCAATGACGAAGATTTGAATCGGGCTATCGCACTTCACAGGGAAGCACTGGCCCTATGCCCGGTCGGTCACACAGGTCGGTCTGTTACATTAAATAGCCTTGCGAATACACTCTCCACTCGTTTTCGCCACCGAGGCGATGACGAAGATTTGGATCGGGCTATTGGACTTCTCAGGGAAGGGCTGACATTGCGTCCGGTCGGTCACACAGATCGGTCCAATTCATTAATTAGCCTTGCGAATCGACTCTCCGACCGCTTTGACCACCGGGGCAACGACGAAGATTTAGATCAGGCCATTACACTTCTCAGGGAGGCGCTAGCCTTGCTCCCAGTCAGTCACACAAATCGTTCTGAGGCATTAATTTGCCTTGCGAATGCGCTCTCCACCCGCTTTAAACACCGAGGCAACAATGAAGACTTAGACCAAGCTATCGCACTTCAGACGGAGGCGCTGGACTTGCACCCAGTCGGTCACATAGTTCGGTCCAAGTCATTAAATAACCTAGCAGGTCAACTGTCTGCCCGCTTTGACCTCCGAGGCAATGACGAAGACTTAGACCAGGCTATCTCACTTTATCATGAAGCACTGGCCTTGCATCCGATCGGTCACAAAGATCGGTCCGTGTCATTAAGCAACCTTGCCAGTCAACTCTCCATCCGCTCCAAGCACCAAGGCAACGATGCAGACTTGGATCAGGCTATCACACTTCACAGGGAGGCACTGGCCTTGCGCCCGGTCGGTCACACAGATCGACCCACGTCATTACATAACCTTGCGAATACACTCTCCATCCGCTTTGAACACCAACACAGCAGAGAAGACTTCGACGAGTCACGAAACAGCCTAGTCTGTGCATTGTCTCTGTTGACGCAGCATGATCCTCGTCAAACCCTAGTCCATAACTTGCTAGCTCATGTCTATCTGTTGTTCCATAGATCAAGGCTTGATGGCACCAGCGTAGGTGAAAATGTGGACAGTCTCGATACTGCTATGAATCATCTCAAGGCAGCAGCAAATGTTGCCTCTGGACACTTGCCATTCCGCCTGCGAGGAAGTCTCGGCTGGGCTAGCGTTGCCTCCCAATATTCACATACCACTGAACTGGAGGCATATGCAACTTCCATGCAGCTTCTAGATTCTTATATGTCTACTACAGCTTCAGTATCGTCTCGTCACAACGTCATGAAGGACTTCCCAAGTACACTCGCCGTTGATGCTGCATCGCGCGCTCTTCGTAGTGGTGAAGTGCGTCGCGCTGTTGAGTTGTTGGAACAAGGCAGGACTATCATCTGGACCCAGATGACACGACTCCGCATGCCTCTTGACAGCCTCGAGACCTGCGGTGATCATGCAGTGACCCTGATGAAGAGATTCAGGGGCCTCAGCTCCCTCCTTGATAAACCTCCTGCGATGCTTCTAGAAGGGACTCCAAGAGTCGATGCGGAAGCAGAAGAAAACCGATATAGGCGTCTAGTGGAGGACTGGAATAGAGTTGTAGAAGAGATACGCAAGATTGAGGGCTTCTCTCGCTTCCTCCTTCCCCCCTTATTCTCCGATCTTCAAGATGCAGCTCGTGATGGGCCTATCATCTTGCTCGTCGCAAGCAAGTGGTCTTGCCATGCCATTATTATCCCACACAAGCAACCTCCGATCAGCATCCAACTCTCTACCAGCGTTGAGAAGCTCCAAATATTGGTGGACAAACTCCATCGCACAGATAGTCCAGCGCTTAAAAAAGCCTTAACTGAGTTGTGGGATGACGTCGTCCGCCCGGTGGTCGAGAATCTGGATGGAATTGCACCACGAGGTTCTCGAATATGGTGGTGCCTGACATCTGTCTTCAATTTCTTGCCTTTGCACGCTGCTGGCGAGTACAGGAAAAATGGGCAGTTCCTTTCACAGCTCTACATCTCTTCATATACGCCATCGCTCACCGCATTGATCAAGGCTCGCCGAAGTCATGAGAGGTCCCCGTCGGTACCCTTCGTTGCCATTGGTCAGAATCGCCCAGCCGGTGCCTCATTCACTTTGGATGCTGTAGAGCCTGAGCTGGAATTGGTGCGGAAACTTTTGCCCCCTTCCCCAACTGTTTCCTTCTCCAAGATCACCAGTGTTGATGCCACGAAATCGAGAGCACTGTGCGCATTGCGAGACAATACTTGGCTTCATCTCGCATGTCACGGGACGCAGAACATTGCGGAACCCTTCAAATCGGCATTTCTTATGCGCGACGAGCCGCTTTCGCTCCTCGACATCACACAAACAGATCTTTCTCAGCACCAATTTGCATTTCTTTCTGCCTGTGAAACCGCAGTGGGTGACCATTATACTCCTGATGAAGTGATACACCTAGCGGCTGGCCTGCAATTTGCCGGGGTTAAGAGCGTCATTGGGACATTGTGGAAGGTCAACGATAGTACTGTGCACCGCTTAGTCGAGGCATTCTACAAAAACCTTTGTGGGAATGGCACAATGAACTCTAAACGAGCTGCCCGGGCGCTACATCAAGCGGTCCTGTCGTTGGCTCGTGACAAGGATAATCCATTACCCTTGGATCAGCGCATATTGTTCGTGCATATTGGCATATGATCAATTCCGTGCGTCCTCCCACCTTTTCCATCAAAGCATTTTAATCTGACAACTTTTCATGTAGCATCCAGTTATGGTCACACGCGACCTGATGCCAAGGACTTTCATTTTCCAGACTTTGAGACTGTATACCTACACGATATGTACACCCGATTTCGACTTCAATTTGTATTTTCCAGTTTGTTGCCTCGACATCAGAGGTGATCGTTTCTAAGGTGCGACTGGTGATTGTGGGTAAGAATGAAGTCACACAACACTGATCTGGCATAACACCTCATGCGGCATGACACAACTTGCGATGAAGGCCCTGGTAGCCTGTTGAGTAGTGAGTGTCTGAACTGCGTGAAGGCGTTGAATGCACACCTACTCATTTTGCGGCATCGAAATACAGTGGTACGAGGAGTTCGGCCCTGACAAGATAGACAGACCATAGACAAATGAAGATACGTAGTCATTCGTTCGGAATAGATCACTGCTATGATATACAAGCGCTAAAGTAAGCTGGAGCCAACCATCGTGTACGCACATTTGCTTGTTGATCATACTTGGTCTACCGTATTCCTTTTCTCACTGTCGTCGTGCTGTTGTTTTCTCCAAGGTATTGTCTAGTATCAGTTATGTATTAGTATTCACGAAGGGTCTTTTCTCAGAGCGGCATTCATGGTTGTGCATGCATCGCACCTCGATTAGACAACAGACCGTCTGCATTGATATCGAGTGTGTCTGGTCCTCTATTGTTTCCTATTCACCTTTCAAAAATGGCGATCGTATCCCCACGTGGCAGTACAGCACCGAAATCCAATGCTCTGAAGAGCTTGAGACGGGAAACAGAGCTGTATTCTGGTTCAACTCCGTAAGTTGGATGTTCGCAGTATTTCACGAGTCCTGATCAAGTATTTTGTACTTCGAGCTTCAGTGAGGTAGGACGGAGACATGCCATAAAACCAGTGATTAGCCAAATTCGAAGCATTTTACCTGGTCCACGCACTGTCAGTGCGTGTTACAGCAATACAGTCGAGTTAACAACCGTAATGATGTCCCGCTAAGTTTGAGCTTCAACGTTCGAGCGGCAAGAGCCTGATGCGCATTCGAGATCATGAAGCTGTGGCCAAGATCGCCAGCCTGAGGGGCTCAGGACGTCGTCAGAGCTGCCGAACAGTCTGGAACTTCTAGAATTCTTCTCTTCTGTCAAATTCCGGCTTATTCATTCATAACTGACTCAGAGAATGACAGACCTTAGCTTGATGACTAGTACTTGTGGTCGATGCGAGCCAATGGCAAGCGCAGCGCCTTGGATTGGCTTTGGATGGTGAAATATTTGTAATCGATGATAAATCGACGATCTGAGTAATATGTCCGGAAGCTTCCGCCATCATCGATGCGCGTTGCTCACAATCAGCCAGGCCGGTGCTGGTTGCATCAAGGATTTCCTGACGGCAGGATGTCCTGACAAATCTATCTATATTTAACTTCTTCAGCCTGTCGAGGTTGGCTATAAAATACACGACATGGATTGCCGTGTCCCAGTTCCCCCAGTCAATACTACCCTAAGCGTTTCATACATAGTCTGCCATATATCACCATGTCGACCTCTGCGCTCTTCTCCCCCATCCGTATAGGCAACATCAACTTGAAGCATCGTGTTGTCCTTGCCCCACTTACCCGTGTACGCGCGCACGCAGATCATGTCCCAACCCCACAAGCACCAGCATACTACTCTCAGAGAGGGTCTACTCCCGGGACTCTTCTCATCACAGAGGGCACATTCATATCTCAGGGTGCTGGTGGTTATGATAATGTCCCTGGGATATACACCGATGCCCATGTGGAGGCATGGAAAAAGGTGTGTCGTGTTCTGCTTAATAATAGAAGAGAGTTAACTCATGTTCCGGATTGCAGGTGACAGAAGCAGTCCATAAGAATGGCTCTTTCATTTTCCAACAACTCTGGGCGCTCGGCCGCACCGCAGAAACAGCCGTTCTTGCCAAGGAGAACAACCGTCCCCTTGTCAGTGCCTCACCTATCCCCCTTTCAGGACAAACAGACGTGCCACGTGCACTCACAACGGATGAAATTAAAGAGTACGTTGCCACGTACGCCACTGCCGCAAAAAATGCCATTCGAGCTGGCTTCGATGGCGTCGAAATTCATGGCGCAAATGGGTACTTGATCGACCAGTTCATGCAAGACGTTAGCAACCAACGTACAGATGAATATGGCGGAAGTATCGAGAATCGCGCAAGGTTTGCGCTCGAAGTAACAGATGCGGTTGTGGAGGCCGTTGGTGCTGAGAGGACAGGGTTCCGAATCAGCCCATGGGGCGTATTTAACAGTACGTGCATCATTCGATGCTACCTATCTTTATTTAGCTGATTCATGGTTCAGGTATGGGCATGGCAGATCCCAAACCCCAGTTCTCCTACGTGGTCGAGCAGCTGCGCAAACGCAAACTCGCATACGTCCACGTCGTGGAGCCGATGCCTGCCGAAGTCACTGCTGAGAACAATAGTGATTTCCTCCGCGACATCTGGCAAGGGGTTGAAGGCAGCACCTTCATCAGCACAAACGGATATACACGGGATAGTGCGATTGACACGGTAGACAAGAAAGGGGGTCTTATTGGATTCGGGAGGTTGTTTATGCCAAACGTGAGTTGTTTGTTCCCAGACTTGATAGCGACTCACATGCCCCCCTTTACTAGCCCGATCTTCCATTCCGCCTGCTAAGGAACATCGCGCTCGAGCGGGGTGACCAAGCGACGTGGTACATGAACGGCAATCTTACACCGACAGGTTATTCGGATTGGCCCTTCGCACCAGAGAATGCTCAGCAGAGCAGCAAATTCTGACATGGTCCTGTAAGCAATTAAGTATACCTTAGAATAGAATAGACGTTACCTTACTGTATACACCCAATATCATCAATTCTTATGTTATGGTAATAGTGGCTTGATCGGTGAGCAATGACCGTTCATGACGAAGAGGCAAGTACGCCAAATATCAAATTGTGACGATAGATTGCGAGACGAAGTGAGTATACATATAAGTTATCTTCTCCGACAGTCGTACAACCCGAGGGATGCTGCCAGAATTAAACCCTACATGGAGGACAGTACAGATAATTCAAATGCTTATATTACAGTCCGTGTTCTTGTGTGGGCCTGGGGAATCCTTCTTACCGAACCAGATGGAAGCTGAAGTAAAAGGACTGCATGTTAGCAAGATCCTTTCCAATCCCAATAGCGTAGATACTGCGGTGACTATGCACATCGAGATTTCGAGCTCGAGAGGTGGAACAATGTCCGAAATAAATCTTTAACATTTCAGTAAATAGATGATTTGGGTGAAGCTTAGCTGTAAGCAGTTCCAAGTTCACAGGGCGCAGTAAGTTCTCGCTTGATGATACGAAGTAACACACCGGAGGGAGCGAAAAATCAGCTATTATCCACATACAAGTTACGTCCCACCGTAGTTAGCATCATGCAAGATTGCTTGAACTCTAGTCAGCTGCAAACTCAAGCTTGATCTTCGCAATAGATTTGTACTAGGGTTAAGACCCATGCATGGCGGGTACACGTGCCTAAGGTAAACAATGAGATATTTGTGATAATGCACTTGAAGGTGACTGAGATAAGGTGCTTGTAGAAGAGCTGCGTCAGGTCATAAACCATGATATAAGCACACTGTAAACACGAAGGTCATCGTGTATTCGATCTAAGGAAAAGTCCATATTACCGTGACATAAACTTGCCTTGAACGGACTTACTAAGTAACTAAAGATTTGCAGAGCCGCAAGCTCAAGTTGTCCACGTAGCTGACAACACTTCCTGGGACGAAATTAATATCTCAAAGAGCGTTTGATTGGTCTCGAGATGACGGTCAGTGCTGTCGATGCTATCGGTGCGGGAGGTAATTATGTAGGTATTGGCCCCTTGGAGATAGAATTTTGGAGGAATAACTATCAAGGAGTTGAGGAAGACCTCGTCGCCGGTCGGGGACTTGGGGGGCCTTGATAGGATTTTGCATCAAAGGTCCACGTGCACCTCGAATAGTACCAAAGTAACGTCACGTGACTTCTGAGTATGACAAATATTTCAATTTTAGCTAGCCGCCCGCTTACTAATCGAATGCACAACTTGAAGAAGCCTTCAAGCCTCCTTCGTGTTTCCAGTGTACTTATATCGTGAATGACCTGGTTCCTGACCTCGTGCTTTTCTTCAAGCAGTAAAAGTTCATTAATTTTTTCTTCCAGAACAATAAATTGCCCGAGCAAGGCAAACGTAGGCCCGGGACTGCAACTGAGAAGCTCGATGGTCCATGTGAGTGTATTCTATGCACATGTTGTTTGATGAGCTTTTCATCATATCAGTGGGACTGAGGTGAATTATTGCGTCCCGCAATGCTTGTGCAGGCATACTGCCGCAGCTGCACCGCTAACTCTCGTGTGTGTGATGTTCCTTCGCGAGATACGATACTGCAGGACTTCATTCACATTTTTTTGTGCGAGGTTTCATAGTATGGCTCCTAGGAAAGGAGAAACTTCAGAATGACATGAGCACGTACAGTCACCAGAGGAATTCTAACTGTACGTTGTCTCGGTCAACTTGTGCGTATCACGAATATTTCATCGTTCACCTTAGGTGCATGTACCTGCCATAGGTCTTAACCCTGCAAAATCCATTGCGAAGATCAGGCTTGAGCTTGGAGCTGACTGGAGCTCAAGCAAACTTGCATGATGCTAAACTACGGTGGGACGGAACTTATGTGTAAATAGTAGCTGATTTTTTGCTCCTTTTGCTGTGTTACTCCGTATCATCGTGCCTCTACAAATGAGAACCTACTGCGCCCTGTGAAATCGAAGGTGGCACCATCGTCATTCAGCAGTCCCTCACTCATCCCGACCCACACCGTGCTTTCCTTGCTTATCTGCAATCTCGTGACGGCCTTTTTCCTTTTCACTCAACACTCTGGTTGTGTGAAGATGGTTCAGTGCTTACCAGGTCCTGGTTTATTAGAAGATTGCGGCGCTTGTTTTCTCTGTCTATTGCCGGTCATTCCATGCGAGTAGGAGGAGATACTTCACTTGCAGCAGCTGGAGTGTCTGCTATGGAGACACAAGCTATTGGGAGATAATCTTCGGATTCATCTCGCGTTTATATTCGCAAAAATCCTACGATGGTCGAGATCCGTTCGCGGCCATGCCTTCGTAAATGTATTTATATCTCGTCAATGATACGTCGTCTCCTTTCTCTCACTATTCAGTCTATACTTACTTTTTTATTTTCAAATTAAATCCCTCCATCCCTCATAACACACATCACGACTCAATCCACACGTGTATACATGTATTTCTAGTTCGTCTCGGCTTTACCCACAGTCTCGGTCTCGCGTTTTATCTCTAGCTACTTCATGGAGTATTCATCCAATTTTCGGGCTCTCGCCCGAGAAAATCCTTTTGCTGGCAAAACCTTGCAGCGCTTTTTGCCACAATTCTCGTCGTCACAAATTCCTGTGGGAGGTTTTCCTGATGATATAAAATCTAGTCATGCATGGATACAGACCACAGTTCTTTCAGCATGGCGACTTTTATCTTCAACACTGTTCCTGCCTGGATCGTGCATCTAGTGTCAGGTCTAGGAGCACAGTCAGCCATGGACCAGCGCAATATGGTGGCCATCGATGCTAACGATGGATGTGATAAACCTCAGAAGAAAATCTTCATACCTGACATACTCGCAAGATGGCCGTTTCCTCGTCAGCTCAATCAGCACTATTTCAAAGTCCGTGTTGAATCATCTGCTTGGCTGGCAGGCTTTAAAGCCTTCAGCCCCAAAGCACAGCAAGCCTTCGATCGCGGCAATTTCTGTAAGACATAGTTCATAATAAGCCTGTTGATGTACTCACGATTTTTTCAGGTCTTGCTGCATGTTTATGCTTCCCAAACACGTGCGAAGGTGATCCCTAGAAGCATGCCAGTCAATGACTTACTGAATTGAATCCATACAGAACACGCTCGCAGCGCTTGCGATTTCATGAATCTTGTATTTGTCATAGATGAATACACAGATGTCTTGGAAGAAGACGAGGTCCGTCAACGAAAGGACGTCATAATGGATGCTCTGCGTCACCCTCATAAGCCACGTCCAAAAGGGGAATGCGTCGTTGGAGAAGTCACTCGCCAGTGAGTGATTTGCTATTTGATAGTTCAACGTTAGAACATAGGTGCCACACCGACAGATTCTGGGAACAGTACTATACGTAACGCCAGTGGTCAAGCGCAAAAGCTGGTTCATTGCGACATTCGATGAATATCTAGAGGGCGTAGTGCAGCAGGCCATTGACCGAAAAGGCCATCACATTCGTGACATTCAAAGTTATATCGACGTGCGCTGCAGAACGATCGGAGCGCGGCCTTCGTTCGCCCTCTTAGAGCTGGGTCTCGATATCCCAGATGAAGTCATTTCGCACCCAACAATCAAGGATATGATGGCGGCATCCACTGAAATGATCGCTCTCGCCAATGTCAGTGTCTTTCTACAGACATATAGCATATGTCACTCATTACTTTTGCATTATATTACAGGATATCATATCCTACAATGTAGAGCAAGTGCGTGGAGACGACAGTCACATGACGATTGTTACTATATTGTGACTGTCGTCTCCATGCGCTTGCTCTACATTGTAGGATATGATATCCTGTAATATAATGCAAAAGTAATGAGTGACATATGCTATATGTCTGTAGAAAGACACTGACATTGGCGAGAGCGATCATTTCAGTGGATGCCGCCATCATATCCTTGATTGTTGGGTGCGAAATGACTTCATCTGGGATATCGAGACCCAGCTCTAAGAGGGCGAACGAAGGAAGTTCTTCGAGGCCGCCGCGGCCATTCCGAAATGGGGAGAGCCCATCGACTCGCAAGTTAGGGAGTACTGTGACGGCTTGGGAAACTGGGTGCGCGCCAACCATGATTGGAGTTTCGAGACCGAGAGGTACCTTGGCACAAACGGTCTGGAAATTCAACGGGAAAGGTGGATTTTGCTGATGCCGAAAAACCACCGATCGAAATCTTGAGCTATGATGATCGAGGCATGACTTCCCCGGTCCCTATGTTCAATAGTGATTTGTTGATTGGGTTTCGACGTATTATTACCAATATCCCCCAACGTTGTTGTCCCTATAGAAGTTGTAGACCTCCCGCTCCTGCAACTAAGCTAATAATACGAGAAATTCTTACTGTATGTTCCAATCATCACAACTCCAAATTTATGGTCCTCCGCTTTGAGCACCAATGAACACAAGTTGAACCTCAAGCCCGTTCGTGGTCGCGAGCATGAATTCTATTTATCGATGATCCAATGTGTTCATGATCCGACGGCAGTGTGGTCTATAGAGAGAGTGATAGTGACTACTAATAGGTCTCAAATTTCAAATTCCAAATGCGGCTTGGTGAGTTGAGTGTTCGGTATTTTAGTAACCTCCGAATGACAAAGTACTAGTAGTACTTACTTCCGATAGCACCGACGGACATGTTTACATCGACCCGTTTCAAGACCATCTGACACGTTCTTTGGGGCATTTATATTCCCCATGCGTCTTCATGAATAGTCCTTAGGCCTTATTATCGACCGCGTGAACACTCGCTGCCTCTGCAATGGCGACTTTTGCTAAATCCTCTTTCGACACCACCATCTATGCCACTTTCAGGCCAACCTACCCTAGGTCCCTGTTTGACTTCATATTCCGGTACCACGAACGCAATGAGGGTGCAAGATGGGATAAAGCAGTCGACCTTGGTTGTGGGACGGGTCCGTTCTATCTGTGCTCGGTTTAGAGGGCTTGGACTATTGACCTACTGTTGATGATTTTGGATTTAAGGTCAAGCAACAGTCGAGCTCACACCCTTCAAGCGCGTCACTGGCGTCGACCCAAGTTCTAAGATGATTGAAGTTGCTCAAGATACCCCCAAGAACACGCTAGAGAACACTGGGAAATTTGAGTACATACAGGCGAGCGCAGAGAGTCTAACATTCTTGGAGGATAGCAGTGTGGATCTAGTTATTGCCGGTGCGTGTGTTAGACAGGATAAGCTCTACAGCACTGTTTATTCATCATGTCCGCGTGCTGTAGCCCAGGCAGGCCATTGGTTCGATTGGAACAAAATGTGGCCTGAGCTCGCAAGAGTGCTGAGGAAGAATGGCAGTGCTGCATTCTGGGTGTGTATCTCCGAGCCATTACTTGTCCAGTCACTATTAACATCTGTTTGACTTAGATTTATTCCGAGTTCCGCTTCGCCCGCTATCCGTCACTCACACAGAAAATCAATGATTATAGCCAAGGCATTGACCCACTGAACAGCGTTGGTCCATACTGGCAGCAACCCGGCCGTTCAATTTTAGAGAACCACTTGATTGAAATTCCAGATGGCAATGAAGTTGTACCTGGCGCGTTCAGTGATTTCGAGAGAGTCTTCTTCACAGGTCTGTCTTAGACCTATCGTTACGTGACACTGCACTAATGCATTGCAGGCGACTACTACCCATCCCTCCCTTCCCCACGCTCTGTGATCATGCACAAGAAGATGACGTGGGATGGCCTGCTATCTTATCTCAATACGTGGAGCTCGTTGCACACGTTCCGTCAGCACAACCCTACAGATGAGGAGAACCCGCGTGGAGATGTTGCAGTTCGGTTCTGGAAAGATCTCAAGGAGAGTGTCGAGCGGGAGGATGGGAGGGCCGTGGAAGGACATGATGAAGTAGACATTGAATGGCCGATGGCGATGATAATGATTAAGAGAGCGTAATAGTGCTATTGGTAAGTATTCTTTCATTGGCAGCTTGCAGATCATCTGACTAGAGAGTATCTAGGCAATTGGTGATACCATGACTCGCAAGGCTAGAAAATCATAACAAATACAGTATCAAATGAATTGAACGCTGACTCCCCTATGCTATTACTGCCAAATCTCGTCAGAGTAGTTTCCTTGGCCGGAGCGAGCTCGCCTGTTTTCGACGACGAATTCACAATCAACATTGCAACTATATTAACATTTCCAGATTTTCCAAGTGCAATAATTCGGTCAGAATTAATACGCATGCCCTTTCCGAGGTGGCCCGTCACGAGATCAGCCCGCTGACCTTATCAGTGCTATCGTTGGAGTGTTTTCTTGGTTGCTGAACTTCTTCATTCATTCTGTAGAATTCCGAGTCAGCTGAACAAGCTCGTGACACGTTGCAACCATGTTTAGCCTCCAGAACATGCCGAACTATCAGCAGTATGTTCTCAAAGTTGTAAACGATGACGAACGCGTGTAATCTGTGCCGGACACCGTAGGTAAATCTATTTCGCGCACGTGTAGGCTAATTTTAGCAGACCTTGCAATTGAGGAACGCTGCGCAGTATTGTCGGCAGAACTGGCACTGCCAGGTAGATAGCAGAACCTCCCGCGCAGAATGTACAAAACAAGATGTACTACAGCTGCAGGCTCTCTACATTGTCCAATTCTGGAGGCCGTCTTCTCAATTCACTTGTCGAAAGTAGGTTCATGAAGGGAGATCCTACTCTGAGCACACTTGGAGTGCCGTCAAAACTTTTCGTTAATTCTGCCACCTGCCACACTGGCAGAACATGGTTCTGCCAAGTTCTGCCTATAACGCTCAAGTATGTGCAGAATCATTGCAGCATTTAAAATTTTGATCTTAATAGGCTCGAAGAAAGGTTGCGTGCTGAGCACGCTCTGGCTCACTTATGCAGATGCTTACCGTTCTTTGTGCTGTTTACCATGATCTGAAGACATCTTGCTGTCCTACGTAGCAGCCTGGAAGCTCAATTTTCCTGCACATGCTCGTTTTGAAACAGATCTTGCCTGCTTCCCCTTTCGATATGCACTTTCTAGAGATTTCAGAGATTCGATTTTCGACATTAATGCAACAGACTGAGGGCCAAGAATGACATACAATAATATGTAAGACATGATACAATGACGCACTAAACAAAGAGAGAGGAAAAACGCAGTCTGGATGGGCACCAACGGTACATGATAACATATCAACAGGAACAATTGTTCCATCGTAATTTGGTGATAAGATCAGCGTCTTTGTCCGTTCGATACCTCTTAGAGGTGCGGCTGTCCGTCATGCATCAATACCAGCTCGTCAATAAAACAAGACTTTGTTCAAATCCCCTTCTCCTCCAAAAACCTATCCACAGTATCCCAAAGCTCCTTTGCAAGCCCCTCATCCCTTGCCACCTTAGTCGGCTCTTTTAGCTTGCCTACCGGCATTAAATACATACCCTTGTATTTCTCGCGCTGCTTAGCCACTTCTTCTGAAGCAGCTGCAAACGCAGAGTTATATGCACCCTCGTCTGGATGTACAAAGAAGAGGGACAGAATGGGCTTGACGATGAACTCGAAGTTAGCTAGGGGCGGTTTATGGGAGAAAGTGTTGACTGTTCCAGGGTGAATGGCGATGACGGTAATAGGAGAACCAGCAGCGGTAAGGTGTCGTTGAAGTTCAAAAGCGTAGAGTATATTCATGAGTTTCGACATGCCTGGTGAAGGGATATTGTGAGACAGAAGATACCAATGAACGACCTACGTACAATACCGCGCGAAGCTGGGGGAAAGCGAACTCTTGAACTCCTTGTTGAAATCATCAAGGTTGCGGAAATGAGATTCCCCTGATACCAACCGGTGACCCTCTGAAGCGACCTAGATGGTAGTATGGAATCGTGAGTTTTCGGGACGCATGCGGTAAGGTAGATTCACATACGACGACTATGCGGACGTCTGAATTTGGTTCTGCTGCGGTCTGGTCCAGCAGCGGTTGAAGAGTACGTGTCAGGACGATATGACTGATAACGCTGGAATGAATATAGATGAATACTTTGTACATGTTGTTTTTTGTTGGAAGACGCACTTGACCATCACTATCTCCTGGACTCCTGCGATGTTGTGTAAGTGCATATCTTCACAGAAAAAGACTGAGGCCTACCATCCGGTGTTATGGCATAGTCCTCAAGCAGCCTATACGGCATTTAGCATCAATCATGCCCATAGGAGCTGAACGGCTTACACTGCAGCATTGTGAACTGTGATGCATTCAGCATTCCGAAATCATGAACGAACGAAAATATATGCTGACTGAGAACATCCAATCTCTTCTCCCGCTTCATAAACTCCTCCGCCGCTTTCTTCGCATTTCGAGGGTCCTTCAAATCAAGTTCCAGCCAGATAACATCACCATTCCCAGGACCTAACCCTTCTGCTTTCAGTTTCCCGATCGCCTCCTCTGCCCTGGTTTGGTTGCGTGCGGCCATGTACACCTTAGCACCACGACGCGCCAGGTGTTTCACAGTTGAGTAGCCGATACCCGCGCTGCAAAGCAGTTGTGTGAATAAAATCCGTCGAGTCATGAGTGGGATACTCACTTTCCACCAGTGATAAGTATGACTTTACCGGACAAGTCTGGGAGATCGGTGACTGGGTTGAATGATTTTGAGAAGAAACCCATGGTGCTGGAATAAATAAATGCAACAAGAAAGGAGCAGAAAATTGGGAGGTAGATGTTGAACACAGGTAGCTGTTTATATACAAGGCGGTTGGGGTGATTAGATGATTGGCTGACGACATGCTTTGTCACTCACCCAGCCGTGTGTCCATCACACGGTTGTCGTAGTACGCGCGCTGCAGCGGCAGCACTGCAATAAGCCAAATTCCGAAGCAACTCCAAGGGTCTCGAAAATTCGTCTGTTCGTCGACTTGAAAAGGGGGATGCACTATCCTTCTTCAATATGGGAGACCGCTGTCAGGAAATAATACGACAATTTGACCAGAAATGCGACCAAGTCACCGAATGAGCTTCAATGATCCCATTTTTCAGGTAACGGATGGCGTCCAAAAGTTTGCGTTGTTCACGGCGACGCGGATGACGGTACTCAGCGGATCAATCGATCACCGGGAATCAGAACGGATACTACACGTGGGTGGAGGCTGTTCGGCTCTTCAAGCTTCGGCGCTTGGTGCTCAGCTTCAGGCTGGGAAAACTTTCTATCCCCTTGAATACTGATCCAGGTTGATTTCAATGTCTTCTCGATCCAATTTACGAAGCCGTGCTAGAGGGGGGCTAAGCACCATCTTTGACTACTTTAGGACACGCCGGTTCGTCTGTAACGTGTTGTTCTATTCTTTGTACTAATTCAATCATGTTCATCTTCGCCGTGATTAAGGCCCCAGGGGTCTTCTGCGACTTTGCCAACAAGCTATCCTCTGTCTGCGCTGCCACAGTATGTCTTACCCAGTCAATACTCTAAAACAGCAAGGCAATGCTAAGGTTGTCACTCGTTAACAGAACAGTACCTCATATCACAGTCAGTAGTCCTGCCAGTGGAGGCTCGCTAACCCCACCGGCCACACCTTTACCTCCGGTACCTTCTGCTAGTGCAACTTCGGTCGCTACAGCAAGCGGTGTATGCCCCGCACCGAGTAACACTAATCCCTCCAGTTCTGGCATATCTGCATTGTCATTCACAACATCACCATCTACTGCATCGACACGCAAGGCGAGGCCTATTCCAGCATCTGATGTGAATCGATACGAGAGGAAACGAACGATGTGAGTTGGTATGAGGCGCTTTCAGCCTCCTTTTTTGATTCTCAATCATGACCTAGACCCCAGACCAAGGACCGCGTTCTTATCGAGCCAGGGAACAAGGTGTTCGAGGAGTATGTACTTTTTCCGCAGTTGGAGTATCGTGAGCTGACGACGCCAAGCACACCACCCTCTAGTCGATGGGCACCACTTGTACACCCTGAAGGTGCTTTGTATTACTATGACAGCGCTCGGGTAGGTTGAGGTTCAGCACTCTACACAACAATTAACCAAGGCGGCAGCGCATATATACTGATGCCGACTTGTCAAAGCCCTCAACCCTCCATGCAATCGAGGCATTCGCAGATCAGCTATATAACGATGCACAGACCAACTCGAATATAGATATCACCAGCAAGACCGAATTAGTCATAGAGGATATAGATGAGAACACCTGTGGTTACTATTTCGTTGAACAAGACACGCGGTGCATCTTCTGGCTAGAACGTTTTGACGCAGAAACCTTGTTCGAGAACATCAGGCGAGTGAGGAACATGGGTCATATCAGTATGTGACTTTTGACTTTCCTGTATTTTTCTGTTTGCTTATATGCACGACTTCAGAATACGCCATTGAAGCTCAGTACTGGTGAGATTCAGGTACGTTGATTACTTTTGGCGACCAGGGTCAGTTTCTGATATCATGTCAGCTATTCGTGTGGATTTGATACAACTCAAACAACTTCAAGGACTCATTGCGAATTGTTTCCACATGAAAATCGTGTGACGCCGGTTGCTCTTGAGGAACTAAAACAAATGATTATGCATGCTGCAGCTGGTGATCTCCGTTATCACATTGCATCTGTTTGAACGAGACATTGATGTTTATGAATCTCACAGTGACCATTACTTCTGTGACGTGTGTTGCTCCATTCGAGAAAGACGAGTTGGAGAAGATGCTGGACCTCGTTATGAACATCGAAGGTAGTACCGGTAAATTGTTGCGAACATGATTCAGATTACTGATATTTTTATGCCAGGAACCCTCGATGGTCAATTTGCGCACACGAGATGTGTTGTGGGTGTGTTTTCATTCTGGACGATATGCTTCCCGAAATATGTTGAACTATTCTCTTTCAGCTCGATTTATGTCTGAATTCAGTGCGCAATCAAAGACTCTACTGGCATTCGCTAATATTACAGTAGTCAAAGCAAAGTTCTTCAATTTCTGTGGACAGCCCGGTGCAAGGCTGGATTCAGACCAGACAATCTACTTCAAGGACCATGATCATCGGTCGCTCTTGTTCATCGTTGCCTCCTTCCTGCTCTTTGGCGTCCCTCGTACCCACCAAGCCGATCTGAAGATGATATGGGTTGATAGGATCATTAATCGCGTCCTCTGGGATCAATTCATCGACAAACTTAATGACGAATGGACTGGATTGGCGCTTTCGGTAAATCGTAATTAAAACATGTGGAGTCAGCAATATTTACGGCTTATGCCAGGCAACTGTCATCCTCAATGCCAACATAGCCTTTCTTGCAATTCCATCTGTGCAAGACACCGCCGGATTACTGAGCTATATGTCAGTGGTTTGCAGCATTGCAGTTGTCCTCCTCGTACTTCTCCTGGTTCGTCAAAACCAGAAGAGGGATTGTGAGAGAGCTGTACGAGAACCAATTAAATCTCGTCGTTCTATTAAGGGCTAACTCAGAGGACAGGTCTCACTTTTGACATACGTAGAACAGTCTTTCTTCGGCACAGAAGCGCTAGCCATAACGTATAGCTTACCATATGGACTGTTAATGTGGGCGTAAGCATTCCTGTTACCGCATGCAGAGCTTTGATGCTGAACCTTCGCAATAGCTTACTATATTTTGCTGCCGGCTTTGGCAATTTGGTCTTTAAAACTGAAAGTCAATGGACGCGTGGTGCCGCAGGTTTTGCTGGATCACTTGTCGTGTGTTTAGTGGCGTTAGTATTGCAGATAGGGAGGCATCAGATCAATCCAAAAGATGAGGAATCCATGGTATAGCTTGTATATTCTCATTTTCGAAACGAGTGTCAGGAATATCGCCAACGTGGCTGTTGAAAAAGCTCGAGAAATTCAGGTAATGGATCGTGGCAATATATTTAACAAGCTAATCACATACTAACCACATTCAAGATGAAGTCAAATGCTGCGGACATGTAACACAGATTTGGGTAGTAGAATCAGTAGGAGTGACATTGAAATTAGAAGCACGTTCACGGCAATGCCAGAAAGACCCTCACATGGCCAAGGTCTACATTCAGTAGAGTTGGTTGGTCTGATTGTACCGTCCTAGCAGGACTGTCATGATTCGTAACACATCGTTAAATTGACAGTGTGGGAACTTCCAATCGCGTCGGTCACGTGTGTGATCATCACTCCCCGCAGTCAGTTCATCACTTCGTGATCAGTGCTTCTTCGTCCTCTATATGCCAGCTTTCCGTTCACTCAAAACGCTCGTGCGGTCGCTAAGCACCACCGCTGGATCCACATCGGAGCTCGCTGGCACAGCCTCTCCACACCGATGCTACATCTTCTTACATACCCCACAGCCGCCCAGCGAGTATCCTGCCAAGTACGCAACCCCCGTTCAGCGCGCACTCCTTCTACGCACTGCTAAATGGGGTGGGTCTGTCAATTTTTCGTGGTCTGAGGACCAGAAATCTGTTTGTGCACGACCACCTGGGGAGGAAGACAAACAGGAATATCATCTGACAGCGTTTGCGTATCCGCGGGGAAAGCTCGAGGCTACTGTGTCTATGGACAACATCGAGGAGGTGGGAGAAAAATTGAGGGTGCATGCTGAGGGTGTCTCTGGTGCTGCACTCTCGAATTCAGATGATGTGCATTTATATGTTTGTACTCATGGTGCGCGAGATTGTCGGTGCGGAGACACTGGAGGAGCAGTTGCCCAAGCCATAAGGGATGAGCTCCGCAAGCGCAGAGATGCAGATCCAAGTGATCCCAGTACTTGCATAAAGCTTGCAGAAGTGGCGCATATCGGAGGGCATAAGTATGCACACTTCGCATCCAACTCACCGTGTCCAATCGCTCATCCACCATCCTAGATATGCAGCAAATCTTCTTGTGTACCCGCACGGAGAATGGTATGTTTGATGCCTGCTGATAGTGTGTTATGGCGTATGAGTTTATCTGATATTAATTATACAGGCTAGGTGAAGTAGAGCCCGAGAATGTTCCAGACATTCTAGATGCTATTTTGGCATTACCAGTATGTCCGCGCAACACTGACGAAATACCTATTTGTCCTCGCCATTGGAGAGGTCGCATGGGGTTGAGCAAGGACGAGCAGGTCCAGCTCTTGCAGCGAGCTTACTTATGAATTATAGAGTTTGCATACCATAGTACCAATTTCACACCTAGACCCGGAAGCATGCATGTGTATTCTATACTGGCGTGCAGTAAACATGTCGACCAAGAAGACACTGATGCTGGAAGACGACCGGAATCGTGCCCTTCCAGGCTTCCAAGGTGGTTGGATGAGCCGTAACTGACTCATTGATGAATCGATGACCTCAGGACTCGGCAAAGGAACAACCGATTGTTGTCTTTTTTAACAGGATTAACGTTGAAAATAGGATGTCTCTGCCTCAGTCTGCATCTTACTCTGGACGCACGGTGACCAGGTGATATGTGTGATCTAGAAGTGAAATCATTAATGGATAACAAAGTGATTCTCAACCATCTCACAACCAGGATCTATTCGAACAGAGAACATATTTTTATTTCTCTATGGTCTATCTATCTGCCAGGACCAAACTCCTCGGCATGAACGGATTTCAGTGTGATGATGGGTGGCAGTACCTCACGCAATTCAGACACGCGGATATCACGTCCATCGCAAATTGTGTCTTGCTACACCAGTGTTCTGCAACTTCATTCTTACCTACAAATCATCAGTACTTCAGTGCACAGGTGCGAGCGCATCTGGCTCCGGCGAGGCAACAAGGTGAAAAATAAAAATAAAAAAAGTCAAAATCAGGTGTACATATCGTGAGGGAATACAATATCAAAGTCTGGAATATCGAAGTCCTTGGTAAGTGACAGGTCGTGCGTGGCTATGACTGGATGCTACACGCCAAGTCGTCAGATCATCTCATGTCGAAAAGGTGGGAGGACATACAGAATTGATCAGATGCCAATATGCACGAACACTATGCGCTGGTCCAAGGGAATGTCCTTGTCACAGGCTAACGACTGGACCGCTCGGTGCAACGCCCGGGCAGCTCGTTTGGAATTCATCGTGCCATCCCCGCAAAAGTTTATGTAGAATGCCTCCACTAAGCGCTGCACGGTACTATCGTTGACCTTCCATAATGTCCCAATGACGCTCTCCTACCACAGCGAATTGCAGGCCAGCTGCCAGGTGTATCACTTCGTCAGGAGTATCATGGTCACCGACCGCGGTTTCACAAGCAGAAAGAAATGCGAATTCATGCCGAGACAGATCCGTTTGCGTGATGTCGAGAAGCGAAAGTGGTTGATCGCGCATCAGAAAGGCGGACTTGAAGGGTTCATCAATTTTCTGCGTGCCGTGGCACGCGAGATGGAGCCACGTATTGTCTCGCAATGCGCACAGTGCTCTCGATTTCGTTGCATCAACGCTGGTTATCTTGGAGAAGGAAACAATTGGGGGAGGGGGTAAGAGTCTCCGCACCAATTCCAGCTCAGGCTCCACAGCATCCAAAGTGAATGAGGCACCGGCTGGGAAATCCTGACCAATGCCAACGAAGGGCACAGATGGGGACCTGTCATGACTTCCGCGAGCCTTGATCAACGCGGTGAGCGATGGCGTGTATGAGGAAACATACTGCTGCGAAAGGAACTTTCCCTTTGCCCTGTACTCGCCAGCAGCATGCAACGGCACGAAATTGAGGATAGACGTCGGGCACCACCATATTCGGGAACCTCGTCGTGCAAATCCGTCCAGAATCTCGACCACTGGGCAGACGACGACATCCCACAACTCTCTCAAAGCTTTTATCAGCGCTGTTTGGTTCCCCTTAGGACCAGCCTCTTTTCAACTGCCTGTTGGAGTTTGCGCACCAATCTCAGAAGTTTCTCAAAATTGATAGGGAGTTGAATGCTGGTTGGAGGTAGCTGGTGCGCGATGATGATGGCATGGCACGACAACTTGCTCGCGATGAGCACGATGATAGGCCCACGATGGGCTGCATCCTGAAGATCTGAGAACAAGGGAAAGGAGGAAGCGAGAAAATCCTTCGATCTTCCGGATCTTCTCTACAACTCCATTCCACTCTTTCACTAGATGTCTGTACCGGGATTCTTCAGCTTCTATATCGACCCTTGGAGTTACTTCTGAATGATTCGCGGGAGGTTTATCGAGGAGAGAGCTGAGCTCCCTGAATCTCTTCATCAGGGCCAATACATCATCGTTGCGAGTTTGGAGACTGTCAAGAGGGGTGCGGAGTCGTCTCATCTGGGTCCAGATGATGGTCCTGCCCTGTTCCAACAACTCAACAGCGCGATGCACATCACCACTGCGGAGAGCGCACGATGCAGCATCAACGGCAAGTGTACTCGGGAAGTCCATGACGTCATGTCGAGATGAAACTGAAGCCGTCGTAGACATGTAAGTGTCCAGAAGTTGCATGGAAGTCGCATAAGCCTCCAGTTGAGTGGCATGTCTGTATTCATCAGCATGGTGAACCCAGTCTAGACTGACTCGCAGGCGGGATAGCGAGCCTCCAGAGACAACATTTGCTGCTACCTTGAAATTATGCATGGCAACATTAATATTATCAGTATCTTCACCTGCGCCAATGTCGTCAAGACTTAAACGATGGAATGACAGATGGACATGAGCTAGCGATCGATTGACTAGTAATTGACGAGGATCATGTTGCGTCAATAGAGTCGATGCACAAAGTAGGTTCTCTCGCGACTCAGCGAGGTCTTCTGTGTTGTGTTGGTGGTGGAAGCGGGAGGAGAGTGTTTGCGCGAGGTTATTTAATGACTTGGGACAACCTGGGTGGCCGACTGGACGCAAGGCCAGCGCTTCTTTGTCAAGTGCGATAGCCTCATCCAAGTCTTCATCGTTGCCTTTGTGCTCAAAGCGGGAGGAGAGTCCATTCGCGAGGTTGTTTAATGACCCAGATCGATCTGTGTGACCGACTGGGCGCAAGGCCAGCACTTCGCGAAAATGTGCGATGGCCTCATCCAAGTATTCCTCGTTGCCTCGGTGCTCGAAGCAGGTAGAAAGTTGAGCCGCGAGGTTATTTAATGACTCGGAACGATATGTGTGACCGACTGGGCGCAAGGCCAACGCTTCCCTGTGAAGTGCAATGGCCTCATACAAGTCTTCGTCGTTGCCTCGGTGCTCAAAGCGATAGGAGAGGTCGTTCGCGAGGTTATTTAATGACCCGGACCGATCTGTGTGACCAACCGGGCGCAAGGCCAGCGCTTCCCTATCAAGTGCGATAGCCTCATCTAAGTCCTCATCATTGCCTCGGTAGTGAAAACGGGAGAACAGTCGATTCGCAAGGTTATTTAATGACTTGGACCGATTCGTGTGACCGATCGGGAGTAAGGACAGCGTTTCCCTGTCAAGTGCGATAGCCTCATCCAAGTCTTCGTCATTGCCTCGGTTATCAAAGCGGGAGGAGAGTCCATTCGCAAGGTTATTTAATGACCCGGACCAATCTGTGTGACCGACCGGGCGCAAGGCCAGCGCTTCCCTGTGAAGAGCGATAGCCTCATCCAAGTCTTCGCTGTTACTCCAGTGGAGAAAGCGGAAGGAGAGGTCATTGGCGAGGTCATTTAATGACGCGGACCGATCTGTGTGACCGACCGGGCGCAATGCTAGCGCTTCCCTGTTAAGTGCGATAGCTTCATCTAAGTCTTCGTCGTTGCCTCGTTGCTCGAAGCGGGCGGACAGTCCATTCGCGAGGTTATCCAATGACTTGGACCGATCTGTGTGACCCACCGGGCACAAAGCCAGCCCTTCGTGAAATAGTGCGATGACCTCATCCACATCTTCGTCGTTGCCTCGGTGGAAGCGGAAGGAGAGTAGCTTTGCGAGGTTATTTAATGACTGAGATCGATATGTGTCACCGACCGGGAGCAAGGTCAGCGCTTCGCGAAAAAGTGCAATAGTCTCATCCAAGTCTTCTTCATTGCCTCGGTGGTCAAAGCGGAAGGAGAGGGCATCCGCGAGGTCATTTAATGACGTGGGCCGATCTGTGTGACCAACCGGGCGCAAGGCCAGCGCTTCCCTGTGAAGAGCGATAGCCTCATCCAAGTCTTCGTCGTTGCCTCGGTGCTCAAAGCGGGCGGAGAGTCCATTCGCAAGGTTATTTGATGACTTGGACCGATCTGCGTGACCGACTGGGCATAAAGCCAGCGCTTCGCGAAAAAGTGCGATAGTCTCATCCAAATCTTCGTCGTTCCCTCTGTCGTCAAAGCGGAAGAAGAGGTGATCTGCAGGGCCATCTGATGATGCGGACCGATCTGTGTGACCGATCGGGAGCGAGGCCAGCGCTTCCCTCTCAAGTGCGATGGCCCCATCCAAGTCTTCGTTGTTGCCTTGGTACGTAAAGCGGGAGAAGAATTGCTTCGCGAGATTATTTAATGAAATGAACCGATCTGTATGACCGACCGGACGCAAGGCCAGCGCTTCCTTTTCAAGTGTGATAGCCTCATCCAAGTCTTCGCCATTGCCTCGGTGGTCAAATCGGGAGGAGAGTAGCTTTGCGAGGTTATTTAATGACGTGCACCGATCCGCGTGACCGACCGGGAACAAGGCCAACGCTTCCCTGGAAAGTGCGATAGCCTCATCCAAGTCATTGTTGTTGCCTCGGTGGTCGAAGCGGAAACCCAGCATTAAAGCCAGATTACATAGCAACTGCCCTCGGTGAGCATGTCCGGTTTTATAATATCCCAGTGCATCATAATGAAGTGTTATTAATTCATCTAAGTCATGGGGTTCATCTCTCTCCAAACACCGCTCTGCTCGATCAGCAAGTTGATGAAATGGTAGCGGAAGCATAGATGCGGCGGGCCACTCCTCCCCAAGATCATTTCCATTAGTGCTTCCATCACGATATACGGTGCATGTTTCCATTGCAATTAAAGCTGCTCTGTACACGTGACTGTTGGGGTGGCAGACGTCGAGCACTTCGCTCAATGACTCTTTAGCAGTGTCAGGCATCCGTTTGAGATCCCCGTTTTGCGAACCGAGAGACCAGAGAAATGGCAAGATGCAGTTGGGTGGTGGGTTGGTCTGGATCGCCAATGGGACGCAAATCAAGTACCTCTTGAAAAAGAGAAATAGGCGTGTCAAAGTTGAGGCGTCTTCTATCAACTTGACAACTAATGGACTTTGCGGTGGCTAGATTGAACAATGCTGCAGGGCGGTAGGGATAATCCACGGGGATAAGATCCGAGGCGCGTTCAAAGTGTTCTATGGATTGATCCAGATCTCTACTGTTCTGTGTCCTGCGGTATCGTGCTAGAAGACGATGTCCGGCATCCGTCTGTAGTGCTAACACATCCATATCGCCAGATGTAAGCTACACGTTACACCTCTCAGCATCAGAATGCCAGACTACATTCATCACTGACCGTAGTAAGGAGGCAGAGGTCTGAAGCGTCGTTTCGATCAGAAAGTCGCTGCTCCACTGCCATGAACAGTGAAGTACAAGCGGATACAACTTCATCCTGCTTTGACTGAAAGATCATAGCTGTGATGCTCGTTAGCATCCCTGAGGTGTTGTTTACAGTAGACAATACTGACAGTGAGATTTTTCGCTGCGATCCAGTAATTCTCCAACGGAGATCTCGAATGTGCGGAGGGGTTCTCCATGACAAACCATGCGACCCAATTCAAATGAGGCATACACGGTGACCTGAACTTTAAAAGACTGCTCGCATGGTCTAGAGTCTTTCTCAATACCTGTAGGACATACGGGGTTAAGAACAACTTGCAGAATAATGCGCTAATGCCATTCGACGACAGCCTGGTCTACATTTACAGGTTTATTGCTTGTCTGCCATTCAGCACCGTCAGTCTTGACCACCACATGAAAGCCGGCGGGGATCCGTCGGAGACCCAGAGCGAGATCGGTTGCGCGAATGACTTGAGGGACATCGTCAATACGAGCTGAGTGGAGGCAGATAACACGTACAAGTAATGACAACCTGTTGCTCTTCACCGATGTGTATTTCTGCAGGGTCCTGGTTGTGCTCTGAGTAGCTTGGCTCCTCGCCTATGACTGACAAGGTATCATCGTGTGGATCCGACACGGAATCTGTCATAGAAAATCATGGGTACCACGTACTGAGCGAAGGTAGATGGCACATACTATTGATAGCAACTTGTAGCATTTCACTGTTCACGAGGTCTGTCTCTCCCAGATCCTGAAGTTATTGTGGTTGTCCTATGGCTTGGAGGGTATCATCGAGCGGGTCACGAAGTCTGTCGCGAAACAGAATAAGAGGTTAATTGAAAAATAAAGTGTCGCCAGAATTGCTTTAGGAGATCATTCGTACGTGCTAAATGAAGATAGTGCGACACATACTATTGACGACAACTTGGAGCATTTCACTGATCACGAGGTTTTTCTGTCCTGTGTCCTGAGGGCGACTCGGGCCCTCCCCTAAGGGTGGAGGGTCGTCATTGAAATAGCCAGGGACGAACCTTGACATATATGACTGAGTCAGAGGGACGGAGTCAAACTACTAACACTTGAGAGTGAGATGTGTGCTGGGGTCACAAAAACACTGCAAAACCTGTGAGATCCTGAGTGAGGGAATCACCTGCACCATGCAGCACTAATGTCAATAGGACATAAGTGACCCGAAGGATAACAGAGGATAACCGTCGAACGGGAACCTATAGCAATATTGATTACAAATCACATACGGGGTCCCACGGCGGCTGCAGCACGCCACCGACTCCTGACACTTTGTAAGTTACCCGGGCGCAGCACTATGGTCATTTTGTACAATCTGGTGGTTGATTGTTCACAACTGTCATGGTCAACCAAATAGAATGTGCGTCTCTATTATTAATCAGATGTCAGGAATTTACAACCTCATGATTCTGACATTCCTTTCCTGGTGCAGACGGCAAGTACCTCGCTTTGTTCGAGTTGATTCTGATACTCACCTACAATCTCGTCATTCAAGTCATCACCTAGTGTATCTGATCTTCTATTGTTTCAACCACACAAAACTCGTCCGCGTCGGAAGCTCTGTATTCACCGCAACCTCTTCCAAATTCGCGCCTCCCTCCGTTCGTTTGTACACCTTAACGCCCGCAGTGCCCGCAAACCCAGCAGCCACAATATATGCATCGCCTCCCTCGCCGGCTTGCTGCCCATGCATCATTCCGCGAATCTGGTTCAAGCCCGTGTATACTTGGTTCCTTAGAACCAGCTGGTTATTCACCTTTTCGAAAATGGCGATCGTATCCCCACGCGGATCCTGTACACCAATGTTGCGATTCGAGGTGTAGATGTAAGGCTTCGGGAACTCGGCTGTTGGAAGTGGGATAAGGACTTCGGCAGCTGCGAAGATGGAGCCTGCGGGTGGATGAGGTGGGATAGTTGAAACGTTGGAGATGAGGGGAGTGGAGAAGTTGGGGTATGTGGGGAAGTCTTGGAGTGTCAGGGTACTTGCGAGTTCATGAATTGTGTAGAGCTGGTTCTCTGTGTGCTGGTTTAGAGGGTGAGGATGTGAAAGGGGGATATGCTTACCATAGATTTGGATGTGCCGTGGGCCGCTGCCGATCGGCTGCGCGATTTGACCGTGTACTGAAAATTCACCTGGTGATCCGTTCTGGCTGAGACGCCAGATTTTGTCATTGCCCTTTAAACAGCGAGTGCGAAGGGTTAAAGATCACAGATTGAAGGTCCCGAAAAGTACCTTGTCAGGAATCAAGAGCTCCTCGTAGTATTGGTATGTCATGTGCGGTTCGGACATGCCCTGCGTTCCAGTGGTTGGGACAGGGAACGTCACAACAGTGTTATCATCGGTGGAGAAATGTAGCAAATCTGTAGTCGTAGGGATCACACTAGCAGTTCCAGAGCCGTACTGACATAATAATTTCAGCATCAACTTGAAAAAGAAAAGGAAATATTACGGCGTACATTGACTATGGCTACCTGACCCGTGGAGAGGCCACCACAATACGGCGGGCTGCTTCCTCCCGAGGATATGGTATCGACCAGGGTGAGTGCTCCTTCAGGTCCGACCGTGAATGATTGCAGTGCGCCTGCAGGGACGTTCTCGTTGACTGCACTATGCGATCAATCAATCACAGCCGTCAGTGGACACGCGCAGATACTAACACAAGAAAAGAACACGTACTACAGAACACTCTTATTCGTAGGGTGCGAGGTTATCCACGATGGATTGTCGCCAGTGGTATACTTATTCAAGTATGTCAAATTGTTTGTCTCGCTATCGAACATATACGAGGCAATGAAGGAGGTGTATCCTCCCGCGAGGATAGTGAATTTCACCATGGGTATTGGCGCTGAACAAGAAAAGTGAGAAGTTGGCCAGGAACCACAGTCAGCGATTACCGGACACAGGCTCTCACGACCAGGCTTTTATATCTGCCTCAAACAATGAAAATTTCGCCATCAAATGAACCACGTCGCGAAGGGTGAGCTGGCATACGCTCTTGCAGATTCACTGGTCACGTTGCGAACGCGGCAAAGTTCACTTGCTTCGTGAAGTACGAATAGGTGTGTAGCGCAGCTTGCCGTCAGAAAAGCTTAAGAAATAATAATTACTTTGCGAAACAAGGTCGAATGGCATGAATGATTTCACAGTAAGGAGGTGCGGCTTCACATCGTACATTTAAAACTTATGTAATCACGTGATTATGTCCGAAGTTGCTTGTATGTCCCATGTCACGGACCACGGTAATGAATACTAGCTTTGGCAAGACCCGCTTCATCTGGCAACTGCCTCGCGATAACATGCTTTCAAAAACTTTAGTGACTAAGCCTGTTGAAGACAAATACACTCGATAATCAAGAAGCGTACGAGAGACGCTAACGCTCCACGAAGTTCGAACATCAGCTTGCTTGGCTTCACCCTGGCGTCCGTCCATCCGATAACTCATCAAGTACACGGTAAACCTCACAGCGGCGAGCAGGGAACAGGTACCGTATGAGATGCCTCGCGAGAATATGTGGACCTTGTGCACCAGGACTCGCATTGTCACTTTGCATTGTCATCTCACCGTTCATCCACATTTCTTGTTTTCCTCAAGTCAAAATTCGAGGTGAAAATACTTGATTTATCGACCCCATTTTGATTCCATGTCATTCGACTAATTCAGCTACTCGTAACAGCACTCCCAACACCCGGCTGAGGTATTTTTGGAAGGTGATGACCCTTTCGGGCACTTCAAAGTTTGCTTAGAGGTGACACATGGTTCGGCACAGGATCCTACTCGAGGAGATTTCGCTGCCACTGGGGCAAACACAACACTGGTAGTGGCAAGGATTGCAAGATAAATAATTTGAGCGAGCTTCATGGTATGATTGGTATCTGACATAACTGTGCATCAGCCTACGATGTGACCATGTGAGGAATCCACACACCGACAAAAGTCTGAATGTGCAATGTGCGTGGAGTTGCTGTGACAAACGTCTTAGAAGAGCTATTATATGTCAATTCAATGAAATGTGCATAGTGTGGCGGAAGAGGGCTGCTCACTGCAACAGGAGGTATTCGTGTCTGAGGCCTTGAAGTTCCACTCAGTGGCAACTTAATCGCGTTGACTTTATACCTGTTCTCGTTAGCGGTGAAACTATACTCGGGGAAAGTTTTATACCGAGAAGACATGCAGTTCTGTTGATGGAATCCGTATCTTTGGCAATCTACACTGGCATGCCGCAGGCTGAAGTGCGCCTAAATCACTGGCAGGTTGTTGATAGTTGAACCGAGCCAGACAATTGTAACTTTGTGAGGCTGCTTATTGCGTTCGACCGGGAATGATTCGGACCATGAGAGAATGAGTGAGGGATAATTTATTCACTTGAGCTACTATAGAAAGTAAGGACCGACTATTTGTATGTAAGTGAGTACAACTTGAAGGGGAAATCCATAAGTAGTACTTCGGACCGGTACTACAAAGGGAATTCTATAGCCGGTGTCCGTGGCTAGCAGAAGTCACGGTGACATTCCTTACAGCTTGTAGTGATCTAGCAGGAAGGATGACAAGCCAAGTATTTGTGTAAGCACAAATATAATATAGCCACTGCTGAACATTCTTCTATAGCATGATCATTTCTGACGGAGCCCAGGGACAGTGCTGGCCAAGCACCCCTTCAAGTTGTCAGATGGACACTTCAACGCACTGACATCCAAAACGACACCACGGAGATGTTTGCATATATCACATTAGAATATCCTTGACTGTGGTCACCTGTAGTTTGACACTCTACCAGATTCTGCTGGCAGAGTTCTTCCATCCGCGGGCAAAACCAGTTCTGCCAACTTACCGACTGGCAGAATGCAATACTTTCCAGGCTATCTCAGGGCCAGAATTTGAGCAGTATAGCTATCCTCGGACATGGCACTAGGGGTCTAGGACCATCGGGAACCTATAGTCCACTGTACGGCGATGTATCGTGCCATTTGTGGCCCATAGTAATACATCAGGCTCAATCCTAGTACAGGTACAGGTGTGTCATCATACTGAATATATGTTACTCGTGCAGGTGTAGTGTGCATGAAGAGACAGTAGTATCGGACGGAGAAGTAGTGCAGGTAGGTCTCCTCTGAAAACAACGCCCGAATACCGTGCGACTGCGGCGGTAGCATGAAACCAACACACCGGTTTTACTATACATTTTTACACGGTAAAATAAATAAAATTGGGTGAGTTGCCAAACCCTGGGCGAACAAATTCTGACACTGAAAGCAACGCGAGCCAAGCGTGCGAAATTGTATTGGAACACGTGAAGTAGGTTAGCAATATTCACCGAACGAAGTTCAATTAGGGATCCTCACACCTGGGAGCTTAAGCACTTACGGTTTATGCTTATACACCAGAGACCCGGCCAAGTAAGGGTCCGTCACAGATGCCATTCGAAATCAATACAGTTACAGATGTGTTTCGGGATAGTATGTATCCGATGCATCTGTTCATAGAACTTTTTTGACCGTGTCTCAGGTGTTACGGCATAAGCACGGTGCTTATGCCGTAAGCGCTAAACTAATTGAAACTAGTGTTGGGTTGAGCTTATAGCTGTCTCGCAGCACGACAGAACCGTAACACCTGAGACACGGTCAAAAAAGTTCTATGAACAGATGCGATACATATCCCGAAACATATCTGTAAATGTATTGATTTCGAATATGTTCCCCGATATGAGCAGCATCTATTACGGACCCTTATTACTTGGCTGGGTCTCAGGTGTATAAGCATAAACCGTAAGTGCTTAAGCTCCCAGGTGTGAGGATCCCTATTATATTTGTGCTTACACAAATACTAACATTGGCTTAGTATCATCCTTCCTGCTGGATCAGAGGATCCCTAATGTAACAATGCTGCGATGCGTCTGATCGCCCTCTGGATCTCGTGTCACGTCATATCAGTGTCTCACTCGCGCCCTATAAATCACTCTTTGTATCTGGTTATTCGAATGTCTCCCCTTGCTCCTCACAGGCGTCACATTTGTCTTGCTGTCAGATCGTCCAAACATCAGTTAGACACACATTACAGGGTACACCGCATTTCCCACATTTATAGTTGTTCATCGTTGATAAAGCTTTCAGCATGGTCAGCTTCAGTACTAGGCTGCCGGTAACCCAGGAGAGAGATTCGTCCTTCGTGTCGACTTTCTCAACATTAGTCTTGCCGACCTTTCTTTCGTACTTTGCAATGGGCGTGCTGGTTCAACGAAAACGCACTGCAATGATCCGCTTTGCGCTGCTTCCGGTTACATTGCTATGCGCATATCGAGTCGGCTCGTCGCTCGATCTTTCTTTCGGCATTCCTAACTACCGTACCTTCAATCAATGCTTAGTTGTGAGTACACTGAATAAGTCGTCCGTCACGAGAATCTCCATCTCATCCAAGTGTTACAATACAGGTCGGCATGTTCGTCTTTGCGATGCGATCGACTACTTGGGCTTTCGCGAAAAAACCATATAAACGGATTGCATTGCAACCGAAGAAAATATTCAACGGTGATACCATGTCAGGCGGTACAAACAACCAGTCGACCAATGATGATGATGATGATGGTACCCTGTTCACCGCCATCTGGAATGCATGGGATCTATTGTTTAACCTTCGCGGGATTGGGTGGGATTGGTCAGAAGGCTTACGCATTCCAAAGAGCAGTCTTGGAACAAAATCAACATTAGAGTTCCTGCTCATCACTCTCGCGAAGCTAGTCTTCTATGTGCTCGCAACTGATGTCACCTCTGGAGCTGCTCGCTATTTTTCTCCGGGAACAGCTGGATCAACTGAAGGGGGCACAATATTTGACGCATCACTGACACCCCTCAGTCGCTATACCCGGTCTTCTATCGTTACGATCCTCGTTGGTTCGACGATATATCTTACGGCCGAATTGATTTATCACATAAATACCATCCAGTCTATCTTGTTATTCAGACAAACACCGTCTCAATGGCCGCCCTTGTTTGATAATCCATTGATTTCGACATCGTTGACCAGTCTTTGGGGTCGCAGGTGGCATCAATTGATCCGGCAGTGCTTTATATCACTCGGTGCTCGACCATTATCATACCTACTTGGTCGCACCGGAGGGGTGATGGGCGCATTCGTGATCTCAGGTGTTATGCACTATGTCGGATTGAAGGCAATGAAACGAGGTATTCACCCCGTTGCTACCTTTGGGTTCTTCAGCATGCAAGGCGTGGGTGTAATCCTTGAAGGCATGTGGAAGAGGCGTACAGGCTTACGTGTCGATGGATTTTCGGGTTTGTTGTGGACTTGGGTTTGGGCGGTCTTTTGGGCCAACTTCATGGTTGATGAATGTGCGAGAGCTGGTTTGGTCGGGTTCGTGCTCTTCCCTGACGATTACAGGCCAATAGTCTTGCTCGTCCACTTTTTGAAATACTTATTCCGAGCTGTTTGAATTTTTGGAAATTATTGATGTAGTTCAGTGGCGTTGATAGCATTGCTGCACATACCTATGATACAGTATGGAAATAACAAGCACAAAATTTGACATTGTGCTGCAGGGACGAATGTGAGTGGCCCGGCGTCGAGTACTAAAGTAGCGGTGACTCGAAACAAGGCAATACGATTGCTGGCGGGCGTCACCCTCGAAATGCAGCACTATCGCCTGCCAGGATCTCCTCACGTTTCAGTCGAGGAAAACAAGAGCGTTGGCTCCGTTTTCAGGTACTGCCGAAATGGAAAGGAATATTGATGTTTTAAGGAGAGCATCAACAGCGTTCGAAGCGGCATTCATCTGAGCAAAGCTACGAACCTATAGTGAAGCTTTGAAGAGGAACTGGCCGCGCCTCTGAAAAACCTTTTCAAAAGGCAGGGACGCCAACTGTGGGTGTTTCTTGAAATACTTCCAGACAATGCTCTGCAGGTGATGGTACTGGTGTTTGTTTCTCCTGCGGTAGGATCATGCGGTCTCTGGTGTAGGAAGACACTCGTTTGCTTGAAGGCGAAAATGCTGAATATAAAAAAAAATTGGCACAGATCAAATTAAATCAGACGTTGACTCATCTAATTTTCCCTTTGTGATGCTTTAAGACGAAGACAGGTTGAGTTGAGGATAGGTGATATATATCTTTCTCTGCGTAAAGTGTGGGGTAGTTTTGAGTGACCAGGGCATTGGGCGTCGAGACATCACAATGGAGATGAATTAGTTCCGAGCGCAACGTTGAAAGCAATTAATATTCTTGTATAATTGTGCAGTTTCAGTTGAATGGTAACGATCCATTCCGAGTCAGATGTGCGAGACAGGTCCTTAATCACGAGGTCGTGGATAGCACAGGCATTCTGTTTCAGATCATCATGCTATTCTCTGATGACTGGGGTAGTCGTAGTTTAATCCGGGGTTCTTTACAAAAAGAAGGTAAAAGAGACGAAGAAGAGCAAGGGCTACACTGTCCTTCGCTTGCTACAATTAGCATTATCGAGGTCGATGCATTGCACGAGTATCACGACGAGGAAAGGAGTTAATGCAGAATCACTAGAAGCAGAGATGAAGAAGTCATGCATATCCTGCAATGCTAGCTGTATCAACAACTACTGGCATGTGATTGGGATACACAGCAGAGAAACAGCACGATCTGGGTCCACCATTGGACGAGTAGTGACTGTGTGGCTGCTGTACCTGCTGTGGTAGTACTGGTACCTGAAGCAGGAGATGTCGCAGATATCGAGGTATCGGCAGGCTGGGTGTGTGATGATGATGGCTGGGCTTGGACATGCAACTGGCTTTGTTGTTCATCGTATGCTCGCTTTTATTTCATGAAATTTGGCCCCCGAGCAACAACCAAAGTCTGAATGAATAATTAAACCACATCAATTTTAAATACACTGAGGAGGGACACACCTGCTTGTCCCGCACTGCGGTCACTTCAACAGCATGAGGACAGCTTGGGTGTTGCGGAAGTTCGATTTCTTCGTTAGTGTGTGGTTGAGAGCGGAAGAGTGAGTACAACCGGCTGAAGAGTGCATCTGGACGCGAACTGAAAGACGTTGGATGAGGTTCTGCTTCTTCGTCAGTGCCAAGTCGAGGTCGAGGCAAAAATGAGGAAAGGCGGGCCAGTAGCACATGCGGATCTAACTGCGAAGGTGTGGATAGTTGCTGAAGTTCGTCTGGTGCATTATTTTCGGGTCGAAAGTGGTGGAGGTGCGAGGAAAGACGAGCGAGGAGTGCATGTGGATGGAATGCTGAAGGCCTCGAGGTTTGCGGAAGTTCGGTTGCTTCACCATTTTCTGGTTGAAAGCTGTGTAGCAACGAGGAAAGGCGAGCGAGGAATGCATTTGCAGAGGAATGGAGATGTGCACCACCCACTGGAGAGGACTGAGGGCACAGCTGTCTGGATAAGAACTATACAATTGAAATACAAATACTGATCACGTACATGAGCATCAGTTTCCATACCAGCAAAAAAAACGTCGGCAAGAGCTCGTCGATACCGCCAAACTGGTTAGAACAACGCGTAGCATCAGCCTAGAATGTTACTGTTATAATGAACAAGAAGGATTACAGATACGGAACGTACTGCCAAAAATGACTTGCCATCGGGGTGTGTGCTCTATTCTTAAATCATCTTGAGATGCCTTCTCTTCGAGACTGTCTTTTGGTACCTAACGGTAGACATTGTTGGTGAGTGAGAACAAGTGAAATAGTGACACTCACAATATTAGTACTAGAGGGAAGTAGGTGTTGAAGGCCAGCTCGTTTGAGGATGGCGTGAACGTCCCATACGTACGCGTTCTTGTTTTCGCAAGCAGTGACTAGCATGTTTCCATCAGGGGAAAGCGCTGCAAAGCGCAAAGCCCATTTACGCTGGAAGGTGACTTCGACTGGGAGGTTAGTGTCGAGATTCCATAGACGCGCTGTGTTATCGAGTGATGCACTTGCAAGGAGACGGTTGTTTCGAGACAAGGAGATGCGACGAGAACATTGTTGGTGTGACCTTCAGTCACGAGGGCAGTCGTCTGTTGCCAGGTGGCAGTGTTGAATATCCTAATCGTGCTATATGAACCCGGATATAAGCTTGCTTCCATCCGACGTCCATGCCAAGCCGAAAACCCGGCTGTGTTCGAGTGTGTTGAGACGCTCGCCTGTCTCCGCATCCCAGATATGCACAGCGTTCTCCTTATAACCGCCTGTCGCGAGTTTTGACGAGTCAGGCGAATACATCACCGCATACACCCAATCATGCTCGGTCTCGATTGTCAAGACAGTTTTGCCGCTGTCGACATCCCATACTCTTGCTGTCCCGTCCCAGGATCCACTCGCCGCTCGCTCACCATCTGTACTCCAGCACAATGAACAAACAACATCTGGCGTCTCGGCCAGAACGGATCACCAGGTAAATTTTCGGTACACGGTCAAATCGTGCAGCCGATCGGCAGCGGCCCACGGCACATCCAAATCTACGGTAAGCATATCCCCCTTTCACATCCTCACCCTCTAAGCCAGCACACGGAGAACCAGCTCTACACAATCCATGAACTGACAAGTACCCTGACACTCCAAGACTTCCCCACATACCCCAACTTCTCCACTCCCCTCATGTAACATTTCTTCTTCCTGCTTCCCGTTCATACCACCCACATATCACAATGCTGTACTTCTTCAGCTAAAATCATTGAATTACGAGGAGCAGCCACCAATGGAATCCGGCACTGGCAATAAAATGTTCAAGTACCATAAGGTTTATAGCATCAGAGTGTGCTATGATGCTCATGGCTACAATATCTGTAGTGTTCTGACATCATCTCTGATTCATCTATCATGCCGCGGATAAAAATCGTTTTGGGAAACGGTATATGACGTGCATTGAAACTCTGATTCGAGACGCAAATGACAGAGTTCAACTACTTGCAACGTAGTTACAGCTCAACCAACACATTATAGGGTCCCAAGTAACAAGGCACTGTTCCTGTCGTGCCGCAGTCCAAAAATCATTTAGTTAACAGCTGAGCAACACTGCCAGCATGTATAATCCACTTGGTAAGGCGTCATTCCTGACTCGCAGCTCAAAGGCAGATTAGGGACGCAAGAGCCCGTGCAAACTAGAGATGGTTGAGAAGCAAATGCTGACGTTGTCGAAGTGGCATCAGCAGCGACGCTGGAAGCCGCAAGGATCGTGAAGTAAACGACTTGAACGAGTTTCATGGAATCTGGTAAAATTATGCCATCAACTTGTGATCATTGACCCTGCATACACCCACACACCGACAGAAAAGTTTGATCCTGCAAAGAGAGTGAAGTTATTATGACAACGTAGCTGTCATATGTTGCTCAATGAAATATGCATAGCGTGTGGCGTGAGCGTTACTCACTGCAAACAGTTCGGAGGTGGTCGTCTCTGAGGCCTTTTTCAACTCGACCGCAATTGACTTTATACTCGGAGAAAGTTTTTTTTTATACCGACAAGATATGCAAGTTGATGCGACGTTGATAAATGAGGGGTCCGGAATGCATCTCCTTGGTAATCGGCACAACGCGCATTAAGTCGGCGAGACAAGTTATATCGAGCCTGCAGCAGGTTATAGTCTGTCGCAGTGATCGCGGCGAGGATGATTTGTGGCAAATTAGCGAGTATTTGCATAATACCGGCTACTAGCCGAACTGATCATAAACCGTTGCAGAGTCAAGACCGTCACGTCATTCAATAGATACATCATGGTCTAAGACTATGGACTACTTATTTTTGACACTTTCACTGACTTTGAAGTTGTAAGAATAAGATTGAGAATAGCGTGAACTGGTGGCACGCACTTTCAAAAATAACTTCTCATCGAGCGAAGAGCGGGGTGTATGCTGTGCTTCTGAATCATCATCTTGAGATGCTTTGTGTTCGAGTCTCATTTGGTGTCTAACATCGGTCACTGTCAGTGAATTCACAATATTGGTACCAATGGGAAGGTCCTTGCTGAACTACGGCGTGTAAATCGATGACCAGTGGTGGTTGGGTCTCAAGAAAGCCGACGGTGCGAATGAGGAGTACGGAGGAAGGAAGCTGGACTCCTGTGGTCGGAACATTCCGACAAGCTGCTGATGGCAGCGTGCTTGACCCTCGGGCGTCAGCACAGACTGGTTGTTGTTATTAATGTCCGATGATAGTTTGTGTACAGTGCCCTAATCCTACTCTTTCCATATTTGACTAAAAAGTCATTTCCACAGTGAATATTGGTAAGCAGTATGTAAAGAGGTTCAGAAACGCTGTGAACCTGTTCATGGATAGGGGCGAAAGCACCAACCTTTTGTTCATATTTATTTATTTATTTGTTCATCAATGCATGCTGATCGCCCCTGCACTCATCATCGCCTGGACAATATTGTGGCAAAGTTCTTTAGTGGTTGGAGCAGGGTATTGTATTGAATTCACTGGCAGGCAGATGATGTGGCTGGTGTGCAGTGCCAGCTGTAAGCAGTGAGCATGCTGATACTGAAAGCTAAACCTTTTGGTGTAATGGTTATGCGCAGGCAGCGGTGACATTCGGAATGGACACGTATTGAGAGCAAAAATGACCGCGAGATTCAACTAATTTAGCTAGAGTACTCAGTAACAGCACTGCCAACACCCGAGTGCGTGTGAAGGCGATGACCCTTTCGGGCACTTCAAAGATTGCCTAGAGGTGACACATTGGTCGGCGCAGGATCCTATAGTTCCAGGAGGTCTCGCTGCCACTGGGGTAAACATAGCACTGGTAGTGGCAAGGATGGTGAGATAAATAATTTGAACGAGCTTCATGATATGATTGGTATCTGACATAACTGTGCATCAGCCTACGATGTTGACCATGTGAGGAATCCACACACCGGCAAAAGTCTGAATGTGCAATGTGCGTGAAGTTGCTATGACAAAGTCTTAGAAGAGCTATTATATGTTGGTTCAATGAAATGTGTACAGTGTGGCGGAAGAGGGCTACTCACTGCAACAGGAGGTGTTTGAGCCTGAGGCCTTGAAGTTCCACTCAACTCAATCGCGTTGACTTTATACCTGTTCTCGTTAGCGGCGAAACTATACTGGAGGAAAGTTTTATACCGAGAAGACACGCAGTGCTGTTGATGAAATCCGTATCTTTGATAATCTACATGCCGCAGGCTGAAGTGCGCCCGGATCACTGGCAGGTTGGTGATAGTTGAACCGAGCCAGACAGTTGTCTAGCAGGAAGGATGATAAGCCAATATTGTAGGCACATATATAACATATAGCCACTGCTGAACATGATCATTTCAGAGCGGAGCCCAGGGACAGTGCTGGTCAAGCAATTGTCAGATGGACACTTCATGAATAAGTTTCCACGCACTGACATCCAAAACGGCACCACGGACATGTTTACGTTATTACATTAGAATATCCTTGACTGTGACTCAATCACCTGTGGTATGACTGTACATTCTACCAGGTTCTGCTGGCAGAGTTCTTCCATCCGCGGGCAAAAGCAGTTCTGCCAAACCGGCTGGCAGAATGTAATACTTCAGGCTATGATCTCAGGGGCAGAATTTGAGACCCACAGTAGACATGACACTACAGTCCACTGTACAGCGATGTATCGTGCCATTTGTAGCCCATAGATTACTAATACATTTATCACTAATGACTTAGTTGTAGGTAGTGATACGTCAATCCTACAGGTACTACAGGTGTGTCATCATACTGAATCTATATTACTCATGCAGGTGTGGTGCGCACGAAGAGACATTAATCTAACAGGATCGGACGGAGAAGTAGTGCAGGTAGGTCTCCACCCTGCTTTACTCTGACAACAACGCCCGAATATCGTGCGACCTGCGGCGGTAGCATGAAACGAAAACACTATACATTTTTACATGGTAGAATAAAATAAAATAAGGTGAGTTGCCAAACGCTGAGCGAGCAAATTCAGACAGCGACACTGAAAGAAAGCAACGCGCCGCGGCAGAGGTAAGAGCCAAGCGTGCGAAATTGTATTGGAACACGTGAAGTGGGGCAACAACATTCACCCAACGAAATTCAACTTGAATGTAACAATGATGGTGCGATGCGTCTGATCGCCCTCTAGATGCTTGAAATTCCCTTGCCACGTCATATCAGTGGCGCATTTGCGCCCTTTAAATCGCCCTTGCCAGTATATCTGGTTACTCGAATGTCTCCCCTTGCTCCTCACAGCCGTCACATCTGTCTTGCTGTCAGATCGTCCAAACATCAGTTAGACATACATTACAGGGTACACCGCATTTCCAATGTTTATAGTCGTTCGTCATTGATAAAGCTTTCAGCATGGTCAGCTTCAGTACTAGGCTGCCGGTAACCCAGGAGAGAGTTTCGTCCTTCGTGTCGACTTTCTCAACACTTGTCTTGCCGACCTATCTTTCGTACTTTGTGATGGGCGTGCTGGTTCAACGAAAACGCACTGCAATTATCCGCTTTGCGCTGCTTCCAATTACATTGCTATGCGCATATCGAGCTGGCTCGTCGCCCGATCTTTCTTTTGGCATTCCTAACTACCGTTTCCTCGATCAAGGCTTAGTTGTGAGTACACTGAATAAGTCGTCCGTCACGAGAACCTCCATCTCATCCAAGTGTTACAATACAGTGCGCCATGTTCGTCTTTGCGATGCGATCGACTACTTGGGCTTTCGCGAAAAAACCATATAAACGGATTGCTTTGCAACCCAAAAAAAGATTCGACGGTGATTCCATGTCAGGCGGTACAAGCAACCAGTCGACCAATGATGATGATGATGGTACCCTGTTCACCGCCATCTGGAACGCATGGGATCTATTATTTAACCTTCGCGGGATTGGGTGGAATTGGTCGGAAGGCTCAAGCATTCCAAAGAGCAATCTTGGAACAAAATCAACATTAGAGTTCCTGCTCATCACTTTCGCGAAGCTAGTCTTCTATGTGCTCGCAACTGATGTCACCTCTGGAGCTGCTCGCTATCTTTCTCCGGGAACATCTGGATCAACTGAAGGGGGCACAATATTTGACGCATCACTGACGCCCCTCAGTCGCTATACCCGGTCTACTATCATCACGGTCCTCTTTGGTTCGACGATATATCTTACGGTCGAATCGTTCTATCACATATATACCATCCAGTCTATCTTGTTATTCAGACAAACACCGTCTCAATGGCCGCCCTTGTTTGATAATCCATTGATTTCGACATCGTTGACCAGTCTTTGGGGTCGCAGGTGGCATCAATTGCTCCGGCAGTGCTTTATATCACTCGGAGCTCGACCATTTTCATACCTACTTGGTCGCACTGGAGGGGTGATGGGCGCATTCGTGATCTCAGGTGCTCTGCACTATTTTGGATTCAAGGCAACGACACGAGGTAATCACCCCATTGCTACCTTTGTGTTCTTCAACATGCAAGGCGTCGGTATAATTCTCGAAGGCATGTGGAAGAGGCGTACAGGCTTACGTGTCGATGGATTTCCGGGTTTGTTGTGGACTTGGGTTTGGATGGTCTTTTGGGCTCACTTCATGGTCGATGAATGCGCGAGAGATGGTTTGATGGGGCTCATGTTCTTCCCTGACGATTACAGGCCGACAGTCTTGCTTGTCCACTTTTTGAAACACTTATTTCGAGCTGTTTGGATTTTCGGAGATTATTGATGTAGGTCAGTGGCGTTGATCGCATCGCTGCACATACCTATGATACGGCTTGGAAATAACAAGAAGCACAAAATTTGACATCGTGGTGTCTGTTCATGCACATTGTACTCGAGTTGACAGTAAAAGGAAATACTCACCAGGTCCGTCCCGATCGAGTCTGCTCCATACACGTGTATTTACTTCTGTAAGACACGGAGACGACTCGAAAGAAACCAGTTCGTGCGGGGTGATGGAACGTCTGTGAGTCTTGAACGATTGTGCTACAGATGTGTGCGCGTGGATGGGGCGAGGGTTCCCTAAAAACCCGGGACGATGCAGGCGTGATTGTCATGGCAGGATGGCATACACAATGAGCCCAAGCATAAAAAGACCCAAGTGGCCAGTCCGCATATAATTGAGTTGGTTGAGAGAAGAAAAAAAGTCACTTGTACCTGTCGCAGCTCTTGCAGATTTTGCTCAAGTCGCATTTATCCTGGACGGGGAGACATATGTGAAAGTATCAAAAATAAGTAGTCTATAGTCTTAGACCGCAAGTCCAAGACACGACTTTTATCAGCGGCATGGTAGATGTCAGAACACTAGAGATATTGTAGCCATGAGCAGTACAGCTGGCAGCATGATGATATGTGGGTGGTATGAACGGGAAGCTCAGGAAGAAATGTTACATAATATGTACGGAAGCTCAACAGAAAGGTTTCACGTGTTTTTCATGCTGCACTCAGATCACGTTGATACGAAGCACAAAGATGTTGACAGCACAATACTAGAGACACAAACAGGTGAACGACCGCGGGGCAGGCAAAAAACCTGATGCGCGTCGAACGGCGACATATCATTTGTAACTCCAATTACATGCATAGCAATTTTTGGCTCTTCCAAAATCTCATAGTAAAAACATGAAAATGGAGATCACAGACGACGACCACGACGACCACCCTATCAACAAAATCAATAAAACAAAATTCTCTCAAAGCGGGTGAGAGGGCATACCTTGCGCCTGGTGGAGTCGGTAGGAACAGGGGTGACGTCCTCGATGCGCCCGATGCGCATGCCAGCGCGAGCGAGAGCACGGAGGGCGCTCTGTGCACCGGGACCAGGAGTTTTAGTGCCAGTGCCACCAGTTGCACGGAGTTTGATGTGGAGGGCAGTGATGCCGACCTCGCGGCAGCGCGTGGCAACATCCTGAGCAGCCAACATAGCTGCGTATGGGGACGACTCGTCACGATCTGCCTTCACTTTCATGCCACCTATTCACGATCATGATGTAAACTAAAGATCTATACCGATATAGGTAGTCGCGCGTACCAGTGACACGGGAGATGGTCTCCTTGCCTGAAAGATCGGTGACATGGACGAAGGTGTCGTTGAAAGAGGCGTAGATGTGTGCGACACCGAAGACGAGCTCGCCCTCAGCGACTTGGGGACCGAGCGAAACAGTGTTGTCTTCTTTTGCGACCTTGGTTTTCTTCGGAGCCTGTGCATCCAAAAGTCAGCTTGCAATCCACCTCAACAACAGGCCAAAATTGCGAAACGTTGCTCCAAATGATGGCGTGGATCACCACAGGACGGTGTACTGAACTATGTACGCACCATTTTGATGGGCTTGAGGTATATTCAACGATACGGACGTTGGAGTCGAGGAATGTGAAGCAAGGTTTTGCGTGCTACAAACATGAACAAATAACAACGGTATGCGAAACTCAAATTAATTTGCTCACCATCGTGTTACGCAATCAAAATTCCTTCGAAATGCCACTCACGTTCAAAATTGTCATAACTCTGCGGAATAGTCTAGATGAGTCTCGAGCTTCATCGTGAATTTTCGAAGATGAGAAGTTTAGAAGTCAGTGGGGACTATTCATCAAAGCGTAGTATCTCAAGCACCATCAGTCGCTCCTGTATTACAGCTCGTCTAGAAACATAACGATCGATGGCACTGCGTTAATTTTACGTGTAGTCGGACCCTGCTTAATTTACTACAGTTAGCAGAATCATGAAATATCTCCTATCATTCCTCTGAGTGGGACAGTAAGCGCTTGAGTACTTGCATATTTAGAAGCGTTATCGGGGTGAACCGCGTCCCATGATCAGTTGACCTGTCACTGACATATATAAAGTAATATCAGGGTCTCTTATCCTTAGCCTTGACTCGTATCTAATCATCCCACATCCCACCTCACGATGACCGTCTGCCAGGCCTTCTCCAGTGCTCTCGCCAAAAAGGGTACGCGTGTCTTTGTACATATTCGAACATGATCATGACCCTCGATCAGGCATGACCGCACAGCAGCTCGCTACCATGACCCAGAGCAACCAAGACCGCATGTCCCAAAGTATGCCTCAGACACTGCCGTTGACTCGATCGAATCGTGCTGATGCATCTATAGTTTGTGCGGGCACTGTAACCCCCACGAGCGAGGAATACAGCAAGATCGCTTCTGTGCTGGGAATGAGCAGCGTGAGTGTTTGGTTTGTTTTGTTTTTTGCGCTTGTTTTTCATCGTGTTCGTGTCAGGTCCCTGCTAGCCACCCTTGAGTCGTACTTGTTAGTCTGTGTATTACTATCGATAAACTATGGAATGTATATCTGAGCTGGCAGTGATGACGATACGACGAGCACGGCGACTTGATGTCCCAGATAGAAGCAGACTCACGTCATTGATTGCCTATTCAAATTTCCAATTGTTCCATCTTCACCAAGTACTCAGTCGAACAAAACATCAACGCAAGCACACGCGGACCCGATTGCAATCGAACGATCGACGAGTCTCTCAAAAGGAAAAGCAAAAGGAAACCGCCACCCAACTGATCACTTCAAAGATTTACGTCAAACCCCAACACTTCCCCCCTATATCATCCGCACCATCCATACATCGCGTTTCAGGGCTTCACGTCACAAAAAAACCAAATCTCCTCAGCTGCACGTACGATACGCGGCGGTACGAAGTAGATACGATAACGCTTAAGAGCGCTGGAAGAAATAGAAATACAAAAAGAAGGATCATCGCCTGCAGCGAGTCCGCCTACCCTTCAAGTTCGCATGCGTTTGCAACGTTGCACGAAAAGTCTCCGTTCGAGGTTACGTGTTTACCATGAAAATCTCTTCGCCTAATATCCGACGAGAATAAATTAGCAGGGGATGTCATTAATGGTCCCTTGTTGTATGGCCATGCGCAGTTAGGCCGATGATGCGCAGGACCCCCTCGTAGCCTCGTTGCATCGGCGCTGTTGCCTCTTCGGGAAGGCAGCGTGTTTTACACGATGCACTCAGTTCAGGGACTCGAAAAATGGAATGGCAAGAAAACAAATGTCCGCGCTGGAATGCTGCAGAAGTTCGGTATTCGCGGGATGATAAGCGTTTGACTCACAAAAACAAAGTAAAGTTTATCAGCATCATGATACGCGGTGTCCGCACCTTCAGTAAACAGCATCCATGGACTTGCAAGCCCCAAGTTTACGTGGACACTGCAGGTTTTGAAACAGTTCCTCATCCGCGGGAAACTGAATCTCGAATTTCGCATCCAATTCATAACATTCAACAATATGCAATTGCAATATGAAAATCAACGACGGTAGTATGAATGACAACGCTACAGTAATCATTCGTCCACTACGTAAACCGTCACAAGAGTCATGTACTACTACTGTGTAAGTACTAAGAATCATAAAGGAGTATGCAGAAACTAAAATCCACAAACTCATCGTAAGAAACAACTAACTGATAGCGAGACAGAATATCTGAGAGCAGAGGGGGGGAAAGGGGATACGGAGGAGGTTCAACGGTCAAGTTCTGGAATCAAGGGGGGAAGCGATGACGAGCAGATGAAATGGAAGCGGGACGGATGGCTGAAAAGGGATAAGCGAGAGCAAGGAACACTAATGACAATAAAAGCAGGAAAAACGCAATGCTACGTGAAAATGTGTGCTGTGCAATCAAACGCGCTCCTTATTAAGGATGAAATGTTCAAAGGAAATAAGTAACACGAACGAATACGGTATGGCTGAGAAATCCTGCCAAAGCCAATGCTGTCAAGAAGGCGAAATGGATAGGATACAAGAAATAAAACATTAGTATAAGGAGCAGCGCCAATGATATGATGCAGATGAGAAACATGCCAGGGAAACGGAAGAGAGACGGAAACGAGAACTAGGCGACAGATAGCAATATGAGACAAGTAGAGTAGTAGTCCTGAGACCGCTAGACTGAAACCAAGCAAAGACAAATCCAAAATGGGAAAAATTTTATGCAGCGTTTGTTGAGAACGAGGAGCGGGCACGGCCGGGAGCTTGGGACGAACCAAAGTAGGGTGGATAATTGATAGTTTTACCTGTCGGCGGGCTGTAGGCCACGTTCGGCGACGGCATCCAACGTTCGTGAATCCGTTCTCGTTCCCTCTCCTGCTCATCAGAGTGCGAACGAGTTATTTTTTGAGGTGACGTCGCGGAGATGGAAATCGTCCGCGGTCTTGAAGGGGGGATTGGGGACGTAGCACGTAAACGAGCCGACAGCACAGACGCTTGCGTTGGAGTCTCAGACCTCATCGGTGGTGCCGTCATCCGTGCTGGGGTCGTTGGTCTCGACCCTCCAGACACAGATGTAGAGGCACTTCGAGAATGAGTCGCCGCAAAGCGCGAGAGCATGGATGGCATAGCTGGTACATTGTACGTGGATGCCGCGGATGAAGAGACTGATTGGCGCCGCTCGCTTAATCCAGTTGGAGCGGCGGTGCTGGGACGGGCAGGTGGCGTTGTGACTTGAGACGAAGCGGACTTAAGAGTATAACGGCTAAGCTCTGCTCGAAGAGCCTGGCATTCTTGTACTTTTTGGTTGTGAAGGGCTTGCTATAACAAAAGAAACGGAGGTCAGTGGCGTTCAACGCATTTTCCAAACCGTAACGTACTTGTCTAGAAGAAATTGTCAGCCAAGCGATAACGTATAGATCGATTTACGTACTGCTTTAGATCGGCTTCTAGCTTGGTGACAGTCGTTTCAGCGTCGTCTAGCTTCCCTTTTAGGGCGGCCTCGACGGTCTTGGCCAATTTCGTGGCTTCAGAATGAGCGAAATGATTCATCAAAATCGCCCTGAGCAGCGCAGCACTCAAGGATAAAGAAGAGTTCAACTGTAATCAAAAAGTTAACGGAACCGCGAACGTTGCATAGCGATGAAAATTTTTACCTGGTCATTAGATTTTTCATCATGAGTCAACCAGTCTTGTAGCTCGTTGTGTAGAGTCGAAACCTCTTCCACTGAGCATTTTTTAGCGGCTACTTTGGCCACTTTATCCTCCAGCCTGCGAGCTTCTGCACGGGTACGCGAGGAGCTCGGCTCGACGAAGGGAAAACGATCTTCCCGTCGTGGTGTGGAGCGGTCAGCAATGTCAAGAGCCTCAGTGAGGCCACCTCGCCGCCGAGAAGTGGCCCATCCACTTGCTGAGAAATCAATGCGGATCAAACGCACATCCTCGCTGGTGAAATGATCCCGACAGAACGGACAAGCGGGTTGGAGACGAGGTAATGTCTTTTCTACGATTTTATGGCAGCAACTAGAGCAGAGGACGTGACCTGCGGACAAAGAGATTTTTATGACTCGAGTTGAAAAAAATTCCCACATCATCAAAAAGATTGAGCTCACCGCAAGGAATTGAGTGAGGAACACAGTGCGGACCGTACTCTTCTGCGCAGACATCGCAGACCGAACCAGGACTAAGCGTGAGCATGAGGTCAAGACGATGAAACCCTTGCCAGGTTTGCTAGTTAGAAAGCTATTGACAAGGGGTATCGCTTGACCTGGTGGTGGATAAATAGCATGAAGTGAAAAATCTCAGAATGACGGCAAGTCACCAAAAGTGGCCAAACAATGCACTGCACGCATGGCTTGATAGCCAAACAAATCATATATTCTTCTGCCATCTAGCCATAATCACGAAAACACGCTGTCTTCATAATATGTTAATTTTATCTATCAACTGCATCTGCAGGTTCCATGACATTTTCTAGAGAGTCCGTGAATAAGATCACAAATCACAAAAAAATTTGATGAATAATATTCTTATGCAATGTATTACAAGTACTAATTTAGGGTTAGGGCTTAGGGTATTTCGCCCTTTGTCCTGGTGGCTTTCCAAACCATGACTCGACTAGAAGGCCAGCCAAGGCTTTCGTACGAAACTTGCCGACGGAACTAACAGCCTCTTTGTGTCACTGCCGCCTAGGTATTGGCAAAAATATCAGTCGGAACCGTTTATATCTCACACTCTGTGCCCATTTCAGGTCATATAACATATCATGGTGTGCGAAACACGTGTTCCCGCCACGGCGGGATTCACCCGCTCTCACTGATCATATTCCCTATGTTCCGCCGCAGCGCGGATACCCACAATCCGGCTCCAATATGAGTCGAGATGACTTCACTTATGAGTCGTCGCGCAGCTTTTTGCTGCGCTTGGAGTCATCTTTCCAGGCCTCGGACGGAGCAATACGACGTCCAAACCACCAGATGGCACCAAAGCAAAGCGGCACACATTTGGTCGTATCTCACGATTTGCTCACGAGATTATCCTTCGTCATCGGAAGTCGGAATATGAAGTCTCCCGGCACACATTTGATATGCCGGATCAACAGGTTTGTCGCAAAATTCGGAATAAAGCATCAAAAGGCCAAAAATTATCATAACTTCCTGCACACGTTCGGTATGTTTCCTTTCTAGCCGACCATCGATTATCTGATTCGGATAGTGGATAACAGGCTCTGCTTCGAACACGCCCTAGGCCATGCTGTCATTCTCTGAAGCGTTTTTTAAAGTTATCACAATCTCATCATCGTGGAGCTGTGGTGGGATGTAAGACGTGCCATTCTCTTGGTCAAGACGGAACCGTCTTCCGCGGTCCGTCGTCAAGAAGATATATCTCGAGGCTGAAACACGAGATCTTGTTACTGCACAGCTCTAACTCGGTCCCAGGCACACTGATCCGATATCGATTCGGAGGATCTGTAAGAAACTGCGTACCCGCTGACTGATCGCCCGGAACGCTTGCGATGCTCTACAATCTTCTACAGTGCCTGGTGAATCCAGCGGATGCGGCATCGACTCACTTGTTCGACCAAGCTCGATCGGCCCAGCCCAAGCCTATCATAAGAGTAGGCTGGCGTGCGTTAATTACAAGGCTTTACTACGAACGCATGCAGGATCACACATCACGGAGTTTACTCTGTCCTTGGATTAGTGCATCTCCTGATAGCTCCCGATCAAGATATTGGAGTCCCTCTACTAATTCACACTTTCTTTCAAGTCAAGTGGACACGATGCAATGAGCTGAGAGGTCACCCACTCTTCCCGTCGTCGATTAAGGAGATCCAGCGACCTATCGGCGGGTCGCACGTTTTATACCGAGGGTGACCTCTTTTGCCAACACCATACGGGGGCATTGTTTAGCCCCCCCCTAGCGAGCGTCTATCGCAGATTGATAGGCTGAAGTTAACCTTATGTTCATCCCCAGGTCTAGGTGCGGCCTGATTTCACAAGGTGGGGCATCATCATCGTGCACCACTACGTACTTACCACATGATGAAACTTGATATCTTCATCTCCGGTCCACGATCTCAATCACAGAATAGCGATCCGTCATATCAACATCATATGACTAGCGCTATAGAATGCTATGTATAGGTTGGTGCTACTGAACATGAATGTATGTGCTTCCAAAAATTATATGTGGTAAACGAATAGATGGGTGATTAGGTGGAAAGGTCCCTGACGGCCTCATCGCAAGCTCGTGGCATCCATGATGCGTTCTATCTGAAGTCGTACGCGTACGCGTCCTTTCCTTTCCCTCAGGGGTTCAACCAGACCAGAACACCTGTTTTTGCGCCCTCGGAAAGCATCTGCTTCACTCACTGATTACTCCAAATGAACTTCGCTTCCATGCATCCAGCGTCAAGTGCAACTACGGAGTTTAGGAGTGAGAGCCTGGGAAGCACCTAATTGGCAAAAGAAACGCATCATGAAGGACCTGCGCGGCTAGTACTGCCGTCTTCAGTAATCTGCCGTCCTCTAGAGATACGTCTAGAAACGCGGCGAGTGGGACATCTTATCCGATGGCTGCGGCGCAGACATAGCTAGGATAAAGAACGCATCGTTCCAACGTCATGCATGACATGCACATGGCGTGGGACACAAGTCCGACAAGCTCTTTCTCTGGCCATTATTAGTCCTGTATCCTATCGTTTGGCGTGCTCCTTGTCGTTCCACGCAAGTACCGCTTGAATCTGTGGAAGGAACCAATGACGGCACAGGCCCATCACCGGACCGCTGCGCAAGCTTCGCGAAGAAGTTATTCGAAAAGTCTTCCAGCGTGCCTAGCAGTCTCGAATGACCGGGGGGGTCAAGCATGACGCTTCGTTTTTCGGCGGTGAACTTTGTTTCGGCTTGAAGGTGGTACTAACAAGGATAGAGTGGCAGTTGTCTGGAGGAAATTCAACTTCTTTGTTTTTATTTTTATCTTTGGATAATCGATAAAATTGTGTAGCAACAGAAAATTAGTCTAGTCCTACAATATGTACGGTATAGTCTCTCGACACCATTTCTGAGAAAGGAAGTCTTTCCGACCGACAAATGATATCTACGATTAATTGTTGGACTACAAACTTTAAATTCGAGGTGACGGATTAATAGCGGAAATGAACTCTGTTCACATGACGAATTACATAGTTTTCCCGATTTTTGGAGTTATCTGTCGGCGAATGGCGCTCCATTCGGATTTGAGTTGCTCGCCCTTCTTTACCATTGACCCGGGCTTCAGAATTCTGGATCAGGCATTGGTACATTTCGCGTTGTGCCGCGCTAGAAGCACCCGACAAAGTGTTCACGGACGTCTCTTACCTGAGACAAAAAAACGATGACGGCGGTTCCCGAAATTCTGCAGAGCCTTCAAGTTGCTGGTCACGTCTTGGAATCGTGACGCTGGCGTTATGCAAATAATTTCAACTGGAGTAGCGTTGACCCGCACATCAAATACATTCCGGCTTAACTTTGAGAACTCGCATCCGATGAGCTGCGCCCTTCCTGGTCCTCAGGCACGCATCGAGCATCCGTGACCGGCGCAATAGAATATCGGACGCTGAGCACCGACCAGTGAATCTACTGTACCCCCTACTCCATGGTGTAATTCGTCCTCGGATCATACGCGCTATTTGTCGAAAGCCTGACGTCAGGAGGTGAGGTGCTAGGGATCTTGCAGTCATCGGTGCACGTACTTGCTGCAGAGCTATTTCTAAAGGTGAACGTGCATGGCCTTCTCGTAAGGATGAGCTATCGCGGGCAGAAGCTAAATAAACACACTGATAGTTGACGGGGACGCACCATGGCCGATAAGCCCACGATAAGTGACTGGGGCGGTGGGGATAAACGTCTTCTCGGTAATGCTGTCAGCAACGATTCGACGATACGATCATGGTAGTTTCGTTTCCTGTTGCAAGTTAGCACACGATGTGGTATAGATATCGTTCCATGCAGGTTCTGTCAAGGTATCAATGAAAACGTGTTAGATTCAATATCTATGTCCTTCGAAAAACATGCGATTACAATGTGATGTCCTAGCGTCCCATCGTGCCATGAACACAACTCATGTCCCCCACTCGTGCGACATCAGTGTGATCCTCTTATTCTCCACGCCACGGTGCTACGCTAGCGAAAGTGCACTCAAGGGCTGTTCAAAGCGAGCGAGAAACCTTAGCTCTACTGTATGAGGCCCCGGATCAGTCATCATACGATTTTCAAACGTGTCGACCATAGTAGCGCTCCCAGGGTGATTCAAACTAGGCCATTAACTGGTCCAATTCGGCAGTCTGAACCTAGCGTGTGCTTGGGATGTCACATCAGTTGAAGCAAGAAAAAAATCGGACGAAACTGGATAATGCACAAAGAATATCTTCAAATGTGTCCTCTGCCAGTCATGAAGGTACTGATCGGTTAACTCAGCTTGCAGGGAAGGGTATCTGTGCGTATCTGTGCTAATATTGTCGACAAAGTTCTTCCCACTGACGTCAGAACCTGCGAGAGATCTTGCATCCTGAGTCAGAGCTAATTGCGAAGCTGACATGACTGTTTGCAAGGATGATTGATGATCGATGACCAGTGACCTATGTATATGAGGGTGCCAGGGACGATAACTTGGACACAACTTTGTTGGGAGCACCCGGCGCCCGTGGTAGGGACAAACAAACGCCAAACAACGCCTCAGTATCGAGTCATACGATCCTACTTAAGTGGGTGACTGTCATTATTATAGATATCCGTTTTTCAAAATCCATGCACTGGCTACAATATCTCTAGCGTTCTGATGTCCATCGTGTCATGAATAGCAGTTATGTCCTTGACCTGCGCCACGATATTGTGATCCGAAGCAATCCTCTTGTACTCCCCACCATGCTGCTGCGCTAGTAAAAATGCCCCAAAAGCCTGCCCGAGGCGAACCATTAACCGTAGCGCTCGTGAGGGTAACTCCGAATCAACACTTTCTTGATATCCGCTAGGAGAGCCGCCCAGTGAACGATCTGACCAGGGCGGAGAGATTGGTTTGATGGACTCATCATCCTCAAAGTCAAGCAGCCCGAGGTCACAACGATTCCACGGGCGGGCGAGCAGGAATGTCTGCCGAGTGGGCCTCGCTCGCGAGAATTGAGTCAGTTTATCCTCTGTGGTGATCGTAAGGTCTTGAAGCCCGTCTGCCTTCACGTAATAAGTAAAACATGTCTCTCGATCTCGACTGCCCCTCCTTCTGACTTCTATAACAGGGAATGTGATGCAAGGCAGTCGCAGTCTGGAGTTCGCGAAGCGAGGAGCGCTGAGGTTGTGAAGTCGGGTATAGAGTGCCGTTGCTGACTCCACAGCGACAACATCTTGCAGCCTGGAAACAGGCATCCACATCTCATCTCCCGGTAAAGATGACAATATGCATGGCGGGGCTTTATACGAGGTAATGTCAGCTGGGAGACAGCTATTGAACGGAGATGATCTCCCGATCCAGTCCAGGGCAGTAATGTCGCCCGACCGGGCGACGATCTCCTGTATGAGCCGCCCGAGCGCGTTTTGTTTCGTCTCGCCGTAGATAATGGGTATGTGGATGCCGAATATGCCAAACAATGAGTATGCAATGTCTTCCTGCAACGTAGTAGCACGACTTGATGCCCATTGGAGTTTCCCCCGCACGTCTTTCATGCCGGGACGGAAGGTGGCAAGTGACAACGCATCTATACCTGTTGAATTCTGCAGCTCATGCATAATAGTGGCAGACATCTTGTGGTTATAAGAGCGGTCGTCGAGATATAGGGTCCAGTCTGCTCGGTAGAAGAGAACAACTACGGGAGCCAACAATTCTTGAATAGTCCATCCTCGCGTGTTCCAAGCGCTGTTTGCCAATGTACCAGACTTCGCTGAGGATGAAACGTCTGACAGGTAGACGATGGTAAGAGCTGACCGACGATACCAAACAAACATCGAGTTCACTGATCGCTGGAGTTCAACATTGTTATGCTGGTCGATGCAGCAGGTATCGCTCCACGCCCAGCGATACCCCGCATCACGAGCAGTTTTACAGAATGTCTGTAGCTTGACCATGGCTCCGACAGGATCCAAATCGTACACAACCCTGTCCAGGATGTCGTGCAGCAGTGGCTCTTTCTGTTCCCACCTGTGCGATAACATGACCCAACTGAAGTACTTCGTGACCGCTTCTGTGATGAGCTCCGTTATGAGCTCCGTTTTGAGGGGTGCATGAACCATCAATGAATATAAAAGCTGCGTGTATTCTGTGCTTTCCAAGAAGGTACGTATCTGTGCCTCTCGGTTGCATAAATGTCCAGCCGAGGTGTCGAGTAGACGAAGTGGAGCATTTTCGAGTTGAGCGTGAATGACTTGTCGAATAGTGCCCTCTGCTTCAGATGGACTGATAGTATATTGCCTACGTAGTTCTGGAAAACGGTTAATGATCTTCCCGTTGGTACATCAGGAACGTGGGGCTTGCTTTGTCTCTGAGCATCGGGACCGTGGTCCAACTTGGAAAACATAATAGTAAAGGCCTCGATTGCTTCGCCATAACGTTGGGCCTTGTGGAGTGCTACATGTTTTATTTCGTAACCAAGATATGACGATGGGTTGAGTTCAATGACCTGTACATCGGCAATATCAGCGCAACTACTAGAACGATAGATATCGTCCACACCTTTTCCGCATCGTGAAGGGCTTCTGCATAGAACTGTCGTTTTAAATTTACCTTACTGCGGTCCACAAACAGGGACTCGCTTGAAGAATCGAGCGCAATCGCAGCCGAATACAATGCTACGGCCATCTCATAATTGCTCGCAGCAACAGCCTCGCGTGCCTTCGCGACACAGCGCCTAGTACAACCTTGCTTGAAGGCTAATTGGTACCATTATAAGTATCAATGTTCAGTTTGTTTTTCCTTAAAACACTTACTGGTAGACCATTCGATGCAGCTGCCCTTCCCAGCTTCGTTAATCATGTTCATCATATATTGAAAAGATTCGACTGCTTCAATCACCCGACCAGCCAAGAGGAGCGCATCACACCGTCTTTGGTTGGTAGTTTCCCATAACGAATCCAAATCCCAACCGAAAAGCTGTGTAGCGCACTTGATCAATGAAGTGTCCTCGACAGATTCGTAGTGACGTACCACCGTGAATATCTTCAATTTAGGTTCTAAAAGTGTCGGATGTAAGAGCCCGCCACTGATACTGATCGTGAGTTGATCAGCGGCCTCGCTGTACCGCCCATTCTCGAAATCTATTATCGCAAGCTGCGCACGTAGATATGACTGAAGACAGTCTCAAATTGAGAAAAATTATAAGGTTTGACACCAAACCTACATTGATAACGCTACACGGAAATCTACCTGGGTGTTGGTAAGTAGTAGCCAGGTCTTGAACTCGCCGCATTGCCTCGTCGCGACGACTGGCATTGAAAATTGAAACAGCCTAGACAAAAATGACATCGACGTCTTAGCATGGCGATAAAAAAAACTATGGGAACAGCAATGAGAATACCTTGATTAATAGTAAAAGATCAACTATAATCGGATTGTGATTGTAAAATATGAAAGCGAGATCAAAAGCTTCCATCGCGTCACAGAGCTGACCATTGCCGCAGAGGGCAATGCCCTTGGAAATATAGCCCAATAATGAAGGCTGGATCGCAATTGACTGTGAGACGAAGCTGAGTCAATGGCTTTATGATAGGCAGAATATCTAACCTTGACTGCATCTTGAAGTGCATTCTTCCATTCAGCACGTCGAGCCCTTACAACTGAGCGATTAGCATAGGATTTGTAGCTGTTGTCATCTGCGTGAATCTCTTGGGTCAGCAGCTCTTCAGCGGTATGCAGGGTATCAGTGATGGATGCATCGTGGAGCGTCGTTTGTATAGCGAGGAACTGTGTAAAGCAAGTTCATATTCCGTAATAAGTAAATGCGCGAAGGCAAACAGCTCACGTCAAATAATTCTACGTCGTCGATGACAGAGTCTTCGTCAATTTCCGAGGGATTATTGCTCGGACTGCCGTGATTGCAAATGGACTCTTTGTTTCCCTCGTGATTGCACGACTATTTGTCACCACGCCAAATGATGTAGATGAATGAAGAGCGAAACAATTATGGGCATAAGCATACCTGAGTCTCACTGAATGAGAGTCGTTGTTTCTGTGCTTCTTCATTTTCTAATATCCCTTCCTCCGCATTGTATTGCTTGAGTATGTTCTTGATAGAACAGAGCAACACTTTCCCTTCACCATCACCACTCACAAGCATTTCTCCATTGGGAGAAATTGCAACACAACGAACCCAAGTGGCGTGTTCGAGCACCTGTCCTATCAACTTGTGTGTCTTTGTGCTCCACAGACGTAAAGTCTTGTCGTCCGAAGCAGTGGCAATGAAGGAGCCATCAGAAGAGATGGCGAGCGACTGGTAAGCGTGACCAGTGCAAGGTTGACCGATCTGAGTTCCGTCATCTGAGCTCCAAAATTTGACTGTTTTGTCTAATGACGCAGAGACAAGTTGCTGACCGTCAGGCGACCACACGACGCTTCGCACCCAATGTTGGTGAGCGTCGATTTCGAGAAGAAGTTCGGCATTGTCGGAGTTCCAAATCCGGATGGAACGATCCGCTGACCCAGAGGCTAGTTTCAGTCCATCTGGGCTGAATGCAACACTGCAAACAGAGCTATTATGACCGTCGAATGTTGCAAGGATACGGCCAGTCTCGGCATCCCATACGACAGCTGTTTTATCGTGCGATCCGCTGGCGAGCCTCTTTCCATCAGGTGAGAAACACACCGACAGCACCCAGCCTGAATGCTTCTCCAGTAGACCGAATATCATTTGTTTACTCTCAACGTCCCAGACGATGATGGCTTTATCATCTCCACTGCTTGCAATTTTCTTGTCATCTGGCGATACTGCGACTGATCGTACATAGTCCTTGTGACCCTCGAATGGCTCCCCTACCGATGATCCTTTCTGTATGTCACAAATTCGCAGGGTTTTGTCGTGTGAAGCAGTGACGAATCGTCGGCCATCTTTGAAGAATGCAACTGCCAACAGTGAATCAGTGTGGCTTCGCATCGTCCGCGTAGGCGCAGGTCGCTCTGGTGCCCTCCGATGTGGGGATCCTCTCGCGGTGAGGTGCGCTTCTCGAAACACCCCTAATAACATATCGCGATAACCTATACAGAGAGTCGCAAGATGATCAGTAGGATCTCTGATTGACGAGAGCGGCGTACTTTTGGGATGTAGTACGGCATGAATCCTGTGCGTGGTAAGTAGTTCCCAACTCATGTAGGCGCTTATACATGGTTCTACTCAGTGCATGCTGCTACGGCGCGGATCTCATTTCCCTTCTTCTATCACTGCCCCCCCCTCTGGTATGTATGAGATAACGTTCCGGATTACACTGGTCGGCGGTTTGAGGATTCTTTCCCAGGATTTACAACTCGGTTTGACTTCAAGTTGATAGTCACAGATCGCCGAACGACCTAGACTGAGCACGTCTCAATCACTATGCATGCGTGTTCGTTAACAGTCCTATAGATCTCTACACCTTTCTGAAAGTGCTTTTAGTGCGACTAATACATAATAAGCTGGCGGAGTTTGGGATTTTTATCTTCCTCCCTGAACTAGATATCATTATACGTCAGTGCCTTACATAAGTTGCTAAAAGTTGATATTGACTTCTCCTCGTCATTACTTTCGATATCGATCCATATACACGTGCACTAAATATTACTTTCTTCTTTTCAAATTCTTTGTCTCATCTACTACATAGGACAGTCTCAACGACAAGGGGCGAACTCGTCGCAGCCATACCACAAACAGCAAAACGGAAAAACCCGACATAGCCATACGAGACAGGACTCCAAATTCAATGCTGGAATCATTGGTGTTCGGACAGAGGGAAATTTCAATTCTCGATGTCCCCCCTCTCTAATTTGGACTCCCTTCATGTTATCGACTAATCCACACAACATGCCGCGCTGCGAGTAAGCCTCTATTAGGTAAGTTGTATGTGAAGTCCGACGAGCTAGTCGAGTTGCTGTGTGTGCAGTGTACTATATTTTGAAATTCCTGACAGGTGACATGATGGGCCAAGGTTTTTCGCTTCAAGTTACTATCATTTATCTACCACTACGTCAAGCAGTACTCCTTGTTAACAGTTTTCTGTACAGCAAGGGTTTCATCGATTTGACTTGATCATGTTCACGCTTAGTCCTGGTTCGGTTTGTGATGTGTGCGCAGAGGAGTACGATCCGCATTGTATTCCCCATTCCATTCCATGTGGTGAGCTCTGAAACTTTCGAATCCGCAGTCATAAAACTTTCTAACACTGCAAGTTCTCTAGGTCACATTTTCTGCTGGAGCTGCTGCCATAAAATCGTACAAAAGACATTGCCTAATCTTCAAGCTGCCTGTCCTTTCTGTTCCGATCATTTCACTAGTGGTGATGTGCGTTTGCTACGCACAAACTTCTCAGAAAGCGGACGAGTCACCCCTCGGGGGCGAGGTGGCCTTAGCGAGGCTTTTGACCGCCACTCCCCATTACGAGGGGAAGATCGGTTTCCCATAGTCGAGCCGTGTTTCTCACGTACCCACGCAGAGACCCGTAGACTGGAGGATAAAGTGGCCAAGGTAGCTGCAAGAAAATGTTCAGTGGAAGAAGTTTCGACTCTTTACAAGGAGCTAGATGAGTGGTTGATTCATGACGAAAGTTTTAATGTCCAGGTAATTTTTTCCTTATAATTTGAGTGTTTGCGGTTCCCCTAACTTTGAGCACAGTCGTATTCTTTATCATCGAGTGCTGCGTTGCTCAAGACCATTTTGACGAATCACATCGCTCATTCAGAGGCTGTGAACATGGCAAAAGGAGTTGAGGTCACCCTGAAAGGGAAGTTGGATGAAATGGAATCAAGGGTGAGCAAGTTGAAAACCGACCTAAAGCAGTATGTAACCTTGAAGTGCTCCATCATGATAACACTTCACTTTGACTGACGCATTCCTCTAGACAAGTATGTTGTAACTTGAGGAATGTTATACACGTCGCTCACAATGTTTAAGCAAGCCTTTTACACACGCAAAGTGCAAGAGTGTGAGGCTCTCAGAGTGGAGCTTACCCGTTGTACCCTCAAGTCCGCTTACTCTCGGGCTGCAAATTTACCTGCCCGCCCCAGCACTGCCGCTCCAACTGGATTAAGCGAGCGGCGCCAATCGGTTTTTTCATCCGTGGCATCCACATACAACGCACCAGCTATGCCATCCATGCACTCGCGCTTCGAATCCACTTATTCTAGAAGTACCTTGACTTCTGCTACCGGAGTCCAAAAACCGACGAATCCCGCACGCACGACGACACCATCAATTAGGTCTGAGGCCCCAATGCGAGCGTCAATGCGGTCGTCCCGCTTCCGTACTATGTCCCCAATCCCCCCTTCAAGACCGTCTGCGACGTTTCCTCAAATAATCAATCCATCGCGTTCCGATGACCAGGAGAGGGCACGAGAATTAATTTACGAACGATGGTTGCCTGCGCCGGACGTGACGTACGCTCCGCCGACAAGCAAAACAATCAACTGTCCACCCTACTTCATCTCGTCCCCAGTTCCCAGCCGTGCCCGCACCTCGACAAATGCTGCTACGACAATACCTCAAACAATTACACCTATTCAGTCAGATGAGGTTGGGTCTGAGCTAGACGGGGTTGGATCTGACCTAGATGATGATTGGTCTGACCTAGATGAGGTCGGGTCTGAGCTGGATGAGGATGGGTCAGAGGACGATGAAGATGGATCTGAGCCAAACGAGGACGGGTGGGGGCGAGATCCGATTTACGAACGTTGGATGCCACCGCCAAACGCAATGGAACCGACAGGGAAACCTGTCGACTGTCCACCCTACTTTAATTCGATCCCACCCCCCGGTCGTGCCCGCACGTCGTTCTCGACAAACGATACCAGGTTACCTCAATCGAACGCTTCTGTTCATCAAGACAAGGACGGGTGGGAGCGAGGACGGATTCATGAACGTTGGATGCCACCACCAAACGCATCTAACGAACAGACAGGTGGAATCATCGACTATTCATCCTCCTTTGGTTCGTCCCTACCTCCTAGCGCCCGGCCCTCGTTCTCGACACACGCTGCTGCAGTGTCATCTCAAACAATAAATCCTGTTCATCCTGATGAACGTGAGAGGGGAAAAAGAGAGATTCGCGAACGTTGGATACCGTCACAGAACGTACCATCCAACCCACCAACAGGCAAGGCAGTCCACTGTCCGATCTACTTTGGTTCCTTCTCAGTTCCCGGCCCCCCCGGTCCCGCTCGCTTTTAAGAATAGATAGATAATATCCTAGTGGCGTCATGATATTCATTGTCTACGGCTCGGCGTTGTGAAGAAGTCCTGAGGTCTGAAACACTTTCTTGGCTTGAATAACTTGGACGCAGTCCCAGGCACAGTGATCCGATGTCAACCAAAGAATCTTAGCCTCGTACGCAGCCAGCTTATTTTGTTACGGATAGTACTTGTGGTGCACCATCAGTGTGCCTTTATTGCCAAGCAACACGATAGTGCTGATCGCATACCAGAGTTTGATTAGTAGCGCTGTAAAATGTTATGTATAGGCTGATGCTACCGTACATACATGCATGTGTTTCCAAAATGAGTATTATACGTGAACGAATAGTTCGTGATTGGGTAGAAGAATACCTGGGAGCCTCATCGCGAGCTCGTGGTATCCATGATACGTTCTATCTGAAGTTGTACGCGAACACGTGCAGCTTTTCCCTCAGGGGTTTGACCACCGAGCAGCTTCCCTTCAACTCCGCCGATGCCTGTCATTGCACCCTCATAAAGCAACTCCAGCATCTTCACCCACTGATTACCCCAAATAAACTTCGCCTCCATGCCTCCAACGTCAAGTGCAGCTACGGAGTTTAGGAGTGAGAGCCTGGGAAGCATCCAATTGCAAAAAAACGCACCATGAAGTACCTGGGCGGCTACTGCCGTCTCCAATAATCTCTCATCCCCAATCATCCTCGCGAAATACGTCCAAAAACGTGGTAACTGGAACATTTTATCCAATGGCTGCGGCACAGGTGCAGCTAGAATCAAGAAATATACACGCATCATCCCAGACACGCGCATAACATGATCGGATAAGGTCTCTCTCTGCCCACCATTCGTCCGGTATCCCATCGCCTTGGTGCGCTCTAGCTCGTTCCACGCAGTACCGTCTGAATCTGTGGAAGGAATTACTGACGGCACAGGCCACCCACCGGACCGCTGCACAAGCTTCGCGAAAAAAATATCCGGAAAGCCTTCCAACGTGCCTAGCAGTCTCGCGGCGACCATGGCCAGGGGTATGGCACTTCGTTTTTCGGCTGTCACCTCTGTTTCTGCTTGAAGAAGGATAGCTTTTGCTAGTGAGGATAGAGAGGCGAAGTAGATGTCTGCAGGAAGTCGTTCTGACGGGCAAATGATATTTACGAGTTGTTGGGTCTGTAAATTTCAGTCTGAGGTAATGGAACAATAGCAGGGATGAACTCACTATTCGCATTACGGAATCGATGTCGTGTGTCAGTTGTCCGATTTTTGGTGTTATCTGTCGACGAATGGCGCTCCATTGAGATTTAAGTGGCGGGTTCCCTTTGACTGTCTTCATTGGCCCGGCTTTTAGATTCTGAATTAACAATTAGTATCTCAGTACGTGGTCAGAAGCAGTAGGTTTACCTTGAGAGTTTCACGAGCATGCACCCAATCCTCCTCGGCCAATGACATTCCCAGCTGCGCCCTACCCTGTTCCTCAGCATCCAGCTTTTCCCTGCGCAAACGCTCTTTCTCCTCTTCTTGGTGTCTTGCAGCCGCTTCTGCCTCCCGCTGCCTTTGCGCTCGTTCCTCTTCTTTCCGCTTCGCCAGTTCCTCCACTTTGCGTTCCTCTTCTTCCTCCTTCCGTTTTCTCTCCGCCTCTTCCCGCGCTTCGCGCTCAGCTTCGAGTTTAGCATGTAATTTGGCCTCTTCCACGCGGATAACACCCTCTATCCTACTGCGAAATGTTTTATCTTGTTCCTGCCAATTACTTACAAGCTTGTTAGCTTCCGCCTGTTGCCGCACCTGCATTGCCGCGAGCTGCTTCTGCACTTCTGCGAGCTGTTGTGCATGCATAATCGACAGTGATTGCAGTTCCTGCGTTGTACGTTGAGTACGCCGAATCTGCGTCTCTAAACGCGTCTGAACTTGTGCTCTGCGCGCTGTATGCTATTAGAGGTTGTCAAGGGGCAATTTGCGTAGGAAGAACTGATAGGCACGCACGAATGCATCCTTGCGTGTCTGTTTCTCCCATTCTTCATAAGGATCATGATATCGTGTGCGTAAGCGGATAGCGGCCACTGTGTCCTCTGCATGACGCTGTTCAGCTGGACTGCGTGGCTCGCGCTTTGGGCGGCTGCAGAAGTGACCCGAGTAAGTGCGAGAATAAATACAATAGCGATGATGATACACGCACGGAGGCGGTGGCGGTACTTGTGATTCAGACTCATAACAAAATGAGTCTGATGAAAGGGAGCTTGGGGAGGATGGTTCTGAATCTGAGTCTGTAAGTGGGCCTTCGAAATCGCTATCAGTATCTGATGGGAGACCAAAAGTGGAGGTGCGTCTGCGAGATCTGATGAATACCGTGTTAGCCTGGCTCACTGTGACACGCACTGTGCACGTACCTCCGTTCAGGAGATGGCGAAGTTGAGCGTGGCAGTCCGTAACGCATGAGTGACGGCCGGATTCCGTATCAACCGTAGGCACCACACAAATATTGTAAGCTGCTGTAACTTGTCATGAAAGTACGGTCAGATGGTTATCGAATGCACTTACTTCAAGTCTGGGGCTCGAGTGAGTCGAGTCAAGTTTGACTGGTGGCGGTAGTTTGGGCGCAATTTCTCGATATTCCATTTTAGGAGATTCAGACATTTCTGCATAATACTAAATATAAGAGGGAATAACTCAATAATGAAAAGGTACGCGACATTTTGTGCTCGGCCCGAGTCCTCAACGTTCAACTATCAACTTGAAGTTGCGATTTTCTTTGCCAGGTAGAAAGGTGCGACAACATTCTACTCACCAAGATCATCGTCTCCATCAAAAGTGAGAGCGACTTGAATGGTAATGGACCAAACAGTAAATTTCCCCTTGTCAGGATTGACGAACACTTTAAGGGTTGGGTGTGGTGGCTAGCATTGCTACACTAGTGACGCCTAGTCATGCTGTGTGAAGTAGACCGGATGGGTTAAAATTGGCATATTGACTGCAGCACAACAGGGACAAGTCTGTCCGACTTGCGCAACACTTTTCAAAGCCTTCGTTTTCACCCTCTTCTATATCTTCCGAACATGAAAAAGGCTGTTTTCTCGTATGTGGCATAGCCGATTACAGCTGGGCTCAGCTAGGACCAAAATGAAGGCCCTTAGGCAGAATATGAACTGCTTACTAGACTGACAGGATAGTAAATCGATGCTGAACCATTCATCTCAGACTCACGGTATGTAGTGTCGAACTTAACGGATCATACTGCAGGCCCAGGCCTGAGAAGTGTGTTAGCAGACGGCAGATGCCGAATTTCTAGAATCTTCTCCTACTTCAATTGTCACATGTAATGCGTATACTAGTAAGCTCGGTTGCTGAAGTCCGTAATGTTGATGTATGACGTGAACCAACAGGCGCACATTTCAGTCAGCAACTGACTCATTCACCAAGCTACCGGGATATTATGATTGTCTGACTAGTCTGTTAATTAGCAAGATTCATTCCCGCACTTGACCCTTCCTGATTACGAATGAATCTAGCAGTCGGCTCACCACGAAGTTATGCGATGACCAACCGGGCCTAAAGTTCCGCTTGTCTCGTATATAAGCTTGAGCATTCCTCTGTTCAAGTGATATTACTCAAATCATTATAATCATGTCTGAGCAGCTGACTTTGTACCTTCACAAGGTGAGGAACGATGGAGAGTGAAGTGGAACACTTATCTGACCCGGCACTCTGCAGATCTCACCATATAGCGAGAAGGTAAAATAACAGCTGACAGCATCTCATGAGTCCCTGACGCAGATTGACAGATTGAACTAGCTCTTGTCGAAGCCAATGCACCCTACAGAGGCTACCAAGTCGATCTCTCTAACAAACCAGAGTGGTACACTAGTAGAGTGAACCCCGTCGGCAAGGTGTGTGTAACATTATGTGTTCATTGCAGACGAATGTGACATAACCATAGGTGCCCGCTGTGACATATGGGGGACCCAATGTCGACCCCGATGATCCATCGCCCCTGTCCGCTAAGATCGCAGAATCGAATATCATTCTTGAGTTCTTGGCCGACCTCTATCCAGACTCTGGCCTCCTGCCAAAGGATCCTGTTTTGCGGGCCAAAGTCCGTTTCTTCATTGACGCGACTACTAAATACCTCGAGGGAGCATCTTATGATTTCATCCGGGGGCAGGGGTCATATGACAGTGTCCTGAAGGGGATTGAATTTATTCAAGGACTTCTTGAGGAGGGGAAAGGTTTTGCAGTTGGAGATCACTACACTATCGCAGATGCATGCATCTCTCCGCATCTCGCGAGGCTCAAAATTGTCACTGAAACCGACACAGGTGAGCATCCACTCGTGCCTTTTCCCGAGAAGTTGAATCTGATTAATTAAAAATAGGGAAATTCCCTGTCGGGATGGGGTACAAGTTAGGCGAGGAGTTGAAAGGGCCTAAATTTGCCAAATTCACGAAATACGTTCAGCGAATGCTGGACCGCCCGAGCTTGAAGCAAATTCATGATGAGGTGTGTATATGTCTATGCGAACGACTAATGACTTACTCTTTACTGTCTTTAGGAGTATGTGACCACATTCTTCAAGACAAGATTCACTGAGCGCGTACAGTGAAGATATACCTGACAACAGATAGTTAGCTTCGTACGATAACAACATCCAGCTATTGGAAATACCTAGTATATCTAGGTGAACTTAAATATCAGACACATTACATGATGAACAACCCGCAATGAAGCTGTACACAGCCGGCAGGAACGGCGGAGGGTGCGCCTCACAACAGGGTAGAATTCACGCACCCAAAGAAGATGCGACAAGGACCCGGGGGTCTTTAGACTTGAATGAATTGTCCTACATCATGTAGATTACGTCTGCAAAGGACAAAAAATTGGAATAAAAAAAGAAAGCTGTACGACAAATGTAAAACTTATATGCGAAGCATACTTATCACTGTCTTCACTACCCTTGGCAACATTGATTAGCTAGAAACTTGGACCACAACATATGAACTGCAGACTACGAGGGGTTCAAAGCGTGTCTCCTTTGCGATGGCGTGAACTCTGGTTTCATTAACGCGACATTTTGTGCTCGGCCCGAGTCCTCAGCTATCAATTTGCGATCTTTGTTGCCAGTTGGAAAGGTGCGACAACATTTTACTCACCGAGATCATCGTCCGATCAAAAGTGAGAGCGACTTGAATGGTAATAGACCAACATTAGATTTCCCCTTGTCGAGATTGACGGACACTTTAAGAATTGTGTGTGAGGTGGCTAGCATTGCTACACTACGCCTAGTCATGCTGTCATAACTTTGAAGTAGATGCACACACATCTGTCCAAGCTTATCATCAGTATACTGCGAGCAGAAACAGTCCCCACTGATCAGTCTCATGTGCGTATTCGGTGCGTGTGTTCAAATGAAAACACGTGTTGACCCTGTAACAGAAGCTGGAGGAAGCCGCACTGACCATTTTCCTGAAGCTCTACCATAGAATGATATGGTATATCGAAAACCATCACTGCCTGGTAGAGTAAGATGAGTTTATCACACTGATATCCTGTTTTGCAGTAAAGGAATTGGATATGAAGCTAGACTGGGTGATGATGGAAGAAGCGATGTGAGATCCATGCTGCAGCAGCGTGGGATGGATCCACCAAGAACCCTACATAAGCAGCTAGGACATGAGTTGCGCCTCAGATAAGTTCAACAACTCACTGCACACAAGATCCACAATATGACGATAACCAAAACGTGCGCTCCTTTCCGACCTGAGTTTATTCTAACTGACCGTCTCTCTGTCTAGGTCACACGATATGTCAGGGGTACCTGATACAGCAAGAGATACTTTGCGAGGGAAGCTGGCGCCAAAGCAGGCGGTGAAACAGAGCAAGAACAAAGTGTGGGCAGTTGCATTCTTCAATGACGGTCGACGGGTCGTCACTGGTTCGCACGATAAAACCCTGCGAATTTTAGACGTGCGGCGACCAGGAGAAATGGTGGGAGGGCCATTCAAAGGGCACACGGACCGGGTGCGAACAGTCGCCATATCTCCAGACGACAGCCGAATTGTGAGTGGTGGAGATGATACCACTGTCATCATCTGGGACACCGAGAGCAAACAGATGGTACTCAATCCGCTGGTGAAGCATACAGAGAAGGTGAACTCTGTGTGCTTCTCCCCGGATGGAAAGAGAGTCGCAAGCGGTTCGCATGATTCGACGGTTGTTGTATGGGATGCGGAGACTGGCGCAGTCTTTGCAACACTCGACAGTCAAGATCATCGTAGTAAAACCGTACACGTGTGGAGTGTGTCATTTAGCCCGGATGGGTTAAAATTAGCATCCGGATCATCTGACCATACCATTCGGGTATGGCGCACCGTTAACGCCGAATGTTTGCTCAAGATCAAGGCCTGCGAATGGTCAGTTCGAAGTGTTGTGTGGTCGCCAGACGGCAGCCAGCTTGTCTCTGGATCATCCGACAATTCAGCCAAGTTCTGGGATTCGTCTAATGGGAAAAAGATCGGTCAACCGTGCATCGGTCACACTCGCTGGATTACTTGTCTTGCCATCTCATCAGATAACTCTTTCATCGCCACAGCATCGGACGACAGAACTGTGCGGCTGTGGTGCACAAAGACACATAAGCAGATAGGACATGTACTTGAACACGCCAAAAAAGTTAACTCTGTCGCAATTTCTCCCGATGCAGAACTACTCGTGAGTGGAGCCGACGATGGGAATCTTCAGCTTTGGTCTATTAGGGACATACTGGAGGATGAAAAAGTTGAGGAAAGCTCGACAGTGGATGAAAAAGTACAGGGAGAGCAACTCCGCAACAGCGAAACGCAGGTACGTTCTTGCTCGTTGTTGTTCTGCCCTTCTATTTATCTATACCTTTTCTTTTTGCGTGCTGACCCACAGAGTAGTTGCGACAGCGAACATGGGTATACCAGCGATAACGGCAATCACAAAGAACCCTCCTTCGATCAGGACAGCACAAGTGACTCCTCTGACACCCGCGACGCCTCTGGCAGTGACGATGAAGACTCATTATTTGACGTGAGCTATCTGTCTTTATTCATTTTTGACTGAACGTGAACTTGCTTTATGTAGATCTTTGCTATAAAGAAGACGGTTCGCGATTCTGGGGACCTTCACATCATCGAAGACCTTCTGACCCATGAGATTGATTTTGACGAAGATGACAACAGACGTGATACATTTGCCAATCGCTCAATTGTAAGGGCGCGCAGGTCCGACTGGGACTATGCGCTTCAAGACGCAGTCAAGGTCAGACATTCTGTTTCTCATGACGCCGTCGATGCTAGGTCACTCAGCTTTGTCGCATAGTCCATTGCTATCCAGCCCTCATTATTGGGCTACATCTCAAAGGGCTTCGCCCTTTGTGGCAACAAGCGGCTCTGGGACGCTATGGAAGCTTTCGATTCCGCTTTTCTATTTTCCAATAGTGATCCGAATATCATCAATCTTTTACTATTGATCAAGGTACTGTCGTCACCATTTCTGGCAGTCAGTCTGTCACACACCAAGACTTTGTCCAGGCTGTTGCGCTTTTCTATGCCGGTCGCCATGATGAGGCAGTGCGGCGAGTTCAAGACCTTACGACTGCTTTTCAACATCCGGATCCAATTCCGTGCAGCGTTGTGAATGTGAGCTATGTGTCAGACCTCAAATTTTTCTCACTTTTCGACCAAACATATCAGTCATATCTACGTGTGCAGCTTGCAATCATTGCTTTTCAGGATGGGCGGTACAGCGAAGCAGCTGATCAACTCGATAGCAGTATTTCCGGTATAAGCGACTTGTTCTCGAGCAGAGCACTTTTTGAACCCAAATTGAAGATATTCACGGTGGTGCGCTATGAGATCACAGTACATTTTTACTGATCGATGACATGATGGACAGCTCTTCGGCTGGGACTTGGACTCGTCTTGGCAAACCGTCAACCAAATACGGTGTGAAGCATGCCTCCGTGCTGATCGAGTGATTGAAGCTGTCGAATCCTACCAACATATGATGTCGATGATCGACAAGGATGTGAAGGATAGCAACCTGGAATGGACTACTGGTGAGTGCTTTTGGCTCTTAGATGACTTCACTTAGTCTGGTATCATTTAGAATTCAAGAATGATTGCACTGCGCGCTGTGTCGCAAAGGGAGACGAGGCTGTTGCTGCGAAAAATTATGAAACAGCCATTGAACTGTATTCGGCGGGTATCGGGCTGGACTTTTCATGCGAGTCACTCTTTGTACGCCGCTGTAAAGCAAATTTGGGACGCAACACTTTCGCAGAGGCTCTTCACGACGCGAACAGGGTGAGGACGATAGTTATAATCTCTCTAGCAGTTGTACTTATTCTACTAATTGCGTAGGTCATTGAACTCAATCCTTCGTCTTACATAGGGTACGAATTAAAGAATGCAGTGCTCCATAGCGCTATGTGCTGTAATGAAGCAGAAGAGGCCCTCGAAATCATGTTCTCTAAGTGGGGCAATACCCCAGATGCACAGATACGACGTAAGCCCTCAAGGACTCATCTGTCGACTCGAAGATGATGACCTTTTCTTCAGAGTTGCAGCACTACGCTAGCATACCACACATAGATTGCGATATTCAACGAGTCATTCAGGCTCGACTAGAAAGCACCCCGGTTCGTCTACTAATTCCCGACCCTCCCCCGTTATCTGTTTTTGTCGATGCTTCCACCTCATTTGGTATTGGTTTCCTCGCTGATTCCCGCTGGCTCGCTTGGGAATTGTTGGATGGCTGGAGGGCAGATGGTCGAGATATTGGGTGGGCAGAGATGGTAGCGATCGACCTCGGCATCCGCGCCCTTGTCCGCTCGGGTCTTCGTGACGTGCACGTGCGGTTCTATTCCGACAATCAGGGTGGTGTTAAGGCTCTTAAGGCTGGTCGATCTCGCAATGTGGTCCAAAATGACATTTTGCAACGCCTCTCCTCCTTTGCCCTCGAACATGGCATCCAGATCTCTGTTGAATGGGTGAGGTCTTGCGATAATCTGGCAGATGACATCTCTCGTGGTGTTTTTCCCGCTTCCTGCTTTCGTTTCAGCTCGCCTCCTCCCTTACCTGCTTATCTGAAACCCTTCGTCCGCTTGGTGTAGTTTGGTAGTTTTTCCCCGTGGCTCTACGCTGTTCCATACAATAGCTGGTCCCGGAACGTTTGATATCAACAACTTCCGAGACGGACAAAATTTGTACGCTGAAGTATCTTATAGTTCCTCGATTTCAACATATATATGTAATATTACACCCTGAGATTCGCTAGTAGACTGTAACATATATGCAATACTAGATACCAATCGTATCACATACGGGGGATGCAGTACTACTGCCTGACAAGACGGCAAAGCGCCTTGCCATGAATAGTAACCTCCCTCGCAACAGAAAACAACGGTTCGATGACATCCATATCAATTTCGCTTAACGGTGTGGTCGTCTGAAAGTCTATCACACGTACGTTGCAAGATGCAATTTCCAGGGCTGCCACAATACAAGAAACTTCTGATTCTTCCGGATCTGCCACAAACGTCAATTTGCGCAACATGGGAAGACAAAGTTCGTCAAATATTTTAAGAACTTCGCGTTGTTGAAAAGGATCCGAGGGGATGGGGAAAGTGATAGAGTTAAGGCAAGAGTGGGTGGTTGAATTATGTGGATGGCCAATATCCGATATGATTAGATCCACCTTGATGGACTCCATAAGAGGGAACATAAGGAAAGTAGAACGTATGACGCGGGCGGAAGCATTCTGGACCCAGAGATGACGTATATTGTCACAGGTGGGAATATGTCTGAATCGCATGGTAAGAGACCAGCGATAGATGATGTGTAGATGAGTGAGGTTTGGGGCATTGAAACTGCTGAGTTCTGACCAGCAACACTGCAAGGATCTCAACTGGGGTGTGTTAAAGTTATGATTCAAGTCATCTGCAGATGCCAGAACCACGGTTCCCCAACGCTTGCTCTCAGAAAGAAGGATTTCGAGCAGTTGGGAATCTGCCTGTGAGGGTTTGTGGTACGACTGTCGCGTACAGCGCCGTGTGGTGCGTACGGGGAGCTGTCCAGACACAATGCGGAGGGTGAGAGGCTGATTTCCAGAGCGTGCAAGCCACGACTGGAGGAAAGATGGAAGAAATGGTTTCAAGGGTTCGACTCGTCCCGGAAGCGAGACCTGCATACACGACCAAATTGCTGTCGTTGAATGTGCGATAACTCGCCAAAAATGGCACACGCGGGTAAAGACTAGGGGAGGGCTGCCAACATTGGCAGATATGGTTGTATCTCCATAGGAGAAGACACCAGGACAGTCTGGAACGTCATTGACGATGAGTAAGAATATGTGCTGTAGAAGTTCCACTGGCAGCATATGAATGTGGGCAGCTGGGCAGTCCGGAGAGTACTCGTATGAATGAGCGAAACTGACTTCGAAGGCTGTCATGATTCAGGTGAAACTGCAGGTCTGACTCGGAGGGATGAAACTTATCAAGCCTTTTGTGCGATTTTCAATAAACACGAGTGCGGAGCTCACAGGTATCCTGTCAAACAACTCGACCCTGCAACGAACAGGGTTTGAATCGAAACAGGTCTTGATTCAATGACGTTACTCAGGTCAGACATAAGTAAAAATGCAGTACTTACCGACGCTTGGTTAACGTGAGTCTTCTCACGCACTTTGTAGAACAGTTTTCCTCTAAGGTTAGGGTAAAAATGATGCGGTGCCATCCATACAGATCACAGACCGACCACAGGTTACTGTCATAGCACTACATCAAACAAGGCATAGCGAACCTGTGATGCATCATTAGTGCCAGACTGCAATACCTGAGTAGAAACAAGTGATGCATCACCAGATTCACAAACGCATTTTTTACTGTGCGAACAAGGACTCGGTGACAAATAATGTTACTAACATGCCGTCGGTTATCAACACCGTAATAACACCGAGGAACGTCGAGCTTAATTATGTAATCAGCTCAAGGCTGAATTTTAATTATTTGTTTTGAGATTTAAAACTTTTTTGTGTCTTTTTTATTTATTAATTTATTGTATTCTAAGTTAGTTCGAGGCAGAGAATGTACATAGAATGAGGTAAGTATCCCAGCGATATAATTCAAAGTACGAGTAACGAATGCCTAACTTGACATTCTCATTTCAATCAAAATCTTGCCCGAAGCAAAACTCTGAAACCGCCGGTGTGCAAGTAAACGTGCTCGAACATGCTGCAGTGACACAACCAATCAACTTTTCTGAATTTAAAAATTTGGGCCATTTTATTGAGATGCCAATCTATTTATCAATGACTATCCGATATTTGTTTTGTGTTGTCAACTTGTGGATCGAGAGCAATACATGAAACTGCCAAAAACACACAATTTGGCACAAACACTTGGGTACATCTATATAGTAGAGTTGATTTGAGGACGAACTGATTTTCAGTTTCTAAATCATCATGCATCACCTGCATTATCAATAGAGATCAGGGCATCCTAGGCTAAGAGGGTTGACCGATAAATTTATTAAAAAGCTTTATCTGATCTAAGATGTGCACGATATCCATCAGAATTGTACCCCCTCATGAGGCTTTGAATACTTGGACTTGGTTGGATCTGAGCATAGCTAGTATTCTCTTAGGCTACCGTTACGAAGTACTGAGAGTTGGATGATTCAGCGCTTTCAAGTTAATTTAAGTTATTCGCTGAGTCATCATACTAGCAGTGTTATTGCACGTTGACACCTAGACATGTGCTAGGCAACTTTTGTTATGAACTAGGTATGCTTGTCGTTCATCCTGCAAGTTGTTGTGATGTCTGCCTCGATCCCTACTCTATTTCTTCAGAACCCGCTAACTCTCCGCATGCGATTGCTTGTGGTCACATCTTCTGTCTCACGTGCGTTCATACTCCCGGCCAGCTTGCGGCCACCAATATTCATGTCTCTCCTCTCATATCCGACTCTTCAATCCCAGGTGCCTTCGCTCCTTATCACCAAGTGCATGTCCACTTTGCCGAAAACCTTTCGAGTCAGGTCGTGTCAAGAAACTTCACCTTGCGAATCCACCCGAACTAGATAATGCTGCACAGGATGCTATCGATGCTCATGCCAGTCTCCTCCTCCAGCGCATAGCTCTAGTCTCAGGTGAAGACACACCAGAGGCAGATGTTGTCGAAGTAGTCACCGAAGTGCAGGAATGGCTTCAGTCTCAACCAGATGACCCCAATTCTGTAAGTTTTTTCATCATTGCAAAGGCGATGTATACCGGTCCTCGTTGCCAATGCAACTTCTTTATAATTTCTCACATGCGGCATTTTTAGCACATGGCTCTTCGGGCTGCCGTGTCTTCCCTTCAGCGATACAAAGCTCTTCAAGATCAGAGCGAGCGTGAAAAAGCAGAATATCGTCGCCTCCGAAGCCAACTTCGGAATAACAAGCGAAACGCAGACCATGACTCCAAAACATCTCGCGCAGTGGAAGAAAGTCTACTTTCCAGGATTCAAGAAATAGAGAACGAACATGCTCTGTGAGTCACCAATATTAAGGTAACGAATACTTTCTAAATAACTTCTCTATGCAGAGAGGTGATCATTCAGTTCATCGGTATTTACATTGGACTTACCTCATCATCGTAGCTGTCCCAATTACATGCTGAGCTGGAAAACCTTAGAAATACACAATCCCGATATCGCAACACCAGCAATCCCCTCCCCCCACCTCCAGAGCCTTTGCCGATGGATCGATTCCCGACCTTTGCAAGGCCCAGTGGAGGTTTCGATTCTCTCCTAGGTGGCGCCGTTCCATACCCTGCACCACCTCCGCGGGATAACGCTACCCGTGTTAATGGCGAAGCACACGCCTCAGGATCTAAGGGGACAAGCTCGTCTTACAATCCAGTTTCTCATCCCCCCAAGCCCCCACCTATATCCAATACCAGACCTCCCGAGGCTCCTCGGGTAGAAGAACACTGGACAGACGACACGCGACGACCCCGTGCATCATCCATACACAGCCGCGCACCTGAGTCTCAGTCGAAAATAAACATCACGACCCGTGGAGTACACATCCCTCCTAGTGCTGTCCGTGTCAATCCTTCTCCAACCTGGGCAGCGCGTCCCCTCGTCGTCGAGGATCGGCGATCTGACGATGAGAGAGAGCTAAGACGCAAAGAGAAGAGCAGTATTAATATCGACACAGATGTAGCGAATGATCTGTCCACGCGGCTAGCCTCTGCCGCAGCTTACGTCTCAGGCTATGGTTCAGGATACGAATCAGGCTATCAGCTGGTCAATGCTCCGTACGTGTCGACTGGTGGCAACGAAAGGGCCTTTCCGTTGTTAGAGACGCAATCACCAGAACAAGTTATGGATGTTCTGGGCTTGGTCGGCTCATCGGGAGAAGATCATCAGACGCCTGTGCCTCGAGCACGACCCGCTCCCAGACGGGCTGTGACTGATGCGACTCGAGTGGATAATGTTTCTAGAGGTTATCTGAATATACCTTCGCTTGGTTCACCGTCACCTGAGAATGGTATGCGACGTCGAGCGACGGTGCAGAACGTTGGTCAGGCGACCCGAGTGGAGAATGTTCCCAGAGGTCTTTCGGATGTGCCTTTGCTTGGTACGTTACTACTTGATATTGGTGTAGGACGTCGAGCGGCGGTGCAGAGTGTTGGCCAGGTCCTTGGTATCGATGTTGGGTTGTCGACGTTGAATGGGAATGTAGCAGCAGGATCTGTACGTTTGAATGACAGCGCAGCAGGCTCTGCCCGTCTCAATGACGGCGCACCGTCCCGTCCTACCAACTCGCAAATCCGCATGCCCAGACCCCGACCACTTATCCCTCCCTTAGATCCGACACTCGACGCAGAAAGCCCAAGAAGCGTCACCACATGGGGAACCGTATCCACCTCACGGGAAGGCAGCATGGATCATCTCGGCCTTTTGGGGCTGCACAATGGGGGCGTGCGTGGGCAGGGGAGCATTGCTGGCGAGTCTATAATAGGTCACCTAGAGTCAGACGAAGATAACATAGATGAAGATGGAGAAGATGTCAGGGTGGCACCTGTTATACCAATGCCTAACGCTGGACCGGATGCATTGGGTCTTATTCTTGAAGATGGAGGGGATGCAGATTATGTGGTGCGTGATGAGGAGTGGAGGTATCGTGCGCAGTCTTCGTATGCTGCGAGTCGTACTTCTTATCCACCCAGTCCTACTTCACATACACCAAATCACACATCTCACCCTACAAATCACACCTCACACCCTCCAAACCGTCTCTCTCGTACCCAATCCTCTCGCAACCAACGCGCTTATTATCGTCGACACACATCACAACCGAGGGGATACGAAGAAGGGACGACAACGCGCGTTCCTAGTGGCAGTTCTTCATATACGAATACCAATGCGCTATCGCTCCATTTTGATGCTTCGCTTTCGGTGCACGATCATGCCACGCGTCCTTTCACAGGCGTTGGGGATGGTTCTTTTACAAGTACCGGGCATGGACCGTCCACAAACACCGGAAGTGGTTCTTTCACAAGTGGGGGGCATGGTCCTTTTTCAAATACAGGAAATGTCGATGGCCCACAGATTGTCGCCCCTACCCCAGTCGTTGGCGGGCCTAATATCGCGCATATGTGGGCCAATCGCACATGACTGGTGCTTCTGATGCTATACGTATGGTTCTTTTTATCTGGAATCTGGATTATTCCTTCTTTTCCCCGTTTGTTTTTTGTCGCCGAGTTTTTCTTCTCACCGCACTCATTTTACATAAGAGAGACACTGGGTTGTTGCTACCTGTCATCCATTCGTTGTTGGGCCATTCTATCTCCTTTGCTCCTGTTGTTTGTATTATTAAATGTTTCTGTCATTTAGCGTACGTCGTGATTTATTGTAACTGACATTCAACTGCCGCAATCTGCATTGCCCGTTGGCTCCATTAGATGATGAGCGGGTCGAATTCGGCTTTGATGGAATCGGTGCTATGATACTGGGGTTTGAGATCAACGATCCACCTTTGAACTTATATTAGGTTTGCGCGCACAGCTGTGGGGTGGATCAAGTGACTATTGACATGTACATAAGACAAGCATGCGCTGCAGCGGCGATGGCCAAGCAATGATCACTTGGTGGGCACGAGGCTCTCGCGATGCGTGTGTAGTACTAGTGTTACAGTGCAGCACAAGACGGTGATCACCGGCACCCCTGACATAGACTCTAGACTGCGCCCTGGTGTGCCTGCAAATATGGAACCTTCTATAGACGACACGGTTAATATTAATTGCTGAGATAGCGCTCCTTCCATTCCTTTCTAATAGTCCTCAGTACTTTAGGCTGCGGATAAACTGAAATGGTGATGTTAATATTTGACTATGTGGTGGAAGCGCGAGGCTTCCAGCGCGTGTGATGTGCATGGCTAAAGATGCGATGAGTGCAGCGCAACTTGAAGCTACAGATGGGCTGCTAACCATCCAAGTTTATTTTCCCCACGCGAACCAAGACCTGACATATCATTAGCACGCATGCATGCTAAATGTTCTACTACTGCCTGTTATCAACAGCATTACGGTGTTGCCGTTGATTTCATCAGAAAGTGACGGTGGAATGCGGAGTTGCGGGTTTGATCGTCGAACTTTTTATATATAGCGCTTGATACTATGTTTTGCGTTTGGTGGCGCGGATCTCTGATAAACAGCGGCAATGTGTTCATTGTTTGTTCAACTGGCAGAGGCACGAGGCAGCCTCACACGTGTGTAGTGCGCAGCTGAAGACGCTGATTATGCCTCAGGAGCTGGATAGCCAATACTGTACGTACGCCTGCTCCGAATCACGGAAACTTCCCCAGTCATTTAACAGTAATATTAATGAGATAGCACACCTCCCATTATAGTTCCCTATCTGGGGCTGTACTGACTTTGATCTCGAAGATAATTGAAATTAACAGATGCTATATCGGAACAGCAGTACAGCCGCATCTGCGTCCAGACTCCAGAGGTATCCACTTGGTGCAATCGACTCGCCATCTACATCCATCGGTGTTGAACGACACCCGTACCGGGCTCCGAGGTCATCGCAGTGCGCGCGATTCGGATGCTTGGAATCATTCTGGAGTTGGACATGGAGTACTAGAGATCTGGGGCTGATCCGAGTCGAGAATAAGCAAAGCGCTTAAGTTAAGCTGAGAACAAAGGAGATAAAGCACTGGAAAAAAACGGACAATTGCACCCAGATGACCGCGATGGGAGATGTGCCTATCGATAGTGCAGATCGATATACTCCCGAAGTATGATGCAGGGGTATTGTTGACTCCGAAGCATTCTTACCATCTTAAGAACGAAGCATTAAGTCAGGGTTGCAGATAGTCCAGGAGTTCGGCACGTACTTAGGAGAGGTATGAATGTAGAGTTGAACCGTGCAAGTTGCTGTACTACTTCAGAAATGATTCTATGAGGTTATAACTGCAGATATGGAGAGTGAAAAGAAGATAGAATGGTGGCCTGTCCGCCTGCCAAAGCGGACAAAGAGCATCAAGCGCAGAAAAAGGAGCCGATACCGATAGATCGAATGTCCAAATGAAGGATGCACCAGAGACAAACCATACCCATAGGACAAATTGGGACCGGTGACATGGTCAAGGTGGCGAAGGGCACAGTCATTTCAGAGGTGACAACCCAAGGTAACGGTTCGTTTCAGAATCAAGGGGATCTCCAGAGGGTGCAATGGAGCATGATGCATCATGGATGATATCAAGGGCAGTGGTGCGCGTCAGCGAGGTATCCTTCTCCTCTGAATTACCTCTCAGATTGTATGATATAGCTGCCTCGAGGCAAATGGAGTATAAATCCAGTATATCTTTGCCAGAAGACCTGTGGACAGTATAAATACATGGTCAGAATCGAGCGCCCTTTGAAAATTGGCAGACGCCTATGTTGCTTCAACATCGTAACACTATGTCGCCATCGAGCACCTCGGTATATCACCCTTGACCTCGAGCGACACTACCGAATTGATGACGGAAACTTACGCTCCAGAATGATTTGAGATTGTCGGATGTGAGATGTTACAGCCATACATCGGTGACTCCCTGTTACGAATCATATGATTCAAATTTCACGGTAATCCAGAAGGAATGTAGCGGTATTCCAGAAGGAACGGAACGTAGCGGTAATCCAGAAGAACAAGAGTGTGTCCAAAGCCAGAACTAGCCTTGCAAGATACGTTCAAGAGCTAAGTTCAATTTCGGTATTGCTGTACAAGCCTGGGATGAAGTTGACACCACCACCTGCTGAGTCAGCGCTCAGTCCACGACGGACAAGGGTGAAATTTTTGTTCAGTGGCAATCAGTGCTACAAATCACGAGGGAAGGCACACATATAACAAAACAACTCGGGCAAAATACGTTGAGCTGTACGTTCTTGACGCAACGTTTGACCAGCGACTTATTATTATGCAACGCTGAAACCACGAGGACCGTCGACTATCCGTGTCGGGCCGGTTCCATAAGATCAGTGCTGCCGAACGAACTGATTGTTCATAGGCACCCCTTCTCCATGCCAGGCAGCCGAAATTGAATGTGCGGTAAAGGGGGGGTGCTTTATCCACGCGTAGTTCTCCCGGAATCTAATTCAGCCAATTCGGTGCAAACTCTTGATCCCGGCGAGTGGCTCTGATTTCCTTCAGCGTTTCCTGCTAAGCTTCATTAAAGGTAAGACTCGGGTCATGTTCTTATCGTGGCCGTTGGAACTCAGATCGGAAGCTCCATCCAGGTGATTGATCATGCCAACTTAGTATGTGATCATTTCACTTAGGTTTGTCTAGGGCCCTCAAGGAAGTGCCGAAGTTCTATCTCACGTCGCTTAGCTGCCTCGTGTCTTCTTATAATCTTTTCAACGTTATGAATGTTCGCTCCTCTTGCACAACATTACACCACCCACCCCGCCACGCACGTTAGGTCTGGCCCTTAAGCCTTTACTGGCTTAAATCCCTTCCTTCCCCCATATACCCGAGTGGGTCCTTAACAAGTCCCTTCTTTCTTCCTTCCTGCGCGGTACCTCCTTGCTAGAGTAGGCGATCAAGCTGCTTTAAGCTTCATTCGCTCCTTTATCCTATCCTCAAGGGAATCTCCATCGTCCTCCAATCATGTTGGTACTCAACAAATCCTCGACCTGTGATGTCTGTATGGAAGGCTACATGAATGGCGGGAATTCACCACACTCGATCTCTTGTGGGCATGTATTCTGCGAAAAGTAAGCATTCGTTTCATCGATCGTGTGTTGTTTTCACGGAACTTGCCAATCCGAAGGTGTCTCGATCATCTTTTGCGCCACATATGTCCCCTTTGTCGGACTCGATTTTCTCCTCAGGACGTCCGCAAACTTCACATCGATATGCAGTCACCTATGATCACGACCGCTTCCATAGAAGAAGTCCCTGAAAACCCTGAATCATCTTCTCCACCTCCTGATGACGAAGCCCGTTCGCTCCTGAATGATATCGCGCGTGTCGTCAAAGAAGGTGCTAAGCTTCCGGAACTCCGCCGTGTAATCGAGAAATGTCGAACGTACTACAAATCACAGTCAGCTGACCAGGTACGTTCATAATGCCGTCATGTTGGGACGTCCCAGTCACATCTGATTTTTCGTAATCAGCAGAATCCTGTGAGAGTGAGCGCACTACTTCTTTGGAACCTTGCCGAGTCTCAACGTCAAGTCGCGGAATTGAAAAAAGACAAGGCGGCTGAGGTGGAGAAAACCCGGATGGTGGAAATGGCTCTTGACGAAATGAGACGAGAGAAGGTGGCCGAAGTTGAAAGGACTTGCGAGGCAAAAATTTCTCTTGAGGAAGTACGGTCGCGTCTTACCGCAGAGATTGTGAATTTGCAAGTGAAGTACGAGGAGCTGCAACGTATTCGACAGGATGAGAAAGATACTGCTCTTGCTGTAGAAAAAAGTTTGAGGGAACACTATGATGAATTGAATACGTATTGGAGAAGGTGAGCCTGTCGTATTCTGGTCCATTTATTTCCAGTACTCACCAGTATCATTTAGCAAAGTCAGTATCACTTTGTTTCATGGGGGTGTCGTTTTACTGACAGCCACAGTTGGAGGCTACAATGCGTGAGAACAAGGTTCTGCGGGAGGAGCTCATGCGCGCTAGAATTGCGTTCAATCCGTTACCTGACTTCCAACGGTCAGTCGAGGTCCGATATCTTCATGCAATGCCAGAGCCGAAGCATCCCGAGAAATTGATCGAGGACGATCCTTTGAGCATCAAAGCACGAGCGAAGGCCAAAGCAAAGGCGAAAGCCATCGAGGAGGAGGAATTCCACTTATCTCCTCTCGCCCAGGTGATCGGAACTTGGCCTTCTGCAGTCCAGTCGTTCCGCTCTCTGGTGGATGAAGATGAGATCGACGACTTGAAGAAGACCTGCAACAAAAAGGAATCGGAATCGAGGTCTGACACAGACGATGATCAAACAATGGGTGATGCTACGTCTCAGCTTGTTCCCATTCCTCGGTCTTCATTATCTCGTCAGTTAATCGACCCTTCCGTCTCTTCGTCTGCATCCACGATCAACCCAGATAACTGGTCTGGATTGTCACGATCTCGCCCTCGCGATGACATTGTCATGTCGAGTCGTGATAGATCTACTTCACGTCATCACTCCACCGAGCGATCAATCGCTTTGGCCCACGGCGGTACTCATTCACCATCTCGCAGACCATCACGGGAACCGTCCACGTTGTATATGTCCAGCCGCACTTCCTCCCCTTCACGCCGCTACCCCTCGGACCGCATGCATGGGCCTCGGTTGAAAGACGCTCATTCACGAGATTCATTTGATGGCGGTAGCAGAGATTACGAGATGCGCGCAGGAGATACGTACGAGCCAAAGGTGAAAGACCAGGTCGCACCGCGCCAGATCATGGCGGCCGACGACTTTCGGGACAAGGATCGCGAACGTCTGCGCGCTCAGCTCTATGATATCCTTGACAGCCCTATGACATCATCCTCCCTCAAGATGCCGATATCTTATGGCGATGAGTCCTCGATGCCTCCACCATATCCACCACCGCCATCGTCCAATACGATCCCTAGGCCGACGAGTTCTAGTACACGTGTACATACGCCATTGCGGAGAAACTCCACTGCAAGTCAATCAGTGACTCCTATGCCTGGTCCTGAAGAGGGATTCCCGGCTACGGTCGTGTCAAAGACTCTGGTCCATGCTAGCAGTGTTGCAATGCAACAGGAGAAGGAGAGGCGGGAGAGGGAAAGGCAACGAGAGCAGGAACGTGAACGATTGGAGCGCGAACGCGGTCGGGAACGTGAGCGTGATCGCGAGCGGGAATCAGAGTGGCAACACTTCAAGGATGCCACCAATGTACCACCTGATGCTTACGCCTACCATCGTGATCGACGTATAGGCAGGACTAAGCTGTCTAACCCGGTCACCGCTGGAGCAGACTGACGAATCCTATGATTTCTTCGATTTTATTAACCAACTGTCGCTTCTGGATTTTTCGAGTCCCCATTGCTGTTGATGGGTCCTTTTGTGGACTATGCACGAGGCAGTATTTATACGAGCGAGTCCGAGCGGACCCCTCCAGTCAACAGTGTGTAGCTAATATTTTTTTGTGTTTATAGTGATTTTATGATGTTGTACTGACCGAGGCGTACATGTTGTATTGTCACCAGTTCCAGTTCGTGTTTCGAGTTATGCCAAACTTGTATTGTACTTATTGTGCACGCATATGCAGTTAGTAGAATCATTACGGACGTTCATGTAGTTTTTCCTGAAACAATAAAATGTCTTGATCCCCACTCACAATGTCTAGTACCGATCCTGTGTCTTATCTTATCTCCGCCGTCTCTAGACGTGTAAAAATTTGCCAGCAAACCACTTTTTGCAAGGGATACTGTTGTATATGTCGGGTCTGGAGTGTGTAAATAAAAGAACATTGTCCGAGGCCAATATGAGTGTCGATAAGTCTAGGGAGTACATATGGATATTATGCAGTACAAATAAATAAAATCCGGGGACCATTAAGGGATGCTCAAGACTGTGCGCCACACTGCAGGCCAGCCCCACAGAACTGAGCAACAATGATATACAAAAACAGCAGCGCAACTAAGACGCACAATGCCAGCACCTTGCTATTCTTCCACCACATCTGCCGCCTCACTGTCCTGGCGCCGCGCCGAAATGCGGTGGCCTGCGTGGCCATGTTGTCAGTCTTATCTACGAGAAGCTCGATACGCTCTCCACGGCTGAGTATCTGCTCGACATTTTGGACCATGATGTCCTTGACCTGATTTAGCTCCGCTTGAGCGCGGGCGACTTCATCAGTTGGAGGAGCAGTGTTGTACGTGTGCATAAGAGAGGCGATAGTGGGAGAGAAGGTGCCTTGAAGTCCGTATGCGGGGGTAGAGCTTAATACCGCAGATGATGAGGATGGGAGCTCGATAAACTTGCGATGTGAATTAGATAAGGAGGTAAATTGCGCTGTGACAACATACTTTGCGCTGCAGGTCCGCTAGAAAAGCGAATGGCATCTTCCTATGGTAATTTTAACCAAAACAAGTCGATGAATGTCTTTCAAAAAACCTCACCTTCCTACGGAGTCATCTGCCATGACCAGAAAAGTGAAGCCTCCCTCGGAGATGTAGTGAAACAGGTACTGTTCCCACACATATGTTAACTTGCTATTGTTTGGCGGAATCTTGGAAAGAATTGTCTGCGTAGCTATGTATGCACTATGTCAAGAAGCGCATGACGAAACGGAAAATTATGCACCATGTGAGAAGTCTCGCTGTCCCGGAGCTTGGTGTTCAGCAAGGATTGTGGATCCTCTGGAAACGATGGCGTTTATCTAGAGTGATTGTCCCGTCTATGTGCGTTACATATACTCATAGGATTGAAACTTACCAGGGACATGTTAGAAGCCAGCCAGAAGATTGAACAAAAGTCAGTGACGCTCAAATGACGCTGGTCCCTGGAGCGGAAGTAGTGGTGGATTAGGAAAGACCTTAAGAATGTTCCCACGAACTTATACTTCATTTCCTCCACCAACGTGTCTTTCGGTCTTCAAAGCTCACCGTCAACAGCATGGTGCGTAAAGAGCAACCTAGCCGTATTATTTCGAGACTAACCTGTTATTTGCTTAGTCTGATTCAGAAAGCTCAAGCCACGCCGTTAGCCCCAAGGTCGGTACCGTTGCAAGACCGCCAGGTGCGCAGGTCCGGTATGTCTCATAGTCTGTTTGTAGATTGCACACATTTCTGACTGAAACTTGTCAAAGGCGGAGGGCTGCAAACACGCAAGTAAAACCGAATTCAACACGTGCAGCAGGAGCTGGCGGCTCTTCGGGGACAATGCTGAAACTTTACACTGACGACTCACCAGGGCTACGAGTGTACGTGTCATGTTACCAAGGACGTAACATTCAATTAAGCTGATTTTTGTTTTCATATCAGAGACCCATATGTTGTCCTCATTCTCTCGTTGGCGTTCATTGGATCTATCTTCTTTTTGCATATCTCCGCTAAAATAATCCGGTCTTTTACCAAGTGATAGCCTCGTATTGGACACCTTTATGCACTCTTGACTATAACACCCACTGCAGAACGCGTGCACTCAGTGCTTGTATCATATGGCATGTTGCATGAAAAGTTATCGCACAGTGAGGCGCTGTATAATCCTCTTGTCATCCAATTATCCAAGGGGATGATGTGGACTGTCTTGCGAATTCTTGTCGCTTTTCAATAATGCTGCTTAGTTCTGCATCCCGAAGAAGTTGCAGACTAGGAGATTTGCCTCGATTGGGTTGAGACTGTTGAGTGGTGTCGATTATTTCTTTCTGAAGACGCCCTCGAGTTCATCGACATCGTCGTTTTCATGTCTTCACTCGCTGACATGATCAGTATGGGCGATTGAATCAGCCTGGAATCCCCATGGAGCAGTGGTCCAAAATATGGTTCTTGAGATATTTCGTACGTGGGGCTCTAAAAGTGCAACGAAATGAATACGCCATATAGAGCTTTCAGGAAATGTATTTTCTCAAGCGCATTTGTTATGGATTTCTCATTTCCCTTTACTCTTGCTTTGACCACAGCACCAGCGGTTCTCTGCTTGTCGTTGATTCGGGTCAATTCTTGCCCGCTATTGATCCTTAATCCCTGCAGGCAGGTGTCAGACAAAGGAAAGCAGTCAACCCTTCATTTAGTTTCTCCTTCCCATTTCACATGTCATAGCGAGCCGGTCGTGATATCGACATATTACCTCTAAGCGACCCTGTAACCTTTAGAGGCGTCTTGTAGACGAACCTGTTCGGAAAGACGGTACGTTCATCCAAAGGAATCTGAATCCGGAGTTTGACGTGCACAACTTTAGCTCAATGGCGGGATGTCAATTGAATGTTCAAGTCCAATTGGCTGAATTCATTCTCCAGTCGCCGTCAACAGATGCTCATATCCATTAAAGGCGTCTTGGGATGCATTCTCGTTGTGTTCAGTTGTGTGCCCGCTCGTTTTATCTACGTGTCTGACGTCATTGATATTGAAGCTTATAGATCGGGGCGAGGTGTTCAACACGTACAAGCCTGTGGCTGAGGCTGTCAGAAAGGATAAGCTCAAGAAGTTTTCAGGATCAAGGAAAGAAACCTTACACAAAATGTTCTGGGACGATATCAAATTTTGTGACACTCTCCCATATCGCAAGTTTTGCGCAGAGAGTACGAATCCGAATGGCCGGTCGTGGGTAAAGCTGCGGATGACCACAAGGGAGCCCCGGTGTGATGTAGATGTTCGTTTGACTTCGAGACGGTCTATATCTGAGGTAGATCCATTACTTATGTCGTAAGCCCTAGATATGCCACGCACGCCATGGTCTTGGTTGTACCCGTGCTATTCCTTGTGGGTCATTTCTTGTGGGTCACCTGAAAGTGGATCCGTATCTGGTCCCGAGTCAGCGTTCCACTCGCTAGTAACTTATATATAGTGCTAGTACAAAATACACGCCTCTAAAACCTGGATGAGCGCTTGATTATTATGTAATAGCAAGTTGTCCGTGGGCGGATTGGCCCGGTGGTCCACTTGCTTATTAGGTAAGTTCCGACTGGACTTTGATGCGGCCTGCTTTCCAACGCCGATATCATGGCGATCTCCGTACTGCGCCAGACTCTTTCTTGTCTCTCAGTTTTAAATCGCGATCTTTTCCGCTGTATCGATTTCAGTTCCTCATAATATGTCCTGGCAAGGTAAGTCTGAGCTGCATCGCCAAGTAAGCTGCTGGTCTCATCCATCCACAGCATACGTAGACACCAACCTCGTCGGTACAAAGAGAGTAGCTCAGGCTGCGATCTTGGGAAAGGCTGGAGGTATATGGGCTAAATCCTCAGGGATCACGGTAACTTATTGAAAGTAGTAATGTTTGTGCAGCTCTGACAAGATCTTGCATAGATCTCCCCAGAAGAGCAGAAGGCGATCACTGCTGCGTTCACGAACAAAGCTGCAGTTCAGGCCTCTGGCTTCCGTGTCGCTGGCCAGAAATACTTCTTCCTATCGTCGGATACCTACGGAGATGATCCGGATCTTATTGTGGTTCAGGGCAAGAAAAATGTGGGTCTCCATGATGTCTTTCTGTGATGCATGCTCACAGCCATCAGGCGGACGGTGCTGTACTAGCACAAACGAAACAAGCTATCCTCGTCGTTACATACGCTTTTCCTCAGACAGCTCAAGATGCAGGCATGGTAGTCACCACTCTGGGATCATATCTTGCTAGCCTAAATTACTAGGGTCCTTTAGGAGACTATCGCAGAAGATAAAGAAGACCAAAGGCGTGCTATCATGTAATCGTACAGTTTATAGATCCAATGCACTTTATTGGAGTCATTCCAAAGTTCTATACATTGGGCGATCATCACTGCATGTTTGCTATTAGTAGTTGAGCTTTATTCGGCTGCCAGCTCAAGCTTGATCTTCGCAATGGCCTCTGCAGGGTTAAGACCCTTGGGGCAGGTACGTGCGCCTAAAGGGAATGATGAATATTTGGGACGCTCACAAAGTGACTGAGGCAACATACAATTAAAGATTGTGTGGCAACGGTACATGCTCATCTCGTTCTGGAGTTGCTCCTTTCTCTGGGAGCTGTATGAATCCTGTAACCAAAACACGAGGTGAGGTCCCACGAGGTATCTGATGAAGGAACATCAACGCACACGAGAGTCCGCAATCCAGCGGTACGCCTGCATCAGCGTTGCAGGACCCAAGTATTCATCTTGATTCCACCAGTACGATGGACAACTTGTCGAGCAGCATGCACATAGAATACACTCATACAGACCATCGAGCTTCTTGCGGTCTTCCTGCGTTTGCAAGAACTCGCCCTGCTCGGGTAAGTTGTCGTTCTGGAGGTAGGGCTTAATGGACTTGTATTGCTTGTAAAATAGCGTGAGGTCGGGAACCAGGTCTTTCACGATATACACTGTAAAGGCAAGTCATACGACGGGGACTCATAGGGATATATCACTGGGAGGACATACTGTGAGGAAGTGGATAAATCTTGGAGTTTTTGCTCGGGTTTCTGTCTATGCGACAGAGACAGGCGAGGGTATTTTGACCGTCGATATTCATCGCGCAAGAACCACAGATACCCTCTCTGCATGAACGACGGAAGGTAAGCGTGGGGTCGATTTCGTTCTTGATTTTGATGAGCGCATCGAGAATCTGTTAAAAAAGACAGGGCGAGTTCAAACATTAGAACGAGAAGTATGTGGGTGCGAACGTACCATGGGCCCAGTTTGGTTGAGATCAATAACGTAGGATTGTAGAGTGGGTTTCGTCGCAGGTTCATCTGGGTTCTATAATACTCACATTATCATCTCACCCGTATTTCGATACATTACAATCTGCACTCACCCAGCGATAGATTTTGAATTCCTTGTTTAGCACAGGTTTCTCGATAGGAGTTGCCTGGCATCTCGCTGCAGACGAGGCAAATGAGCGCATACAGGAACGCAGTGCGCTAGCGCGGGCGGTCTTTGCAAGCATCAACATGTCGACGAATGGATGTTGTGGAGGAAGGGCCGCTGTCGCGTGAATTCGGAGTGGGCGGCTCGCTTTGCCGGGAGTCGGCTTTCATATTTCAAGCTCCGACTGGGAAAGCTGGAATTGACCCGCCGCTGAACGTTGAACAGCGTTGGCCGGCCGTTCGATCACTCGATTCGGAAGTGCCAGATACCTGGTGCATTGAGCAAGAGGAACACGCTCGGGTAAAAATGTACATAATGTACATGAGGCCACCTTACGCCGTTAAGACCCTCCCCTCCTCCCGTGGGAAGTTCCTAGGGGTATGCTAAAGTTGGTAATTGTTGCGCTACCCCAACATCAGTAAATTTTCTTTAGTCATTAACTAATCTCGCGATTCAACTCTCCTCCCGCTTTCGCCACCGAGGCAACGACGAAGACTCGGATGAGGCCATTGCGCTTAGCAGGGAAGCGTTGGCCTTGTGCCCGGTCGGTCACACAGGACGGTCCAAGTCATTAAACAACCTTGCGAATCAACACTCCTCCCGCTTTAACCACGGAGGCAACGATGAGGACTTGGATGAGGGCCTGAGGCTATCGCACTTTACAAGGAAGCGTTGGATTTGTGCCCGGTCGGTCACATAGATTGGTCCATGTCATTAAGTAACTTTGCGACTCGGCTATCCTCCCGCTTTCAGCACCGGGGCAACGACGAAGACTTGGATGAGGCTATCGTATTTCTCAGGGAAGCGTTGGCCTTGTGGGTCCACGTCATTAAATAACCTTGCGAATCGACTCTCCTCCCGCTTTGATCCCAAGGGCCACGACGAAGACTTGGATGAGGCAATCACACTCTACAGGGAAGCGCTTGCATTGCGCCCAGTCGGTCACACATATCGGCCTGGGTCATTACACAACCTCGCAGCTCGACTCTCCTCCCGCTTTAAGCTCTGAGGTCATGACGAAGACTTGGATGAGGCCATTGCACTCTACAGGGAAGCGCTTGCATTGCGCCCGGTCGGTCACACAGATCGGTCCGCATCATTAAACAACCTTGCGAGACAACTCTCCTCCCGCTTTCAACAACGGGGCAACGACGAGGACTTAGATCGGGCTATCGTACTTGACAGGGAAGCGCTGGCCTTGTGCCCGGCCGGTCAGACGGATCGGTCCACGTCATTAAATACCCTTGCGACTCAACTCTCCACCCGCTTTCACCACCGAGGCAGCGACGAAGACTTGGAGCAATCTATCACACTTTTCCGGGAAGCGCTGGCCTTGTGCCCGGTCGGTGACACATCTCGTTCTGTGTCATTAAACAACCTCGCGACCCAACTCTCCTCCCGCTTTCGCCACCGAGGCAACGACGAAGACTCGGATGAGGCTATCGCGCTTCACAGGCAAGCGCTAGCCTTGTGCCCGAGATCGGTCCATGTCATTAAACGACCTCGCGATTCGTCTCTCCTCCCGCTTTGAGTACCGAGGCGACGAAGAAGACTTGGATGAGGCTATCGCACTTCACAGGGAAGCGCTGGCCTTGTGCCCCGTCGGTCACACAAATCGGTCCATGCCATTAAATAACTCTGCGACTCTTCTCTCCATCCGCTTTGACCACCGAGGCAATGATGATGATTTGGATGAGGCTATCGCACTTCATAGGACAGCGCTGGCGTTGCGCCCGGTCGGTCACACGTCTCGGCGCGCCATTGAACAGCCTCTCGAATCATCTTTCCTCCCGCTTTGACCACCGAGGTAACGACGAAGACTTGGACGAGGCTATTTTACTTCAGAGGGAAGCGTTGGCCTTGCGTGCGGTCGGTCACATAGATCGGTACACATCATTAAATAACCTTGCGAATGGACTCTCCTCCCGCTTTAAACACCGAGGCAACGACGAAGATTTAGATCAAGCTATCGCACTTGACAGGGAAGCGTTGGCCTTGTGCCCGGTTGGTCACACAGATCGGTCAACGTTATTATATTACCTTGCGACTCGACTCTCCACCCACTTTCACCACCAACACAATCGAGAAGACCTCGACGAGTCACGAGAAAACCTGCATTGTGCATTAACTCTGTTCACTCAACATGATCCTCGTCAATTTCACGTCCATCAATTGCTAGCTAAGGTCTATCTGTCGTTCCATCGTTCATACGACGCCGACGTAGGCGCAGATACCGATAGTCTGAATGCTGCCATGCATCATTTCAAGGTATCAGCAGATGTTGCCTCTGCAGGCTTGTTATCTCGCTTACGAGCAAGTCTACTTTGGGTTCGCCATGCTGATCAACAGAGACACGGTACTCAACTGGAGGCTTATGTGACTTCCATGCAACTTCTTGACGCTTACATGTCTACGACAGCTTCAATATCATGTCGTCGCGATATCATGAAGGACTTCCCGAGTACACTTGCCGTTAAGGCTGCATCGTGTGCTCTTCGTAGTAGTGACGTCTGTCGCGCTGTTGAATTGTTGGAGCAAGGCAGGACCATCATCTGGACCCAGATGACACGACTCCGCACCCCTCTTGATAGCTTCCAGACTCGCGGTGATCATGCAGTGACCCTGATGAAGAATTTCAGAGACCTCAGCTCCCTCCTCAAAAAACCTCCTGCAAACTATTCAGAAGCAACCCCAAGAGTCGATATAAAAGCAGAAGAATCCCGGTACAGACGTCTAGTGGAGGACTGGGATAGAGCCGTAGAAGAGATCCGAAAGATGGTGTTTAGGGCACACGTTGGGTTTCGATCAAGTCTCGATCATTTCGATTAGCTCGATTATCATCTGTCATCACTTTCTGCAATCTGAGAGAATGTATTTTTGATGCAGTAATATTTGATGCTCAGACCACTAGTACTGTCTGAACAGGCGCCATTTTAACACCCCGCAAGGTTACTCTAATAAGGACCCCCCCTCATGTTCGGCATTTCCCGAGCAGCTACCTCCTGGCGTTGAGTCAGTGTTTTCTTCACAGGTCTATCTATGCGTGTCGGCGCTAAGTGTCACGCGGGAAGTAAGGCGGCGCGCACTTGTGACCAGTGCGGCCAAAGGTTAGTAAAGGTTTTTCGGCCCAAAACATGCACCCGAACTGGGTAGCAAGGTGAGCTGTGACTCCCAAGTATTAGGAGCCAGCGACGCGTTCAGCGAAGCTTGAATACCCAGAGTTTAGGAGCTGGTAAGTTCAGCTGTGATTTGTTAAGGGTGCGGCGGGCGGGATCATGCAAGCGATCATGGCATGTGATTGCCGAGTAATGAGGTAAGAAAATGAAAAGGGCACATGGTGGCCGTGGCGCGTGATTGGCCAAAGGTTTGGACGTGTTGCCAAACATGGGAAGGATGGGTACTGCAAATGTGTGGTTGCTACTGTGGGCTGCATGATTGCTGCGTGCATCCACATCCTTCCCTTTATCAGGTATCTCTGCTGTCCCTGGTGGCAGCCTGGTTGAGATACCCAACGAGAGTTTGCGGCCGCAAACTTCCTGCATGAGTAGTGTATGAGAGCATTTAGTAGCTCTCTACCCATGGCCAGCTTCCCCGCCGGGCTTGTCTTCATTGTATGCGGATGCACACAAGGATCAGAGCCCTCAGAGCTCACCGGTGTAGCGGCAGTTGGTAGCCTAGCGAAGCCGGTCCATGACAACGACTGCAAACAAAAACGAGGCTTTGCGGCGTGAGCATACTGCAAGCCGAGTCGAAGCGGTACCGCTGATGTGGACGGCGGGAGCAAGAGCGCTGCGCCACATCGCTTACTAACACATAGACTAAATTCTACGCTGCCTCGTACCTCGGCTCGCTTAGAATAACCATCTTGGACTTATCGCTACATGACACTGCACTAATACATCGCAAGCAACTACAACCCACCTCTTCCTTCCCCACGCATGCGCAAGAAGAAGGCGTGGGATGGCCTGCTATCTTAATACAGGCTGGAGCTCCTTGCACACGTTCTGTCAATAGAACCTAACGGATGGGGAAAACCTCATGGAGATGCTGTAGCGCGGTCCTGGAAAGGTCATAAGGAGTATGCCATATTGGAGAGACGTTCAACGAGGAACACGATGAAGTAGCCATTGGTTCGCACTGATCATCTGTAGAGGACATACAAATAGAACTACAAAAGATATTACAGGAATGCTTCTCGAGGTCACAAGTCTCGTACGTACGTACTCGCTGTCCGTTTCCTTCACATACTAGTACACAATCGCATCTTTTGATCATACACCTCCGTCTGAATTGCCGTATTAATTCCTCTTCCTTCCAACAATCAGTCTCTTGATTCAAAACTGAGGTGAGCTCTCTTGTTTCTACCAACCCTTTTCTGACTATAATAATACCTAGTCCCACTCTCGTTCCTAGGTATGATCCATAGCCCTAATCGAGTCTTTTGATCCAAGACTGAGTTCTTTTTCTGTTCCTAGTCCGAGCCTCTTCATTTGTAAAGAGTACTTATGTCTGACCCCAAAGTATGGCTAATCACAGGTCAGTATCCTCATTTCCTATGGTGCATATCAAATCTAGAGAGAGCAGTAGCTTACATCAATCACCTAGGCACATCATCAGGCTTTGGTCGCCGGTTAGTATCAATCGTTCTAGAACGCGGTGATCGCGTAGTCGCAACAGCTCGATCTCTGCAGAAGATACAAGATTTCCCCCAATCTCCGAACCTACGCCTCCTAGAGCTTGATGTGGCTTCCGGAACGACTGTCATCAAGGAACGGGTAGATGAGGCGGCTAAGATGTGGGGAAGGATTGATGTATTGGTAAACAATGCAGGTATTGGACTGCTGGGAATCCTTGAGGAATGCGGGTAGGACACAGACATGTTTTTTTTTCGTGCCTAAATGTTATCTATTTCAGGGTGGACATCATGATAAGACAATTCCGCCCCAATGTCTTGGGTGTGCTAGACGTCACGAATGCAGCATTGCCATATATGCGTGAAAGTAAGTTTTCAGGCGTTTGCATGTCGCACACGCTTTGAGCTCTGCAGGGAAGAGTGGTACAGTAGTTATTATCGGGAGTCGCAGCGCCTGGAGGCCTGAAGTTATGGTGAGTAACATTATCTATGGTCAATAGTGATTCAATAACGTCTGTTTCAGGGACTTGGTGAGTTGCGCCTTTTAAGCTCTTCCGTAACTGACCAATGCTACGACCGGAAGGTGCTTATGCTTCATCAAAGGCAGCCGTGCAGGGTAAGTCGCGTTGAACCCATACACGTTACATCGTCCATCAACAGAAGAATCCTAGTAATGGGCGAGACACTTGCCGTGGAACTCGCACCACTCAACATACGCGTCCTGATCGTCGAGCCTGGCGCCTTCCGCACCGAAAATATATACAGCAATAAATTTGACACATCGACGAATCCTATACCTGATTATGATGAAACACGAGCCGAGACACTTGTGAGGTATGAGGCTATCCCTGGCAAGCAACCAGGAGACCCCATGAAGGCGATGAAACTCGTCGTAGACGTCGTACGGGGAGAGGGCGTTGCAGCTGGGAGGGAGTGGCCGTTGTATCTCGTCTTGGGAGAGGATGCAGAGAGAGATATCAGACATAAATGCATGACGATGTTGAAGCATCTTGATGAATGGCAGGACGTAATCCGGGACATGAATCTATGAACCGATACTACATCACACAACTAGTATGTATAGGGTAAATGTTATGAACACAGGATGTAGAATAGCCTTGTTGTCTCAGGAGGCTTGCTATCCCGCCTACGAACAAGTCTGCTCTGGGTTGGTGATGCCTCTCAAAATTCACATGCTACTGAACTAGGAGGCATATGCAACTTCCATACAACTTCTGGACGCTTACATCTCTACAACAGCTTCAGTATCACCTCGTCACAATGTCATGAAGGACTTCCCAAGTACACTTGCCGTTGATGCTGCATCATGTGCTCTTCATAGTGGTGATGTGTGTGACGCTGTTGAGTTGTTGGAACAAGGCAGGGCTATCATCTGGACCCAGATGACACGACTCCGCACCCCCCTTGACAGCCTCCAGACTCATGGCAATCATGCAGTGGCCCTGATGAAGAGGATTCAGAGACCTCAGCTCCCTCCTCGATAAACCTCCTGCGAGCTATCCAGAAGCAAACCCAAGAGTCGATGTAGAAGCAGAGGAAACCCGGTACAGACGTCTAGTGGAGGACTGGAATAGAGCTGTAGAAGAGATCCGGGAGATCGAGGGCTTCTCTCGCTTCCGAGTCCTCCTTCCCCCCTTATTCTCTGATTTTCAAGGTGCAGCTCGCGATGGGCCTATCATTGTGCTCGTCGCAAGCATGTCATCGTGCCACGCCATTATCGTCCCACACAAGCAACCTCTGACTAGCGTTCAACTCCACCAATTTGCTGAAACTCGTCAAATTGGTACCGGCACTCCGAGGGGCAGTTGAAAAAGAGGCCGGTCCTAAAGGAAACCAAACAACGCTGATAAAAGCGTTGAGAGAGTTGTGGGACGACGTGGTCGGCCCGGTGGTCGAAAATCTGGGGCGAAATTGCACGACGAGACTCCCGAATATGGTGGTGCCCAACGTCTCTCTTCAATTTCATGCCATTACATGCTGCTGGCGAGTACAGGCCAAAGGGAAAGTCCCTTTCGCAGCAGTATATTTCTTCATATACGCCATCGCTCACCGCGCTGATCAAGGCTCGCGGAAGTCATGACAGGTCCTTGTCGGTGCCCTTTGTTGCCATTGGTCAGGATTGCCCAGCCGGTGCCTCATTCACTATGGATGCTGTGGAGCCTGAGCTGGAGTTGGTGCGGAGACTTTTGCCCCATCCCCCTTACTGTTTCCTTCTCCAAGATTACCAGCATTGATGCCACGAAATCGAGAGTACTGTGTGCATTGCGAGACAATAATTGGGTCCATCTCGCGTGTCACGGGACACATAGATTTGACGAACCCTTCAAGTCAGCCTTTCTTATGCGCGACCAGCCGCTTTCGCTCCTCGACATCACACAGACGGATCTGTCTCGGCATGAATTTGCATTTCTTTCTACCTGTGAAACCGCAGTCGGTGACTTTCGTACGCCCGACGAAGTGATACACCTAGTGGCTGGCCTGCAATTTGCCGGGGTTGACAGCGTTGTGGGGACAATGTGGAAGGTCACCGATAGTACCGTGCAGCACTTAGTCGAGGCATTCTACAAAAAACTTATGCAAAGACGGTCCAATGAATTCCAGACGAGCTGCCTGGGCGCTGTACCGAGCTGTCCAGTCGTTGGCTTGTAACGAGAATATCATAATGCCCTTGGACCGGCGCATAGTGTTCGTGCATATTGGCATATGATCAATTCCGTGCGCCCTCCCACCTTGTTGATTAAAACATTCTGACGACTTCCCATGTAGCGTCCACTCATAGCCACGCGCACAACTTGTTACTTGCCAAGGATTTTGACATTGCAGACTTTGAAACTGTATACCTACCCGATATATACACCCGATTTTGGCTTCAATTTTTATTTTCCACTTTTTGCCTTGTCAAAGCCGGAGGTGATCGCTCCTCACGTGGAACGAAGTCCCGATGCATTTGTGGATAAGAATCCAGTTGCATAAACTGATCTGGAAATAAACATCCAGGTTCGGCTCATAATTTTTATTTTCCAGTTTGTTGCTTTGGGGCAGGTCAGAGGTTGTCGCCCCTAAGCACTCAGGATGATGATGTACGGGCAAGTTGCACGACGCGCAACACCTCATGTGACAAGACACAATCTGCGATAGACATGATAGTCGAGCTGTCTGAATTGCGTGGGGGCACTCCCACCCATCATGCATCATGCAGTACCGAAATCCGGTGATTATGCCAGACCTTGGCCCTGGCAGGATAGATAGATCATAGACGAATATATAAATCTGTAAGGATCGACTGAGACAGGATGATCGAGTGAGGCATTGGCTGAATATGCTAGCTTGTATGTTATATATGACGACATAGTTGCTCACTCACTAGAGCGGGTTTCAGTACTACTGAGCTACATTGGCCACCCTGCCTATATAGCACTATATAGTCACCGAGATGGTACATGCTTCCAGTGTGTAGACGAAAAAATGCTGAATTACACAAGCTGGGGCTTGGAATTTTGAATGATTATATCGTGTTAAATCATTTTTATATACTGATGACCTCACGGCGGCATCCAATTAACGCAACAGGATTCCAAAAAAAACAAAATCTAATTTATCGTCCTTTGGGGTCGAAGACCCTATGTCGGACATAGCCTAGGCTATAGCTTATCTGTTGTACGACTACTTCTTATACATCCACCACTTCCACCACTTCAATAGAGATATCTGCATCTTGTTCCTTCTCCAACATCGAACCCTCGTCTCTGTTTTCATCTCTGATGGTTGGTGTCAAGGTGGATGTGGGTCCACTGAACCAATGCACGCCTCCGTATACCGGACAATAGTACCAGGCAATTGCCAGAAACATGAACCCTCCAAGTACCACAACTGTATAGTTCATCTGTTGTGTCGTTGTTCGCGGGGTCGCCGGAAAGAAAAAAACCAGAATCACGAAGACCATCCACACCACAGCGATCACAGCGACTGGAAAGCTCTGTAGAGACATATCAGTTCGAGAATACATCGCTGCCGATTAACCCACCAGTTTCCCCAGATGAAATGGGCCGGGTTTAAAATCATTCTTGAATGCAAAGCGGGTTGTGATTGGCGTTATGTAAGCGACACAGGCTGCGGTGACAGCAATTGTGAATACCGCATTGATGGCTTCGGTGCTCACAAACGACAAAAGTCCAATTGCCAGAGCGGAGATGGCGTCGAACCAAACTGTATTGACGGGTGTTCCTGTGTAGCGATTGATCCTGTACAAATACCGTGAAAATGGGAGGGCTCCATCACGAGCAAATGCAAACGATTGGCGAGAGCCAACCAGGAGGCAGTTCGATGCCACCATGTACCTGCTCTATGATTAGGTTGTGAATAGGCCACACGGCACTAAAACGTACTCTGCTACAATAATGAGGCACCATACAGCCAGAGCCTTTTTCTGCCCAAGCGAATTATATAAAATTTGTGCCATAGGCTGGCCTATAGGGCTACTGAAGATGCTGCCGACATCAGTGCCCATGCAAAAGGCAAGGGTGACATTGATTCCTGAATTAGAATATGTCACAAAGGTCAGAGCGACGTGTCGTTCCACATACCCCAACCAAGGACGGCCGATACAGCAATGGAACTGACCTGAATGGGATAAATACAACAATTGGACATTTCTAGTGTCACTTACTATCGCCCACGGTATCGAAACAGCGGCATTTGAGGCCTCCTCGCTCATATGAACGCTAGCATCACAACCCCCTGATGGGTTAAAGATAGTTATAGAGTAATTATTGGAAAGAATATGGTCTAACCTATTGTATAAAGAGGGGCCATTAAGCTCAAAACGAATGCGAATCCAGATGGCCAGCCAGTCACTGTAACTGATCGTGAGCTGCGAGCGTTATTGGACGGTGATACATACCGTTGGTGAAATCCCCTAGCGCAAAATTTGCACTGTTCAGATAATCTGGTGGCGTTGCGATCGGAAGCGCAATGATGATTATGAAGCAAAGGCTATTGGAGGATTTGAAAGATGATCATGTACGAACTCTACAACACCTACCATGCATTCACCAACGTAAATAGTCTCTGTAGCCTTGCCAAAACTTTGGTACCGAAGCTCACGAGGACAGCTTGTGACAAAACCAAAGATGCGTATATACCACTATAACACCCAATATGAAGAGTGTCCGGTGTCTGCATGAGGACGAACTTACTAGAGCTGCTGGTTGGTAGTCATATATGCCTGGCCAGAGGAGGCAATACTGATTGCTGCAGTGATTTGGATTGTACAAGCCCAGTTTACGGAAGCTGCCCTACATGATCAGGGGGAGACTGTTGAAAAGGTGAAACCCGTCTTACCAAATCCCGTGATGATTTCTATGGTATTCGAATCTGCAGATGTTAGGACTGGCTGCATGTCACATAGAAATGCAGGACTTACAACCAACTATCCACGACAGAAAATTGCGGCATCGTGGAGAAGCAAGCGAGTAAGTCCAATAGTATAGCTATATTGTGTTAAGTCAGATATGAAATACGATAGCGCCGATGACATACACCACCAGAAGTAGGTGCTGCTGATGCGAGCTCTGCCATCGCCAACCCGGTGCACATGATAAAGGGGCAAGCGACTGCCCACTGCAGAGGAGAGGTTAGATGTTTACAAAACAGCAATCCTCATGTGTGATGGAAGCTTACACCCCAAACCATCGCGAAAGGCCCACCATCTGGTATGGCATAGAATAGCACGGACCTGAATAAATAGTGGTGTGAATCAATTGGCCTGTGTCATAGTGACGCCTTACGCTATAGAAGGAACCACTCCAACATAACTGAATGCAAGTCCAGACACCTGCAATTGTTTGTGTCACATACATGGAAGAGTCTGAAATCAAGCTCACCTCTAGTAGAGTGAATTCTCTGCGAAACTCCTGCTTGTATCCTAGCTTGGCAAGAGTCGTCTCATCTGCACTTGGTCGCGGGTGCAACTTCGAAAATGTTGAAGCTCCCGGAGCCGCCATATTGTGCCGTTGAAAATGGGCGATCTCGAACGAGCCTAAGCCAACTTGTCACACAGTATCAAAAGAGATTTTAGTTAACCGGAAATCGCCAGGAATCACCCTCAGATCCGCATTACACCACTAACTGCCGCTTAGGTCGTATTACAACACCTGGCAACCAAGTGTACTTATTCTGTTGATAGCAGAAGTATTGTGCAGGTTACGGCGGGCTGCTGTTACCTGTCCCGCATCTGTTCCGCGAGAAGCTCGTGTGTGACTTCGAATGTCGACCTAGCCTTCTCTGAGTCAAGTTCTCGCTGATGTCCGGTTATTCGACCCTGGTTAGTTAACCATGTATATCAGCTTCAGATAGGTTACACCACAAACCAGTGAGACAGGAAGAAACCCATCTATTATAACTTGGGTTCAGTGCAGTACAAGTTAAGCGCTAAGCAGCAGCGATTATTCACACAATAGGCGCGCGTGGCGCGTAGAACTAGAATTATCCGGAGAGTCCCGACGCTCGTCTACACTCTCCGCCACTCGGATATCTCCGATACTCCGCTCGCTTAAAGGTTTAGGACAGGGGTGTATTATGTGTAAGAACATCCCGAACGTGGAAGCAACCAAAATTTTGAACACGGAAAAAAGGCGTGAAAAATGGGCAAATTTTCAAAAATCAGCGTTCACTTATTCCAGAAAGGTATTCCAAATTTGTCCATTTCTCACATCTTTGTCACACCTTTTCTCGAAAAGGTTGCTTTCGTGTCTAAATCACCCAACAATTGTTATTTATCATCACCTCCTTCATGAACTCCTTCAAGAACTACGAGACTATTCAAGTCACTCTCCAGTACGGCGGGACTAAGGGCGGGCGACTAATGTCTGGGATGACGAGTAAAAATGAGGCCATTCATGTCCTTCTAGCAGATCTCAGTGTTCTCAGAGCACATCGTCCAAAAGGTGAAAATATTCATCAAGATGGTGCTGCGTTCTTCTTGTCATGGCCTCACCCCATTCATGCGCCAGTCCCTGCGGTTGAGGCATGTCCTAAGTATTGTCTTGCACCGTGAACTACGGTTGATCCGCTCTCAGGGCTCTTTGTACACCAGATGGGTGACCATTTCCCAGGGAAGTCCAAAGCTGAACGTGGTCAAAGAGGAGCTCTCTATGTGAGCACCTTCATAGAAGCACATGTACAAGAATAAAACTGAGGCGTGATCTGCATCTGCATCTGTAAAGTGAATCGGTGGCTGTTGAAATGTGAGGAGGTTTTCACATATACGACGTCTGTTCAAGGTCCATTTTAGACTAGGGCCGTTAATTGATTTTGGCACCGGAACACGCGGAACAAATTTATCACCATTGGGACCAAAACATACAATAGAGCTGCTATGGACAGAAGGAATGAGTCCACCGCTATCTTCTACGTCAGACCGTTCTGATTTACAAAAGTCGGTCACCACGGAAGTAGTTCAAGGGAAGAGATCTCGAAGTGATGTGAGTACCGGTCTACTATGCCGTTCCTATACACTAAACATTTCTATGTAAGACCAACAACGAACGAAGTGTATCATCGCCAACTTCTGGGTCAGATAGTACTAACGAGCCCTCCCCGGATCCTTTGTTGAAGAGAATTCGAACCGAGCAACGCCTCCCCACTCAAAACATCAGTACAGCAGAAGGGAGTCATACTCTCAACGGTGTTTCAACTGAAGAATACCATACCACAGTGGGCGACAACATTCATCGGTCCAGATACCCGACATCCCGGGTGCCGCTCACTACTGCCCTTCAACAGCCATTACGCATCCCTCCATATCACACCAGACCCCTCCCAGGATCACCCGGCGCGAGCAACCCCACCCCTACCGGCCCCCGCCCACCAAGAGATAGAGAGACTATCAATAGGCTATCGCTCGAGCTTTCGAAGGTCCGCAGTCAGCTAACCACCTTGAAACATTGTGAGAAACGGACATTGGAAGACCTTATTCGTCTTGGTGCTCCCCAACCGAAGAGTGAAGAAACATCACCCTCCCAGCATGGTCTCGTACATTAACAGTTCGGTATACACGTAGCTGACTCGTTTGATTTCCTGTAGATATGGAGGCGCGACTAATACTGCTTGAAATCGAGTTGCAGCAGGAGAGGACACAACGTCTCCGTGCTGAACGTATGCTCAGTGAAGTAGAGAGGGAGTGCAGGGTTCCCTTTGTGGTGCCAGCGTTGTTTCAGGCATTTTGCAGAATATCGGAGCTTGGGCACCATGAACACTGAAAGACAATTGCGCTGTACGATCTGTCTAACCCGTTGACAAAGTGACGAGTACTTTCTTACGTATGTGCATCTCTAGGATCATTATCCGAGTTCAGGTCCTATGATCTTCGAACAGCCATCGAAATCTTTCTATGTCATCTTCAAATCAGACATTCCTAGTGGGTGATAAAGTGCATACAGGTGTTCACCCTGGATATTACGAACTATTTAGGTATACTATCGTTCATATCTTTTATGTATTTTATGTATGTCCACAGCTGAGGGTGGCCAAAGGCTCGATTCAGCGTGAGGGTACAAGGACTTCGACATGAACTCGGACTGTGTTTCCTCAGCCGCAAATATGTTTGAAAAAAAAGTGCTTGAGCCGATAGGCTCCGTGAATGCAACATCAAACGAAATGCACCCTAAAATGCGTAAATGATTTCTCGTTCGAGTATCGTGCTCATCAAACTACCATGACCATCATGATGTTGCCTAGCAAGAAATGGAAGAGAATCAATCGCCGCGATCAAAGTGAACAGTTTCACAGATATTCTTTTGGTGAGCAGCAACTAGCTGCCATCTGCGACTGGCTAACAGGGAGATGATGTTGTGCAAAAGAATCGATCATCATTCGTGATGATATGTTGTATCACAATCACAATTGAAAGGTACTAGTCATATTGAGATGTACACGTGATCCGTGGGATTGTCGCGAAGTGCACCCACAGAACCTGACAGAAACCTTACCACCGTAATTCAAGAATATCACGGACTGCGTTAGGATCTTCCGAAATAATATAAGATGGAAGTAAAAGGTATGAGCAGATGCATTCAACCAAATTTGTTTCGAATTCATAAGCCGACTTCGCAGGTTCTCCCGTTCCTATGCTGGGCTTGTCATCCACACCGACGCCTCCTTCAATGGCTCCTACTACATTCGAGATCCCAACAGAGGTAGCTCCGGGTCCTTCCTCATCCACCTCTCCAGTCATACTTCAGAAGTGCACTCGCTGTGCCTATATGGGCCCCGTCGACTCCTACCCACCCCGACGTACCGGTACAGGTCACCTCAAAGTATGCATCGGCTGTATGGACAAACAAGTGGCACGGAAGTCTGCTGCCACTGTCGATTCATCCGGATGTGGACAGATTGCAACCGCGGCGATGAGCTTGGATGACTTCTTGAAACTCGTCACATTGAACAAAGGTCGACCATTCGATTTTGACACAATGGTGAATCTGCCACCGGGCATGTTTGCAGCTGGGGAACATTTGTATAATCGGACGAACAAGATTAGAGATTTCTTGGCAGAAGCATCAGAATATCACTGGAAGTGCGTTGTCTATGTTGTGTGCGCTGGGGCAGTTCTTACAAGACAATACAGTCAAAAGAAAACAAAGCGTGGTGGAAAGTCTACAGTCGTCACATACTTCTGTGCCCAGCTTGAAGGAGAGCAATCAAAGTCACGAAACCAAGACGCCGATCGCGCCAAGTCACGTTCTCGCATTACTCGTTATCATTGTGGCGGCTGGCTACGTATAACAACGATGGATGATAATGAGCTTCTTCTTCGCATCCGTATGACACATGCTGAAGCGCACCCAAGTTTTCCTGCGTCGTTTCGCAAGTCGCAATCAGGAGAATTCAAGATGGAGACCACACCAAAACCGGTTCCGAAACAACCTTTGTTCACAACGACGCCGATGATAGTACAGGTTGGAGTTACTGAAGTGCCTCAAATAACACAAAGGGATGAGATGGGCACAGAAGAAGATGGTGTAGGACCCATGTTAGAGCAGCCACAGGGGAACGGAGGACCACCTCCAAGCATCGTACGTCAAGATAGTGTTTGGCAGTCATTCCCTAATGATTTACTTCTACTATAGCCTGAGGTTTATTTCTCGCCAGATCAGCTTGCTGGACTGAGACGAAAATTTGACGCCATGATGAGCATAGCATCTGGCCCTTGTCATCCTGACCTAGCTCACGCTCTAGGCTCTGTATTCGATCACTTGGATCGTACGGTGGGCGACATAGAGATTGGGAGATTTGCGAAGAGGCAGAGGATTTCATAAGCTCCCCTCGCTTGGGTAGTCACCAGACGATCCTACTGGAGACCTGCTTTGGGCCGATGGCCCATATGGGTCTCTCCGAGTCTGTCCCTCAAGGGACAGACTCAGAGAGTTCTTGCCGACCCGTGACGCAACGAATGGTGTGACACCACCTAATGTCAGATTAATTTGAACAGCCATGGACTGCAAAATTGGGGGCAATATGAATATAGGAGGCGTTTTATTTGACATACGTCATGCGCGCTGCAATCCTGATGTCTCGTGGGTTGCCAGTCATGCAGAGATCACACCAGACAAAGGTCACCATCTCCTGACATGACTAGTACATCAAACACCCCATGGTATGTCCAAATCTCATGAATTTTTTCATGATCTTCATAGCATACACACCCGAATCTTTGCATCGCGGTCGATGGAAAACGTGTATAGTGAGCGTGCTCGAGTGGGTTAAACTGACATTTTCACCAACATTTGCCGAGCATGGTCTGCAAAATCCAGTTCTTAATGCCTAGCTAGGTCATAGAGAAGCAAGACTGCAGTCGTCCATAAGGTCCTCGCATATAAGGAAGAAATGAAGTGCGGAAACCAGGTTCATGATGCGCCTTTTGACTTCCTCGAGACCAAAAGCAAATGTTAGTTCAGATTCACTTCGCGGATTACGTCCTGTCATTCATCAAGGACATCATGCATTTATTTCTGATACCTTTCTCTGCATTCTCTCCTGGCAAGACGAGATACAACGGCCACTCCCCCCAGCTGCAACGCCTTCTTCTCTTACGACGTCTACGACGATTTTCATCGCCTTCATGGGGGGGCTTGCCAGGGATAGCTTCGTACCTCACCAGTGTTTCAGCTCGTACTTCGTCATAATCAGGTATAGGATTCGTCCACGTGTCAAATCTCTTGCTGTATGTTTTCGGTGCCAGGTATGACAATCAGGACGCGCATGTCGAATGGTGTGAGTTCCACGGCAAGTGTTTCGCCCATTACAGCAGGATTCTTCAGTTGATGAACGATGCAATGTGCATGGGTTCAATACGACTTACGATGCACAGCTGCCTTGATGAGGCATAAGAGCCTGCCAGCCGTAGTATTGGTCACCCACGGAACAGCTCAAAAGGCATAACTCACCGATTCCTTGAAACACACGTTGTTCAACTACTTTCAATCATAGAAAACGCCACTCACCCTGATTTCAGACCTCCAGGCGCTACGGCTCCTAACTACTGCACCACCCTGCAGAGCTGAAAGCGTGTGTTACATACACACATATGTCAATGCTGTATTTGTGACGTCCAGCACACCAAAGACATCAGGACGGAGTTCTCTTATCATTATGTCCACCCTGAAAGATAACATGCATTAGGCACGGGAATAAAAACATATCTGTGTCTTATCCACTCTCCTCAAGGATTCCGAGGCACCCAATACCCGCATTATTCCGAGTCACCAACACGTCAATCGTGCTCTACACCTTATCGGCCTCATCTATTCGTTCCTTGATGACGGTAGTTCCAGAAGCCACTGATCGAGCTCTAGGAGACGTAGGTTCGGAGATTGGGAACGTGTTGGATATCGGACCGTTGCGACTGCGCGGTCACCGCGTTCTAGAACGATTGAATTGAAACTGAACGGCGACCAAAGCTTGGTGATGTACCTCAATGATCAACGTAAGTTACTGCTATCTCTGGAATTGATATGCACCGCAGGAAATGAGGATATTCACCTGTGATTAGAGCAGACATAAGTACGGTGCGCTGTGAATAGACGTCCAGTGGTAAGACCTTCTTCTCCTGCGGTCTTGGTCATCAATATTCAATACGAGCTTTGACTTGCGTGCTTTGATTGACAAATATCGACATCAACGTCGTGATCATGCTGAGATCATGTTGCTCCTATCAAATGTTGCATCCTGTGAGAAAGTTGAGTTGTGCAACCCGCTACAAACCCACCGCCACAGGCACGTCTAGCAACAGTTATCTCCTGATGATCAAACGGCGAGTCTTATATATTGTTGTCAGTCTCCAGTTGGCTAGAATGATGCGTGGGGGAGGATGACGGCGAAGGAAGTGTAGAAGGTTTGTTTCATATCAAATCAGCTACATCGGGATACGATACGACAGAATCAAATGCTACTTTCCGCCCTTCTTGGCAGCTTTACGCTCCTTCCTCTTTCTACCAATGACTGCGCCGATGTTCTGACCACCACTGGCATGTTCTTCTTTCACAGGCTTCGCTGGTATTTCCTCGGTCGCAACGCGTCGTTTCTTCATAGGTGGTTCTTGAGAGATTTCACCGTGGCTTTTTGTGTTTCGTGTCTAAATCCGAGTCAGAAATAGTGATCAAAGACGGAAATCGTACATACATTTACTATCGGTTTTTCCTTGTTCTGGTTCGCTCTTCGCTGGACGACCTGCACGTTTTCTATAGAGAATTCCACGACAAGCGTGCCCTTCGGTATTTTCACCTGGCCTTCGAGCTCATCCTTTAACCGCTTCAGTCTAGCTTCATCAGGATCCTTCTTCCCCTTCTCAAGCTTGATGAGATCTCCAAGCTCTTCTTTCCACCAGGTGCTCAGAAGTGGCGCCACAGCAGGGTTGTTGTTCGCCCACCGAAGAACGCGTAGCGCATCCGCATGCCGCGGCATCTCGATAAATCCGTAACCTTTGCTGCGACCTTTTCCTGTGACAGAATCTATCCGTTCATGTTGGCGCACGATTTTGGCTTGCTGGACGCCTTTTGATTTGCTTCCCTGCGATCGTTTCCCGGCCTTGGGTTTTGTGCTGGAGTCTCCTGGTTCATCGGATTCCTTGGTAGATTCTTGTTCTTCGAGCTCATCGGGAGTCAAATCGGTGCGTTCTCCCTTTTTGACTTCATCTTTGAATGTACGAAGGGCGTGGAGGGCGAGGCGTTTGAGAGTCCTCTCAGTCACGAATAGGGGTATCTGGCGAACGCTGAGTCGGGTCTTCGATACGTATAAGGAAGGATTTGTCCGCAACATCGTGCGGCGGGCAGTGAATGAATTAGTCCGCTTCTCCAGTTCAATAGGTGATATGGTGCTGGCCGCTGGCGTATTAGGCAAGATGACTGGAGAATTTTGGTTTACAAAGATAACGGGGATGACCATGAAATCAACCTTACCTCCCTCACGTAACAAGTAGAGATTTCTCTTGTCTGCCTTCTCTCGCCTTTTCTCGCCTTCGTCCTTCAGCTTACCTGCTTGATCGCGCGTGACGGCTCTCACAACATCCAAAGTGCGACCATGAAGTACAAGACTTTTAGCTATACCTGAAGATGGGTCAGGCGTCAAGATTGATGGCAGAGTGAATGGGTTTTTTGTTGGCTGAGAGGTGTCAGAGACACATCGCACATTGAAGAGTGAGACGTACTTGTTGCGAGCCCATGGTTTCGGCACGCAAAATCTCGCTTTGCTCGATCACCTTATCGGCGACCTCTTTATTCCAGTAGCAAACGAAACCGGTGCCTCGTGAACGTTCGGTGCCTGGTTCAACGGTAATTCGAGCATATCGTAGAGGCCCAAATGCGCGGAATCTGCATCATGAAGGGGTGAGCGGACGCGGGGTGGTAGGAGAAGGTATACGTACAGTGTCCGTAGTTCGTCTTCTGTAGCAATGAAAGGGATATTGCGGACGAAGAGTGTGGTACCTGTGTCCGTTTGAGGTAGCTGAGGTTTCATGGGACGTCGATGATGTTCGACACTTGCTTCTTTCTCATCGTCGTCTTCAATGTCTTCGTCTTCGTCTCCATCCTCGTTGTTGTGCTCGTCTTCATGAAGACCTAACTGCTCCTCTTCATCTTCATCATCACTCAGCTCTGCTTCGCTATCTTCACCTTCAGCGTCGGCCATCTTGACATCACCCTCTTCGGCATCATCAGATTCGGCGTCACTCTCATCGACATCTTGGAGCTTCGCCCTTTCCTCCTGCTTTTGAACTTCCTGCCTGTGCTTTTTCGCCTCCTGTTTTACCACTTCCTGCTTTTTCACCTCTGGCTTTTTCGCCTTCCTGTTTTACCACCTCTGGCTTTTTCACCTCTGGCTTTTTGTCTTCTGATTTTTTGGCTCCTGCTTCTTGTCCTTCCCAACGCGCTCCTTCGAGCTTTCAAATTTGCCCTTGTCCTATCCCACACCCATAAGAAACCCATGCACAGATAAAAGAAAAGACAACAAAAAACCCACCATCTTCTTATCCGCCCACTTAACCCTCAACTTCCTCCCATTAATCTCGATCCCCTCAGTCGACGCGGTATCAAAAGCGGTCTGCGCATCCTCCTTGATAGAAAACGACACATAACCAAACCCTTTCGATTCCCCAGTTCCATTCTTAGACACGACAAAAGCATATCGCACGGGTGCTAAATCTGAGAATGTGGTTTGTAGGTCTGTGGATGTTGCATCGTAGGGGAGGTTGGATACGAATAATGTGGATCTGATGAAGTGCGATGTTTGTGTTATGTTGTGTGGGTTTTGGGTTTTGAGCGACTTACCCGTGTGATTGTGAGGAGGGTTGTGCGTCTTCTTCTCTTTGCCTGCGTTTCCCGAGTGATGTCGCCATCTGGATTTTTGAGTCTGGTTAGATTATTGATACTACTTGCAATTTTGGAGGCGTTGTTTGTGTATGTTAGGATGAGAGGCCTTTGCCAATTAGGGACAAACTCGTTCAAGTTCAACCATATTTTTTTCCGACACCAAACATTATTACGGGCTGATGGCATCCATATGCACCTGTTGCGATTGAACGAGGTATCAAGCCTAAAACTTGAAACCTCTACAAATCATAACAGATGGCATCACAAAAGGGAGATGAAAGGTGTTCTCCCAGCGAGTCCATAACCTCATCTAATCCAGACTCTCGCATTGGCACCGTTTTCTCAGTCCATGGAATCAGCGTGCATGCGACTTCTTTCTATCATCCCACTACGGTCTGATACGCCGACATTATGATCAGAACCTCACTACCATCAAGTACGCCCATCATCACGTTCGTCCAATACCGTTCCGCCGCCAATCTGTGGCGTATATATATAAGTCCCAACGATTCACCCCATCACCTGATACTGATCTCGACACGCCCAGCTTTTAAAAAAGTCCCATCACCATCACCATCAATTCTACGTAGCCACGATCGCGGTGAACTGCAACGTTACTCGCATATCAAATCAATACGCCCCACATGCATGCGTAACGAGGCAAGGCCGAGTCCCCGACGCCCATCGAGTTATCGCTTTCACATAAACGGCGAGTCGATCCAAGACGCAACATCTATCCGCATCGCGAAGAGAACTCTGATCTAAATATTATATTATATTATTATCAGAAGAAGAATGGAAGACGCGATCAGCCATATGAGGGTATGAAAAGCGATAATAGCACAAAGATACGGCAAGCTCGGGCGTCCCGTTCTTGCATGACGTTTCCTATCTCGTCATCGCACGATCATGATCATGGATCATGCAGATGGCCGCTTCAATCATGCATCATTGATAAGCTGATCAGCGCGCCCAGGAATGATGCGATGGTACGTACAGAGTCGTTTCACTGGGACTGGGACCAGATCTTTTTGTGTCGAGTTGTTCGCCTACCTTTTCAAGCGAGCTCAGTGTGCGCTTGGTCCGTGTGTTTCGGCGTCTCATGTGATTGTTTGTGACGATGCACGTGGATATGTTTCTTGGGAGGATAGCCTGGGGGCTTCTTGTGTTATGATCGAAGTGCGATCAATACGAACGTCGATATTCGACTAGATGATCGCTCAAATTTCGTATGCCGAAGGCAGAATATCGACGCTGGAAGCTAACTGATTGCTTTAGATCTGAAAGGCTATTAGGATGCATCCAAACCTGGAGACCGAAACTTGGTTACGGCGATGGATGCCCAGGAGTTGATCGAAGTCAGACGATTAATGGTATGATGCCTTTTGGTATGTGGCTCTGCGTTCGTTCCGTATGCGTCGGTGCGTGGTGGCGTGCCCGTGACGATGCACATTGCACGTGGGCGCAAACGTTCCTCGAGCATGCCGAACAAGGCAGGCGAGCCGATAGCGTGGGCTGCGAATTAGCATCGAAGTACACGACCAGCGATCAGAGCAACGAGCGATTAAATGGAATATTACCATTCATCCCCTCGAGTTCGATTAGATTTCGAGCGCGAAGGCGAGATATCGACGAGTAGCTAATTAATTTTATTCTTTATGTTATCCCGACCCCAAGCTTGTAGGACGGCATTCGCAGTTGATCTGAAAGGCTATCAGTTTGAACTGAAACTTGGGCATACTAGGTCCAAACCTGGACACAACACCTTTGGTCCTTGTCAGAAGCACAGACCCAGCACAACTGCGATGGACGAGGACTCTAGGTTATGTGCCGCGTATGTCGGCGAGTGGATGCACATCTCTCGTGGAACAAGGACTCAGGCTTCAAAAACAGTACCAAAGTAAAGCGAGGAAATCGAACATTCGTATTCGTCGCCCCTATTATCATCATTGGCACATTAGATATTGTGCGGGAAGGCGGGACATCGCACGTCGATACTAAAGCTAATTAATTCCTTTGACGAACTCAACCTTGTGAATAAGACGGGCGTCCGCATTGAATCTGAAAGGCTATCAGGATAAACGTTAACGCATGGCCATCATGTACCCAAACTCGACCAAAGGTACCCTTTGATCTTCTCCCGAGAGGTACAAAAAGAAGAGAACCCAATTCAAAGGCGGAGAACGATGTTCCGGTCTTCCACGTTCCAGAGCGCCAAGTACCTAACTGTATAGTCCAAGCCCCCAAATGAGGGTTCTTCGGACATATTCGATTTCTGGAAATGATCGAACTCGAGATGAAACTTCGATGAGTAAGACGTCTTGACGATGGGCGTACGTAGGGGGTTTCCCGAAGATCCTTTGATCGTCTACTCGGTATAGCGTAATTGTAAATTCGACCATTTGCGCGATAAATGAACGAATACCCCACCATCGCGTCGTAAGCCCATTTTGCAAGACGTTTCATTGATGATTTTGTTCGATGCCCATGGATACGCTCTCGACATCGAACGTTTTCCGATCAGATGATGATGGCGGGAACTGCCTTTTGGGTGGGGCTTGGAAGGACAGGAACGAAGCGCTGTTGCGGGATTGAAGTTGTTCCGAAATGATGGATCAAAAAAAACTCGAAAGGGTCAGTTAATTAGCAAGCACTGAATAGCTAAACGACATTCCGAAGTCGTTCAAATGGGTGGAGCGAATGCGTTGGTTTGAACGAGAATCTGATATATATTTTTCGCACACCTCGGATTTTGACAAATAACATATATGTCGGCGGCAGTGCATATATAGCTTTGGAAAAAACTTCTCGAGAGAAGCTATCCGCCATGAAAGATTTCTTCGAGGCTTCTCCGCATCGTATTGACCGATTTGTTGGGAGATTGTTGGATAGCCGTGGCGTCGCTGTGTGCATGCAAGCGTGATGCTAAATGTGGAGGGGTGGGGTGTCCGGGAGGATGAGGCGCGGTGCGGAATGAGGTAAGGAAGGCCCCATGCGCGCGTCACATGGACGATCCCAATACATACATAAGTAGAACTCGAGTGGGTTTAAGTCGGAAGAGAATCATTCAGCCGTAAGGCCTTGAGGCGAACCTTTTCACAGCGTTGAACCTTCCTTGCAGCGCACGGATGTCCGGCCGAAAATGCCATTTGTACGTCGGTAAACGTAAGATGTTGTATTGGCACGCAACAAACATGTGTAGACCTCGGAAAAAAAAAAGTTGTCGCTTTGGATGTAGAATAGATTTGCCCGTGCGATAAGGGATCTAATCTTATCCTACGACCGAGTGATGTTGAATATGTACCTGGGCCCTGGAGGCACCTGGTAATATCATCATGATGTACTATAGTGGGTGCTTGGAAGATATTGTTTGTATGTGTTAGGATGAGAGGCTCATGCCAATCAGGGCCAAACTTGAGCGCTGTCAGCTGAACCAGGGCTCACGTTCTCTGAGAACATTTAGTTCTTCGATGATGCCATCTATTGTGATGCGTATCTATTATCATATCATGACATGAAAATAGAAGGTTCTTTTTGTCATAGGAAGACTTTGCCTTTACACTTGGAAGGTTGAGGCTGACGTGGGACTCACGACCTCGAGTGTATCACAGGTCCGCGATTACGCGGATACTGACATAAAACGATTCCCACATTTTTTTTGTTTTCTTACTACATTCCGTACGAGACAGGAAGTTGAAAAGTTCTACACGATTCACTGATCCCAGAGTCTCGCTGCCCTGGATCCTACGGTCACGTTGCCCTGCATGCAAGGTCTCAAGGCGTATGGCAATACTGATAAGTACTAGCACACCACCTCCTGCGCTCGCGAATACGAACACGGGATGAGGCTACACTAGTTCCGGGTATGACGAATATTGCTTAACTGGAAGGCGCAATTTGTATCTTCGACTCCGAATTTACTTATAGTTTCGGTACGCTTATTGGATCGTGGCGTTATTAGTAATCAAGGACGAGCGAGTTGGTCTCGGTTGGGTCTCGGTTCGAATTTCAGATCATATGATCTTTGTAAGTAATCAACGCCTGTGTCTATTCGAATGCGTTGCGGTCGAGGGTTATTCGGATCCTTGCATCCGAAACACGTTAGGGGTTCCGGCTGTATCACATTGTACGAATACCGGTACAATGTCGATTCACTCACGGGTTGATATCGCATCCGCGAAGAATTCAAATTTCAAGTTCGTATTATTAAATGCATACAGACTCGCCTCCCTATCTCGGCCAGACGGGCCTCGTTTGGTCTGAGTGACCATGCGTGTGGGTTCTTGAGCTATTATGGAGTAAGGAGAAAACCCGAAGACGGGTGCGTTTGCAGCTATCACGGAGATTGGCCGTGTGGTATGATATTAGATTAGATATCACTTCGATGTGATCATAGTACGTAGTGGTACTGCCCCTCCATGTCGGGAGAATGTTTCAAGATACGGGATATCCCATTTGACAGGAACAGCTTGGTTAATTCTTGTGTAACCGGTCGACCGGGAAGAGAAGATTGCGGAATGGTGTGAGGTAATTGAATGGACGATCTTGTGTGGATTTAAAACGGATAGTCACGTGACCCCAGATCAATCCTATTCCTTGTGTCTTTCTCTAACTCGGCACGTTCAAAATCCTTTCCTTTAATATCATTATTAACTAAAAACCACGCTCCTTGTTTTTCTTGTACTGGTACTTCCATCACCTCGCAATGGCCGGCTTATTGCGCAAGTTCAGGAAGAACGCTGATGTAGAACATCCGGCACCGTCAAAACCCGTTCAAGTCGATTCTCCTCCTCCTTCACTACCACCTCTCTTTGCTAGATTCGCGACATCCTCTTCTCTCTTGGAATCTTGTACCATGCAACAACCTGAAGATGAATGGGACCCTTGGAAAGCATTGGCAGATCATACACCGGAACCTCCCCGTCAGCCTTTGCCTCCTCCTCCACAACTTCCCAAGCCCCCATCATTGTTGCCTCTCGGTCGTCGCAAGTACACGGGTCCGGGCTTACCTCCAGTAAAACTCGCCGGTATGTCCTTCCTTTAATCATATCATCGTGTTTTCATCCGTCGCATAGACCCCGGCGCACACCCAATCCGTGCTGTTTCCACACGACACGATCACAATTCCCCTATAGCACCCAATCACCCCTCAAAAGTCACATCCCACCCCCCACAACAAGCAAATCAGGTCCCTTCATATCCCTCCCCAGAATCTCGAACTCAAAACTCTCCTCCTGGCTCAAGTTCAAGCAGTAGCAGTAATCATACAGATGTCACTCGCTTCACTTCCGATTCGAACGCCTTTACGTCCACGAGCTCAATCGCGCCCGCTATCAAGGTAAGCTGTCTTTTTGTGTTAGTCTGCCTCAGTGTCCACACACCCGTCTATTACTCCCGCCTTGCGCCAAATCCACTTCATCTCCGTTCTTCGAATGCCGTTGACACGTTGAACTTCTTTAGCACCTTGACGTCACCCTCCCTCAAGGTCGATCACAATCTACTTCGGCTCAACAGCATAGATTGGCGGTAAACCTTATTAATCCGGTTAGCCCCCTTGGCAGTCCCGTGAGTATCAATATAATATACTTTTTATTTCACTTTCCTATTGCCACCAGTGACTAACCAATTTTGTTAGCCTGCTGACACAAACGTACCCGTTGCTATTAGTACCGCCCGAACTAATGGTAAGACATCGACTCAGACTCGACCATTGTCTGCTGTCCCCCCCTCTGCACGTACGCCCGTGCTCCAAGACAAAAATTTGCAACGAAATTTGATGCCGACCACGACTATGACCGTTATGACACAAACTGCCACACGTTCGTCTACTACTCGTTCCAAAGCCACCGCGCTCCCGCCGTCTTCCACCACCGCTCGCTTGTCAGCGGTGTCATCATCTACTGTCGCTTCTGCGCGTTCCCCTTCTACCGCGCGTTCCCCAAGTACTGCTGCCCATCGCGCACATCCCACCGCTCGCCCGCCTCCCAGCGCCAACGCGATACCCCCTCATCACGGTACCCAACCTCTCCAGCTCAACTTGAACCGTTCAACTTCGATAGAACTCAGCGCTGCACCGATCCGGAAAGGCCCGTTGATTTTCGCTGCTATGGCTATTGATCAGGCGTCTATCGGGCAGCGAGAAAATATATCACCCAATCAAAACCCAGCAATGACCAACAAGCGCACATCTATCATCCAACATCAAAATGCATCTCTCGTTGGAAGCCAACGCCCACAAGCACCCATGGTCATCAACCAACGCCAACACCAACACCAGCAAGCACCCATCACTCAACATGACAACTCTGTGAACAACACACGCATCTCCGCACCATCAGCGCGCCGTGTTGCAGATCACGAGACGCTTGGTTACCCGTCTCCACCCGCGGAATATACCAATCTAGGCCTTGGGAGGGATGTTAATGTGCCTTTGGGTGTACCCGTGTCTTCCATAGGACGCGCGCCTGTGCCTCTGGTATTTGCAACCACGGGCGTGCCTTTGTCATCAGAACATGTGGGCTTGGTGCGCGGAGGATCGGAGCGTATTCCTGTGTCTTCGAATTCTGCACAGGGACAGGGGCAGGGGCAGGGACGTGTTGCAGCTTCGGGCCCGATTGTGGCTGGACCTGGGAGGCGTATCTCACTGGACGTAGGATCTAGGCGCTCATCAGATGCAATAATAAGTGGATCATCAGATGCAGGACCACCCCCAAGCCGTATGAGGGTCTCATCAGACGCTGCTCCCCCGTCCCTGCGGAAACTCAACCGAGCGACGAGTAAAGAAAGTCTCAAGCCTCGCGTGTTGACGAAATCGCGACCCACTACTCCTTCTGGACCTTCGGTGCTTCCCAAGTTGCTATTGAAGAAGATATCAATGGAGGCGTTCTCGGAAGACCCGTTATTTTTGGACGAAGACCCGTTCAAGAAGGTTGATGGGGTGCAGGTTGTTAAGATGTGTGGGAGTGAGGAGGCGACGGCCAGGCCGGTGACGCCTTCACGGCCCAAGTCGCCTTTAATCCCCGAGTCCCCCGAAGCCTATGTATCCGCACGGAACCAGCGCCGAGGACAATGGCTCGAGAAGACCCGTCCTCCCATCGTCACTGATGCGACCGCTCAGCAGGAAGTGATGACCAAGGAAGCTGAGCTTCTTCAAGAGGAGGAAGCTACCCGTCTCAAGAAAGCGGAGGAGGCGCGCCAAAGGGAGGAAGAGGAACGAATGCACAAGGAGGCAGAAGAAAAGCGACTGAAGGAAGAAGCTGAAGAGAAACAACGACTGGAAGAGGAGCTCGCTCGGAAGCCTCCTTCGTTCTACCCTATCGTTTCACATCTCACCGACGCGTCCCTCCTCCCGCATCTCCTCGAGTATCTGACGTTTGGTGATTGGTGTGCGCTGTATGCGGCCAATAAGGAGGTGAGGGCTGTGTTTGAGAGTCGGGTGTTGAGGGAGTATGTGCTTGAGCACTTTTTGGGGACTGTTGGGTATCGGAGGTGGGGCTTTGAGTGGGCGGAGCCGCTTGCGTTGTCTTTGAAGGTAAGACGCCCTTCTGCACATTGTATGATGTGGTGTACTAACGTAAACTAAAGGACCTAAACGATTACATGCGAGGGGTTTCAATGCCCACTTACCAATACGCCCAACTAGCAGAAGCGTATCTTCAGCCCCGTCTCCCAGCGATTCCAGGAGAGCGTCCCAAGGTCCCGGACATTCTGTCTCTTGCCATGACCACTCGTGCGTATACGAGGGTCGTGTTGCGGTTGAGGGCGCAAGCAGAGAGTGAGGCGAGGGCGTTTGCGAGGTCACATGTCAGTCCTGTGTCGTCGAGACCTGGTACGCGTGACGGGCAAGTGGTGCGGCATTCCTCGAGTCGTACGCCATCCCCGACGTCGTTATTTTCCAATGGCAAGACGTCCTCGGTCTCTTCTTCGAGCAAGCGGACCTTCCAATCTCCCTTGGTCCGACTGCACCGTGCGCCGCTCTTGCGGGTATTCGTTCCTTCTCCCGAAGGGGAGTGGTTATCTGATTCGAGCGTGGTGGAGTGTGAGGCCGAGCTGAGGAGGGCTGGTGTGTTGAAGATGTTGAGGGTTGGGGATGTGGTGTGGGATGTTGCTGTGGGTGATGAGGGAAATCTGGGGAGGATGGTTTGGGACGGGAGTTATCTTGTGGTGAGTCCTATTTTTAACTTGCGCGTGATGTGATTGGCTTATCATGTGCTTTAGGACCTGGATTACAAGTACTCGCCAATGGGCGAGCTGGCTCCTTATTTCCACAGTCTCGCGTTCCCTCCGTCGTATTTCCACCGCGTCATTCGGACGGGTGTTAATCCTACTTTGAATCCGGGGGGCAATCCTATTGTTCATCTGGATGTCAGTCCTTGGGGTGATGAGCTCGCTGCGAACTTGCAGTTGATACAGGATAGGGCTACGACAGCGACGTGAGTCCTCTTTCAATCAGTCTATCACAAGCTAACAGCGATTCGAATAGCCCGCACGGAACGCTGCACAGCGTCGTCCACTGGCTGCACCGCTCCTCATTCACGATCCGACCTCCTGTATCGGCGCACCACCCACACGCCTACTCTCACAGCCAAAACCTGCGCCTCCCGATTCCTAACGTTGCAGGCTTTTTCATCGATCCTGGCTGGTACGGGACTGTGGTCGTCGAAGCTGAAGGCACGAACGAGGGTCTTGCAGATTTCCAAACGCGCTGCGGACCTGGTGCATTCCCTCCTCGCGCGGACAATGTTACGTCAAAAATGAGGAGTGAGAAGGAGAAGGGGAGTAGGCGCGTTTACAGAGTGTTGAGGGAGAAGAGGTAAGTTTTTTTTGGTAGCGGCATTGTGAACTCGTACTCATTTGCTTTCGTAGTCGTCCTGGTGAGATCTGGATTCGAGCAGTTCGCGAGAAGGAACGTGTTATGTGATGTGACTTTTGATTTCTCGTTCTCGTTCTGATTATTCTCTTATGCATTTTTTTAATAATGGCTGTGCCGGTTTCTTTCTGAACGTTTTCTTCATGTTCTCGTTCTCGTTTACTTTTACACTTTCTTTTTTTTTCGTCTCGTCGGGCACCTGGTCGGAACTTTTTCATTGCGCACCCATTCAGAACCTTTTTATCTCATGGTGTCCCTCGTACACTTTCTGGATACTGCGGCGAGTTATTTTTTTCATAGACCAAGACTAAGAAATATATCCACGAGCATAGTTATTTCCAGGATTATGTTTTGATCCAGTTCTACATTTTCCAACTAGCTTTTTTTACGCGATCGATAGATCGAAATCGTATACCTTATCATCGTTGTAAAATCAAGACACGTGATGTGACGCGTTCGATGAGTTGACTTTCAAGTTTGTTCCGTTCCTCCGAGTTGCGTTTCACTTGTTCATACAATCTGTTTCATATTCGTCCTTGGAAACCCTCGCGCCGTCAGTGATCAGCGGGTCTGTCATAATTATTGTCCGTACCGGGTTCCATATCCCATCATCAACTTAAAAAGTTGAACTCGAGGATGTTCAACGGCGTGCCGATGTTTCTCGTGATGCTGCTACTCGCCCTCCTCACGCCAGTCTCCGCGTCCTTGTACCCCATCCAGCCAATCCAAAGCACCGTATACTACGCTGGACAAACCGCTCTAACGAGTTGGATAGACGATGGGACGTATCCGCCGCTTAGCAACATGGGGGGTATCACCATACAGCTATACTGCGATTCTGACGTGCGTTTCAAGTTTTTATTGAAGATGGGATTTGACGGATTTGTTTTTTGTTTTGTTTTTGTTTTATTTTTGTGTTGTAGACGTACCTCGCGACGCTCGCTACGAACGTGAGCTCTGGAGCCAAGTCTTACCGGTTGGATATACCCAGGAGTCTCGTGCTGTTGCATGATGTCTCGAATTTGTATGTATGATTGATCCAGGTGTCATGGATGGCGAGAGGACGTGACCCTTATGCTTATGCTTATGCTTATCTCGCCCCCCTTTTTTAGCACTCTGCGTTACCTGACGAATACCCCGTATGAGATGGTCATCTACAGCGCGGACTTTAGGATCGTAGCTCAAGGGGACTCTATTCCGACGCCGACGAATGCAAATGCGAGTGCGGGTGCGAGTTCTGCGGTGGGGTCTACGAGCGGGAATCTGTTCTTTCAAGCGACGCGTACGCTTTCACCTTCGGTTTCGCCTTCATCGTCACTTTCTGGGTCCGAGTCTGGAACTTCAACATCAACACCGAGCACTGTGATGCCGCCCCTCCGTCCAGGCGACGTCGGGAGCATCGATCAACCCTCTAGGAACAGCGCGGCTGGCCGCATCGATATCGAGAAACTCAAGTTCCGCGTGGTGTTTATATTGTGGCCTGCGTTGTTGGGAGTTACGATGGCTCTTTAGTTCTTTTTTTTTGCGTGTGTTTGTGATTTTTGTACTTTCACACTTTTTATTTTTTTCTTATTTCGATTTTGTGTTTTCATGTACTTGGATTAATTGTTGGATGGAAGTGTGAAGGAATGAAGACTATTTTGATCACAACGGCCCGAGGAAATGCGATAAGAACGTACGCCTGCAGCTTGCAGCTAGTGTCCATCATATCATATATCATAGCTTGTATGCATTCAGATGTACGGTATGTCATTATAGGGATGAAGCAGTGACGATCCAAAATATCTACAAAGAAAACAAACAATTTCACACATCATTCAACGACTCGCCCGAACTTGACGAATTGTAGGTTTCACCAAGATTGTTGATACAAAATTCAAACAAAGCGTACGGTGTCGAATCGTCAAAAGCGTTGACAGACTCTTCCAACTGCTCGCCCGAGACCGAATTGACAGTTTCTTCGAGACTGTTGGCATTCTCTTTCATCGGCTCGCCCGAAGGTGGTTTGGGTTCGGCAGCTTCTTCAAGGTTGAAAAACTCATTGAACTGTCGTCCCAAGCTCAATCCGTAGTATCGTCAAGATTGTCATTGGACTCTTACAACGGCTCGCACGAGCCTATGTCAAAGCGTCAGATTTTTCAGGACTGTTGACAAAAGGACTCAGCAGCTCGTTTGAAGTTGCACCTTCGCAAGGCCCTTGAGAACTCTCGTTGGTCTCTTGCTGGTTCCTGGAACGAGAGCCGCCTATATTGGCAGAGCCCCAGCCACTTACACTAGCAAGATCCATATATCAGCTCCAAAGTTACATCTGAAAGCACTATAGTACTCACGCTTCGTCATATTCTGAGGATGGCTTCTTCTTCTTTTGGAACCAGCTGAGGCAAAAGAAGAGAACGAATGGTCGTTTTCCATCGTCCACACCAACATCCCCCTAGAAAATGATGCGGTCAGAACCCACGAACCCAACAAAACTGTAGACAACAAATACATGTGGCTTGTCCAAGAGGAACATCCACCCAACTCACCAGCACTGCAGAACGACATGCTGAGGAGCGCGTGACCACCTGGGTACATCTAATGGAGCATCAATTTAGAATGGAATACAACATACACTTGTTTATAAGTGATCACCATCGGAATACGAGGTGATGAGGCTAATCCAGTAGACTCGGGCATAAGCATTTAGGTGGGGAATAACGTCAGCGAGGATGAGCACACATAAGGATGATAATCTGAGTCATACAAGTTCATGTTGTGACGGGATTTTGCAAATTAGCCGAGTATCGCAGATGGGGTATGATCCCTTTCGCCAAAATGTGTCTTTTCTAACATCACCAAAAGTTGAAGTTATTTCCACATCTTTATGTCAGTTTAAACTTCCAATATTTTCTTCACATTTGGTGCGACATAAAAACATTCCCTAAATATCGATCAGTGTAAGATTCATGTGACCCCGTTGATCAACCATTTGTACTAACTTGCGCGCAGTTCCATCAACCATATTGCAACGATGTGAAAGTAGAATCACGGCTCACTGGCGCTTTAGTAACATATAAAGGCGAACTACCTCACTGGTGAGTCATGTGGTTGAATACAGAATGCAAACCAGTCATACGCAAACGTTAGAAGGGCAGTGCTTGCAAGTTGCACGACGCACGCAAAACCAAGGACATACTCCAACGTGGGCGTCAGCATCGGCATCGGCGTTGATGAGCTCGGCACATATTGATGCTGTCAAAGTAGCAACAGCAGCGAGGGCAACTGGGAAACGCATTGTTTGTGAGGATGTGGTGTCTATGGAATGAAAGCAATCTAAGGAGAAAAACGGGAAACAAATGCCTTGCTTTTATGTGCTGTCAGTGAGATTATTCTTCGTGGCAATTAGAACCGCCGCGGAATCCCATTGAGCAGAGTGTTTCTGTGACGCCAGCATATTGCCACCTGTCTTATTCTGTGAGGGGCAAATTGGTGTGGGACGAATGTGATATCCGAGTCTACTCCCACATAAGCAAGTTGATGAATGCTAATGGGCCTCGCAGGATTTAACGAGGCGTTCGAACACCTAAGTAGTCAAAACGGCTCCTCCTCGTGCCGAGGAGCCGACTGTTATTGCTGATTAACAGTAAGGCGTCGCTCGCAGGTAAGTAGCCGAGCCCTAGACACAATCGAAAAGACGTAGGAATGACCGCTATTATGCGTATTTCAATGGGAGGTATAGGGAGGAAAGAATAAAAATGAAGTGTAGATAAAAAATAGATAAATAAATAAAAATACATAGACGCACGGACTAAAAAATTATACATTGGCATTGGCAAAAGGCGGGTCGTGCACAGGACGACCATGAAACAACAACACTTGCAACATAGTCGATTTTTACGAACGGAGCGCTCCCAGGTATCTGAGTTCCATCGACCAACTGCTCCGATGTTGTCGGGAGATACGCCCACCGCTGCGAGGGAGGTAGCACCACCGGCTCGCATTGAATGACCTGAAAAAGAAGAAGGAAAATATCGGCGAAGACGCCGAATGAACCATGATCGAGTAGGCGGGTTGACGTCGCTCTTGAGTCAGAGAAACGGATGTAGAGGAAAACGGGAGTCGCGGGATGCAAGGAAACGCGTAAAGATAGGAAGTGGGTCGGATCCAACTAGCACCTGTCGAATCACGACTTTGTTTCCTTCATACCCCATGAGCACCACTGCGGCCACCATTCGTTGCGCCATCCTGGCGAGGTATGTCAACGCGCTCCAAGCGCCATCGAGGAGGCATCCTCAGTCTGCCATGGGAACAACAGGAATAGTAGCACAGGAATGCCTTGCACCAATGCACGTCTGGGAGCGAATCGATATCAGATGTGTCGTTTTCCTGTGGTACGGTAGCCTGTTGGTTAGACAGATGTCGGGTATCATCTACTTTTCTGTATTCTGGTAGTTTGGCAGCAGCTAGCCGCTGTAGGGTACAGATCAGCAATGAAGATCAGAGAGGTAAGAAAATATATGTTACAGTGACCTTCCGCCCGGGTGCAACTTCAACGACTGGTATATGACTATGTCTTGGCACAAGGAAAGAAAAGTGCTGTCGTAGAAAATGTATGGCTCCGTTTGAGGGGGGAGGTGGATAATTTATTTCAAACTGAATGCACACTCAGTCGTGCATTGTGAACTTGATAAAATGAAGACCGACATTATTAAACCGAGTTGCGGTCTGCCCAGAGAGAGAAAATGGTAGGGGCAAAGTAGCAGGGACCTGTGGTACGATGGTTGAGTCAACGGTAAAAGAACCGAAATACGCAACATACATCTACTAGGGGATCACGAAGTTGGGGTACTGCATTTGCACGAGAAAAGCTAAGAAATCTGCTGAGACGAAGGAAAGTTGGTTGCTGCGGGTCTATTGTAATCGGAGGTCTCGGTGCCATGCCAGTGGGTATGGCGGATATCGGTGGTCTGCGGTGGCCGGCAGTAGGACGACGAGTTGCATCAGGCTGCAATGATGATGGATGAGTGGTGTAATGAGCAAAAAGGATAAGACGCGCACATTTAGTAAATTACTGAGGGCTGGCTTTTTGTATGCACTAGTCTGTATAAGAGAATGTTGGCATACAAATAATAGATGTTTGTGGGAAATGCATACGCTAACCTGAGCAAGGACGTCGGGTGGAGTGTTGCAAATGCAGATCTTGTGATCATATTTGGTGTATGTCGTGTAAGCTAGCTGGCATGGGTCGGGTGAGAGAACAAGGGTCTTGAGATTTCGAACATTGAACGAAGCGAGGAGCTGGCGGGACTCGAAAGCCCAGAACTTGATGGTATCATCTCTGGCAGCGCTTACAAGGAAAACACCATCAAATGAGAGTGCTAGGTCCTTGACAGTCTTGTTGTGCCCTTCAAAGGGAGTTCCAACAGTCTCGAGCGTCGATGCGTCAACTACTCGTAAATTGTTATGGTATTGTCATTGGTGAAGCTGAATGGGGCCAAGATGCTTTTGTTGCTGTTTGTCCAGAACACTGGCGCATGTGTGTATTCTTCACTCTCTACATCAATTGATTCCCCCTCAAGTTTGACATTCAATTTCTGTGATTGGACATCCCAGATTTCAAGGCACATCCTCACCGACGACTTAACCGCAAGCTTCTTCGAATCTGGGGAGAATCGAACTGCGCCCACCCAATCGACGCTCTGGAATGGACCGGCCACAAGTTTGCCAGTATTCAAGTTCCATATCCACGCTGTTTTATCTCCTGCCCCGCTCGCAAGCAGTGTGTTGTCCATGGAGATATCAATGCAGTCGATGAAATCTGAGTGTCCTTTGAACGTTTTCACAATCCCAGTCGCAACCTCGCAGGCTTTCACCTCGCCACTATTCCAATCTCCACCAGTGACAACCCATCGACCATCCCTTGATACCGCCACCGCATATACACTCCCCTTGTAAACATCCCGGGCTTCCTCGATCTCCTTGCCTGCCTTCAGATCCCATTGCCGAGCGGTATCATCATCAGATCCGCTGGCCATTCGCTGACCGTCTGGAAAGTAGGATATGGATTGAATAAAGTTCCCGTGACCCTTCAAAATTATTGATGGTTTCAGAATTGATTCCGCAGTGGCTACCTTCGTCGATATAGAAGCCATGGCTACGTCTCCGCAAATGAAACCGTTAGATAGTCAAGTACGAACAAGTATTCTTTGGATGCGTTCAACAGTGCAAAGGTGAGGTTTTCAGGTGTCGATGCACTCTACGAGTATCGCTGACAATAATTTGAAGAGCCTGGTAAAGCCATATGTCAGTTCATCCGTATTGGAAGTCCAAATGAGATTTTGGTGTTACCGAGAAGTTCTAGTTGGCAATGAAGACGTTTGTGAGCATTGAATTATTGAATGTACTGAGAACAGCTGTTGGCCTTGGGTGCCACCTTGCTCTAACATGCCCCTTCTGCATGGCAAGCTGTGCACTGCGCTCTAAATCCTTCTATTCATCGCATTTGCTTCTCTTCGCTTCTCGGTTCACATGTCATGGCTCGGCTCTCACCAATTTCCCAGCAGTTCGGTGATCCCCATGAACCAAGTCACTCATGTGCGACTTGGTTCAGTCTGTAAGGCGTCTCAAAATCAGTATAGACCAGCACGAGCCAAGAATGAGGGAACAATGGTTTGAAGCTTCAAGCCACCTCAAGCTAGCTGGTGGGGGTTATGTGGCAGTACGAGATGGTCATCTACATCGCGGACTTTGGGATCGTAGCTCAAGGGGACTCTATTCCGACGCCGACAAATGCAAATGCGAGTGCGAGTTCTGTGGTGGGGTCTACGAACGGGAATCTGTTCTTTCATTGCGTATGTTTGTGATTTTTTTTGTACTGTGACACTTTTATTTTTATTTTCATCTTCTTTTTATTTCGATTTTGTGTTTTCATGTACTTGGATGGGATGGAATTGTCATGCAGTGTGGTGTGAAGGAATGAAGACTATTTTTGATCACATCGGCCCGCGAGATCACATTGCATGCGATGTGGGAGCTACTAGTCCGAGCCAGTCCCAGGCTTTTGGATCTTTTTGTAATGACGATTATGATGCATCAAGCATTGCTTCAGTGAAATCTCACCTTCACTGTTACCATGACCGCACCATCGAGAGACGCCAGCAACTCTACGAACCATCATGGGATGACAATACCAGCTCCTCTGACCTTCTCTGACCCGCTAGAGCATCGGGCGTTCCTGAAATTTCGCTTGGCTCAAGCATATCGTATTTTTGGTGAGCCCTATTGTTTTATCTCGCAAAGAGCGCCTGTCGTCATCATGCAACGCAGGCAAGTACGGCTATGATGAAGGTGTCGCTGGACATATCACTGTCCGGGTAAGGCTTAACATGGCATTGCATTGGCATTTCTAACTTGCTTCTTATCGAAAAGGACCCAATCAGATCAGATTGTTACTGGGTCAATCCTTGGGTGATTTACATTGTCCCCAAGATAAATAGTGCATCATGATATTCACCGGTTACAGGGCGTTCACTTCAAGCTCCTACAGCCAGAGGACCTCCTTCTCGTAGACCACGAAGGGACAATACAAGAAAATGAATCTGGACCTTCTCGGTTCCTCAACCGGGCGGCATACATGATCCATTCAGCGGTTCATGCAGCTCGCCCGGATGTTATCTGTGCTGCGCATTCGCATACTACGTATGCTAAGGCGCTAGGCGTCCTTGGGGTGCCTCTTGATCCTATTACCCAGGACAGCTGTGCATTTTATGAGGTAAATTCAAGTATTCGTTCCAAGTTGAAGAGATACTGATACTTCTAAACCAAATGAAAATGAATCGATAGGATCATGCACTGTATAGCGAATATCGTGGTGTCGTCAGTGACCCCGAGGAAGGTCTGGCTATAGCGAGTGCTCTAGGATCTAAAAAGGTTTGCAGATGCATTAATCTATATGTGTGTTGATGCTCACAAGAATCCCAGGCTGTCATCCTCCAGGTGAATTTAAAAGTTTCGTTCAAACGTTCTCACATGTTTATCGTGCCTCCTCCGTGTAGAACCACGGAATCCTCGTTGCCACCAAGTCGATTGAATCTACAGTTTTCTTTTTCCATTCTTTGGAAAAATGTTGTCACGTTCAAATGATCGCGGATCAGGCCGCTGCTGTTCGGGGACTGAGACCGCGTCTTATTGACCCAGAAAAAGCTGCTGATACCCAAAGACGCCTTGGATCTGAGATGGGGGGCTGGTTTAATGGGATTCCAGAGTTTCAGCTCTTGGAGCATGAGGAAGGGAAGAGATTCGAGTATGTACCTGCACATGAACAGAACGTGTAGCTCGCCTATTTATGAATATGGGGCCTTAAAGCATCCAGTTTGTGCGCGAGTACTTGTAGTCACGCAGTCGAAAACTTTGTTTGATCTCGTAGCAATGAGAATGACGGAATCTGACATCGAGGACCTGTGTGAGATGCTTGGCAATATGATACATATGTATGTAGTACTACATCTAGGAAGGTATCGACATCCAGTAACATGATGGGTAATGATAGCTCTCGAAGCATCTAAAGCAGCTCGAATGAAGTTCAAACATCTGGCAAGACAAACGGATCCCAGAATCCAGCAGTTCCGTTGTTTATAGCTGTATCTGCAGCATCAAGGCCAAGCAATCGCATCACGAGGTTGTAAATCTCGACATTCTGGAACCCTGGCATCATGTATTCTCCTGTGCCATTGCCCACCCCCCGTGCAACCATAGCAGCTTTCGCGCCCTGCGAGAAAGGCCCGTGTGCGACAAAGATGGCACGCATGGACGGTTCTTCGTTGTCATAGCCGTGGTTCTAGGAAGGTGCAATACGTTAGCTCGATGACCTACAACGCGGAAATTAAGCAACATGAGATACGGTAAGGTAAACTCACTCCAGTTGGCAGCCCATTTTCGCCACTCATGTGGTCAGTCAGCGCGTAACCTATGCGCGGGATAATCCACACAGGGGCGATGCGATAATTGTGGGAGAAATAGTATCGTTCGGGCATAGGCTCCACTGTGCATCCAGACATCTTACCGTAGTTGAATGCGTTGAGGTTCACAAGAGAGGTACCAGGGTCGGTAAAGAAGCTCTCCGATGTAAACACATCGAACTGATCCGGGTGGGTAAGTGTGTACTCGCACAGATGCTCAAGGGCCTCGGTCACGTTTGTGCCAGGAGCGAAGCGTAAGCCCATAGATGGCCAACCTTAGCGTGGGGAAGCAAATCGCCACTCAGTACAAAAAATTCTGGCAAGCAGCAGAATATATACTGAAATCACTTACCGTCCACCTTGGTAACACCTTTCCAAGGCTGACCAACAATCTCGTCAATATATACCCAAGTTAGGTGGCTGGCGTCCATCATCCCATGGTCACTGACGAAGATAATATCAACGATATGTGTGAGGTTTCGCTCGCCTAGTGCTTGGGTTAAGTTCCGAGCGAAAAGATCGACAGCTGCTAGACTCGTCTGTAGTAAGTAGCAAGTTTGGAAAACGAAAATAAGCACATCAACTAATGAGATTGGTACAACGCTTACATTGACGGCTTTTGACATTGGCCCTTTTTCGTGCCCAGCATGGTCTAGCGATGGTTCGTATCCTATGAAACAATAAGGTCAGTGCCACAAGGAAGAATCGTGAAATTGAAGAGGACGAAATGGCAAGCAGAAGAAACAACCCCACCCCGCTTAGAGAAAAAGATGTCCGTCCAGAAGCAGAAAAATATGCAAGAACGTACCAAGAATGAGCTGCGGCCGCTCTTCCAGGGGGAGATCAATCCACTCTAAGAGATTAGAGAGTTTCTTCTCGAGAGCGTAGTTATCCTGCGTTCCGGTTATAATCACATCTCATCCTTTTCAAGTCCAAGACCACATTCTTACTTCCCAAGGTAGAAAATATGTAGAGTTCACGCCCGAGGACGTGGACCAAGGTCCAGGCCTGGTCGAGTGAATACAATGCAAAGTATGAGGGAGAGGGAAAAACCGACCACATGAGATTTGCGGTGATAATGCCTGCACGTTCGGCAGTTTCCCACATCTGAGTTGTACGAAGACGCAGAAAACGCAGAGGACAAGGCACCGATGCGTGTGTCAGTCAAATGACAAGACGGACGTGCAAAGTCACAAGAGGTAAAAGGGAACGAATTAAGCAGGTATACAAAAAAATCAGCGGGTACTGACAGGTTCACCGAGCCACCAGCTCGGGTTCTGCGAGGATTCAACACGGTCAAAATGGAACGTGTCTCGAAAAACGGGGTCCCAGAAGTTCTACATGGCTGATGTGAGAATGCCAGACAGTTGAGGAAAGTGATGAAGAACGAACGTTCGCAATGATGCCGTGCGACTCGGCGTAGAGGCCAGTCCTAAATTATGAGTCCACGTCGAGCAATATACAGGTGATATTTACATCAGTGACCAGTGATTTCTGGAACGAATGCCATTCGGATGTATCAATCACTCTAACAAATTATGACTCACGGGAACGTCAGAGTCTGCAGGGAGGAAAATGTTTAGTGCTAGGGCAAAGAACCAAAAGCTAATACGTACGGGAAAAACAGGCTTCATGTACTTTGCCCTCACGCCTTCCCGGCTAATATCCAGCAAATGCGGCGTGAGTCCACGATCCAAATAATCCGCACGAAAACCATCGATCGAAACCATAAGCACTGTCTTCTTGAACTCGTGCGTTCCATTCGAATGCAATAAGTCCTTCCCAGTTTTTGTGTCGTATCGAGTATGGGGATAGAGTTCAAATAGGGTTGTAGTGAGAATAAACGAGAGGAGAATACTGAATCCAATAAAACGCTTGCGTTTGTGTGAGGGGGCAGAGTAAGTGGGTTGCTCCTTGATATCAGGTCGGACAGCGTCTATTCCGTTAACATTCAAGAGTAGACCGCGTCGCTTATCGAGCGCTGTGGCTAATTCAGATGTATCGCCATTGTGTGTGCTTCTCATCGCGCAAGACGACCTAGAGAAAGTTGAAAGGGAACTGAAATAGGCTATCCGAACTGATAGACTAACTGTCAGTCACGAACAGTGGCAGTGCCGCATTAAGTAAATGAATTTGTGTGGCTGTGCTCATTTACTACCTCAGCCATGTTTGCCATGATAGTCTCCTCACCAGCTGCCTTGTCTTGCGTGTCTGTCCCGGGTAGCGGGTTTCTGGGCTGGACGGACAGGAAAGTGCCAGTCTTTTATCACGGCACAGCTCGTGTTTCTGCTCTTCTATCCTCTTTCTGCGGGCACTATTCCACGTTATGTGGCCTTCAAAATGGATGGTAAGCGCCGCTCTGTACGTTTCACTGGTCGCCGTACAGCCGAGGGTCGTCCAGATAGGTTCTGTGCACCCAAGCGGGTCCATTCATCGACCCTGCTTCAGTTGTGGAAATCCCCTGGCGTGTGCTACGGATATGAGAGATATGGGTGCGTCACGGTCTACGCCTTTGTGATCGAAAACTTCACTACTACCTGAGGATGTCGGCACGCTCATGAAAGTAGCACTAGAAGAGAGTTGGAAAGAGGCTCGTGGCAATTGTACAGAATGGGTGAGATTGTATTTTAAATACGTCGCGGTTAAAGTGCTTGCTCGCCTGACGTCACTACCTGCAATTACTCTTTAGTGCGCTCTTAAGCCAGTCTGGCGCACGCCTCGACGTACTTAGCCATCGAGAGCTGCTACTTATGCATGTTAAAGTTGTGATTGATAAAGCGGAAGGAATGATGCGTCAGAATAACAGCTATGTCCCCTCTACCCTCGCCTTCTATCCTGAACACACTCCTAGAGTAATTTTATCAAATGTTTGTACACCATACGCCTCGCGGCATGATATGACATTAGCTGTATAACCTGTCGTGCAGCAGGCCCTTCATAAGAAGAACTTTGATCATTCGTGAACACAGATATTTGCTTGGCCGTTGTCTTGTCAATAGTGTGGCTTCTCCGTCACGTGTTCATGCTAATCAACGTAGCGGCAGATTGATCACAGAGCAAACTATCGGGAAAAACCCCATCGCTTCGCTTGGAGGCAACCCGCCGCTTGATATTTTCATTCATACGAGTGACATAAAACGATCGAGCGGTTTTTTGCAGTGCCAGATGTGTCTCTGTTTCCTCCCTGTCTTTCATCTTCCTCTTACCAATCTCTGGTCTTTTTTGTCGTCCATCTCCTGTTTTAAACAAGTGATTGGCGAAAATAGCAGTCATTTACTCATCCGAAGCGTCGTCTTCAACCAAACTCATTCGTACCTTTCACATGATAGATACCTATTGGCCTGACTTCATATCGTTTCATCAATGTTTAATGATGTCATTTCTACTCCCAAATGTTCAGCTCATATTGTGAGATGGTGTTATCGATACTCACCTCAATACACACTGTCTTACTGACCGTAGCACTCACTTTTCAAAAGGACCAGATGACGGAGCGTCTAGATTTACAGAGGAATTTATTTTCAGTGATTGATACACGTCATGCGCGTTCCTCGTCTCCCTGTGATGATGCTATTCAACCACACCATCAGAAACCCCTTCCCCTTCCTCGTTCTCTTCCCCGACCACGCCCACGGTCCATCCCTCGAGCTCGTCCCCCCTTTCCCCTTTCGCGCCCGTCGTCCTTCTTCCTAGCTTTCGGCTTAGGTGCGTCATCCACTAAGAGGGTATCTAGAGGAAGTGCATCAGGAAGCACGAAATACCGGACGTTGTTGCCACGAATAGATAGGGTGTCGAGGGATGTCGGCTCTCGATTGCGGGCTGTCATCTTGACAGTTTTGAGGTAGGTATTCATCTGCATGTCGACACCTGCGAATAATTTGAGGGTTGTACGAGTTGAGTAAACAAGCTGATTAGACGAACCGGTGATTGTTCCATGGACAAGTGAGCCATTCTTGAGTTCGATAGTCACAGTCTCATTATTGAGTTTCATCAAAAATCTAATGAAATTAAGAATAATAACTTGGGTCAGCGCCCGACCGTTGCAATTCGAAATAGAGAAAACTTTTGGGGTTAGTCCAATATCTGAGAATATCATAGAAACAAGCGTGATATTCACCTTACAAGCTTCATGGTGAATATTTACCCAACAATGTGGTTGCATAAAATGTGGAGATCACGCAAAAAGCCGAGTTGAAGCAAACTTATTATGATGGTCTACATATGTCAACACAACCTTTAGACTTAGATAACGACTGGTCTGTAACTTCCTGTAACCATCTGAGATCTCTTTCACATTCTGTAGCTATAGGAGCCAGAAACGTCATCTTTTTCATTTTCGACCTAATGCATGTCTCTATCCTGGACAAAACGGAAAACGTTGTTGGGTTCGTTACTCAATAGCTCGGATGATGATGAAGAAGGCCTTGCCTTGGACCGCATTTTGCATGGTCAGCAGATCATAGGAAAGACTGGTAAGAACAAGGTCCATTTTGATGGTCTTTTACTCACAACCTCCGCTTCGGAAATAGCGAGAACTGCAGAGATAGAATCTCTCCGTTTCTCAGACGGAGATCTTGTCGTCCTGGGCACACTGGACCAAGGCCAATTCGGAATGGTAAGTGAGTAAAGAGTGTATGCTGCATATACACTGATTTGTCTATTCAGATTGACGTGGTGACGTGCCAGCTAAATAGTCGCGTATATGTTCGCAAATCTATCGAGAAACATTTTGCCCAGCGGGCTCGTGAAGTAACACTTGCTTTGCTATCAGCAGCTTTTCATACTGAGAAATTCTACAGCAATGCTCTCCGCAGTTGGAACGGGATATTCTTCTGTGCGCGACACGTGAGCGCTCTGCGTGGGCTCCACATTTATTTTGTGCATTCCAAACTTCCACTCATCTCAACATTGTCATGGATTATGCCGAAGGAGGCACGTTATGGGACGTACTTGAGTCGAGCCCTGAAGGTAGAGTTCCTGAGGCAGACTTACTCTGGTGGGCTCCTCAGGCAGTCTGCGCCATCAACTGGTGTCATTCCCAGGGATTTGTACATCGGTGAGAGCCCATTCTCTAACATTGCATATTCATGTAAACGCAATGCAGTGATATAAAGCCCCACAACTTCGTTCTTACAGCAAGTAATCGCATGCTTCTAATAGATTTCGGGTCTGCTGCGCCCCTTTCACCTCCGGAGCCTGACGGGAGTCAATCAGTCCCGAAACAATATACCCTTGTTCCTTGTGGTACTTGTGATTACATTTCTCCTGAAGTTCTGCAAGCACACGAAGATGCCCTCCTGGCGCTGGAGTTGTCGGACGACAATGTTAATCCTCCTTCAATATCCAAAGAAGCTGGTTCGTATGGCCTGGAGGTCGATTGGTGGAGCTTCGGAGCAATGTTGTATGAATTGGCTTATGGAGTGGCCCCTTTCTTCGCTAAAGACATCCGAACTACTTATCTGAGAATTTTGGACTACCAGGTACTGCAGCGTTACTAAGCTCTAGTATCTCCACTGACCCTTATTGGGACAGACAAGTTTGCGCTTCAATGCGGCAATTCCCGTTTCTGAACAGCTACAAGGGTTACTTCGCAGGTCCGTTGTGCAAGTATACATGCTACTATCACTCAAACTACGTGGTACAGACTTCTCACTGATCGGCATCACCGTCTCGGGAGATGTAGCGTGCTGGAAATCACAGAGCACAAGTTTTTCGGAAATACCAACTGGTCTTGTATACATTCGCGTGAGTCTTGGATATCAACGATTCTCCTTATATTCATTCTTTCTTGTGTAGGCCTTGCACCGCCTGACATCCATGTGCCGCAATTCACGTATTCTGCATCAGCAGTGCCCGTCTCGTTCATAGAGCCCCCGGATCCCATGGATGAAGAAAATTCACAACCATTTGCCTTTTCTGCTTTATTCCATTCTTCCCCGAATACTTCGCTTGGAATATCGGTTTTGCGGGACAGCCCTCATCACATATCTCCACGAGCCGAGTCGGCCTTCATCGGATTTTCGTGGGGTCCTACTGATGACGCATCCCTTCTGCCAACTAATTCATCTCGAAATTACGAAGTAGACAGATTGGCCACTCCTCAGCCCGTACAGGCTACTTCCAGGAAATATAGTCGTTATCCATTGCTCCAAGCTTCTAGCGCCACTACGCATTTTTCTGCTTTTGCAACACCTATTCGTCCCCATGCTTCATCAGCATTTCACACCCTTCCCCGTACGGGCACTATCCGGCGTACAGCTCAGCGGCGCACTGTTTCAGATCGTGAAGCCATGAAGCAACTTGTGGAATGCATCGGAATGAGCGCCAGGAAGAAAGTTCTCGCCAGCGGTCGCAAGCCGCGCTTAATACAGTCCTCTAACCGAAGCTTCTCAAACACTGTCAGGAAAGAGCTGCGGTTTCGTCTCCAGCCGATTTTCACCGACAAAACTTATGACTCCGATGACTTTCCGGCCGTGGTGCCAGTGGTTGCTTCAGCATCCGATGGAACTGAGGAGGCCGAGTCGGATGGACCACCAAGTCCCAGCCCCAGTCCGCGCCCCGGTTCTGCAATGTCTATACTCAGCCGAAGAAGCGCCACACCCACGATATCTGGATCCTATTCTGCTCGTTTTTTAAACCTCCCCTCTGTCACATTTGCGGCAAGCAGTGATATGCAAAGCGATGAGAACGTCTTTGAATCGCTGGCAAATAGGCACGCCACTATGATGTCTGATTTGACAACAATTGAAGAGCGCTTGAGCCGTGTCTCTGTTCTATTATCGGTTGAGGCGTCTAAGTCCTCCGTTGATGTCGCTTAAAAGTGGTATGTTTGCAAGGCGGTTTACTTTATACAAGCTGACTGTTTCATCTACTTTTTATCGGTTGCTAGGACATCACACCGAAGTGATCCGTATCACCGGCTCATCAATGGGAGTTGATGCATGTTGTCGTATATGGAATCCCAAGTTGACGACAGCTGGCATAATTTCAAATTCGAGCAACTGTGCGACCGTATACTACAATATTACTTTGTGTACGTTGTACAAGGACCACATCCACGTCCACGTGTTCTGATGTGATTCGGCTGGCGGCATCCCATGCACCATAGTTTCTTTGGCAATAAGCATGGAAGCTGCCTCTCGCACATCATCTAACGCGGGCAATTTCCCCAGAGTGGCCTTGAACCGTCCACTACGAGGTTACGAGACTCGGTGAAGATCTGTATTGGTATGCATGGTTCCTCAATCCCATTCCCTCTTTGCCTCTCGGACCGCCCACCCGTACCACTTCGTATTGCCATCCCGTAGGAACAATACTCCGAACTGACAGTTATATCATAGGTCCCCGAGAACGCCCACCCTATCGAAGGAAATTGTTCTTCCTGTCCTATTCAGGATGCTCAGCCGAGCTCTTCCTCGACTCCTTTCGTGCTTTCGCACAGTGTCTCTGATAAACCTCAAAGATCTAATTTTGGTTCTTCTTCTTCTGGTCAACAATATTAATATATATTAAGGATATATGAGTGCTACAATCTCCCAAATCATGAGCGCCCTTGATGTTGGACGAGCCATCTCAAAATTCCTGTTTACGCTCCATCTCTTCACGCGGAATGACATTCCGACGACGATCATTCCAACGGTAAACACTAGCGTTTCCCAGTAACTTTCTGTTCTGAGATCATAAACGCAGACACTTTTCGCACTGGTGGCAGCCCCCCTGTGCAGCCCCTATCGATGTGTTCATGTGGTCTGGTGGATTTGGCTTCACCTCCTTCATTTCAATGTTGCCAATCAAGTGATTGATCCAACAGAAGATCGCAGGAACAAAGCCAGCCGACCAATACCAGCGGGATACATCAGTTTACGAGACGCAGTCTATCTGCGCTGGTTCCTGGTTCCCATATGCTTGGTATCGTCAGCATTCTACAGCATCCAAGTGTTTAGCGCAAGCATAGCGATAACTCTACTCACTCTTTGGTACAACGAATTCAAAGCCCATAGTCATTGGTTTTCAAAAAACTTGATGACTGGCGTTGGATATGCTTGCTTCCAAGCTGGGGCCACCCTCATTGCAGGTATGTAGCTGACATCAAATAAGACAACACCTACTGACTATCGCAACCAGGAAAAGATATATCGCAGCTAGAGCCTAATGCTGTATTAGCTGTGCTGCTTAGCATTGCCATGTTCGCCACCACACTCCAAGCACAAGATTTCAAAGACCAGGAAGGAGACCGCTCCGTAGGGAGACGAACATTGCCAATCGCACATCCTTCTCCAGCTCGTATGTCCATGTTTATAGGACTTCCGATGTGGTCGATCTGTCTTGCTTATGTCTGGGGGATGGACGCATTCTGCAGCGTCGCATTCGTATTGTATTCGGGGCTTGTTGGATTGCGATTCATGGTCTGTAAGACAACTCAGGCAGACCGTCTGTCGTGTCAGCTATATAGTGTGCGTCATACTCCCATTTGTGTAACTTCGGCCTGACAAATACCTTCTGAAGCTTTGGTTTTCTGTCGCACATTTACTTCCTGGTTACTGGCGTTTCTTCCATGAAACACGCATGCATATATCATGGTGTTTATCGAGCTAGAGGCTTCATCTGGGGGCTTTTCACTCAGGACTTATGGACGTCGCAATTTGTTACAAAAATCAAACAGTGTTACTTTTGTTGCACATATGTACTTCTCCCTCATACATAATTATTGGCTCGGGTGGCAGTCTAGACCTTCTTCATAGCGAAATCGCTGACAAATGCGTAGGCCAATATCCCTCAGCGAGCCACCATAATTTGTACGTGCTGGTAAGTTTACGATACGTGTATTCATCGTGTATCTAATGAACTTGAACAAACGATCTGCAAACTCTGCGAGAGGGGCCCCACACCTAAAGATAAATTTCATATTCGCTGCAACATTAACTACTATCTATGTCCGTTCTCTTGAACAAATGTGGATTTCATCACACTTGTCACCTAGGCCCGATGCTTCTGGAGCACACGTGTTAGGTCGGTCGAGAGATTCTAGATGGTTGCTTACGGTCTGCTATGGCATCCGTCACGGATAAATCAGTAATATTGACCTTTTCCGCCGCGGATGTGGCTTTGCAGTTGACTTTGGGCAATAATGGGACAAGACCAGTTCGCAGTATCTCTGGGCCCCTTGTACCCAAGTATCTGCAGTTTCGGGTAAGTAATCGTCTATCCAATTGGAAATTCTCGAGACCTTTGAGTTTCGTAACTCCAAGAATGGTTTGCTCGAGCCCATGTTGCCATGCCATCAAGATACTGCTTAACTAGAACGTCTGTGGAAGGTCCCCATGAAGGTACCTTCGCAAGACCGTCGATGAACCTTTTCTCGACTTCAGCATGATAGCGCGCTGCCCAGACCATCGCACCGCTTCTGTCGAGGCCGAGTTCCGCCATAACAATAGTGATCAAGTTATGATTATCGTCCCCTGTAGCTTGCTCCTTATTGTACGAGATCATGTCCTGTGAATGCTGTTAGCAGTCGCAGATCATATTGTCAATGCGAAGTTACATTATCAATCGACATCAACTCTGCAATGAATTCAACCAATTCGACAATGACGGGATGATTAAACACCTCATCGGGAAGATCCATTTCTACTTCATATATTGCAATGGCAGGTTTTGTAGCACATGTATCCCGCCGGAGCTTGATGTAATCGCTGATAGTACGACAATGAGCCTCGTCGCGGTCGAGAGCCTCGACAACTACTGCACGAAGGTATGCGATAAAGCTGGCAAGGAAGTGACGTTGAAAAGGTAGGCTTGCGGTCTGAATCGCACTAGTCCAAAATCTATGCAAAATTTCTTGGGCATCAGAATGCGTGATTAGACAATTTGAAGATACTTGCTGTCGTATAATTTCACCGAGGATGCACTCGCCTTCTGGTCGTGTCTTATGAGGATTGTGTAGGGCATCGATGACGATGCCCACCATTGCCTCGGCAACTGCTGCATTTTCAACGTCGGTGTACTCATCCACAATGATGAGGACATTGATAAACTCGCAGGCGATACGAAGGTGTTCTATGTGGCCAGAATAAAATTAGAGGTGTACGGTTCACAAGAACTCAGGCTAGGGTCGAAGACGAACCTCTTGATGCATTGGGATAAGCCAATCCTGCTAAACGGGCTACAAAGACAGCAATTGCCCACTATCAATCACTAAATATTTATGGGCAAGTAAAAACAGAGGCCGAACCAGAATCATATCTGTCGAATGCTTCCTGTGACTTGGCACTCAGAGCCTTGAATTTACGGAACGGAGCATCGACTTCAGCTTTCACATCTTCATAATGAGGATTCATCACATGAGGCCAGGGCCAGTTTGTCATGGTGTTTGGAAGGCAGATTACCCTTGGACGAGGATCCATGATCATGATACTCTAGAGAGGCTTGAGTTGACGACGAGTGGAAACAGAAGAAAGGTTGATGCTAAAGTGACTTGAGTCGGGCCATGACTTCTGAATCTTCGGAAGCCCTTATACTTCCTACTTGAAATGACCGGTTAAAAAGTGGTCTGATGTGAATTAATTGTACTCGCCCGACTAATTATAAGCCCATCGGTTTTCGATGCTTCGTCTCATGTAGAGATATCGACACGGAAGATGCCGAGGCATGTGTCAGAACTTCTTTATTTATTTATTATTTATTTTGGAAAAGCGAGTTTATTATGTAGTAACCGACACCGTCTGGCCCTACATAAACACTTATAGCGACATCCTTGATGTCGTCTGAGGGAAAATGCTACTTATGCACACTCTGAATTCTTAGAGTAGTGTGGGGCTCCGTATACTACCTGGTGTCCCACTTGATTATGTAGGGTGGATATATCAGACTGGCTTATAAGCCTAAAAATGCGATACATCCAGTGTCTAGCTTACCCATTGCCCAAGATGATATATTGGTCCATCCAGCCATTATATTGTCTATGTTCTGGACCATGAAGGTTCAAGGCGCAATTGGTTTAATAAATATTTTATTTTATTCAAACCTGCGGGAGATAACAAATATTGATCAACAGAATGCGCAAGAAACTAATAGGTTTTTTGGGAAAGAAGCCCCATTTGGGCTTGTTCGACTGAAACATGACTTTAGACCCTAGAGAAGGAAGACAGGGCAAGCATGAGCAAAGTTTCCCAAAATTTTAAGGAGCCCAACAACGCAGCTAGCGAATGCTTGTCCCCAAAAAGGAAGGAGTGATGCGACAACTTACAAGGATGATCAACGCACTGCAGGAAGTGCATAACAAGTAAAAGGCTCAAGAACAGGTGATTCTTGAAGGTATGGTGCCATAATAATGGTGTGTTGACGAAGATATCCCACAAAAACATCGCCTTTCCATTGCCCAATGGACTTTACAGTCTCGAAAGGCACCCCACACAGTAGATACTCTAATGTACCCCCAATACGCAATCCGTGCCCAGTCAAGGACTCCATCCCGAGTTGCATTGCTGCATGATCCAGACGATTCAAAAAGGCAGAGCAAGTCAAAGGGCGAAGGCCTTTTGGTGGCGCCAACTAAACAATGCAGCAGAAGGAGAGGGGGTATTGACGAACAAGTGATTGGATAGTGCATGGTGAGGGTCGACATCTCCAGATTGAGGCGCAAAGTAAATGTCTTCGCCCGTAGTTGACATTTTGGTTCGTGGTAGGTGGAGCACTGTGACCTTCAGCCCATGACAATCCTTGTCAAAACAGATGTTGGAAGGCTTCACATGAAGCACAGCATTGAAGGAAGTCAGAGAACATGAGGTAAATTCTCCAAGACGAGCGAGACAAAAGAACAATGTGACAAGACATCCATATACTGCAGGATCAAGGGGAGCAGATAAATCCATCGTGGAACGAATGGCGAGAAGAGTTGCAACCATGAATGGATGACATTTAGGACATGTGGATTTCACAGGAGAAAAACGAGCACCTCCTTCCAATGCTGAGGCCACTTGAGCAGGATCTGCTAACCAAATGAGACTGTGGAGCAGGTGCCAAGCACGCACCCCATAATAATAGTTATTGAGAGTCTTCCCAGAATACATGCCTGCGCAGCTGGCAATGAAGGCTAAAATCAGAAGGGAAGAGGCAGGACTGCACTGCTCTTCGGGAATCCCTTGTGCGTCACAGAAAACATGAAAAACCAGTAATCCCGAACCATATGTTTTCTTAGTCCCACTAGCCAATGAGTGACCAATGATGGTTAAGATACGGTTTAAGTCACCTTCTGACAGGGGAATATGCGCTCCAGAGTGGTCATATGGCACATGGCCCTGCAATGGCCGCCATAGTTGCAGTCGGTCTTTCGCAAGGCAATGAGGTCGCAGAGATGATGGCAAGGGTATGAGCGAAGGATGGTATGGGCAAGGAGAAGTGTGAGCCACCGAAGTCAGCAAAACAGGTCCTGCAGAGTGAAAGCACGAGACATCACTCATTCCAGCTGTCTCAGAAATGCCACAACTCCTCTCCATAGTTCTGGTGGGTTGACCGGTCATGTACTGCATGAGGACAGTAGTTGCGGGAGACGTCGTGGGAGACATGACCATCGATGACGTGGGAGGAATCAGTGGAGACGTCAAGGAGGAAGGAGGAGAGTTCATGAGGAAGAACAATGGGGGGAAGGAGTAGAGCTGAGGAGGGGAACTGCCCATGAGAGGGACCATCTGCAGGATTGCTTGTGCTGGTGACATAAGAGATGTGGAAGGATGTCCCAGACCCAAGCGGCTCAAGCAATGAGAGGACTTGACAAAACATGCTGTTGGTTGCCCAATTTCGGCTCTGCCCATTCTTCCATCCATTGACGACTCTTTGGTTGTCACAGTAAACACAGAAATGTCGACTGGAGGAGGGGATGCCAAAACGGAGGATGCAGTGGACAAGCAACTTGAATCCAACAGCCTCAGCCCACCCAATATCTTTTGGTCCATCGAGGGTTTGCCATCCTGGCAATAGCGACCATGCACGCCAAAACCCATTGATAACAACTGCGAGTCTGACACCTGAGCTGGCATCCGAATAGGCATGGGCATGATGATGTGGAATGGATGGGGAATGAGGCGATGAAGGGATGGATTAGAGAGTTAGGCAGTCCACCAGGTGAGGTCATTGTGGAGGTGTTTGACGGATCAATATGGCATGAAAGGATGCGAACTGGAGATGCTAAGCATGGCCTCCAATGACATGAGGTAGGCTCAACCAGTGGGAATAATGAGGCAGGCATGCAATAACTTGCCATAGAGTTGTTGGACCTCCAGAAGGATGTGAGTGGGATGTGCGCACCATGCGTCAATGGCTGCAAGGTACTTGAGCCTTTTTGCGTCAGCAAGTGCCACAGTGAGACATGCGAGGCTCCACAGGACCCTGATAAACAAAACTTTGCAACCAAATGGAGTATCTTTTGTCAGCTCCCAAGGAATGCCAAGCTCGGATGAGGCCTGGTCAATATCACTAATGGTACAAGAAAATTCCCCATCCTCACCCCATCTTGTCAAAGCGCGAGAGAAATCCACAATGGGAAACCTGCAGTCTTCCACAAAGACCTCAAAGGACCCATCCTCAAAAGTGTCTCCTTTGAACCATAATTGACCACCTGTTTGATGGACCTTGCGAGTAGACAAAGTATCAGATAAAGAATGACGATAATGGTTGTAACTAGGGAGATAGTGAGACTTGATGTGAAAGAATAAATGGTCGTCCACCCATTTGATGAGTGGTTCCAAACCCGCCGCTTGCAAAAGATCTGCACCAGCATCAGCAACATAACCATATGCCCCTGCTGACGGTCCCATCCCAAAAGATGTACAAGTGTCCACACAGTATGAATCTTCATCAACACGCACCACTGCAGCAGGCCATTGCGACGGCAGCAAAGGAATTGTTTGATAGGCTTCAGCCACATCTCGAGTCGCAGCTTGCGAACCTGGAGGTAAGTGACAAATGATCGAGCAAACAGTGTCGAACGTCCCCCAAGTACACAAAAAGTCATCAGAGTCCACCACAGAATTAATAGAAGGCTCAGGACAGCACAGAGAAGGTGAGTATGGGAATGAAAAATTTTGAATGACCCGAAATTTACTGGGTTTGCCTGGTTTGGGTATGATGGAGACTGGGGACGTCTGAAAAACTCCCAAAAGCGAAGACAAATGAGAACTGGTGAAAGGACCAATGTAATGACCAGTTAAGGGTTGCCTCGGGTGTGGAAAAACCCATGGTGTTAGGGTTAGGGGTTGCACGGGTTAGGGTAACATACCATATTTGGTACACTGAGGCCAAACTGTGTACCTGAACTGCGGTATCATGGGTAGTAGCGGGTTTTCTTGTTGTGTTGCACCCACCTGGTTCACCCAACTTAAAGCTTGAATATCACTCCGATTCAGTTGTTGAAGGCTTGACTTGGCAGCATTTTGATAACACTCCCAGGCTGCTAATTGTTGCTTCCCACAACTTGGACACACACCACTAGCATGGTCGGATTACTGGCACACTACCGCTCAAATCGGACCAACAGTGAAGAGTCAAAGGGTCAATATATTGAGAACTGGCTTCAGAATACTATAAAATGGACACTGGTACACCAGGTAAGTCATTGGAACTTCCTCTCAGTATGGCAAAGCCAACTGATACATCCTCCACAAAGTCTTCAACTATCTCCTGAAAGACAGCACCTATCAAGAACCTTGCACAGAAGAGTGTCCAGGCCGTTTCATGACCACTTAAAAAACTCAAGAAATCTATCTCTACAACGTCTTCTCAAGTTTCTACCAGATCTTGCTCATCAACAACAACGCTCCCACATGGTGATGAGAATGGTGACGATAACGATGAAGAAAGTCAGGCGGTTGATTATAGCGAGCCCGAGAGCACTGAGCTGAGTCCTGAACAAGAACTTGGTATGTTTATGTATCATTCCTTTCACTTCAATGCTAATACCTACTAGAACAACTTAAAAAAACCTGGCATTCACCGATCTATGCGTTCTTCAAACCTACTGTCATCTTTCAGTACCACAATATGCCACCATGTCACTTTTTCACCTGTGCTGCTCTCACATGCAAATTGCGTGCTGGTGGTGTTCGCCGATTTCAGGATTCAAAGGACAAGTCTTCAACAGCTAATCTGAAGCATCACACCATTCGTTGCTTTGGTGAAGACACTGTCAATGCTGCCATCAGTGGTAAGGCAGCCTCTGAATGCAATGGCTCGGTTTTTGCCCTCTTTGCACGAAATGGCAAACAGCCAGTCAAGTATTCGCATTGTGTTCACACTAACCCAGAATTACGGTATGTTCTTCTTTTCAGCGTACTTTCACATTGGAATACTTACCATAACAGATAGCACCCATCTTGTGTGATGGATCACCAAAAACAACCGACCTGTCAACATCATCAATGACTGGGAATTGCGCAATCTTTTGACAGCTGGCTGACCAAACATTACCCTTCCTTCCAACCAAACCATCTCTCATGACATCAACACATCTTTTGAAAAGTGCCGGGTGCGCATTGCAAAGTTGCTTCAGGTGTGTCATGCGTCTGCTATGTAGTCTTCAGCAATTTGACTAACCTCACAATTACAGGAGCACCCTGGTCGCGTTCATTTTGGAACAGATGCCTGGACAGCTACCAATCATCGCGCATTTGTGGCATGGACTGCTCATATTGAGTATGAAGGTATCATGCTTGCATTTCTACTTGATATAGTTGAGGTTCCTGAAGTGAGTCAATGATATCTAATCATTCTCTCAACTCACCCTTGTTTTTCAGTCTCACACAGGTGCTACATTGGCACATGTATTTCAAAGATGCTTGAAGATTTTGGACTAACTCAGAAGATTCTCGCCTTCAATGGTGACAATTCCACATCCAATGACACACAGACAACAAAACTCGACCAATTGCCCAACTCATTTGCCAAAGAAAATCGTGCCCGCTGCTTCAATCACACACTCCAACTTTCCGCCAAGACTCTCCTACGACCATTCAATACAGCACTCTCTGGCAAGGACAGCAACAACAACACACTGGAAAACCTTGAAGGTGAAGTTGATGAAGATGCAATGCTTGAATATGACGAAGGCCAGGGTGAAGAAGATGAGCAGGGTGAAGATGAGAGTGACGACGAGGATGACAAAATTGATGAGCTGCAGGAGCTGGGTGAGGTTGAGCAGGCCAGACTGCTGGAAGACACTGCCGCTGTCCGTGACACAGTCACCAAGGTAACATATGTTTTCTTTGCCAACTCTGTCATACACTAACTATTCAATACAGATACAAAAACTCTCATTCGCGATCATTCATTCAACTACAATAGCTCTCCCAGCATGGTGGAAGGTTTGCCGTGAGCTCGACCTCAAGGAATGACTTATCCCACATGATGTTGTCACATGCTGGAACTCGACATACAACATGATGAAGTTTGTGCTTGCTTATAAGAATGCAATTGACAGGATTATGGCTGACAAGTCATTGAAATTGCGCAAGTACGAGCTTGACAACAAGGACTGGGGCATCATCAAAGATCTTGTTGCTGTTCTTGAGGTGCGCGTGCTTGTTTGTTTTGGATTACGTTTAGCTACTGATTCTTCTTTGCGTATAGACATACAAAAAAGCAACTCTTTTCTTCTCTCAAGATTCAGTGAGCATTGCTGCTGTGATACCTGCAATGGACAAGCTCGACTGCCATCTCAACCCTCATACCACGAACCCATACCATCTAGCCATCAAGGCCGCTATGAAGCTCGCATGCAAGAAGATTAACTGCTACTATTCAATGACCAATCTTTCTTCCTTATACCAAATTGCAATGGGTAAGCATCCAATCTATTTTTATTATCACAGACAACTCACCTTTACTTAGTTCTACATCCTGGTCTCAAGCTCGAATACTTTCAGCAGCAAGAATGGAACGATGAATGGATTAGCCACGCAAAGGAGATTGCGAGTGAAGTATATGTCAAACAATATGAGGGAAAATCAAATCCTGTGCAAGTGCTCAATTCCAGCACAACAAATGACTTAGTAAGTTTCCTACTGCAATATATTATATGTTTTTGATACTTATTATCCAGATCGATGATGATGACTTCACATCCTTTGCAAATATTTCAGTGACTGCTGTTATTGGATCTTGGACTAGCGAGCTTGACGAGTACCTCCACAAACCAGTCGAGAATGTCAAGGAGCCTCTTAAGTGGTGGGTTTCTAACCATCACATCTATCCAAATCTCTTTCGAATGGCGTTGGACTATCTGAGTATTCCATGTACTGTTTTTTCAACTTTGCATTATAAATTTGCAACTAATTTATTTAAAAACATAGCTACGTCTACTGCAGTCAAACGGGTCTTCTCACAGGGTTGCCACTTGCTGTCTTTCACTCACAACCGCCTTCAGGGTTCATCTATTCAAGCATTTCTCTGTCTTGGCTCCTGGGCTCATCATGATCTCATCTTATTTGAAGACCTTGTAGCTGCCATGAAAACTAATTCTAAGAGGAAACAAGAGTCATCGGATGTCGAGTTGATTGAATAAGCATATTTCTAGCATTTAGTTATCCTTTGTAACCATGGGTTTCAATGACACTGCGGGTTTCATGTGACACTGCTGTTTTGATGGTTTGATTTATACCCCTATTAACCGTGGGTTTCATGTGACACCATTGTTTTGACGGTTCAGTTTATACCCCTACCCCTGATGGGTGGGGTGTGCAAGGGTATGGGTAGGGTGTGTGAAAATAAAACCCTAGGGTTACCCATAGAAAACCTTAAATGCTGTGCGCCAGCAGCTCAACCTCATGAAAGCAAGAGCCAACTGTATTCAGAAACCAGATGAGCTGTTTGTCTGTGCAGCCAATGACAAGTTGAAAAATACATGAGATGTTATGGACAAGGCAATGCAGGAATACTTGCTTGAATTAGATGTGTCTGCACTTACCTCAGCCAGCTCTCTCCCAGGCTTCATCCCATTGTATGTTGGCATGCCTGTGATTCTTTGTTCACGCAACCTCTCGACAGATCTTGGTATCGTGAATGGTTCCCAAGGAACAGTCTATAAGCTATATACAATGGTGTGTCCAAGTGGCTTCACATGTTGTACTTGTGCTCTTGTCTATTTTCCTGTCAGTTGAGTGCATGTTCCTGGTCTGCCAAAGGGCGTGTATCCTATCACTCCCATGGCATGGTCGTTCATCACACTGATGCCGGGATCTGCAGATGTGAGCTTGAAGGTTCACATCTCTCGAGAGCAACTCCCCATTCAACCCGTGTTTGCAGTCACTGGACATTCAGCACAAGGCAAAACACTGCTGAAGGTAATTGTAAGCTTACATGAAGGGGGGTTCGGATCCTATGTTGCTGCTTCTCATGCACAGTGCTGTGATGGACTGTGAATCACTCAGCATGTCACCATTGATCAGCAGAAAAGACTTTGTGGTCAAACAAGTTATGAGCATGCTTTAACACTCACTGTGTTCTGACCAAAGCAGCCAAGCAAACAAGGGAAGACTACTCACAGGATCCTACACCACCATGCAAAGCTGCAAGTGTTACAATAACATTTACTCCTATTTCATTTTTCTTTTCTTGTAACCATGCCGCCGACTCTAGACTCATCTAGACTCGGCTATTCTCTTATCAAGCGGGCTGTCCGCACTTCTCTTCTATCTTGATTGTAACATAGATACTATCTTGCGCCGCATGGCGGTTTCTGTTACGACTTGGATGGTATCTGTTGGCGACGCTCAAACAGAGCTTGTGTCGTCAACGGTCTGTGGACGTCCTTGGGCTAGCCCAAGGTTAGGGGTCGTACTTGGCGTGTCTTCGGCAAGTACGATTTGACGCCTATGTCCAAATCGGGTAGCTTATGTCACGCGGGTGCGAGACGATAAGCTATATCGGCCTAGGCTTACGACACCCGAAGGTTAATCGTAATGATCGTTGTTAATTAGAAGGACAGAAGTCCGACTAGTTAACAGGGGCTTTGCTCGTCGACGAAGTCGATGAGTAAAGGTCGAGACTATAGGCTTATCCGCGAAGAGCAGATAAGAAGATAGAATATAGACTGCTGGCGAGGCAGAAGGATCACTCTGGTGAGAGTAGGAGGTCAAGAACCAAGTAGATTCAAGTTAGGGAATATAGTACATGGTAGCGAGTTTATATAGAGGACAGGAGACGTATTAGTGGGTAATAACTCGTACTACCAGGAGAGGCAATCGGTAAAGGGTATGACTATAACAGGAAGGCACGTTCGGTCGAGGTAGAACGTGCTTTGATAAGAAAGTGAGTCAAGGATCAGAATAAGAAGTTAAACGTGCAGAGGCACGATTGTGCAGCTGCGGATCTAAGTATAAGTCGCATGTGCGACTGCGCACCGAGTCAGAGATCAGGAAAGGAAATAGGGCAAAGGGGATGCGTCATGCATTGTGTCATAGGTTACCGTCCAGACGGTAGGGGCAGGGGGACCATCCATAGGATTAGTCAGGTGGTGAAACGGAGCATGGGTATGCTTCGTCAGCGAAAGGGTCCGGCCAGATGTACTGGCTCTGCTGAAGCGACAGGTAGAGGGCGAAAGGGAATGCGAGGATGACAAGGATGACAAGGGTAAGGTCGGGGTAAGGGTATGCTGCGAGGGCCGATACGAGGAGGATTAGGAGAAAAATAGTAGGGGCCCAAGCGTCTAGATGTTCTTGTAACAGTTTCACCTATCTTTGCTATCTTGATAGGTTGTACTCTTTTTCCTATCTCTGTTACCTTTCTTGTCGCGGCAACTCCGCTCCATTTTTACCTATATAAACCCCATGTACCATAGATGTATTCCTTAACTTAATCTACTGGGTTTTCCCCTTGAAACCTGATCTACTAAGGTCTCCACCCTTAGTAGCCTGAACTCTGATTCTAAGACAGTCACTCACTGTCTTAGCCTGAAACCCTTGATTGCGGTAGAAGTGCTAAAACCACTCGCCGCTGATCCTGCACAGAAGCCGCAGCTCGTGCAGTAGGAACCACCAGAAACCTTCCTTGTATTAGGAAGGCCGACGAACTGTTCGCCCGACAGGTCTATCTTGACCGGCAACAGCAGAACTATCCCAGTCGTAACAGCAAGACTTGGACACAGCCTTCACATACGATCAGGAGCGGTCCTCCATGATCTTGCCGAGCTGCAAGCAGATAAGAATGTGGCTGATAAACCTCTCACAGCGGGTTACAGATGGTCTGATATGGATTGGTCTTGTGCATATGATGCTGTCTTCATGGTGCTCCTTTATGCCTTTCTCCAAGCTGACTCGGGATGGATGACGTAGTGGCGTGCCATTGGGCCAATGAATATCGCTGTCTCTGACCTTTTGCAGATGATCTGTTCATCCGAGGAGAATTTGCAGTGCACAAATCTTGTTGATGAATCTCGTGACCGTTTTCATGACCTGCTAAGCTTGTTCAGTCCCACAGACTTCCCAAGGCGCGGGCAGGTTGGCTGTTCAGCTGGATGGATACTCGATGTACTGACATCACAACAAGCTTCCCAAGTGCATTTTGTCCCTTGGTGTGTCCAAGGCTGCAGTACAGATGGTAATTAGACGAGGTCTGTGTATGCCAGAAATAGTCTGCCTACAGTGTGTGATACTCAAACTTGGCACAAGGTGGTGGCAGACTCCTGCCTAGGTGACATGACAGCCAACTCCATGTCTACACAAACCTGGATCAACTACTCCTTGCAAGCACAGGTTAATGTGTGCTCATCCTCATTGCTGACACACTCATGCAGACAATACCATGGAGTGGTGCGAGCCCATGTGTTTGTGTGTGAGCTGCCACCTCTCCTTGTCTTTGACATCAGCGTATCTGGGCCTAAGATTTTGCCTTCACCAACCCTCACTGTGCCATGTGCCACCAGTGACTGTACATACATGCTCTGTGGTGCCATTTACATGGGGGATTATCACTTCAGTGCACATCTTTTTGACGTGCAGCATATGGTCTGGCACCATGATGGATGACTGGCCCAAGGCTGGCCACAGCTAGATGCAGAGGCTTCTTGGTTATTTGATACAAATCCAGGGGCATGGTTGAGACAACTGGCATCGCTCAATCCTCACCCTGTCCATTTTTTCATCTACACCTGTCATCAAGGTGCATGACTTTGAGCCTGCACAGATCTTGAGCATCATCGTACATCTGGTCTGTGTTTTCGGACTGTCAATGTGATTCTCTCATCCTGATTCATGATTTCAGAAGTCGATTCAAATATTCATTGGCAGTGTGGTTTGGTCTGCCCCTTCAATGTGTTCTTGCTTGTCTCACATGCAACTCTCAGTAAAAGACACTGTACCATTGTCATCCCTTTGAAGTGTTTAGGTCCAGTGAGACCGCCTGGAAGATCTGTGTGTGCGTGTCTTGGGCCAAGAGAATGGGGGTCCAGACCTCAGTGAGTCCCATCCATGTCGATCACGCACACAAGCACTCAACATTGAGGAAATCACATGCCAGGTGTATACTGCTGTGCTGTAAATACGCTTGATGTGTTTGCATAGCTTCCAACACAAATGTGTGTCTGATGGTTTCTTCTCTCTTTGGGTCCTCTCTGTCACAGTGTGAGCCCTATCACATTATGCTTTCCTGGGTGCCTGGCTCATGCAACTTTGTTAGTTCTGTATGTCAAGGAAACTGGTGGAGGAAGTCTTCCATCACTTGCCAGTCCTGCCGCTGTCTTAATAACCGAGGGTCTTATATAAAGTCGTGTAAATGTAATGACACCACAATTACACTTTGGATAAGACTGCTTGCCAGTCCTCGATTAACACGGTCTACGACTTTTCCTATTTCGTGGTAGATAACGTGTGAGTTCTTGGGAGGCTCGCTAAACTAATCTTTTTATAAAGATCAACCTAGCCGGAGCTTTACTTTTTTTTATTGAAACTCAAATCTCTTGTCTAGGAATAAGCTTCTAGACACGTAATTCGGTTTCTGGAATGTATTTGCCTAGGAAATCTCCTTCTAGGCTCTGGACTTGGATACTGGAACTAGTGAGACGTGGTCTCAAATATACAAAATATGACCAAGATCGCTTAGTCTATGGACACCTGACTGTGAGACAATGGTCTCAAATATACGATATATGTTCAAGATCGCTTGGTCTATGGGACAACTAGTGAGACGTGGTCTCAACAATATGATAGATGACTAAGATCGCTTAGTCAAAGGGCACAGAGCAATGAGACAAAGGGGTCTCAAAGACTATATATATGACCAAGAACGCTTGGTCTATGACACTAATAAGTTTCTAAGGTAAGAAACTTATAATCTCAAGGGAATTCTTTTCCCTGCACTTGTCTCACTTCAAAGGGACTAACTTTGCAAGTGAAATATCTGAGAGGCAGATTGCTACAAATGGGAGATCATATTTTTTTTGGGGGAGAATGGGCTCTCCTTATATACATTTTGTGTGGGAAAGTAACCTAGGTTCACAAACAATAAAAAATAAGGAGGACCAATCAAAATATTGGGTCAAACCCAATAAAAGAATAAAATACAAGTGAAAGATGGAGCTATGACATCATTGTGGAGCAGAACATTCTGGAATGTGGAGTAATGACATCATAATGACATCAAGAGTGACATCATTGTGGAGCAAAAGATTCCAGAACCTTCCATGAGTGAGTCAGAGTGAGTCATTGTGGAGCAGAATATTCTAGAAGGAAATGACATCATGAATGATGTCATTGTAGAGTAGAATAATCTAGAGCTTGATGACATAATATCTTTCAACAGAATACCTGCAGGAGTATCTGTGGAGTCTTATGACATCATACCTTATGGGTACAATTTTATGAAGTGTCAGGTGAGTCAAAGCATCCTAATGAAAAAGTAAAGTAAAGAAACACTAGAGAAAAGTAGGTAGCAAAAATAAGACAGTTGGCAGGAATTGAAACACAGTCAAAAAAATAATGCAGTTGGCAGGAATTGAAACACGGTCTTTTTGGATAGGTTTTTTATTGGCTTTGTACTTTTCTCTATGGTTTTCTCTAGCCAAAGTGAATAAGCCAAAGGCAAGGCTATACCTTAACCTTCATTTCCCATCTCACATTAGACTTTTTCCGTCAAAACGTATTCAGATCATGAAACTTGGGGAAAACTGGAAATATGGACCATGGTTTGAAACCAAGGTATGGGTTGACTAGTCTGAGGACTAAGCTAACAGACTTTATCTTTTGAGGGTCACCTAGTATTCATGTCCATGCATGATTCCCACATCATGCAGGACATCGCCACTTGTCAGAAAATCCGGGCAGCCAACTATCATATTTCAGTCAAAAGACACTCAACCGTCATCTTTGCTCTTGAGCACATCCTGACATGCCCCACTGTGTTTAGTGGTGAGTGCACTATGCCAAGTTCTGCACATGAATTTCTCATGAAGCCAATCAGGCATGATTGAGACTGTCGCTAGTGACCTATCAGTCTGCATTGTATTTGCCGATACACCAAGGTTTGCTTGCATGCTCATCTCTGAAGCGAGTGAGTGAGCAGTCCATCATTCAGAATCTTTGGGAGGTGTCTCTATGGACACCCACAGGATAGCTGCCCTCCTGGCTTTCCCAAGGAGTGTTGGGTGTCGCACTCTATAGAGCATGATGGCAATTCAATTCTGAGCAGCTGAAATACCTTTCATGTACTAGAGCAGACCTGAATCATATCAGTTTATTGCACCTTGACCGGCAAACTGATGACCATATCATGCATGATTGACTTATGGGTGGCCACCACCTCACTTTGGCACATCCATGTCACATCTGCATGGCCTGCATTTATACCCCAGTGAAAAATCAGATGCATGCTCTCACATGCAGAACAACAGAAATTGAACAGGTCAGCACAGTTCAATATTGGTACATGAGCAGTTCCATCAGTCCTAGTAACAAGACATGCATGTAAAGCACAATGTTATTATTTAGAGATACCACACAAATACAAAACACGTGGCAAGGCCCTTGTTCATCTCTCCCAACCTTCGCTACTTAAACTGATTCCAAAGCATTTTGCTCAGCCCACCCCTGTGTGTTGACTGTCAGTGCATTACTTGCAGTGAAGGAAAATGCTGTGTACCCATCCAGTAACATGTGGATAAGTGGTAAGTCACCTTCAGTCACATCCAGAACCTTGTTCCTGTCTTGCTTGGGATGTTTGATTACTAGCACATTGCCTTTGATCTCATGGTTGATTCCCATGTGTGAGAACAGATTGCGCATGAAAGCATTGGGGGGAGGGAAAGCTTGCACAGGTCTTCACAATAAATGGTGTATGCATAAGGCATGAGCAATGTCAGGTGGTTGGGGATGACAAGAAATGTTTTCCTATATCGTGAAATTGGCACAACAAACTTATTTTGGGCCAAAGTATTGACCCAAAAATTGACTTCAAGATCAGTCGATGCATTCCATGTGCTCTCTTCCCTCTTGCAAACACACAGGCACAATCTGCGGAGACATCAGCAGCTGTGGCATACAACAAAGCCTTCACTATCACCTGGGGATTTCTGTTGCAAGTAAGATCAGTATGGTGTAATGTCTGAAACAGAAGAAACTGGCAGGCCACTCACATATGAGTGCCTGCTTATGAGGAAGCAGGCATCCACAACTGTGTTGAGATCTGAGACCATGCACTTTGGTGGCAGGAGTGGCCTGTACATGCCAGGAATTGAATGAAATTTGCAATGCACATTCTCGCAGGCCTCAGCAAGCCTCCAAATAGTGTGAGATTTGCACATGAGGTTCTGGAGCAGATATCAGTGGTCCCACTGGACAACAAGAGACAATCTGTCATCTCGCACATTGCGCCACAGGCTAGGGCAAGTTCGTCCACACTCTGTGCTGAGGAATTGTGCATCATCATACATACAAAAGTGTTCGCTCCAGACACTGCCAATGCTCATCTCAGGCTCAATAAGGAACCCTGTTAAGGACAAAATGGCATTGTTTTTGAGGGTAAGTGTCGGATAAAATGTACACAGCCCGCCAGGAGACATGAAAACCATGTCTGCAGTGGAAGGAGCAGCTAGCACCACTTTAAACAAGGAAGTGTCATTCATGGAGGAGACAGTGATGACAGTGCTTCCCTGTTTGTAATGCACAAATTGTTCCAATGCACCCTCAAATGTGTCATGAGGTGCAACATTGTGATTGACCCACTCATATGAGAGTGTGATGCGGAAGAAGGCATTAATGAGGCTGAAATAGCACTGGTTGACCAGGATATTAAGGTCTCATGGAGCATGCTCACCTGGGCCAAGAAGCATGGTAATGGCACAGGAGCCAGTCACGACTGCTTTGCTATCATACAACACACTGCACAGCCGCTGAAAGTTCTCTGGCACAAATGGCTCCATGATGGCTCTGAAGCACTTGGATATAATCTTCTCTTTGCAGGCACACATGGTGTGAAAGGAGTCGCCCCAAGCAATTGCATGCGGTGTCCTGCATGATGTGGGAATCATGCATGGACATGAATACTAGGTGACCCTCAAAAGATAAAGTCTGTTAGCTTAGTCCTCAGACTAGTCAACCCATACCTTGGTTTCAAACCATGGTCCATATTTCCAGTTTTCCCCAAGTTTCATGATCTGAATACGTTTTGACGGAAAAAGTCTAATGTGAGATGGGAATCACATTTAGACCTAGTTGATGTGAGAAGGGAAATGAAGGTTAAGGTATAGCCTTGCCTTTGGCTTACATTAATGCAACGTTCGACTGTCATAGTGTAAGCTTGGAAAGTGTGATCGATGTGGCAGCACTCAACTGACCAAATATGAATGCACCTTCATCTTCAAACATGATCATCATGTCTTGGACTGCACTGCTAATCATGTCTGGCAATAGGTGGAGCAGGGCTTTCAACGGTGTCGTGATCAGACTGGGGTGCAGGTGGCCATGATCCCTGAGTTGTCTGCAGAATCCTGTGATTCTGGTGTTGGTAGGCACGGTGGTTGTCACTGTCAGGATGGTCTCAGGCACTGGTGAGGGATGTGTTTCAAATGTGCAGGATTGTTCAAGGCCACCACAGAAAGTGAGACCAGTACAGTCAAGGTGTTACTTGTCACATGGACACATCATCAGAACGTGGTGCAGGCTAGAAGGCCATCTTCTGGAATGAAGTTTGATATCCCTGGGTCCACAACAGCCTGAAATGGCACTTGGATCTGATGACTTTGCCTCACACCACACTAGTACACACGATACTGGGGTTGGCATGATGTGACATTGTAAGGCAAGTATGATGTGACAAACTTGTGTGCTGTAGCTACCATATAGAGAGAATTTGGGTTTCCATATCATACAATTGACACTGAGGCTTGTCTATGATCGTAAGTCAGACATGTGTTTCTTCCAAAAAAAAACACACACAATGGAGTGCTCGTGGATGCTATCTGATCATCTTCTTTGGGGCACTTGTGTCTATGCCTTCTACACATTGTTAAATGAGTCTGCTACTGCATAACCTTTGGCTGCATTATTGAAAAAAAATTGGATGATGCCCTCTCATATGAGGAAGGCAATGAAATCTGCATGTAGTGGGTTGGGATCAGTTCTGTTCAGTGTTGCAAATATAGACACACTAGCCTTTCAACATCACATGATCTCGCATCCTTGGAACTATGTCTGATAGGTCTATGACAGGGTATTCTGTGGTGGTTATCAAGATACATGCATAATTGCAATAAGTGGAGAAGTGGAGTGTCGGTGTCTTGGTGTCTTGGTCTGTTCTGCTTCCACTGTCATCAGCATGCTTGTGCAAGTCTATGTTTGGTGAACTTACGTAGGACAAGGTACAGGCCCAGCAGTTTACAGCCTATATGAGTCATATCGCACACACTGCTGATGAGCACAGAGTCCACAGGCAGTGCTGAGTATGATGGCTGGATTTGACTGGTGTAGCTCTCTGTCTCAGGTATGTCAAACTATGAGCCTGATCAGAGTCCTGCTCAGGAGGTAGTGGGTGTGACTCTCTGCATCTCAGGTATTGTGACACCTCCTAATGAGACACAGCTTCATCCTTTTTGAATGAATATGAATTGAAGTGGCCTGGACTGATCATACAGCCTGACTGACAAATCAGGCAGTCTGATTGATCAAAAAAATGTATGGAGCCTGGGCCTGGTCATTTGATGAGTATAATGATGAAGGACTGTGACAGAAAGTTTGGCTTCCTGGTCAACACACCATGTCCGCTACATTATCTCATCACCAAGATGTTGCCAAAGAGGGGGGAGCCCTGGTATTTTGTACATAGTCCTGTGCATGGGTTTGGGGCTGGGATCTGAGTCTGACATTGGCAGAGCAGTTCAACATCAAGAACGAGGGAGGACCACCTTCACAGTCAGCAAATGTGCTGATGTTAGGGCATCACACCACATGAATGGGATTGTGGTGGCCAGCGAGAGTTTATTCAGTGAGCCTGGAATGCTACAAGGTAGGCTGCACAGTGTGAGTGGTACAAATGTGCTGACATTGGCCATATTATGGTGCAGCATTTGTGACAGTGGTAGCAAACGACTCGACTGTGGATGTGGTGTATGCAGAATCGCTGAATCTCACACATCTGATTGCACAGGAGGCTGCAAAGGATAAATATGTCTGTTGCACGAGATCTTGTAGGACAGATACTGATAACAGTCACATTTGTGCATAAAAGTCTGCAGCGATCTGTGCAACATATGTATGATAAACTGTGGTACGGCACTCCTAGGCTGCAGATCTGAGAGCCAGCAAATGAATTGTGTGCTATGAGCACGGAATGCAGTGTGAATGTGGCAGTCACGTGCTGTCACCAATGAATGAGTGTGACATGGTTCTCTGGAAATCGGAGATGGGACACTTCTTTGATTGGCGAGCGGTCTCAAGGGCTGGGTCATGGAACATAGTCTCAATGACAGCAAGACAGCGCAGCACAGCAATGATAGTGAAACACAGATTAATCACAAGGAGTAATGAGGTCGCAATCACATGATTGGGCCTGGGGGCAGGTTAAATGGTGGGGTGGCTGGAATGTTAAAGTGTGATTGACACACAATGAGTTCCACAGAAACCTTCAACCTCAAATCCCTTACTACTCTATACACCATGCATCCCGGTCTGCTTGTGGAGGCCTTAATAGTGTGTGAAAATGAGCCCAATGCCACCAGCACGGAATGGCTGGGTGCACTGGCTCAGTCCAACAACCCTCGCTTCTGGGACTCAAAAATCTGAAGTAAACAATGGTTTGACAACAAAGGTCTGTGCTTCAGCATCCTATTTCCAGCGATGCTCGAGCTCAGAGGGAAACACTCTCGCATTGACCTGTATTTTACACTGCCAACTTTGAGACAGGTATGGTGATCATCATCTGTGAGGAAGTGCTTCAACTGACATGCACAACAGCCTGAGGTCAAGGATGTCCATACTGTCAAAGCTCAGTTTGAGCTGCAAACATTGGACGACTCTTATCCAGCAGAAGATGTCATGTGCAGCAAGAAGGCAGCAAACACTTTGATGTATGTCGTAAGTGCTTGCAAAAAGATCAGGAAGTCCAGTGAGTTTGCTACAAAGTGTGCAGCCCATATCAGCTCATAAGTGACATAAAGACAAATGTGAGGACATTCAATTCATATGGAATGGAGGCATCTCAGGCACTGACCCACTGCATTTTGTGGTGCATACTGAGCCTCTGTTTCCGGAGGCAGCAGTGTCCATGTACAACGTTGTTCCAGAGTTTTCCTTGGAGGATTTTGAAAGTGAGTCTCACATTGCATGGGTGACTGCATTCTGACATGTGCGGGTCAGACATGGATGTGACCTTTACAGGTGGTGAGTATCTTCACAATGGAGAATGTGAATGGTTTCTAACACAGATACAGACATTCTCAAGCAGCGGTTCTCAGGTAAAAAGGAGACTCCAACCTGTGCCTCCACAGTAGGAAAAGGCAAGAGCTCCATTGTGTCTTGGGAGAAAATGCTGATAATAGCAGAGGTCGATGGCTGGACCATCAAGGACATGCCAGATCTGTAAGGTCATTTTAAAACAGTGATCGATCTGCACGGCTTGGATGATGTGCCTGTGGTGGTGCCAAATGTGCGTGATGCGGATGGGAGCCTCATCCATCCCTCTGAGTACTCCAAGCAATTGGACAAGGGGACTCCAGTAGCGGTGGAAGTCCTGTTGCAACTGTGAGTTTGGCTCACGCATCTACCAGACTACTTTAAAGTCCCTGTGTGTTCTACTGTTGACAGAGAGGACAAAGACTGCCCTTCCCAATGGCATTGGAATGCCCGCTGACCCTATAGGCAAACACAAGGCAGATGCTCCTCCTGCCCATGTGGGTCCCACTAGGAAGGCAGCTAAGATGGCTGGGGCAAACATGTAGGGCATCTGTGGGTTTGGACCTGACAATGTCAGATGTTCGCAAGGTGAAAGTGTTGGTGACAGATGCCCAAAGTGGCACCATTTTGTTTGGTTTCGGTTTTGTATGATACTGGGTGTGTGTGTGTGTATATAAGCAATGTTAGTGTCAGTAATGTGGATGAATTGAAGTGTCAATCTCACTTTGCGACCTTGAGTAGCAGCAGTCACTGGTCAGGGTGTAATCTAGATAGAGTGTGAACAAATAAATAAATAAATAAATAAAAGATAGGGAAAAATTGTCAAAATGTGTGGGTGTGGTGGAAGGGGAAGTGGAGCTCCACTACTTAGCCTCAGGGTGGGGATGGGCCATACCGGGCTTCATAGGAAGGGGAGTTCAAGCAATCCAAAAAGAACGGGCTTTCACTGAACTATGACACAATGGCTGGATGCACAGCCCATACTGTGAATGTTGAAATAATGTGTGGGGTATAGAAGGGTATTAGTTGGCTGCAGGAACACAAAATAAATGTCAGGTGAGGTAAACTGCTAGAATTGCGGGAGAGATTGTGGTTTGGCGGCTTGTGGGAAATGGAGTCGGGGACTCGGCGTGTAGGCGCCATTATGCATTTAGTATTGAGTGAAAGGGAAGCAAAGGAACATATGTGTGAAATATGACAATTGAAACATGTCACACAAAAGTCACATTTACACATGATATAGATCAAAGATTTCATTGAATTTTAATAGGAAATATGTTGTAGTGCACAAGGAACCTATACTACACTTTGCCCTGAGGGTGGAAGATATGTGGAAGGAATGTAGTGGTAAAGTAAGTTGATGCAGCATTAAAGTCCTACAACTAACTCAACTGACCATTTTCGATGTTTTGGGTTTTTGAACTTTCCCACGCTCAATTTTTGATTTATTTTACTTCCTCAGCACTCAATTCTTGTTGGATTGTTCTGTAAATCTATACATATGATACTGAATATATTTGAAATGTACTCCAAGTTTTTGATTATTAAAATTTCGATGTTTTGAAGGTATTGACCCCTTATCAGTAGAAATAGCAAGTATATGCAGTATCTCAAACCTACAACCTATTTTGAACTGATCTTCATTGTAAAATTAAGTGTATACACTATTCTAATGATATATGAACATGATTGACCAGATGTACAATGGTAAGGTACTAAAAAACATCAAAAATGTCAAAAATGCGATTTTCTATCTTTTTGTTCCTGTAGAGAGATACTATGGGTGTCATGGGTTAGCTATATGATACATCTACTCCAAATATACATATACATAGACTCCCTGCCTCAATTAAGGTCCAGTCCTACAGGAAAAAATTTCACAGGGGGTAAACCACCAGGAGAAGGTGAATGCACTACACAACAAGATCTTTCTATGTGGTCCTGAGCTCCTGACACATTATTCCTACTATTAAATAGATGTTGGGGACATTTTTCTCAAGTCAATATAGCTAAAAACCAAAAAATGCGAACCTATTTTGTGTTTTCCTATACATACACTACATGTATTGATGTAGGGCGCTTTAGAGGGTCAAATAAAGATGGGAATATATTCATATATACTACTAAACATGTTTTGAATGCCCCAGAACACTTTCCTGCCAAAGGGGCAAAAGTGCGAAAGTGTTCTATATTCTACCATATGTTGAATTGCCCCTGGAGGAGGAGCTGGCATACAAATGAGCAAAAAAAGTGGTCTATTATATTGTGTTATACATATATATACTAATCTACTACTTATATATGAAGGGGGACCTATTGTGGTGTAGTGGTGAAGCTGCAGTGAGGTGGGAAGGGTGTGGGAATAATTAATATTGTGGAGATTTCCAAAATAAGTGATGTTTGTGGTGTTGTGGGGTAATTCCCACACTGTGTGGCTGAAAAATACGGAAATGTGATGTGTGGGAATAGTGTGGGGAGGCCTGACATAAGGAGGTGACACCTGAGACATGACGGAATAAGAGTCTGTGACAGATTCCATTCAAATTGAGGGATAAATTCCTAGTATGGAATACAACATGGTCTACCTCAAAATTCATGATCAAAACCTGAAAAAGTCTACAATTAGTTTTGACCCCAGATTCATGAACAAATAGGAAATATGTATAGACAAAATTGCTGAATTTGTTGGCACGGATCTGGCTTATTGTGAGATTTATAATCAAATAATAAAAATGACAAGTATATAAGGGATACAAGATTCATATATAAATAGTAGATATTCCACACAATCAAATATGTATTAAATTGAAACTCTGGTTTAAATCGGTTGAGGGAATGGAGCGGGGCTATGTTTGGTAAGCCAAGGGAGGAAAAATTATGAATATGTACATGGATATGTCTAGAGTTAGATTCTGACAGCAATCTTAAAAAATTGCACAATTCATATGAGTTCCCTGCTAAGTGCCCCACTTAGTGCCCCGCTTAGGGGAAGAGGAATCCATACCAGTTTTTCCTCTCTAAATTTGAAGCTCATTCAATTTTATGAGTAGGCATAATAGAAAATTCATACACATTATGAAATAATTGAACAGTATGTCTACACATCCTAAAGAGCACCAACTACAATGTCATGAAGCTGCAGGCAAAGTTCCATTAATGTCCCTGAATGAAGAGTGTGCATGGCAATGTTTACCAACACACAGATAATAGCAAATCGAACAAGTTGCAAGGTGGACGAAGCTCCCGCAAGGGGCGAGGCAGGCATCGCATCCTCCTCCATCGATATCTGGAGTTCATTAGCTATTGTCGCCATTGTTACAAGAACATCTAGATGCTTGGGCCCCTACCATTTTTCTCCTTATCCTCCTCATCTCCACCCTTGCATCACACCCTTACCCTGACCTTGCTCTTGTTATCCTTGTCATCCTTGCATTCCCCTTTGCCCTCTACCTGTCGCTCCAGCAGAGCCAGTACATCTGGCCGGACCCTTTCTCTGACGAAGCGTACCCATGCTCCGTTCCACCCGTTGACTGACCCTGTGGGCAGTCCCATTTACCCTTACTGTTCGGATGGTAACCTATGATACAATGCATGCCACATCTCCTTTACCCTGTTTCCTTTCTTGATCTATGACTCGGTGCGCAGTCACACATTTGTACTTATATTTAGCTCTGCAGTTGCACGATTGTGCCCCTGCGCATTTCACTTCCTGTTTCTGTTCTTTGACTCATTTCCTATCTGCACATTCCGGTTTGCCTATGACTCACCTCGAACGTGCCTTCCTTTTCTAGTATCACCCTTTGACCAGTTCTCTTTCCGGTAGTACGAGTTATCATCCACTAATATGTGTCCTCTCCTCTATATAAACTTGCTACCATGTATCTAGTTCCTTAACTTGAATCTACTTGGTTCTTGACCTTCTACTCCTAACAAGAGTGATCCTTTCTGCCTAGCCAGCAGTCTATATTCTACTTTCTTATCTGCTCATCACGGATAAGTCTTTAGTCTCGATCTTTACTCATCGACTTCGTCGACGAGCAAAGCCCCTGTTAACTAGTCGGACTCCTGTCCTCCTATTAACACAGATCTTACAATTAACCTTCAGGTATCGTAAGCCTTGGCAGATACACTTATCGTCGAGCCCCGCTTGACATAAGCTACCCGATTTGGACATAGGTGTTAAATCTTACTTGCCGAAGCTTCACCAAGTAAGATCCCTAACCTTGGGCTAGCCCAAGGATGTCTGCAACCGTTGACGACATACGCTCTGTTTGAGCGTTGCCAAAAGATACTATCCAAGTCCGTAACACTGTGTCCATTAAAACAACTGCCGGTGATAATGGTGCACCCAGCACGCCCTTTGTGTGACTACAAGGTGTGAGTATGGTAATGTATATCAAGGTCCAGACTTACTGCGACAGGGATGATCTGATCACCCCAATTCCCATGTGTTAGCTATCCTCGATATGCCCCTGTATTGTAATTGAATATACAAGCAAATCCATCATCACCTCCAACAAAAACAAGTCCCGCCTCGCAAGCAACGGAGATTTGCAGAGGAACATTACAGAGGATCACATGGTTGTAGGACTGTACCCGCTGTAGGGTAGGAATGGCATATTTATCCACCCTGTCTTTGAGATTGCTCACAAGGAGGAAATTACCCTCGAGGAAGGCATTGCCGCTGCAGGATGAGTGAATATATAGTACGCAAGATGAAGCCCTCACTTACATTCTTCCCTGCACCTTCTTGCGCCACTTTAAATCCCAAGGTTCAATAGAATAGCAGAATCTTAAAACAAGAGTTAGACTAAAAATAAGGATGCAATCGTCAACCGACATTTCACCGCTTTCCAGAAATGACACCAAAAGGGAAGCACCGTTGTCGTAGAAGTGTACTGCATGTGCAACATATGGCTGCTTTTCAGGTTGCAAGGTGATAGATACAAGAGTTTCTGACAACAATCAATATCATGCAATAATCGATGGCTAGGCATCTCACTGTCTGATGTGAATTTCTAAACGTGAGGATGACCACCACTGGCACTCACCAGTCGTCGACGGATAGGATCCCAAGCAAGCGACTCCACCGCACTTGAGTGACTGATGGTAGTACTCCAGAATTCGAATAATGCCTGAGTGGATCAACTTCATCAGCAAGACTGATAGCGATACCCCTGTTCACATACATCATTGCTCCATTCGTAAACTTGAATGTTGCCATCCGAAACACCAAATGCAAATGATGTTTCACTATGATTGTTGATGTGCATCCAGGTAATGGCACTGATATAGTCTGCTGCTGGTGTAAATATTTCCTGAATCATTTCACCGGACAACAGGCTCCATATTACTATTTGACTATCATTACCTATCTGGCTGTCAGCACAAGTTAAGTGAGGGACAGACAGATTACTTCCAGTAAGGAGCAATGTTCCATGCATATTCACAGCCAAGATATTGACTGCCTTGGTGTGACGAGTGAGAGTATATTTACTAGAGAACTATTTTGGTGTCAGCGAAATCAGAATTTGACTGAAGTTGGAGACTTGCATCCATGGTGGAGACACTTAAGAGGGAAGTTGCCCGTATTTAACTACGAACCTAGCACCGACAGTCAAATTAATTGTGAAGCTTGTAAACAAAAAACAGCATTAACAATTGGCCAATTGTCTGTTGGCAACTATGGAGATGTGAGTGGAGAAGCATCAATATGATTTAGAGTTTGATCACGAGGATATTAACTTGATCGGTGATGAAAACACTTATTGTCTGCCCAGACTACTTTTAAATCAGAAAGTAAGTGCTTGATATGCAACTCATGGCATCAAAAATGACTTCCTGCAAAAACAACACTCTCAAGGCAAGGTTCAACCCGTATGGCAGACCTTCTCCGTGTTCTCTCAGGGGAGCCATAAACGCATATGAAATGCAGGAACTGAAATGGGTTATTAAGGCATCAATTACGTCCTATGAATGTGAGCTTTGGCAACATGAAGATGACAAAGTAAGTAAATCAGTTACCTACAATTCCTCATTGTTGAGGATGTCAGGATGCATGGATGGTATTCACTATGGATCTCGACCTTCCCATCAGTACAGAGAGTGGAACATATGGCTGTATGGACACTACAATGGCAGATGACGAGGTTAGTAACACCTCGCTCGCTGTTTATCGACACTACTTACTCGAAATGAGATGGTACCCCTTGCCATTGTTTTGACAATGGACGACTGTGGTAAGGCCTGGTGGTACCAGTACCAGTCACCGAAAAAAAGAAAACTTGTCCGCGGGTTGCACGCATGTGTAAACAAGTATATCGATCATCACTGTGAGATCAGGCATGCCGGTACTGAACAATTACGCAAACACATGTACATTGCACTCCAAAGTGCATTGCTGGATGTGGATGTTGACGAGATCATGCTCTCTGAAGCCAGTTCAGATGAAGCCCAAGTCGGGAAACACAGTGTAAGACAGATCATTTGTTCTACATCAATCCATGTGAATGACATTGTGTTAGGGGTTTCAACAGGACTGCCTCACCTCACTCATGGTCACACAACGAATCCTCAACGGAATCAATTATATCATCCCCCACGGAGTGAAATGAGGTCTTCTATCTCTTGGAACTGCTGTAACTGCACAATCAAGCCATGTCTATAAAACAAGTAAGTTCACGAACCTTCCAATACATCATTATTCCTAATCAATAGAGCAAGGATACCCTGCCGCAATGCCTGGACACTTTCCAGACTGAGCATTCAAACTTTGAATAGTCCAGAGTACCCCATGTACAATAGAGCCATATCACCCAAACAGATGAAGTGTGCTTGTATGATAGAGTTGCTACAAATGATGAATGAAGGGTTTACTGTTTGTTGTAGAATAAAACATACCAAAGTTAACTAACTGTAATTTTTGGATTTCAGAATAGTATTATAAGGCAAACATTCTTATGCCGCAGTATCATGGCTACAACTATTTTTCAAAAAGATATGGAGCATATCACCAACGACCCAATTTCCCTCATAACGTTCAAGTATAGGATACCATTTCTGCACCTACAGAAAATGAGTGACAAACACTGTCAATAAGCCCCGGACCTACCTCTGCATAGACAATGGCCAACCGTGGCTGTGCTTGAAGTTTCCATGACTTGTGTACTCTGAGGTATTTACAGGCTAGCTGCAAAACAAAAGCCTACATGAAAACAATTTAAACAGATAGATGGAACAGACACAATGAAAATGCACACAAGTTTCTTCATATTCAGAAGCAGGCTAGCCAACTGTCTCCTGTAAATTGTATCCACCCCGACTGAGATGAGAGACCTCTCCTCACAGCTTGGGAATCTTGGAGGGAAAAGGAATAGCTGGTGGAGTTCGTTCTATGTCATCAGGCACACTTTAGGCATAGTTAGTTAGACGAACTTGGGTAAATATGAACTTTACCTGTAGGACGTGCTATTTAGCCATGGGTGGATTGGTAGCTGGCAGGATGAGTTGTTAGTTCATTCCAGTGCTGAAGTGACTACCTTGTACTCACATGTACACAATTTTGGCTGGACTTGGTTGTTATTCTTGTCATTGAGCAAAATGAATGACTGCTATGCAAAATTAACGACTACGGACAAGTCTTGTTGTTTTCATGCAATAAGTACTAAGACAACAGTAACACTAATGACTACACCAACTGAACAACTAAATTAAATCAAACAATGATGGTAAAAAGGGAGACATTTAGGACAAGGTTTGGGCTTAAGTAGTGAGTGGGAGGATTAGACTCCCGGATATTTCCGAAGCATTTGAGTGGCTGCCGGATAATTCGGTTGGAGTTTCGACTGACTTGGAATTCACTACTTAGGGTCCTGAAGCACTTGTTTGACTTTCTTTCTTTCCCCTATTATATATATGCAATGTCATATATTTTGTCATGTATTTTGTCATGTAACTTAACCTGTAGTATAGTAGACTATAGACTCTAAGTCATTATATTGTAGTGGTTCTAGTCTCCAAGTGTATCACAAAATACTGCCCAAGTCTTGAAAGAGACTTAGATCTACCTCATGCACACACACCGTTGAGTTGCCGAGTAAGTTTATTCCATAATTGTCACGCAGACTGACGTTCGAAGATCACTCCTGCCAGGCCTCATAAAGTATCTGTGAGTGCCTTGGGCATCACGTCCCTCACCCCTATCGCTCTCATCCACTCGCCTGGATCTAGAATTAGGGTTCAGCTGTCCAAAAATCAATGAATTAGACTCTCAGTGCATTTTTTGTTCTACCTGTCTTATTGTGATCTTGTTCAAATGCCTGGTTCTTATTTATTGTAGCAGCCCTAGTCTTTAATGAATCAGACTCCAGGTGCATTTTTTGTCGTCACAGGTCTCCTGTTCATCATTCCACTTGTCTTATTGTGATCTTATTCTATTTTTTCTATCTTCATTTTGGTTTTCAGACAGGCAAAGCCAGCGGATGCCTCGCAAGTGAAGTCCGCGATTGCATTTATATCATGACACTACATGATGTGAAACAGACCTGCTGTTCTACTTGTGATCATGGCTCAACACAACAACAACAACAATTTTATGTTGGATGACGACCCAGAGATCAATCTGAATTCCCCAAACCTTGCTGCAGCACTTGTGGTTATTGGGCAGACTGCCCGCAAGTACGTGACTGAAAGTTGATGCCATTATTAACACTGACTTGGAGATTGCAATTTTCTCTAGTTTCATCACTCGCATGAGCACTGTCTTTCCAGGTCCAACTGTACCAGAACATCGTGCTAATCTAGAGAACAGGAATAAAAATTCACTGACATACAAGCCATACAGGCCATACACCTCTTTTACTCCTGTTGTCCCGCGCGAAGGGCAACATTCCAGCCACTCCCTGCACCGTGTATTGCAGTCTACCCCTACATCTTCCCTGTTGAATGTTGCCTCCCTCCAGGCCACAACCACTGAATCTCCATCCTCATTTTCTGCTTCTGCTTCATCAACGTCCCCTGATTCTCCATCCATCTCAATGACCGTTTCTCCGGTCATCCCTACTATGCGTCCTGATGCTTCAACTTTGATTCCAATAACAGCACTTCCATATACATCTACTGCATCTACTCATCTGTCTTCTCCAACAACTGCCCCTATGTCCATCTTAGACACTCAACAGACCGATAAAAATGATACTATTATGGATGATAGGCCGCCCTCCCAAGCCGATCGCGAAATCCTGATGGATCATGACATACCAACAACTGCTCCGCCCCCACCTACAAACCATGTCACCAGTCCTAAACCAATTTCTGGTCTTCCTCTCAGCTCTGGACGAATGAGAGCACTGCCCTTGCCATCTGTTACAGAATCTCATCTGGGACGTCTGGTAAATCAGCAACTATCTCAAATATCTGATAAGGTAGTTGTACCTGCTCTCAAGAGTGCAGTCGACACCATGATACCAACATTAATTGACTGGATAGCGAGTGAAATTAAGATCATGCACTCAACCTACTCACACAATCCTCGTGTTCACAACTCTTGTGCCCAGAAACATGGTGGTACATCTGAAGAGGATGATACTAGCAAGCCTGAATGTGACGATGATCTGATGCCTTCTGCTCGCAGGAAGCACCCAGGGAAGCAGGGTACCAAGAACAATTTACATGTACGTCTAGGGTGATCAAACTGAATAGGGGCTCATTATTCTAAATTTAAGGATGCATTTCGAACATACTTATGGGAAAACACCTTCTGAAATACAAGTCAGGTCCCTTGCCTCAATTCCCTCCACTGCAAATGGTTCAAGCTTTTAATCACGACAATGAAAACCCACCAAATTTGGACAACATAATCATTGACTGGCAAGACTCTCTGAGGTCCTCTTTGCTGAATACAGAGGCAATCAACTTGTTAGTTGTAGACTTCCAACAAAAAATTCAGACAGGTTGTTATCCATTAGTAATTTTTGATGAAGATAGGATGAGCCTCGATGACCTGCACGTGCTCTGCATTATCAAGCTTCGTCAAACTCAACAAGCCTATCGAGATCAGAGCAAGATAGCAGGATTCACAGATGTGCAACAGAGAAAGGAGGCTACCTGTGAACTATCTTCTTGTAGTACTTGGAGGCAACGTCTGGATAGGCTCAACACTTGTAAGCATGGGGTAAGTGTACTGTACTACTTCCCCCATTCTGTGCCTCATGTGTTTGCAGACGCTCGAAAGATGTCAAAAAATTGCTGAGCAAAATTGCCACCGCGATCCTCAAATGTGGGACGCCATTAGGTGCATCATTGACCAGTTGGATGTCAATGGCATGAGCAGGGATGAAACAGACACCCCTGTTGGTGTGAAACCAAAGGTTGTGAGGCATGTAGCTCTCCTGTGGATTAGCTCAGCAATCACTGATCTACTTCACGCTGTTGAGTCCTACGCCCCTGCGATGTACGAGGAAAATATGACAATTCCAATTGGAAACACATCGCTTTCTTGCTTCATGGAGGCGAGATGCACGTCTAAAAACTCTATTGCAATCACATGGTTGCCTCGTAATTGGTATCATGATGATTGGTACAAAGCTAATTCAACCAGTGCTCAGGCACTTCTTGACATTTGCAAGGACTTCGAAATTCCCCACTTGGTTTGTCGTTGTATTGTTTAATTTGAAGTATACTTATCATCTCACAGGAAGTTTATCATTCAATGAATCATGTCATTAATAAAGCCCAATGCAGAGCGAAAAGCAGGTGTGAGAGGTTCATCTCACTCTAGATAAGCCAGCACAATTTTTATTCACTGTTGTCCATATCGTAATTTGCATGATCTTTATTTGAGAGTACACAGACCAAATGAGCATAGTGTATGTTATTTTTGGTTGAATAACAGTAGTACATCGCAGACTGAAAAATGTAATATTAGCTTCATAACATGATACTACGAAGGCACACTCTATGCAAAGGCAACAATGATGTGTTGGACAACATTTATGGTCTCTTTACCTGTAAAATCTTTCGGGTTGAGCGACGAGGAACTGGATGACCTGAGATGTGAGCTGGACTCAGTAATGAGGATTGAGGAACTGGAGGAGGCTCATCAGCAGCCTGATGAGAGATCCATTTCACAAGGACCCCCTCAATGTCATCGTGAGTAACAGCACTCTCGGAAGTTTCATCAACTGCTCAAAGAAATATGAGGTGCCATTCCTGAACGAGATGCTTGAGTTCAGCAAAGTAAGCTGTCATGTGATTCATCAACTCCTCGTCATGCTTTACAATGAGCACTAGCCCCAACTTGTACAAAACAGCTCTGGAGCCTAAGTCCTCCAATTGATCAGACCACTGCTCTGTCTTCAAATATATTATTGTCACTTTCGGTCTATTGTATGTGGTCACAAATTCGACAAAAATGTAGAAAAGAGACTCAAGGTCATCAGCAGCGGTCTGTTCTGTCATCATCATTTCGAGACCCTTCTCTCGCTGTTTAGACACTAAATGCAAATGGCGCAGAAGGCGGATAGACATGTATGGCATGGTGCCCTTTGGACAATCAGATCAGCCACTTGTACAAAATTAAACTTCCAACTTCAACTCACGGTACCATGTGAATGAACACTAGTGTTGCCTTGCGTGATGATCTGTGCATGGTCAAAATCGATGAAGTACCCTTGTCCTTCATAAATGATAAAGTTTTTCGGGCTAAGGTCTCCATGTAGGACATTCCTTCAGACCATTTCCTTGTGTGCTAAGAATGAACTGTAAGTATAAGACTCAAATTTGAGCACCAAAGAAACCCACTGACTACGAAGTTGCGGAAAGCGACTATTAGCTCTCATTTAGTCGAGTATGTCGACAATGGTTCTCTGCAAGGGGTTAAAAGCATGCACTGGTGATATCTACAGCGGAATCCAGGACTGAATTTCCTGTTGCAATGACGGATGCATGACGTGGAGTCAGGCTCTCCATCGTACTCAACATCTCAAGCCACAATGAGAGTGACTACATTAGGAATTCCCTGGACCAGCCCAAGAACCTTTTCTTCGTGATATCTTTTTGCTTCATCCACTCAACAATCCTTCAATGCATATTCAACTCCATCCCTGTCTCAAACACGATATCAAATCATTCTGCAAGAGAAAAGACCCTGACTTCTCCACAAAATGGCGATAATTTATAACTTCTGCTTTTTCTTGTCCTCTATCCAACCGATCCCCTTGTCCCCCATGTGGCATTGTGATTTCTGGCAGGACTTGTTGCACATGTGCATGGTGGGATCCATGCCATAGGCTTTGCTGTTCGCTAACGACATGGTGTTGAGCATGTCAACAAGATGAGTCAGGCTTCCAGTGATATGGTGGTGGGAAGATGAAGCACAGCATGTTGTCATCAAGAAATCTATACGTAGTAGCTATCAGTTTTTCTTTGATCATAGTTGTAAGGCGCCGTCATCATACTGGATACCAAATAAGAGCCTATAGTTCCATTTGAATATATTATGTATAACTATGTAAAGTTGATCAGTTAAATTTAGTAATAATAGTTAATTCTGTGTCATTACATACGATGGGGGGATAGAGAAAAGCAAACTAGGTATTGTATTCAATAAGTAGTGAATCAGCTGAATCAGACTCAGCATGAAGCTCCGCCATAATGCTCAAAGTTCCTGCAAAGTTGAGGTCTGACAATATTCAGTCCATGTGTCGTGCAGGGAAAGCCTTCATACAAAGGACATATGAAAAGTCCTTATGAAATTGAGTCTATAATAATCAAGTCTGTTGAAGTTCATAGACATCCTGTTAGGGGTGGAATACAAAAGGAAGGCAACAAACCAAGGTTTCGTTACCCTAAGTAGTGAATCAGACTCAGTTGAAGCTCCGATAAAAATGTGCACATCACAAGAGTAATCCTAAGCAGTTTGTATTTGGAATTCACATAGCACCATGTACCACTATCAAATAGTTCGTAATTGTGAAATTAGTTCAATTCTGACCACTGCGGACACTCGGTCGCTCCTTCGCTGGGAGTCTGATTGGTAGGAACAATAAAATTGGATAGTTTGGCACTCTGGGAATCAGCAAAGTCAATGTTTAGCATTTATATCAAGACAGGTATAAAATCCGATCATGGTAGGTACGTGGTAATGTGAGGCACAATCAAATTGGGGATTAAAGTGATTATGATGAGTGGGGTGCAACATGTATGTAGGTAGTATGCAATATCCGGATAGATGAATCGAGACGAGCATATAGAGCAAGCGCAAAGCTGACTAGAATATGGGGCTATTGTGCAGTCAGACGTCGGTTTTACTTAGGTAGATCATATGTAACACTTACAGTTCATCCCACTTGCATCTACTTGCCTCTGACAAAAAGCTTTGAGTTGACAACAGCTTGCACCACTTGATCAATAAGCATGTCTTCCTGCAGAGAACAAACCATGGTAAACTGCAAGGACTAGAGTAAATTGAGATGTGCGAACTGTGAAGACCTCCGCATCGATGTCTGTACAGCCATCTGAATCCTTCTCCAGCTTTAGTGTTTCCTGTAGAAAATTAAATCGCAGTGCATCACAAGCAAATCAAGAGTGACATTGATATTGCTGGTGTTGCCAGCATGTGGGTCAATGACACACTAAAAGGGGTGAATCAAAATAGCATTGCACGAGAGCATCGTATATCCCTGTTTCTTCTATCTGTTTGCGATTGACCATCAATTTAATATACACATACATGTCTACCAGTACGTAGATATATCTGTAAGTTATGTAGCAAGGTCACAGCCAAAAGGATGGCGAAACATAAAAATGTGACTAATAGTGCAATCACTGTTGCTTGAGCCAGCTGGCTGTAAAGCCCCGACTTGAATGAATGTGGGGGGTATTGGAAGAAAAACTAAAACTTACCTTTCATAAATTGATGGGCCTTTCGGTTTTTTTCGGTTTGTTGTTTGATTCCGGTATGCATCTTCGACGCAAACCTGAGTCTGAAGATTTCTGTATCAATGTGAGGGTGGGGATTGTAACAGAAAAATTGAATCACTCACACGATGCGGAGTCATAGTTGGTGTTGAGACAGTGAGCGGTATGCCTAAATTTGAACACCTTTGTACTGATTTTCTTCGCTTCAGAAATACAATACTTATGGGGAGACAAATGAATACAATCACCAAGTCATTAAGACAATGAATTACCAATGTTCATACAATACTACAATAACATTTTCATACTAACGCAAAATTAAGATGATATGAAACAATCAGAAAGAATGCGACAAAACAAGGTTTATTAGACTCCAAAGTGGCTGAGCTAACAGCCCCTGAGCCTGATTCAATTTTCAGTGTTGTCAGGCGAGATACAAATTACAAAAAAAATACAAGGAAATTTGTAGAGCAGAAAAAATAGAAGGTGTAAATGAGTATTGAATGAATGAACAAGAGATTCTCTATCAATAACAACCTTGTGTTCACTACAAAACCGACTGGATCATTGGAGTGTATCTTCACCATCAACACCATGTCAAAGGAAAGCACAAGGGTAAGTGCACAACACAAACACATCTATGCAGTTAATTAATGATGTAATAGGATGGTGACGATGAGGACCTTGCCAGAAGCATCTTCCAACTAACACTAGAAGACAGAGCATGGAACAGGCACATTAGTGAGGCAATACAGGTGGCCAGCTGATCCACATCAGGCACATCGGGTGATACCACTAGAACTTTAAGGGAGCGTTCAGCTCTGATTCAGGATCAAGCATCAGAAGATTACTGCAGACTTTATTTCCTTGACATTGAGATGCACACTCATCTTTGGGATGTAACTAATACTGTGAATCAGCTTGACTCGTCTGATGAGCAACAGGTCCTGAGGATGCTTACCAAAGAGCATAATTGGATGAAGAAAGCCCAGGAGGAGGTCAGAGATATGCGAGTAAATGATGATCCCTGTAATGAAGAATTGTGGCATGCATTTCTTCAATCATTGTATGAAATTAGAGATGCAGTGGGGAGTATCATGGATGTTCTGGGTCGTAGAACGAAGAAAGACCTGAATAGCACATCAGCAATCGTCGATACAGGTAAGAAATATTGAGTAAACAGGACTGCATACTGAATTATAACCAGGACCTAATTTCCAATGAAGATTTCACAATACAAACCCTGCCATACTCCTCACCATGCTTATTGTGTTGATCCTGAATGTTTTTGGACACGTCACCAGACCATGGTGCAATGCAATTCTCAGGCTTTTGAACCTCCTCCTCGAAACTACAGTTGGAAAGTCCACCAGTCGAGTAATTCCCTGCGATATCTGTACTGTCTGCAAAAAATTCAACCTGGATCCAATTACTCGAACATTCACTACATGTACAAGATGCTCATGCACGTACCCGCCTGTGACCACAAACAGAAAATCGCAGTACTCCAAATGTTGTACCTATATAAAGTACCAAGGAAGTATGCCATGTAGCCAGTTGTTGGTAAAATGTACCAAGGATGAGGGGGTGAAATTATGGGCACCCGTGCGCCCATACGTTGTCCAAGACTTCAATGCTTTTCTTGCCAGTTTGCTCAGTCAGCCAGGCATTGAAGAAGCCATGGACTGTGGAACAGTGATGAATGAAAAGTATCACTTGTGGGATATTAAGGATGGCACCGTGATGCAGGAAATATTAGGTCCTGATGGGGAGCTGTTCATGGATGGGTTAAAGAGAAGGGACCTGAGATTAGCATGGAGTCTTTCGACAGATTGGTTTAACCCACACGGAAATAAGACCTCTGGCAAGAAGAAATCAGTGGGTTCAATTGTGATGGAGCTACTGAACCTCCCACCGAGTCTGCAATATAGGCCAGAAAACATGTATTTGGTTGGCGTTATCTCCGGACCTAGAGAACCAGCTCTCAAAGAGATCAACCACTTTCTTCGCCCAGTAATCAACTTCTTCCTACCATCATGAAAATATGGGATGTGGTTTACCAGGATGCATAAACCACATATTACAGTGACATATTTCCGTATTATATGGGTCACCTGACCTACATAATATCCCATATAAGACGGGCCAGCTGATGATGGGCCAATGTGATGTATATCCTCAATGTTGACGGATGGGCTGGGAGGGATATTATTTCTGATGGAGGCAGGTGGGTTCATGTGTGGAATATGTAGAGTAGATGAGTGGGCCGATGGACATGAATATTCTATAGACAGATGGGCCGAGGTAGTTGGATATTATGTAGATGGGTGTACCAAGGTAGGTGGGTATCAGATAGACGGGTATGCCGAGGGTACTTGTCATCACATACACGAGTGGGCCCAGATATATACTATATTAGACAGGTGGGCCGGCCAAGGGTATATTGTGTCACATACATGGGTGGGCCCAGATATATATTATCTTAGATGGGTGGGCCGAGTGTCAAGGAAGGTGGGTATCAGATAGATGGGTGGGCCCAGATATATATTATCTTAGATGGGTGGGCCGAGTGTCAAGGTAGGTGGGTATCAGATAGATGGGTGGGCCCAGATATATATTATCTTAGACAGGTGGGCCAAGTGTCAAGGTAGGTGGGTATCAGATAGACGGGTGGGCCCAGGGATATATTATATTAGATGGGTGGGCCGAGGGCAGTATATAATATAGACAGGTGGGCACAGGTGAATGATAATTGTAAAACAATGCAGTACCGATTGCCGAGTAGCTAATTCGGGTGAAGCATAATGAGTTCCTGCAGCTGCAGGTTCATTACTGTTGCATTGCTGTACGAGAAGCAAGGTTCCGACTACCGAAATTTGAGTGAAGTGTGCCAAGATCCGAGCCCCGGGAGTCAACAAACAAATATCTGATATCCAGCATACTTCCAATGATCTGGTATTTCGGCTCCCTTATCTGATCCTGACTATCTCCACCCCCTTTAACACCAACCTCTGGGCGTCCAGCATTCAGCTTCTGATTTCCCAAGATCGACTTCATCATGAATGGTTCTTCCACTTCTGCAATTGAAATAAGCCTCTGGCGCACTTGGGCCCTGACAGTCACTCACGAGGCATCTGAATATACTGCACAGAAATTCAATGCAAAGAAGACAGGAGGAGATCCGGTGATACCTTCTCCTAACCTAGACACTGATCTAGTGATGGCCTGCGATCGATTGGTAGATCGCCTCATAAAGGCATATAAAAATCCAAGTGGGTCTTCCTGCAGCTTCGGAAAATTCATTTGATCATTCAAATTCCTTCATCACAGTTCAGATGAACATTGACATTGCAAGATATAGCAAATTGATCTCCCCAAAGAACACCGGGCACAATGAGGAGAAAGAGAAGAAGTTGCTTAAGAGATGTCCTCCCGGCCATGAGGGGACAAGGTTTGTGGACATACCCACCACCATTCTAGATGTGTCCGGCACCATCATCACATGGTACCTCCCAGATGCCCTGACAGCTGAAACACAGGTGTGTGATATACATTGTTACTCAATATATATTAAATACCAAATGGTAACCACAGAAGGAAATTTGGGCAGCCACCGACTTGCTGTCTCCAAGTCTGGAAAGAAGTGTGAAGGTCGATGGGAATTGGCGAACCAATCCGGAGTGGTTCAAACATTGCTCGGAAGATGTTGGCTTACCTGCTGGGTGCATTAATTCATCTCCGGCATGGTTTCAACAGGGGCACGAGGTAGGATTTGATAGGATGATGATTTCGGTAGTTGAGCACATCAATCCCATAGAATCTAGCGGACCCGGAGGTATCTGCATCATTAAAGGGACCATTGTCCGAGGGAATCCTAAATGCCATTGCAAGGCCGGCAGCCATCACATCAGCGGCACTCAGGATCATGCATCTGGAGCAGTACTGGGCAGGGTTACGAACATTTTCAAGCCTTAGAGGAAAGGCAGAAAGCAAGGAACTGCCAAGAATGTCTGAGATCCTCCAGTACTGGGCATCTGTGTTTAACACGCTATCCATCATTTCCAATTGTCAAACCCCGCATCATCGAGACTATTTATCAATTCCTGAATGCTTCAATATTCTCACCACCGTGGGGAATTATTCTAATGCTCAGATGAGTATGCCAAGCCTTCAGCTGGAGTTCGGGTACGATCCTGGGTGTATGATTGGATTTTCCAGAAGGATTGTCAGACATGGGGTTCATGAGGTGGAGGGGGATAGGGTTGGGTGGGCATGGTATATGAGGGACTCTGTTCATATTTATGCTGGGGTTCCCTCATGCGGATGGGCTAGGGTGGATTGACGAACCCTACCACCATGTGGAAGATGAAACAAGTAGAAAGTGTAATTACCCATGTCAGTACCTGCTTTCAACTACCAAGTATGAACCATCTCTCTTGATGACACTCAAGGTCCGAAATCCATAGCAGATGCATACAATAACTGTCCAGAGCCTTCCGTGTCTCTTGATGACACTCGAGCACCAACACATTCAGTGTGAGGGAGTGGGGTTTCAGTTGTGGTGCGCAGTTACAAAAGGCCGTCCCTGGGTTGGAGTAGCCCAGATGATATCATCGACCTTACGCTAGGCAATGCTAAGAAGAACAGTCTGTTGAAAAAGGAACCTACAAGTCAAAAGGGCATAGAGAAGCAAAAAAATGTAAGTATGAATGCTGCTGTACAAATTTGAAAATGGTACTGGGGCAATGGCTATCATTGTATTTAGACTCAGATCTTATTGACAGTCATCAAGGCCAGGAGCTCGGTAACTGGGTATCGGCACTCAGGTCTTGATATTTGGACCTCGCTAGTTAAATGCCGGGAGTCGGGAATCAGTAATGGAGATCCGGAACTCGGAGTTCGATATTTGGCAGTCAACATTCGGTACTCGATGCTCAGACCTCAGAACTCGGTACTCAACGCTCGGACCTCGGAACTTGGTACTCGACACTCGGACCTTGGAACTCGGAACTCAATATTCAGAACTTGGTAATCGGGTCTTGGCACTCAGGTGTCAATACTTGGACCTCAGTAGTTATGTTCTGGGAGTTGGGAATTGGTAATGGAGAATCCGGAACTCGGAGTTCGATATTCGGCAGTAAACATTCAGTACTCGACACTCGGTACCCGACGTTTCGGAACTCAGTAATTGGGACTCGATATCTGGAACTTGACACTCAATATTCGGAGTTCGGTAATCGGGTCTTGGCACTCGGGTCTCAATATTCGGACCTCGGTAGTCAAATTCTGGGAGTCGGAAATCGGTAATGGAGATCCGGAACTCGGAGTTCGATATTCGGCAGTAAACATTCGGTACTCGACGCTCGGTACCCGATGTTTTGGAACTCGGAAATTGATATTCAGAACTTGACACTCAATATTCGGAGTTCAGCAATTGGGTCTCAATATTTGGACCTCTGTAGTTAAATTCTGGGAGTCGGGAATCGGTAATGGAGATCCGGAACTTGGAGTTTGATATTCAGCAGTCAGCATTCGGTACTCAACACTCAGTACTCAACATTCAGAACTCAAAACTCGATATTCGGAGTTCGGTAATGGGGTCTTGGTAATTGGGACTCGATATCCGGACCTCGGTGGTCAGGACATGGTGATGAACATCTGCACTGTTTAACATCATGTTAGATATTGCAATGTTTACATGCAATTTTCAGTACTCATAAAACACATATGCAACTTGCACTTCAACATTTCCAACTGAGTGACTAGAGCTACTCTCCTCTGCCTCTCTTCAATCTGTCTAGAATGGCAGTGTAGATTTGTATCTCTGCCATCTTGTCATGGATGCCCTCACATTGCTCCTCAAGTAATGTCAGGAGGCGTTCTCTAATCCACCTCAGTTCCATCACTGATGGAACTGAGGTATGATCCACCTGCTACGGAATTGTCAAACCATCATTCTCAATGCCATCCTAGAGTAGATCAGTCATGAATCAAGGAAATGGAATAAGAATCTTACTAACCAATGCTGGTAGTGAAAGATACAGCAAGTCATCACACGATCCCATTGCCATGGTTCGTTCGGAATTGCAGTTTCTCCCATCCACCATGGGGTATCATAGCTGGATACGATCCGGGATGGATCTCCGGGATCTGTGACATCATGAAACACACAGATGTGATACAAAAAGATGTGATCCGGAACCGTGTTCCAGGTGTGACTGGGAATCAAATGAAGAATATGAGCAATAGGGCTGGGAACGACTGAAATGATGTTCCTGGCAGCTGAGTACTGGAGGATGGGCATGACAAAAGTCTGTGGAAGATGTCAGCATTAACCACCAGTGTCGTCAGGGTCTTACAGTGATCTCCCATTGCAGCCCAGCTTTGAAGTGCCTGATCCGAGCTAAAGGGGGAAGATTGTTGTTTGCAGCCTCCGCCTGATATTGGGAGATGGATGCGGGGATGCGTGATTCAGACATCGACATAGTAGCTGAAATGTCTGCAGGAGTGAGAGTGAGGGGCCAGTACTCATTGAGGGAATTCTGATTGTCAGAAGTGGATGCAGGAGAAGGATATAATTCAGGCATGGCTGATGCAGGAGTATCACACTGGCAATGACAATGAGAGTTGGTTTAGATGTGAATATATCATCCACTGATGGATGAATAAATTTTTCAAACTCCGACATGGGCTGACCCGGCCAATTCCTGGGACTAAATTTGTATATTGAAATGGTTGTTATATCCCATTGGCAATAAACCATTCATTCATCTTGGGAATCTATCAAGATGGTCTGCAGGTGTTGAAACACTGCCTGGGCGTCCTGCGCCAGCAATGAATACATTCGGGATTGCCTTCCGGAGTAGCATGCATGACCCAGAAGTCGTTTCATGAATGATTCCTGCATCCGGTCACCCCATTAGGTTGCTTTCCACAAGAAAAAGTTACATGTCCAATCAATCTCGAATTGGACCAACATCAGCTCTTCCTTCCATCGATCCCGTAGTGCCTTTGCCCAGAGCCAGTGAACTCAGTAAACTTTATATTTGTCTGGTCAGCTCAATGTCGGACATGTCAAGCACTAGGGAACTCACATTCCTCATTCCATGATTGATCCGGACCACGCATGTCGACCTCGATGGACCAGAACCACGCGAGGGATTTATTTCATTGACCACAGGCATTTGGATCACCCACAGCAGTGCTGACTTTGAGCTGCTCACAAAGCAGGGGATTTGTACTTCTGAAGTTGGCCATGCCCCGTGTCAAGTTTCATCATTTGCGATCCTGGTCTTAGTATATATACTCGCATGCAGGGAGACAGTCCTGCTGCACTGACAGTCACCTGTGCAACCAGGCTTGAGTTTTCAGGGCTTGAGATTTGGCTTGCCTGACCATCGTTCGGAATAGGACTGCCTTGTTGCACAAGTGAATGCGGAGGTTGTGAAGTGCATCATTTGCCTGCCCTTCACGAAGGGACATCTCCAGCAGGAATGAGATCCTCTGCCATCAAGTGTCTGCATCGATCTACCCCTGAGGTTTGATGGCAATGGGATCACAATGAGCTCGGGCGAGTTCATCCTATGTATCAGATGTCTCGGTAAAATCTTCCAGGTCATCATCGAGATCATCTAGGATGTCTACGTTCAAGTCGTCATGATCGTCATCTCCATCGAATCCCTCTCCAAGATGCGTGACAGCAGAATGTGTAAATCCATCTATCTGGCCTTGGAGACGATCTCATTGCCGGGCAAGGTCTAATCTCTGTGTCTCCATAGTTCGTTTTCCGATTCTTCGGACCTCAATGAGCAATGCAATTTGAGCCTCCTTGATTGCCAACCCCATAGATATCCATGTTGCCACAGATCTCTGAGATGGTGCTGCATTATGGGCATTACCCTGCTCTAGCAGTCTAAGTTTGATCTCCTTTTTTCTCGGTGCTGAGTGTGAAATTAAGTCGGACTTCTATGGAGACATGGTCAGCTTACCCTTCTTGATATTTATCTCATAAACATCCATTGCCGCAGGATCATTTATTCTGCTGGATTGAGCGATCCTCTCATTGGCCAACCATTCTGTCTTCAAATTAGTGGGTGCTGCTTCATCGAGTCTGTCGAAAGCCTTTTTACTTTCGGCGATGCAATTTTTTGCCTGCTTGTATTTACGGCAAAGGGTCCTTTTCATGTGGATCATCTTGCAGAAGTTGGAATCATTCATCTGAAAATTGAGACATTCCTGTCAATGAGGGGATGTCATTCCCCGAGCAGCGGGGGAAATTAGGTTGAGACATGCCCAGAGAGTCTCCATGATCTCTCCATCTATCTGGCCAATGCCTTCAATGAAATTCGACGTATATCGGACATAGCAGCTGTCTTGATGTCCATGCACGTGCCACAAACCGATGCCGGGAATAATGGTCAATTCCGGTACCATTTCAAGAAATCAGCTTTGATCAACCCGAACCCGAAGGTGCTTGTTGTATTGACAGTTGATGTCATAAAAGGTGACAGCCCTGGTAATGCCTTCCATGTTGTGCTGGGCAGCCTCGCAAAGGGCATAGTCCATGTTCATTTGTCTGCAAATGATGCATGATCAACTCGTGAATGTAGAACTTCATGTTCGGCTTGACTTTCACCTTTCTGAAAATCAACCACTGCATGAGGGACAAAGCAGCTGTGGCAGGCACAAGCAACTCCCCCAATACCCGTCAACTCCAGCTTGTGCCGAGCTGCATTTGCTTGATCTACTGCCTGGTGGTTGTTGCAGCTAGATTTTTCCAAAGTGTCAGCAGCCTCCGCAAGATGCGCTTTATATCTGTCCTTTCCCACCATGAACCTCAGCCCATCTGCAAGCCATACTTCATCAAATGGCTTGATAGGATGCAAGTGTTCGGCTTTGAAATTACTGTTCATCACAAATGACCAGGTATATTTCCAGCTTGGAGTTCTTATCATCACTTAGGTCACTTAAGTATGAAACTAGGACTTGTCGACGATGACCATGGTGTTTTCCTTAGGCTGGAACTCTGGTCCCGACACGGATGGTAGATCTTCAGGCTCAAGCTAGTCCTCGGGTTTGTCTCCTTCAAACAAATCCCACCTATTTGCGAGTGCAGGACATTCTTTGCCATCATGACCGAGGTGTATGACGGATCCGACATGAGCGAGACAACTTTGCTCGAAGAACTGACCATTCCATTGACTAATCCAGTGGAAAGGATTGCGACAATGTTGACTCCTGCAACATCCTGTGCAATAGAGTGGCTCCCCAAGACAATCTTGACATTTGTAGACCCCATCCTGGTCGCAGACGATGCATCTCCTATCTTCTGGAGGAGCTTCTCGATCCAGGAGGTGATGCAGATATGATTCCTGCCTTGGGAGCCATTGCCTCAGGTAGTCATTCTGGCTCTGCATTTGTTATACTTAGCAATGTTTGAACGACACTCCAATGGTTTACATTCACTTGCCATTGTTTTTGGAAGCTGCAAAGGCTCGAATGAGTCTTGGTCTTGCTCATAAGTATTATCAGGACAGTCTTCCCAAGTAGGTGGTGCAGGAACAGGCTGAAGTGTTGGTGATTCCGGGGGAGAGTTAGGCATGGACCTGTAGACATGTTGTCTTGTGCTTGCAAGTGGGACCTTGACCCAAGTTTTCCTACCTTTTCTGCCCCTTGCTTCTACCCTGTGGGATTTTTGCAGTGGGGTGCATAGACCTATCTTCATCTTATTTTTGAATGTTGCAAGAACAGCATTAGCTCAGGAAGGTCGCACAAATTGTTATTCCAATGCTATGTTTGTGCAGTATTAGTTGTTCATTACAAATTTATTTCCATTAATGGCATCATGTCCGATATAGGTTGATTAACCAACTGTTAGGCTTTGGTCAAAGTTGAACTTTGAACCAATATTAATTATTCCTTGCTTACCCTCTACATTCACAAATAAGAGTCACCATGGCAAGGTCAGGTCATTCCATCGCTTGTCTCCTGGAAGACATAGGGCACATCAACCCCAGACACAGAAGCTCACAGAAACTGAAATTTCTGAGCTGAAGAACTACCTTCCTGAGTGGACTTCTGCGAAAAGGAGCGAGAAGCAGGCAGTTTTCACTGCAATTGCCAGGGCTGCCAGGTTGTTTGCACCAAAGGTGGACAAAGGACAATGGAAAAAGAGGAAGCAGGTGATACATCCTTGTTGCAATGCGAAACAAAATTTTCAATGTCTTACACTTCCTTCAATGCTCAGATATACAAGACTTGGTTGTTCAACAACAAGAAAAAGAAGGAAAGGAAGGACATGATAAAGTATGGGAGGAAATGGACGCCTAGGATGATGATCTACCAGGAGAATCAGGAAGAGGTGCTGAAGAGGATCAAGGATGAGTCTGGGGCAAAGCCAGGAGATCCTGGTATGTTCAAGCATTATCAGGCAGCTGTGAAGAGAGTCATGGCTGAATTGTCTGACAACGAATTGGAGAAGGCAAAAGAAACCGCCAAAGAATGGTCCAACAACTGTCCTCCTCCTGAGATACAAGCACAGGTCGCCCGTAAGAAGGGACCTGCATATATGGAGCACTTTTCGAAGGAGATGTGGAGGCAATGCAGGATGAGAGTGTTTGTGCTGTCAGCTTGGAAGAATGAACAGGGCGAGGTGCTGTTCGGGATGTGAGTGAATTTTACCTGTCATCGCAGATCTTTCAACCCAATATATTTCACGCAGGCATGATGATAACAAGGCATTAGGAGATGGGGACAACTTCATGAAGACAAAGGACTGGGAGGACATTGAGCCGGTGTGGCAGGAGTACACGCAGGAACAGTTTGGTGAGTGTTTAAACTGTTGATACCCAGAGGGGTGTGTTGATGGTCTCTGTGATAGGTGCCGGAGTATGGGAAGGTGGCCAACAGATGAAGGGAGGTCGCAAGAGAATCCGAAAACCAGCCTTGGAGCTCAACACTGATGAAGATGGCATGCTGTTGCTTCTGGACATCACTGAAACAAAACTCGAGGAGAAGAAGGCCATAGTCAGGGCTTTTCTCACATTGCACTATCGTGAGTCAATCCTTGCTACATCCGGGACTTTGTTGAATGCATCGACATAGGGATTTGTTCGGGGATCGACAAGGCAGTAGTGCCATGGAGTGCCATCCTTCAATGCCAGGATGACTTTGTGTCACGAAGATATCTTCTGGCGGATGTTGACTTGAAGGAGCCTTCCAAGTTGCAAAATTGGGACATGATGGCCCTCCTCAATTTCTGGTATGCTCAGCAGGAGAAAGGCGAAGGATCAACATTCACGTTCAAAGCATGGAAGAACAAAGATGGCGGCATGGTAGCATCGGTCATATCAGGCGGGTTGCCTTCCCATCGGACGGGTAAAGTCAAAAACACGCAAAGGGTAATCATCCAAAGCCCTAGGGATTCATCCTCCGAACCCGACAGTGATTTCGGGAATGACACTCATCATACGGATGATGATGATGATGATGATAATGACTCGGCTGATGGTAGATCACTGAAAAAGAGAACCAGAACCGGAGAAGGTCCTTCATCATCACATGCAGAGATGGCAATCCCACTGTCAATTCCGAAGCCTCACCCCATCAAGCTGGTGACATGTGGTGCACTGCTGACATCGCGAATGGGAGACCTCCTGGCAGGGTTAACCAATGGCAACATTGGTGAGGTTGACGATGATGTTGCAATGGAAGGGAGGAAAACATTGCCGGCTCCGAAAAGGATGCGGGGAAAGAAAGCGGTGATTGAGCCATCGGCGAGGAGCACCCGGAGTAAGTCAACGCCAAAGCCATTAGACAGTACTCCTCGGGTGACAAGAGCGAGGGGAAGGAAGTGATGTACTTATCCCACACTGTCTCCCCTTATGTACATATCCATGTCATGCAATGGGAAGTAGGTTATTGGTGCGCCGGACTCGAAACATGGACCCAGTGATCGATACTCGGGCCTCGGTAGTCCTCGGATAGTGAATAAATCGGAAATGGGAGTTCCATACATCCATAATTAAGTAGTTTACATGACATGAGTGGGTTCATAAACATTTGGAAGTTCACAGGTAATTTGTCTACTAACAGAAATTGTGTAATTTACATTTGAATTTGATCTTCAAACCTAAGAATGAGGGAATCTAATACCTTGAGCATTTGGAAGTCAAATGTTCAGCTCTTTGCAGCCTCTGGAGGTCTTCATCAGCTCTTCTGAGTTTGTCAGATGTTTCTGCCCAGGCAGTTCGGAATGGTCTCTCAGCCTCGAGTAGTTGTTGGATGGATGGGTCGGGAATATGTCCGTGTCGCTGTTTGTAATCCTGACCCGATCTTGAATGGATTGAACTAAGAGACAAATTAGCAGAAAGATAAATGATTATATCAGATACTCACTGCCTGTGTGATTGTAAGACTCAAATGGCCGGAGACTCCCGGACCATGGCAAGCAATTCTTCATAGGTGACATCCGGGTGTGGCAAATCACGTTCGGGAGATTTTGCAATCGCTTGGGAGATGAATTAAGTAAGGAAACCTGGATGGTAGGGAGAAACCTACATGCCCTGGATACTACCGGTGCACCTGAGACCTCACTATCTGAATCAGCACACTCCTGCTTCACCTCACAGTCGATCAGATCATCTTCAGGCCCTAAGTACATGTCTGGGTGAATGGGGAAACCCAGTTGATCAGGTTGGGCAGGAAGAGATTTATCTGTAAGGGTTTAGTGAACAGAGATGGTGAGATGTTTTGATTGACAGACCAGGGAATTCTGGCATAAAATCTTCATCAGGCCCGAGGTACAGGTCTGGGTGGATGGGTACATCCAGGGTGATAAGGTTGGGCCGGAGGTGATGGATCTGTCAGGTTTTAGTAACCAGGGATGGCCGGACATTTCATTTCAATTGATGAACATACCCGGGATCTCAGTCATAATATCTTCATCAGGCCTGAGGTAGAGATCCAGGTGGATGGCTAGACCCGGCATATCAGGTTGGGCCAGAAGTGATTGATCTGCAAGGACTTTTGTGTCAACATGCATTGTTAGATTATTTAAATAATACTCACCATGCATCCCAGCCATCAGGTCATCCTCAGGCCCAAGGTATAGGTCCAGGTGAACAGGGAGGCCTGGTTGATCACATTGAGCCGGAGGTGAATGATCTGTGAGATTTGAGTGACCATGGATGATTAGATTGTCATCATATCAATTGATAAACTCACCAGAAATTGAAGAAAAGACCTCTGGACCATTGGATGACACAGAACATGATTCTGGGTCATTAGCTGGCCCAAGATTTAATTGATCTGAGGATGTCTGGTAAATTGATAAGGTATGATGGATGTTGAACATACCTGTTGACATCCGGGACACGGTTGATTCATCCACATCCATTGAGTTATATTCGGTGACTGGAGGGTCATTGAATCTAACTGTAGCAGGAGAGTTCATGTTCTGTGAGGAACTGATCAACTGATTCACTGATTATTGATAACTTCGAAGTTGAACACAAGGTGCCGGCAATTGCCGAAAGTTGAACCACAACCAAACAAGGACAACAATCAACGAAATTTTACATTGTTAATCACTGATCTTGTTTTTACTGAAACATCATCCTTGTGATAACTGATTTCAACCTGAATACAACTTGATTTCTACCTGATCTCAACACTTTCAACACTTTCAATTGAAATACCATGTCTACTCCA